ATAGCGTCGTCGAAGGGAGGCGAGCGGGCACGTAAGGCGTAACCACCAACTTCGCCTACAAAGAGGTAAGTAGGAGTGAGGTTGGACAGGGCCGGTGCGGACGACAGAACGACGGGCAAGGACGACGACGGCTCTGGATCCCGTGCGATGATTGTTTTTGTTCGAAAAAGAAGGACCCGCCGCTTGCCAGTGGTAGGTAAACCACCTAGGTAGTAGGTACTATGTATTCGTAGGCAGGCAGGCAAGTCACGACCAGGGTGGTGGAGCGTGCTTGGATGGGGCAGCAACTAACTGGAGCCTTTCCCTCCGTTCTCCCTAACCCTTTTATTGTCTTTATTTTTTGTTTCTCGCTCACCTACGTCTTGGGCCCCTTTTCCCGTCAAGGGAAAAAAAAAGAGAGAGAGAGAGAGAGAGAGAAAGAGAGGAGTGGATTCACAATTCAATAGGTCTGCAGGGCGAAGGAGGAAGGAATCGAGCGTAAGTAGATTGTCAGTTGAGGTGGACGGCAGTAAGTACGCCTCCTTCCCTGGGTATTCGTGGGAAAGGTCAGGTGAGGCACAGAGAGAGAGAGGGGAGAGAGAGAGGGAGGGAGGGAGGGAGATTTGGGGGGTAGGTGAGCAAGGTAGGTGGGTAGCTACAGCATGCAAAGGTACCTATGGATCGAGGTACTTGGGTACATAGCACAACGCGAGCAAAGACGAACTGGACGGGAGAAGCGTCAACAAAGAGGGCAGCAGCCGCATCAGAATGGCCCGAGTCCCCTGACCGTCAAGTTTTGATCTGCTCTGTGCCTAACTAATGTGAGATTCCTTACCAGTGCATTGGTAGTGTAATATTGTTGCAGAGAGGCCCAAGGCCGCAGCCAAGGGGTTCCCCGTGAGTTGTTTACCCGTGAGGTACGGTACGGTGCAATGAGGTACGGGTACGTATACCTAGGTAAGGTACTGTTCGGTTTAGAGAGCACCCATGCACACCACATTGCATGCACGACCTACAATGTACTACGACTGCAGCCTGCAGGTAGGTCGCTGTCTGGTGGGCTGGGCGAATGACGGAGCTAAGGGGAAAACAACAAGGAAGAAAAGAAGAAGAAAAAAGGTGGCGGCTGGAGATGGTTGGCGGTTTTCATGGGTCCATCCATGGTTGGAAAAGCACCGAGGGGGAGGGAAAAGGGTGGTGGTCGGTGCAGTGGATGATGCCCGCGGCGGCCCCTCACTTGCATTCTGGAAAGAGTAGACGGGAAGGAAGGTTGGGTACAGACCGGGTTGGCAGGGGTTACCCAGTGTTTGCACGAGCTCTGGAAGGGAAAGGAACAGAAATTGAACGGGTTTTCTCTTTCCTAAAGCTTCAACAAACACACAGATAGTTACCGATAGGTGGCATCCGTACCATGGTAGAACTGAGATGCTCAGATTGACTAACTACCTACCTTAGGTAAAGAGATCATCTTCGCCGAGGTACGGACACATTGTACCCTCTCACCGCATGCTCATCAACCCTCTCTGGTCGGTGTGGTGATATGGAACCCGTCAAATAGCGTGCTTTGCCCCCCTCCCTATTTCCCCATCCCCTCCCTTGGTCGAGAGGCCGCTAGATAACTTCCCCAAAATGAGGCAAATCTTATGGAGCGGGCGGTATCAAAATTCTGTTCATCGTACCTCCTCCTCCCGGGATCCCTAACTCCCCCACCACCCTTTCACCAACGACTTGACCAAGTCCAGGACAGAGTCCTCCTGCAAATCAAACATGAAGCGGACCCCCAGCCGCTGGATGACCGATGGCTTGGGGGGTTTGCGAGACGGATGGCGTTTTTTTTTCTCTCTCTCTCGCTCTCCTTTTTCTTCTTCTTTTTTCTTCTTTTTAGTTTTTCTCTCCGAAGAAAAAATGAATAATAATAATCAAGGACCCCGCTGTTTGTCATTGTCGTCGACCGACAATCAACGACCCCGGCATTCCCTTATTCGAGCACATATCAGACGTCCGGCTAGCAGTATCAACATCTATAATTGACTTGACATGACATCCCGTTATCCGTCTCGTCGCCACTGACCATGGTTCTCTGCTTCGACCATCCGTCCGTTCATCCATCTGTGCTGTCTGCAGATACCAAGAAACACGACTCGTCCATCATCTTGACCGGGTTGTTTCGAATTCGGTTTAACGCTGTGAACCGCGCATTGGCGTTGTAGCCAGCCTCAAGTCAGCACCATTGCGCGCCCGGGTCCGGGCCTCGTCTGTCCAGTCCGGGGCGACGTTGGGAAGCTTCCACGGTCCCAAGTCATCACTGTCGCTCATGCATGCGACGCGTCTCTGGTTTCCACTCGCGCCAATGAGCGGGGGCCATTGCAATATCCGCGCTCTCGGCCGACGCAAAGTCAAAGAGGAGGGCTGCCTCTGCGTCATGGCGCGCGACGTTTGTTATTGTCGCCCCATCAACCGGAAGACCCTGGACTGGAAACCTGCATGGGGTCATGGGTCAAGTGTCTCAACACTCAAAGGCAAGAAGCCCCATTTTGGGGCCCAGTGAGAACTGAGCTTCTCTGGTTAAACGGTCTGCCACCTAGCCAGGGATGCATGCATGTGCCCCCCTCCATCTGCATTCCTCTCTCCGCCTCCCAACTCTCAAGGATGACCGGCCGGTAGTCAGGCACAGCCAACCAAGCAATCCGCCGTGCAGACGACATTGTTCATGCACGCTACTACCCGCGATGCTGCTGTGGTGCCGGGGAGAGACACAGCGGGAATCGCGTCTCTCCATTTCCGGGCACCGCCGTCGACGATTGAAGAGACACCGACCGAATTCGGCCCAGGCCAACGGACTACCACAACTGAAAGTCGGAAGCCACCCGCAATTGACGTGCACCTACGACCGCTGGTCCTTAGTCGTGCCGGCAGCCAGGCTTCGTAAGCTCACAAGTGCCAGGGGGCCACATGTCTGTCCGCTCCCGGCGGTAGCTGCTTTCCCAGGAACCGCATAGGGCCAGATCTCCGTTCACAACCAACAGCGCACTTGTTTGTCACTCACCCTTCGGAAGGACTGACCGCCTGGCGGCCAAGCCGAGAAGAAGAAGCGAAGCGAAGCGAAGGCTGTTCGATTTGCTCCGCGCTGTGGACCTCAGTTACTTTAATCCTCAGTTACTTTAATTACACCATGCACTAATGATAGGAGACCATGGAGCAATGTCTATCCAGGCATGGAACAGCCATGACAGCCCCGGCTCAACTCTGGTAGGCGGCTGATGATCCATCAATTAGTAGTAGTTTGCGTGCGGATATACCGTACTGGACCCTGATATGAGAGGAACACTACGACCACTCCGGCTAGCTCCTGATACAGACCATCATTTCGTGCGATATTGTTTGGTTCATCTATGCCCAATTACGAGGCACGCTGGCAGGGGACCCACGTCGGATTTTTGTTTTCATGACAGGGTGCTGCTATAGCTAGCTCGTTATAGACCGCATCGCACACCTACATCATCTTCACACACGGGATCGGTTCGGATGCTGTTTTGAACGTCCCTTTACTTCAATGCGGGCCATCAAAGGCAAGGTCTTCAGGGCGACACGACACGTCTCTAGGGAATCGACAACCAACCCGCAAGATTTAGATGTCGGAATCTCATAAGTGGAACGTACAACCCTATCGGCGACCCGGCGGCTTCAACATCTAGACCGCTTCATCTCGGCTACCTTTGAGAGCCAGTTGGTCGGCAAGTCATTCATGGAGGACTTGGGCTGCAGCCGTGCGATTTGGCACTTTTTCTGAAAAGGGTTACCTTCGGACAAAGTGTCTTACCGGGTCTGACGGATACTCTTTTGAATACCTACATGCCGCCAATGAGATGCACCCTATGTCCAGCTAGGGCACAAGCTACGCGGAGTCCCATTCCGGCTCAGCCAGGGCTGCGTCGATATCGCAGCTTCTGTAGCTCGAGCCTAAAGAACGCCCACCACCTAGTCCGTCTCCTGCAGGTACTGTTGCGACAGGGCGTCTTAATCGTACCGTACTGCCGTTGGTTAAGACGGACTCGGGGGCTTTACCTAGTAGGAACTTGGCTGTACAAAAGAGGCCCTTGCGCCATTCGACATGGTTTGGCATGCGGTGGCAGAACCACACTGGGAGATGCCCCCTTTTCTTTCTAGTGCGGACTCCGGACTGCCCTCTGCCCTGTTCCGTCGGTCTCATTCTCCGATGCTCTCGACAGCGCCGTGTTCGACGCGCTGCTCTGCTTTCTTTGTTGCTAGCCACACGTGGTGGGGCCACGGCAAGCACTGGACAGACAGTAAAGACCACCAAAGCGCCGGGTGTAATTTCCCGCCTTCAGCCTGACGATCCTCTCGTTGTCTGGCTCGCATGAACTTAATTTTGGGTACCATTTTTTAAGTTAGCAGGGTGCTGGACTAGCTGACAGTTCTGGTTGCTTATAGTTTCGTGCGAGAGGCTTGGGGTTTTCTTTTTTTTTTTCTTTTTTTTTTTTGGCAACCTGGCAACCTGGCAACCTGGCAACCTGGCAACCTTTACAGCCAGAGGATTTGTCCCTGGCTCCAGGTGATGAAACAGCCGGCAAGAGTCTCCAAGAGTTCTGACCTGACTCCGAATATGGTCTCTGTTGTGTTTGGACGGCACGGTGACATTCTGTCTTGGCAGAGACCTCACGGTTGCTTTTCCCTTCTAGTTCGTCAGCCACACCCGGCCTACGTCAGAAGACAGTTGACAGTTGTCCCCACGGGAAGCCCCATCTACCCGGGTCTGTGTCTGTGGAAGCGGATGCTGACATGGGGGTGGAGAGGGGATAAGTGCATCACAGAAACATAGGTCAGACAGCTATCAGCAGTCGCCGCTAGTTGTCATTGTCCGAATGGACTGCAACAGTCATCGCAGGATGACCAACCACTTCCAGGGGATGATGGGTGTTGTGTGTCTTGTGGCAGGTGCCAGGTGGTGGCCGCCGACTGGACGAATGTGATGCCCAAGTCACTAATTACCGGTACAGCTCCGCTGGGGGGTGGTGCTGCTGCTGCCGCCTCCACGGACCCGGCATCCCCATCCCCAGACTGCTGCATTGCGGCCCAGATCACATGCAGCCGCCGGGGAAAGTTTCCACCAGCGGTGCTGCTCTAATGACATGCCCATACCAGCTGGCCTCACACGTGCTCGCGCAGTTTCTTCGCAACATCAAGATAGGCGCCTGAACATCCAACTTGTCGGAAAAGGAAGGCATCTACCGGTAACAGCGCGCTCGTCACACACTTTGACACCTCCAGAGGAGTGCACCGGTACGCCGCAGCACCGCTCTGTCTGGCGGCTGCTAGCCAAACGATGACGTGACTCCGAACAACGTCTGACATATCCGTACAAGCGAAACAACCGCCATCGCATCCCGCCTGACCCGTCGCACCCACCACCACCAACAACAACAACAACAACAAACTCGAGATCACGCGGAGCGACCATGGACGAATACACGGCCGACCTCTTTATCTCGCGCGACGATGTCTCCGATCATCATCAGCCGCCTCCGACGGTGGTGGTTGACGAGTGGCAAGCCGACGCCAGCGAGACCACTCCGCCGTCCAAGAAGTCGGGCACTGGCCTGCGCTCGCGCATCGCCAACAATCTGGGCAAAGGACCAAGCATCCAGGACCGCCTTGTCGAAAAGTGAGCACATCCAGAGCCCTCTCCCTCCGTCGCGGCCGGCATCGCCATACCATCATACTAAACCAGTCCTCTAGGCTCCTACAGCAGGTCATCCCCGAGAGCTCCGATGGCCTCAGCAGCGGCGACGACCCCCTCGCGCCGGGATTCCCCTCGGATAAGACGTCCACCTTCTCCCAGCGGCCCAACTTCAACATTACGGCCATGTCCAACAACTTCCGCCGTTTCAACGCCCGCATCGGCGTCGTGTTCAAGTTCCAGGCCCGCGTTGGCCGCCTGCTCAGCTGGCGCCGTCCAACCCACACACTCTCCCTCCTCGCCGTATACACCTTCGTCTGCCTGGACCCGTATCTCCTCACCGTGGTGCCACTCGCCGGGTTCCTGTTGGCCGTCTTCATCCCCTCCTTCCTTGCCCGCCACCCCGCGCCGCCTTCGGGCACGCTGTCCTCGGAACAGTCCATCGGCTACTCCCCCAGGGGCCCTCCCCTCGCCCCGGCCCGGACCGTAAAGCCCGTCAAGGAGCTCAGCAAGGACTTCTTCCGCAACATGCGCGATCTCCAGAACTCCATGGACGACTTCTGCGTCGTCCACGACACCGTCGTCGGTAGCGTCCTCCCCATCACCAACTTCTCCAACGAGGCCCTCTCGTCCGCCCTGTTCCTCGCCCTGACCCTCACCACCGTCCTCATGACGACCTTCGCGTCCCTCCTGCCGTGGCGCCTCATCGCCCTCGTCGCCGGCTGGGGCGTCATCCTCTCGGGCCACCCGGCCATCGCCCCGCTCCTGACGCACACCCACGACACCCATGTCGCCCCGCACGAGGCCAAGGCCCGCTCGCGCCTCGACGCCTGGATCGCCGACGACATCATCCTGGACTCGGCCCCGGAGACGCGCGAGGTGGAGATATTCGAGCTCCAGCGCGCCTCCCACGACGAGTGGGAGCCCTGGCTCTTCTCCCCGTCCCCCTACGACCCGCTCTCCCAGCAGCGCATCGCCGGAGACCGGCCTCGCGGCACACGCTTCTTCGAGGACGTCCTCCCGCCCGACGGCTGGGTCTGGTCCGAGAAGAAGTGGGCGCTCGACCTCTGGAGTAGGGAGTGGGTCGAGGAGCGCATCATCACGGGCGTCGAGGTCGAGACCGAGGGCGAGCGCTGGGTCTACGACATGTACGACGAGCACAGCGCCTCCCAGGGCGGCGTCGGCGTCGCGGACTCGCCGACCACCGGCAGAGCCAAGCCGAGGGCGCCCCAGGCGCCGACCCCCAGCTGGGAGGAGGGCGAGGACGGCACCGGCCGCCGGGGCGAGTGGAGGCGGCGGCGCTGGGTGCGGCTCGTCAAGAGGAGGGCCACGACGAGCTCTGCTTGAAAGCGCGCGTCGCCGTGCCGCTGTACGATGATTAGGATTTAGTAATGAGAAATGACTCCCAACACGGTTGAAACGCGCCGGGACACTCGCTCCCACCTCTTGCGTGCGCATCATGTCGGCCCCGCGGCGGCTACGTCAGGTTGGTTCCATTGATGCTGCAAACCTCCAACCGGACAAAAACCCCGGATGGGACGGTACCTATTCACGAGTCTATATGTGTATACGAAAACATGCACACATGACGCGGGTGACCGCGCCTGAAGGGGGTCCCCCCCCCCGGTAGCCGGTCCACGCAGTGACATCAGCAATCACCCCCCCCCCCCCCCCCCCTTTCCACGAGTCTTCTCTGCCAGTCTTTCGAGGTTGCAAAGGGAATGAAGAAGAAAAAAACCCAGCAGCGTCGTCATTGAGAAAACTGTGCGTTCTCATTGTCTCGTTTGTAAAAAAAACCTGGACCGTCTAGCTGGAGGGTACGGGACTCGGAAGGAGGGGGTAGGCCGGCACGTCGGCTGCGCGCCTCCTCCGTCGCCTCCCTCCCCCTCCCCCCGGGCTCTCAGCCCGGCTGTCCGGTCTCAAAGGTGTCTAGATGCAGCTATCCGCGGCGCGCCGGCCGGTGGTTTCACCAAGCGGAAACCCGATAGGGAAATAAAACGTCCGCCATTTCGCTCTCTCTATCTCTCTCTCTCAAGTAGGCTACCCGTCTCCCCTGCTCTCCCTTGTCCAAGCGCTTCTCGGTATGATCTTCTCCCTGCTCTAGCGCCCTCCATGACTGCTCCTTTTGGGTATGATTTCGTTCCGCCCCATGCGCAAAAAGAAAAGAAAAAGAAAAAGAGAAAAAAAAAAAAAACCATCACGTCGCCGAGTCGGTGAGAGCCATTTTGTCCAGGATCTTGTGCATGCCCTTGGTGAGGCCGCGACCCTCGTCAATGTCTTCGACGGCCTTGCGCGCGCGGTCGATGAGGACGCCGACGACCTGCTTCGTGTACTCGAAGCTGCCGGTGCTCTCCATGCGCGCGACGGCGAAGCGCTTCACCTCGACGTTGTTGGTCTTCTGGGCGAGGATGTTGATGAGCTGCATGTTGGAGGGGTCGGAGCGGATGCTGTGGATGATGGGGAAGCTGAACTTGCCCTCGGTGAGGTCCTCGCACATGCCCTTGTTGTCCGAGTACTCTTTCGACGAGAGGTTCATGTAGTCGTCGCGGATCTGGAAGATGAGGCCCATGAGGTTGACGAGCTCGACGCAGTCCGTCAGGCTGCGCGACTCGGCCTGCATAAGCTTAATACCAAGCCGGAAGAGACCGCCTGTCTTGTTGCCGACCATCTCCAGGTAGTCCTCCTCGGTCGGGCAGGTGAGGGTATCGCGCCAGAACAGGTCCATGCCCTGGCCGCGGTGGAGGTGGACGAGCTCCTCGGCGAAGATGGTGATGGCTTTTGGGTTCTTGAGGCGCTGGAGCTCCTGCAGGGCGCGGAAGTAAATGTAGTTGGCCGAGTTAATGGTCTGGGCGACGCCAAAGATGTTATGGGCGACGGGGAGGCCGCGTCGCAGCGACGACGAGTCCTCGACGTCGTCGATGAGGAGAGAGGCCGTGTGCAGCATGCCGACGACGTTGGTAATGACGTCGATGCTCTCCTGGGGCACTTCGAGCCAGACGTTGAAGGCCTGGATCAGCTGGGAGCGGAAGTCCTTGCCCGGGAGCGCGGAGAGATAGTCGAAGGGGCCGGTGATGACCTTGTCTTTCTCCTCGGGCCAGGTCTTGCGGGTGAAGTTCAGGTCGGAGGTCGCATAGCGCTCGGGGTCCGGGGGCGGGGGAGGCTGCATCGTGACCGTGAAGGATGTTGCGTGGTTCCCTAGAGAGGGCTGACGGGGTCGGTGGGAGGATTGCGAACGCGAGTGCGTACGGCTACTGGAAGCGTAGCGGGGGCGGGATAGCCAGTCGGTTTCGGGGACGGGACGGAAGGGCGCTCTGGAGGTTGTGGGCGTGGGCGCGGCGGCGAGGGGGCCGGGGACGGTGGAGGTGTGGCCGATAGAAGATTTCCGAGAGGGGATGAAGTTGGGTGGGGGAGAGGGGAAGGAGGGGGGGTTATTCGTAAGGTCCCAAGGCTTGTCGGCGGTTTTCTTTGGTGCAGACAAGGTTGGCGTTGTAGGCAACATCGTGAAAGGGAGCCTTCTCCAAAGGGCCGGGAAGAGGCGTGGCTTCTTAAGGGTGTCTGAGTCTGGGAGGGAGTACCCGGTCCCAACAGTTCCCGCTCCTGCGGCAGCCGGCGTTGGTGTGGATGGTGCAGCGGCTCGAGCTTCAGCCCCCGTCGGCTCAAGCTCAAGCTCAAGCTCGGAGCTCGCGTGGGCCGGGAGATCCGTTTGGTGGAGCTCTGTCCGCTGGGCTGTGGTCGAGTCGCTCAGCTGGTGCTGTTGCTTTCGCTGTCGTTGGCAATGCTGCTTATTCGGGTCAACGTCACCACTTTGCTCAGCCAAGGTGGATTCCAGTACGGGGTTCGGATTCAGGCGGGAGTGGACGGTGGGACTGACAGCGCATATACAAGTAAGTGTCTTTTGCCCTAATTGGTGATTGTGCATGGCCCCCCTCTGGCGGGGACCAAGAAGATGCAGACCGTCATGACTTTTTGTGAATAGGACTCCTTTGCTGCAAGGGGGAACAGGGGTAGGCAAACAGGACTGCACTAACAGAAGGGGATGAGCCAGAGCTGAATCACTGATCCATGCTCGACGTCTCTGGTGGAGGACAGACTAGGTTACCTGGCATAAGGTAGTCCTGGATAGTAGGCAGGCAGACATGAAGGGGGGAGAGAAACGAAGCACAATGCAGCAAGACGCTAAAGTAATTGGCCGTAAATGGTCAAGCACATGCCAATGTAATGCAGCCTGCGCACCTTGATCATGGAGCAGCAGCTTTCGCAAGTGCTTAAGATAGCGCGTTGTTGGAGGCTCTTATCGATTGATGGTGGACGGGGAGCTTGGGTCGCGTCGAAGCAGGCGTCGGCAGTACGTCATCAACTTGCCTGCAGCTAGCTAGCCTGAGCTGAGGTCGGGATTCCGTGAATACCGAGCTGCAGGTAGACACGGCAGGCTCCGGTCCGAAGGGGGAGGGGGGGAGAACTCGATGTAAGAGAGAGGAAAGAAGATGACGGAAAAGTTTGCATCCGGATGATATGGACAAAGTATCGTGCTCAATGCCCCGCGAAACGAGTCGTCACTTACCTGAGTGGATGGATGGTCAATAAGAAGAGTATGGGAGCAAGAAAAGAAGAAGAAAAGAAGCAAGTCGAGTGATGGGCAAAGGGTTCGTGTGAGTGAGTGTTGTACGTCTTATGAATCGGCAAAGCGCACCAAGTCAGAACCCCCTCCCCCTCCCCCCGGAATGTAACCTGAACTTCTAGAAGATGGGGAGTCAAGTTCCACTTGGCTATAACTACCGTACCTAGTCTCGCGAACTGCCGGCACGCAAAGCGCTCGAGCCGGTTGTCTGCCACCTCTATCATCCCTTGACCCTGCTTTGAGCTATTCCACGGCGCACTCATGAACCGGTTTGGAATCAAGTCGTAGACCTACCCTGCCTGCGAATCGGGCAATCCAAGGCACTGGAATCGAGAATACTACGTATGCCGCCCCCCTCGTACTTCTAGGTTTCATCCATGATAGTGTCGGTCTTAAGCATCCGCCGACGTTGCGACATGCACCTGCAGCCTCCAGGCTGCCTTCCCTGTCAGCTGTCTACCCCGAAGTCGGCAGATAGCGACAGTCTGAGATCAAGGCGGCCACGCGGTCGAGACGAGTCCAAGACCTTTCGGCTTGCCATACTTTTTTCCGGCGCCACTTGATGGCAGGACGTGAACGACTGAGAAGGTTTGACGGCGCCAATAGTAGTAGCCAGGAAGGGAAAAAAAAGAAGAAGAAAAAAAGAAGCCCTGAACCCTGGCGACAGGAAAGCAAAGGCCAAGGTGCCACAGCCCGTGTGGCCCCCCCGCAATGCAATCCATCCATAGTACGGAGTACAGATACAACTGTACGCCAACGCACCTCGAGATGCCCAACCGGCCGACCCACCTAGTTAGTTATCTTACTTAAGCCTCTCCCTGACCAATCAGGGGGGATATTCCCCTTTTGGGCCACATCAAATCCCCATCCCAACGTGCTGGATCGACCCGGTTGCCGGGGCATCAATCGCCCAACGCAACACAAACACACATGGAGCTTATGCCTCGTCGCTTCTTTTCCCTCGGACCCCGTCTCTATCTGGCCGGCACTTCAACACTCAAATGACTGCTTTGCGCTCGCCGTCGACTTTATTATTTTTTTTGCGACTTCTCCCTTTTTCCCTCCTACCGCAGTCGTCGCAGTCGTGATACCCCTTCACCCAGATCCCTAGAGGACTTGTCCTCGCCGTCGTCCATGCCTTTGTTTTCTTCTCTCTTTCTGTATTAACATTTTCCGACGGTGCTGCTACTGCTGCTACGCATTCTAGAACCGAGCATCTCTCTCTCCTTGATCCGGTCTCGGCGCCAATTGTCGCCATCGTTGCATCCGCACGTCGTCGTATCAACAAGAATCGCATCGTCTCTTTTGTCTCTGCCATCACAGTTGCGCGCCAAACGTACGATTATACCCACATCCAATCAAGCCACCACCAAGCCACCGTCCTGCTGGAACATCAACAGCGCACACCGGCATTATATCCACACGAGCCACGCGCACACACGCCGGCGAGATGGAAAACCTCCTCAGCCTCGCCTTTGACGGCCTCTCCTCCTACGACGGACCCAAGGTCCGCAAGGGCCTGCGCCAAGTCGAGGGCCTCCTCGCCCAGATCTGCCTCTCGTCGCCGGCCAAGGCGAGGTCCCCGACGGCCGATGACTCGTCCCCGCGCGCCGGCGGCAAGTCCCTCACCGACTTGTCCGACGACCCGGCCTTCCGCGAGTTTTTCAAGCTGCAGGAGGGTTTTGAATGGAACGTCGCCCTGCGCCTCATCAACACCCTCGACCGCCTGATGGGCAAGGGCACCGACGGGCAGAACGACCTCCTGATCCTCAGCTCGCTGGATTTGATCCAAGGCGTCCTGCTGCTGCACCCGCCCAGCAAGGCCCTCTTCTCGCGAGAGCAGAACATGAACGTACGTTCCCGCCGGGCCTCCAGCCAACCTCCTTGCCGTCCCTCCCCCCCCCCCCCCCTCCCCTAGTCGCAAATGCTGACCTTCACCCTCCAGCTTCTCCTCGACCTCCTCGAGCCCGTAAACTGTCCCGCGATCCAGTCCGCCACCCTCCTCACCCTCGTCACAGCCCTCATCGATACGCCCACAAACACCCGCACCTTCGAGGCCCTCGACGGCCTCCTCACCGTCACTTCGCTCTTCAAGTCCCGCTCCACCGCCCGCGAGGTCAAGCTCAAGCTCGTCGAGTTTCTCTACTTCTACCTCATGCCCGAGGTCCCCTCCACCCCCGCCGCCGACGCGAGCCGGCCGCGGAGCCGCGCCGGCAGCGAGTCTGCCGGCACCCTGACGACCGAGGACAAGCAGGAGCTGCTGGGCCGCCACCTGAGCAACGTCGAGGACCTGGTCAGGGACTTGCGGACCTGCACGCCCTTTGGAGGCGTCGTGTGCTAGCGTCTCTTGCCGAGAGTTCTCGCCTCTGTCTCTCTCTGTCTCCCTCCCTCTCTCTCTCTCTCTCTCTGTCTCTCTCTCTCTCTCTCTCTGGGGTTTCTGGTGTTCCGGGTTTTGCTGGGAATCTTGGGTTTTCCTCTCCATCATTGTTGTTGTTATTCCTTCGCAAGCATCTCATCCTTTGCCGTTTCGACCGTCGTCATCGTCAGCGTCCTCCGTATTATTTGGCGTTCCGTGCAAGGGGGGGTGAGGGGGGGCTCTGGTTTAGGGGACACAAGGGAACATTCTGGTTTTTTTTTTTTTTTTTCATGGCTGTATCTCCACGGAAACGTGGGCCAGGAGTTTCTGTCCTGTTTTCTCTTTTTCTTTTCTCTTTTCTCTTTTTCTTTTTTTCTTTTTCTTTCTTTATTTCCTCCCCGGCTGGGGATACGGAGGGGAGGGGTTACTTGTTGAAGAAGAAAAAGCTTCGAGCTTCATCCAAAATCGCGTAATACGTATTATCTAACCCGTCGAGAATTGTACGAGAGTGTGCTGGGAATAGAAGGAGGTGGGGGCGAAAGGGAGACACGAAAACGTTTCCTGTGTGTGTGTGTGTGTGTGTGTGTGTGTGTGTGTGGATGTTCGTGCTCGTGCTCTTGCTTTCGAGTCCTCATCAGCGTTATTACTACCATCATCATCCTTCTGGTGACCGCGTCCGTTTCGGACAGAAGAAATATATAAACACTCTGGAAACCCACACACCTCAATTTGTCCTTCCGTTCATGCTGAATGCCCCTCTCTGACGCGGGGACCCGGCGACCTGTCCATCATGGAGAAGCCGGCGATGCTACCCGCGGAGGGCGACGCCACCTCGGACCCGTACAGCTCGTACCTCTCCTGCGCTGCCTTCACCTCCGCCTCCGCCTCCGCCACCACGCCCACCGAGTCCATCTCCACCGGCGCGACGACGTCTCTCGGCGAGTGCGCCTGCAGCGGCACGCCCCTCCCCCTGCCCTGCGTGGTCGTCTCCGTCTCCGTGTACGGCCCCGCCACGGCATCCGGGCCAAAGTATTCCTGCGTCCCGCCGCGCCACATCGTCGGTCGCGAGCTGGACGTGACCTCCGACATGGCGCGCGCACTCCGCCCCGGTCTCTCGCTGCCGCCGCCGCTGCCGATGCCGGAAACCCCACCGCTGACGCGGCTCGCCCCGCCGCCACCGCCGCCGCTGGGCCGGGACGACGCCGTCGCCGTCCCCCGTCTCCGTCGCCTGAACAGACAGAACCACGCGGAGAGCACCACGAGCGCGCACCCAACGACGGACACGCCCACGCCGATGCCCGCCTTGGCGCCGGTCGACAGCCCGTCGGAGGCCTCGTCCACGATCCGCACGTCCGTCGCCGTGGGGCGCCCCGGCGCGCACGCCGCGGTGCCGCTGACGACGACGCAGTCCCAGAGCCTGTCGCAGCACCCGCCGTCGGCGCACGCGTGCTGCGTGGTGGCCGTGCATCCGGGATCGACGGGCGTCAGCGCGGTGGCGGAGGTGGTCGGGGTCACGGCGCGCGCGCATCCGCCGCCCGGCACGCAGGTCTGCCCGTAGGAGCAGCAGCCGCCACCGAACCGGGACTCGCAGCGGAAGGCCGAGGTGGAGGGGCAGGTGCGGCCGCAGCAGGCGGAGGAGACGGAGGTGGTGACGACGCCGCCGCCGCCGCCGCCCGTGACGGTCTCCGAGATGGTGCGGGTGACGGTAGTGGGACACTGGTAGGCCGTGGCAGCGCAGTTGGAGTCGCAGTTGGAGCCGACGGGGCAGCACCACGGCCGGTTGTCCGGCTTGACGTAGCAGTAGTTCGTGTTTGCGCAGCACGTTTCGGGGAAGCCGATGTCGACACCTTGGTTCTTGTCAGCACAAGGGTACGGACCGTCACCGTCGCAGGAATGCTCCCCGGGCAGTGAGGCTAAAGCTTCGTACATGAGTGGTAGTTCGGATTGCATATCCCTCCGTCGCGGATCGCCAACTTCGGGGCGTCGATGAGGAAGCGCGGCACCAGGGCTCCCAGGACGGGCGTCATGTCGACGGCAGCGTACCTCTGATGAGCAGCCGCGCTGGCGCAGACGGCCAGCACGGCGATCGCGAGGGCATTCATCTCTCTTCTTCGTGTCTTCGCAGGTCTGTTGCTCGAGGCACCGAGGAATCGAGTGCGCATACGTGGAGGACACAAGCGTTATGTTTGGTCCCACTCAACAACACATGTTTCTCATGCTGCGAGGCGTCAAGGGAAGACGTTACAGAGGGCCGGGACGGAGACGCGGGCGCCTGGTAGGTGTAGTAGGGTGAATTGGCAACGACGAGCAAACACGGCTGAGGAGACACAACAGAAGGGCAGCTCGAGGAGACAAAGGGGGCCGGGGCAACAATGCAAAGCGAACAAGCGAGTCAATGGGAGGTAGGTGAGGAGGCTGTCGCATGCGCCCGAATGGGTCATGGGCTCGGGATCCAGCCCATGGATGATAGAGGCCGTAAGCAGAATCCCATCCCTCGACGAGGATCCGGGGAGGCATGTTCACTCTTTCTCCGCGAGCAGCAGGGGTTTTCTGCACTCTGTTCCCGCGCGGGCGACTTTTGCGGGACGAGGATGCGGAAAGACGACCTGCGTTCCCTCCAACAATCGCAGCAACACACCCGCATAGCAGAGGGCAAAGTGGAGTTCTCTCTCCACGGTTCTTCACTCGACGAGGCGGGAGGCAGGGGGTACAGACAGAGCGAGGGACCCTTTCTCCTGCCCCTCTCGGCGGCGGCCCGAAGGACTCACACGCCCCGCCCGCGATGACTAGCGGCCTGGGCTGGCGTTCGTTGGTTCGAGGCGACGTGCTGTGCCGCTGGGCTGCATATCGGGAGGCCAGGTTCGTCGCCCCCCACCCCTCAGTGTGATGCAGGACATAATATATTCTTTCACGCCTGTTGCCGCGGTTGTAGCGGTGGCCGGGCTAAGCGCATGCGAGGAATGCGAAGGACGCATGTTGTTGAGAATAGGGAAGGGTTGACAGCGGCCGATAGGCGCATAGAGAAATAGCTCTAGAATGCTGCGCAGGTGTTGGATAGCTGCTGAGGTTGACAAGCTAGATCGTACCCTTACCTCAATTGGTCTTTGAGGTGTCCAAATCACCTATGTAGGCAGTTCAAGGTCCACGTTTTTCATGCCATTGATCTTGGGAAACTGCGATGCTAGTGAAGAATAACCAATGCAGAGTGTGGAAGTCGCAACAACCTTTGATGCCAAAATGTTTCTCGGAAAAAGAAACACACCAGTGCGGAGCTTCTGGCCTGGCCCCCACACAGTCAGTCACTGGTGCCTAGGTACCGGTAGATGCCATTACCCCAAAAATAAGCAACACCGAGGGCGGGCCAAGGCACTGGACACGCCTCCAAACGGCGCCCCGCGCGCGCGCGCCAGAACAGATCCAGCCTAGCAGCCCTTTGAAGGAGAGAGGGGAAAAAGAAAAGGAAGAGGAAAAGAGAAAATCGGCAGAATCAGGGTTGGCGGTCAACCCAGAGAGGCTCCCCTCTACCCCACACACCAAAGCCTACCCCTCCACCACTCAAGGTGCCCCTCCTCCGATCGCAGGCCAACGAGAGAGTCCCTAGTGCCATGTTTTTCTGAAGTTATTCCCAACCCCAAATCTCATCCCGCGATCTAACCCGTCCCCCCCCCCCCCCCCCCCCCTCCCCCGATTTCCTAGCCCGCGCCCGCGCCCGTACTCGCACATTCAACGACCTCGCCCTCACACCGACACATCCTCCTCCTCCTCCTCCTCCTCACCGAACCGAAATAATGGCCTCGCCACCAGAAGGCGCCTTCCCCCTCCCGCCGATCCTCGCCCTCCCCTCCTCCCCCGCCGGCGCCCCCGTCCTCGTCACCCAGGGCGCCGAGGCCCGCCTCTACCGCACCACATTCCTCGCCCCGGGCCTCCCCGCCGCCCTCAAGTACCGCCCCAAGAAGCCCTGGCGCCACCCGACCCTCGACGCCCGCCTCACCCGCGCCCGCATCCTCGCCGAGGCCCGCGTCCTCGCAAAGTGCCGCCGCGAGGGCTGCCCCGTCCCCGCCCTCTACGCCCTCGACGAGGTCGCCGGCTGGCTGATGCTCGAGTGGATCCCCGGCGCCCCCGTCCGCGTGCGCATCAACGAGTGGCTCGACGGCGTCGTCGCCGAGGCCCCGGAGGCTCGAGACGCCGGCGGCAGCAGCGGCAGCAGCAGCAGCAGCAGCAGCGCCGACGACCGCGCGAGGCGGCCGGCCGCCGAGCAGAGGACGCCGGCAGGAGACACTGGCGAGCGAGACGTGGCGGACTTGAAGGACCTCATGCGCCGCATCGGCGCCGCCATAGGCAGGATGCACAAGATCGGCGTCGTCCACGGCGACCTCACCACCTCCAACATGATGCTCCGGCCGCCAAAACCGGCCGCCGGCACCGCAGCCCCGAACCCGGACCCGACCGCCCCCTCCTCCCCCTCCTCCGTCGTCGACGGAGACGTCTTCATCATCGACTTCGGCCTCGCCAGCCAGAGTACCTCGGATGAGGACCGCGCCGTCGATCTGTACGTCCTCGAGCGCGCCTTCGGCAGCACTCACCCCCGCGCCGAGGCCTACTTCCGCGACGTCCTTGACGCCTACCGCACGTCGTACAAGCAGGCGCCCGTCACGCTCAAGAAGCTCGAGGACGTCAGGATGCGGGGTCGCAAGAGAAGCATGATTGGCTAGTGTGGCAGGGTTCGTCGGGAATAGACATTGGAGAGCAATACTAGACAAGAAGCAAAAAGTCAAACTCGGACAGTTCCAAAATTAGAGCTTCGGGTTCAAGGACGGAATCAAATTGATACCCTTTGGGTAGTTATTTCTACCTCATTTGTGACGTCACACGTTCTCCCTCTACATCTCTGTGTGGTGTTCTGTACTTTCTCCGACCCATCGCTGTGGTCCTGAGAGATGCATTTTGCCATAACAATGGCCCCAATAGCCCGATTATCCCTATCCCTATAACATAAATATCGACGCCAGGTATATTGTAATAATGTCGTGTGACGAAACAAAAACGCCGTGCCATGCTATTATTAGTCGCTTTCCGTAACGACCCTTCCCGAGACCTAGCTCTCGTGTGAGCCTTTGCCACAGCAACATCTGCCGTTGCAAGCATCGCTTCAGCCCGCTATTGTTGTTTGATGGAGCACTTTGTCTCCAGCCACTTTGCGAATCGCACCGTCGGAATGTCGAAGAGTCTCCAGAAGACGTCGGCCGCCCAGATCACAGCGGGAATGCACCCGAAGGATCCCAGCACGAAGCCCGTGTTGTACCACCATCCTTCGATTCCCGTCACGGCGTAAGCCCGCTTCTCAATCATGTAGCCGACGGTGTGCATCACCGGGCCGTGCATGAGGTAGAGTGCGTAGCTAATCTTTCCGAGGTACTGGATCGGAGCCAGGTTGAAGAAGCTCTTCCATCTCGGCGAGTGGCCGACGCAAAGGACGAACAAGACAGCCCCGATGGATTGCCAGAATCGGTAGCCTTCCTCATCCCACCACTTGGGAATGAGCGAGCCAAGCCAGACCCAGCCGGGGGTAATTTCGTAGTTGATGTCCGGCTGGCACATGAAGTAAATGGATAGAATGCTAAGCATCGCCCAGCAGAAGCCCTTGGAGCGGTTCTTGTTCGGCCGGGCCTCGTGGGCGGGGAGAATGGAGCCGCCGACGGGGGTGTTGTTGCCCATGATCTGGTCGTATTCTGCAAGCATCATGCCGAAGTAGAAGAGCAGCAGCTCCCAACGGTTGTTGCGGTAGGTGAATGCAATGATGCCCCAGAGGAAGAGGAAGCGGAGCCCGGTCCGAACGCGAGCCAGGCCGATGAGCGTGATGAACAAGTACATCGAACAGCGGAATTCGACTGGGATGGTCCATAGGTGCACGTCGTACGCTGGTCAATGTTAGTTTGCGGCTGCAAAGGCACCCAGTACGGCAACTTACATGTGCTTCCGCCAAACCTCTCCCAGCCAAATACGTGGACGAAGTTGAACATGCTCCACGCCCAGTCCGTCAGCTGCTCTGAGAAGGTGTCCAGAGGCTTCGGGTGAGGCTCCATAACATTTTTGTGATAGGTCTTGTCGATGGCGAAGTCTCTGGTCCACTCGTAAACACCCAGTTGCAGCAGCATCATGATACCAAAGGTCGAGATGGCAGTTGGCAAGTAGAGTCTGATCAATCTTCGGAAGATCAACGACGTCGTCGTGGCAGAGAACTCGTCAAAGTTTCGAGCGCGCAAAAGCTTGATAGGTTTCATGGACAAGGCGTAACCGGAAATGACGAAAAACAGGCACACCGCAGGTGGACCTTGATAAAAGAGTCGGAGGAACGGCATCTTGAGAACGTTGTAGTTCTTTCCCGACGAACCCCAGCCCTCAGCGATTATGAAGGCCTGGTAAAAGTAGTGACAAAAGAAAACGAAGAGTGCGGCCACTCCACGCATACCGTCGAGGTGGGAAGTCGGGAACAGCTTCTCGACTCGACCTCGTTCTCTTGAGAATCGGCTCTGGACGAAGCTAGGAAGTAGAAAGATGAGGCCGCGAATTACCGTAACACGCCATGGTACGGCCCGGGCATAGCCCACGACACCCCGTGCAACAGAGGACCATCGTGGTATCGCGAAGCGGGATTCGAGGTCGACCCTACCGCTCTCGCTCTCAACGTCGGATAATGTCTTCTCGTCTAGGAGACTCATGCCCTCTTCGTGTGACAGGGACACCTTGGAAGTAGCGTGTCCGTTCATTGTCCTGCAATGGAGTCCGGTATGTGTCGTATGTGTCTACGTGTGTGTGTGTGTGTGTCTGTTGAAGCGGTGGGTATAAGCGGACTCTCGTGGCCGAAAAGCCCAGGTTTCTAGCACGTAGGGCTTATGACGAGACAATGGCCAAAGAGAGTCGGGTGAAAAAGAAAGGGGAGGCGTGGAGGAGGGAAGTGGTGGTTTCGATTCGGAGGCCCTTATTGTTCAGACGATCCGGATCTGCAAGGGAGAGGGGGGAATGGAGGGTAGGAAAGGAGGTACGGCAAGGGAAAGTAAATGTAATTTGGAAGAAAAGGAAATAGGTCCTATCCGTGAGGAGGAAGGATGTGCTGGGTTGCGGGATGGGTGTTTCTTGCCTCGTCTCGTTAACGAGGCCGTGACCTGGACCTGAACCTTGATGTGGGCTCAAAGCAGAACCCTGAACGTAGGAACCGGGGTCTCCGCGCTGAAGCAGGAGCGTGGGCCGCGCAAGGAAAAGAATGTGGAGAATGCAAACAGGCAAAACAGCAAAACAAAAGGGCCTTGCGGCTGAGATTTGTGGTCGGAAGGAGCGTAAGAGATACCTAGGTATGTATGTGGTATAGAGGCAGTTATGCAGGTAGTGGGGCTTGGAGAAAGCAGGATCTCAAAGTATCAGCAGATACCCCAAAGCAGAGAAGGAAATAGTTGAGAGTGAGAGTGAGAGGAGAGCGAAAGCGTCAGGGTCGGCGTCAGTGGTGTGGATTTATGGATCCCGCCTGTTTCAGGGTAGCAGCGAGGAATGGTGTAAGTCCAGCAGCTATGACGGGGATGGGTGAGATGAGGTGAGGGATGCACCACGAAAAGCAGATACAGCGTTGCAGCGCACACCTGCGCCGAGTACAAAATGCAGCGAGACCCTCTCCGAATATATCTGTCCTCGATATGAAATTCGGGGTTTTGCGTAATGCTGTGTCCAAAAGCTGGATATATAGCTGCCGTGGTCGTCAATTCAGAGCGTATGGTCGGAAAGTCTGTTTGTTCGCTCCCGCCTGTCTAATATTTGACACAAAGCCAAAAGAAAAACCCGAGCGGAGATTATGAGCCCCCCCCCCACAGGTAAAAGACACAAGGTGCGAGCGGAAAGCAAAGAAAGAACGACAAAAAAAAAAAAAAAAGAAGCTAAACGAAATGAAAAGTAACCGAGGCGCATATGTCATGAGCCAGAAACACGAAAGGGGCGTTCTGGCTGTGCACGAGTCTTGACGATCGAGCTGTTGCCCGGCAGAGTATCTCGATGTCTGACTTGTGGCGTGTGTCCCAACTACCGCCGTCGGTTATGACTATGCACGGCCCTTCTGATAGTCCAATGAGTGTGTGGTGGCAGAGAGAAGAGATGAAACGATGGGGAGCAGGTCGGAGGACAACCGAAGAAGTGAACGTGTGATGCACGAGGCCAGGGGGGGAGGAAGGTGAGAATAACAAGTAGCGACCGCGGGTCGAGTCGAGTCTGGACGGCGAAACTTCAGGGCGCACGCCTCAACAGATCAATTGCCCGAGGAAACATTAGATGTTTTAGTCGGGCCGGCGGCTTTGAGAAGAGCGGAACGGAGAGGTAGTTTCACAATAGATGAGATAGGAGATGGGACCGGACACAACTAAGCGGGCTTAGGCGCGACGGACTGTGTGCACTTGGCGTACACAAAATGACCGACTCTGAAATGGACTCTGCAAATCAAATTTCCCATGGGAGTTGGTAATATAACCAGACATGGACATTGATCGCTGTTTGAGATATGCCAGCCACGCAGGGGTCCGGTAGATACGCACCTTGCTCGTGCTCAGGTCTCTCTGGACGGCGCTGGCAAAATCAATCATCATCGACTCATGCCAATGAAGCCGATCCCCCATTCCCCACCGCGACCCTCAAGCCCTCCTGAATGGGAAAACGAGGTCCAGTACAGAAAGGCGGGCTACGAGTCCGCCGCGCCTATGACCTTTCTTTTCCTTCCACCCGCCCCCTGGTCCTCAGCCCTCCGCCGGCACTGCAATGCAGGGGAGAGGAGGTTTACTTAGCGCATATGGAGACAAGATCGATGGCGATGGGCGATGGGCGATGGGCGATGGGTGGTAATGGGCGAATGGGCGAATGGGCGAATGGGGAGTTTGGATGTGGGTGGGGGCATAACAGGCTAAGGGGATAAATCGTAAAGGGTCTCAAGTTGCTTGGGGGAGGACGCGAGGAGGGAAAGAGCTCGTTCGAGGTCTCATGCCGCCGAGAATGCCACTGCCAATCCCTCACCGTTAACCCAGAGAGACACGGCAACTTAACCGACAAACAGGTCTCGGCGCATGAGTTATCTGGGCTATCTGTTCTTCAAGGTACTCGGAGAAGGAGAAAGCGCCGCTCTTGACCATGAAGCAGTCGTAATCCGAGCTGGGGTTCTTCCAAGTGTTTTGCTGGAGAAGAATGGAGCGTCGGGCGGGGGGTTGTCCACTTTTCTTGTCTCTCGCACTCTGCCAATACACACTATCAACGGCTGACAGCGGTCCTCAGTGCTTGGGGATTTGCGGCGCAGCAGCTTTTCCCCGTCTCCTTTCTCTGGCTGCGACGTCGAGGTGCCGTGCAGGCAGGGGTTTTGAATGTTGAGATCGCCGCGCGGGCCCGGCTGCCGCACTTGGCAAACTGGGGTGGCTGCTGCTCGAGACGCTCGGTGCGCAGGGACCCCCCCCCCCAGCTAGCGGCGGGGCCCTGCTAGGCGTGCAGGGGCGGCATGTTTCCTGGGACAGGCCAAAACCCCTTAGCTATGTTCCAGATTGGAGAATCCGTCACGTCGAGTGCTTGGCAACTAATCGCCAAGCCTGCCCATCCCTGCTTGCCAGCTTGCCTTCCTCATCTTTCCAAACCTTCCATCTTCCCAACCTTAGCGAGCCTCCTCTCCCGATCCATCCCCTTATTGCTCGTTCCTCCCAACTCATAGACTTCTCGTGGACATGCCTACCGGTAGATAGGTACCGTAGATAGGTAGGTACCGTACGCACTCGTGAGATTCGTCGACCACTAGTGAGCCGGCTAACGGCAATAGGTATCGCGGCCACTGTAAGAGGTATAGTGTGCTGGCAGAAACAGGGATCTGTATATACCTATTTTCTCACGCAACGGCTGTGTACGTACTAAAAGCAGGCTGGCTAGTTGGCAACGAAGGGTAGATAGTCTGACCGCCTTCTATAGCAAGATTAGCGCCATGGAATCCCACTAGCTGCTATCAGTAAGGCGCTAGCTATATACAGCTAGCCGACTCACTAGTGGTCGACGAATCTCACGAGTGCGTACGGTAGGTGGGCAGGAGAGTTTCCTAGTGGCAGCGCCCTGCCATCCCTGCCGCCGCCCTCGTCCTTGTTCCCTCCTCTGGTCGGGGGTTTCCCGTGAGACCTGGCAAGCTTTGGCTCTGCTTGGGCCAGTAATATCTATCTTCGGCCCCAACCCAAAACCAGGAGAACTGTTGATCAACATCCCATCCGAAAGCCGAGTCATACCACTCGCTCCAGGGAAGCGCCATGAACTTCGCTGGCCCTTCGGCCTCTACTTCCTGCAACATGGTTTCCTAGCAGACCATCATGAGCTTGTCTGACCCTTCACCGCCGCTGGATCTAACGTCGCACAGATGCCTCTTCTCGAGTCATTGCCGTTCATCATCGCGTTACATAGGTAGGTAGTATATAACGATTACACGTTGCTGTTTTTTTCAGGGCTTCGATTCCACGAGGACGGACCATCGAGCTGACACACAAACACGAGCACTGCCAAGTTTGTAGTCGAAAATGAACTCCCAAGTCTGCCAAACTAACCGCCCGTACCATTAGTTTTCTTTTTTGGTATCCTCTACACGACACTATACCATCAAGAAAGTGTATATCTGTAAAAATGCGCGAAACCAACGCCTGCCGTACCCGTTCCCAGCACCATGCGAACCACGTGTAGTTCATCCACGTTTTCAAGAAAGCTAAACGCCCAAAACACGTTGTCTTTTCATTTCGTCATGCCATACGTCGTCTAGGTTGAGAGCCAGTCGAGGAAGTCGGGGGTGAAGTAGCTGATGACAATTGTCGCGCCCGCCCGGAGGATGCCCTCGGTCGACTCGAACGCCATCTGCTTCAGGTCGAACACTCCCGACTTGGCCGCCGCGTGGATCATGGCGAACTCGCCGCTGACTTGGTAGGCAGCGACGGGCATGTCCTTGCCGAGCTCCTTCGCGTCGCTGATGATATCGAGGTACTGGCTGGCAGGCTTGACCATAATGATGTCCGCACCCTCGCCAATGTCGCGCACGATTGCGCGACGCGCCAGGCCGCGGCCGCCCGGGGGCAGCTGGTAGCACTTGCGGTCTCCGAATGACGGGGCAGAGCCTGCCGCGTCGCGAAACGGCCCGTACAAGCAGCCCGAGAACTTGGCCGAGTACGACATCAGCACCGTCTTGTGCGCGATACCCTCCTCAATCAACTTCAGCTTGATTGCACGGATGCGACCGTCGTTCATGTCGGACGGCGCGACGCAGTGAGCGCCGGCTAGGGCGTAGGCAATGGCAACGTCCGAGATGCGATCAACCGACAGCTGGTTGTTCAAGCTGCCGTCGTCGCGGAGGATGCCGCAGTGGCCGTGTGACGTGTACTCGCACAAACAAACGTCGGCGCAGATGAAGAGCTGCGGGAACCGCTGGCGTATCGCACGAATGCTCCTGATGACGGGCCCCTCGGGGTCGTCGGCGGCCGTGCCGAGAGCGTCCTTGACTCCCGGACGCACGGGCACGCCGAAGAGCATCACGGAGCGCAGGCCCTTGCGCACAAGCGTCTCCACGTAAGCCATTGTTTTGTTGATGCCTCGGCGGTATTGGCCGGGCAAAGAGGGAATCAGGGCCTCCTCATCGTCTTGGTCCGAAATGAAGAGAGGGTAGATGAGCATGGACTGGAGGGGGAAGTCAGTGTTTGTCCAACAACAACAACATTTTCCCGCAAAGGAATCAAACTGACCTTGGTCAATTGCCTCTCCGCTTGCCATGAGCGGGCAAGGGGATGGAAGTAGCCACCGTGCAGCTGGCTCGAGATGTCTCCCGAGATGCTGACGCTGGTCGCAGCAGTGCTAGCGTAGGACATGGCGCGTGAGATTTGTGACCGGCCGTCGTCCATGGTGGAGACTGATTGATCACCGCGGGGTCGGCGCGGGACGCCGGAATCCCTCAAAGTGAGGTCCTGAACAAGACTGGAAAAGGACATGATGAAATCCGACAATATGAAAGTTCAATCGCTCGAAGGTCAGGAGTTGATGAGGGGCCGTCGAGTGGCGAATCGTCGTCGGGAAGCGAGTCGGAATGGGGGGCTTGGAAAAGAATGTGTCGAGTGGGTATTATACTATTGCGACCGACGATTCCCGTTGGAAATGCAATTCGGAAAGGAGGAAAGGTCGGCGATGGCGATGGCGAAGGTGTTCGGGCAATTGGAGGATTGAGGGGCGGTGAAGTTGGAAAAAAAGATGATGGCGGAGAGAGAGCGGCTGAAGAGGGGGGAGGCAAAAGGTTCGCGTAGCCTGCGGTTGACGGAATTTGAAACAAACCACCTTTCCCTTCTCACATTGGGTGAAGTCGGCAGCAGACGGAGGTAAGCGTGGGGACCGCCCGCTAAGGCGTGCTGAAAATCAACAAATGGGATAGCGCAATGGAATTCGGAGGCCAATCATAGTCCGATCTTTTGCAATTGGCCACCCTCGTGGCGGACTCTCCGCTTTAAAGTCCTCCCCGACGGCGAAACCGACACCTAGGACCTTATCGTGCTTATCTATTACCTAGGTACGGTAGGTAGGTATCTTGCGGGCTATGTATGGCAGTCGGTCAGCAGCATTCCCATTGTCCAACCAGGGTTGACTCAGATCCATCGAGATGCACATTGAGCCTCGGCAAGTCATCAATTCCCCATCATTTCCATTCCCTTTGCAGTCATGAATACCGTTCTTTTTCTCTCTGGCATTATCTGTCGACCCTTGTTTGATTCATTGTTTGTCGGAACTTCCAGCTTTCCTGGCCAGCCGGCTGCTCATGGACACAGCTGGCACAAAGTCTCAATTCCGAAATGATCCGAGGGAGTCCGCGAGTTGCCGCAAGCCCGGGGCCTCTCCGTTGGCCTTCCGGTTCTTTCCGCCCCTACATAACGTTTACCGGTTGGAACGGGTGCCGTAAGCCCCCCGTCGCCGGCCATGGTGCACTCCGGTGACTCCGAGGAGTCGGAGACTGGAACAGCTTGTGGTTTTTTTTTTTCTTCCAAACTTTTCAACTCTGACATGTTCTCTAGACATACAAGACGTCGCGACGCTTTTATTGTCCTTGTTCTCCTGTGACGTGACGTGCCCATTGTGTATTCTAAACCAAGAAGACGCCTCAGTAGTATTGCTTGATCTGCTTTTGCAGCAAGATGCCCAATCCCATCAGATTGCTCATGTGGCCGTACCGCTTTTTCTTACGTCGGTTCTAAGGCGCTCGCTATGTTCTCATTCCTGAACACGTGTAGGACGCCAAAATCCGATGCCCAACCTTCGGTCATCACTTTCCTGCCGCTCACGTGTTTCCGGGCCGAGGGGCATTGCTGATGATTCGGATTAATTCTGATAACCTTGTTTTCTTCACCGGCTATCAGCCATGGCGTTTTGCTGTCTCGAGATAACCTACTTTCCGAAGCTACGATCTCTAGCGCCTCCAATTTAAACACCAGCCTAATGTAGCACAGAATTCACCTCCTAGGCACCTGTTATCATGTGCCAAAGACGTTTGTCCATGCAGAAGCAAACGCCGTCATCATGCTTCACGCAGTTTTGCGCCAGAAGGTGCCAATACCGTTCTACGCCTACCGATGGTCACACTGGCTCACCTGAGACAAAGCCATGAAGCCTTCCCACTGTTAACCGATGTTGAGTGTGGCTTGGCAGCTTCTCAAGCCGCAAGCTGAAGATTCGAGTCCGGAAGCTTCCAGTGAGTAAGATGAGCCGGGATGACTGTCCCCCTCGAGGGCTGACCAAACACTGGGCGAAACGGTGGGCTTGGGGCATGGGAACAGGAAGCCACGACGGCAGGTCTGGTGTTGATCAGAGGAAAGACCGAACTTGCCCAAGGAAAGGCCCGCTCAGATGAGATCTGGTCGGTCTCGCTCGCTTGTTTCCTTGCTTTTCTGCCCTTCTTCAAGCCCACCACGCGTCGACGCCCCCACGCAATTGCAAACTGGTCACCAACATCGTGAGACTTGACCTCGTCAGCTTATTGCCGGCATTGGCAAGAGCTGACACCAATCCATCACTCTTCGGCCCCATTGCAAGGCGTTCTGCACTCAGCAGGTAACTCCGTCTTGGAATCCATTTATTGGCTGTTTCCGCAGCATAGTCTGGCAAGCTTGCGATCTTAGATCTGGTGGAGTCAAATATACCGACGCCACTGCCGACTCGTCGCGTTTTGCACTCCTTCGGATTCCAAGGAGTATCGTCTTCTCTTCATTCCCTTTCCTGTCTTCGTTCAGTCTCGTTTCCGGATCATTTATCGTCCAGTCCAGTCCTTACCCCTGACAGTCGCTGCTCATGCATCATGAAGAAGAAGTCCATGAGTACCCTCGCCAATTTGGCGCCTCGCCGTCGCGATAGAGGTATCAAGAAGGAGCAAATGACCGAAGTCAAAGGTATGAACGTGGGGAAAATTGAAACGTCGGAAGATGCCAGCTAACGATATCCATAGAGCCGGTGACACCCTCGTTGCCTGCAAACACCAGCGAGCCGGGCCCTTTCGAGAGCGGCGCTGCCTTGACAGGCAACCAAGACCAAAATGTTGACCGCTTGGCCAGTGAGCTCTTAGAGAGCACTATATTCAGCCACCCGAACGGTCTTCGAAGTCATCCTTCAGTCCTCCTTTGCGCTTCCGAACCGATGGCGTTTCCATCCCATTCTTCGGGACACAAGGCGAAGATGGGCACATCCTCGCACAACCTCGCAATCGATTCTCCATCGGGAGGAAACAATACACATTCTCAGTCGTATGCTCAAGCTTCGGAGACGAACCAGATTCCACCAGCCATTCCTCGCAAATCTTCACGTCGGCGACGAGGCAAGCGAATCAAGAATATTGACAATGAGCTGCATCTTGCGAAGCGCTCGTTTCCTCAATCGAAAACCACTCTGCTGGATGCCGGTAATAGACATGGATTTGTCTTGACTGGTTCGACGACAGCGCCTCTCGGCGTAATGTCCAAACAGGCTGTTGGCTCGATGTCTGCCACCAACCCCGATGCTGTCAATCCCAACTTGGTGAACGACAAGCTCGCAGCGATGCTGGCTGCTACCGAGGTACTCAAACCTCGTGGATCCCAGGAAATCACGCCGACAATCCCAGTTCCTTCACGAAATCGTCGCAAGAAGGTCATGTCAAAGGTCCGCCAGGCACTGGACATCTTCCAGTCCAAGCAGAAGACCCCAGAGTCCAGGATCAGGGGCAAGATATCTGCCCCAATCGCTCTCACAACATGCGACATGCCAAATCCAGCTGCCCACTACCATCTGGAAGAAGTCGAGGATGCTTCTCCTACCAGCTCTGCCCATCCCCGCGCGAACGAAGACGACGACATGTTTGGCAACCGCAAAATGAAGAAGTCACAGACTATTATTGGGGGCTGCATCGTTCGTAAGCCTGTTCCCAATGATGGAAGCGTCGGGTCCTCGGACGACCCCTTTTCTGAGGCGTACGAGATAATTCGTACCCCCACTCCCTTTGAGCATCGCTTGAAGATCAGCATCGACTCGACTGACGATATCCCGTCTGTTCCGGCTCTCAATCCCTTTGCAGCTGAAAAAGACTTTGATGCTGATCTCGAGGGTATCTTGTCCGAGAAACCCCTCTGCGCTTCGACCCCTCGTACGCGTACTGTCCACAACGCTGCCTCCCCAGAGAGTCCTTCGAAGAGATACGCCAAGGGAGACAAGCGTCACCTCGGGGCCTTGAAAGAGACCGAGGGAAACACTGTTGCTTGTGGGCCTGTTCCTCGGAAGCTGAAGCTGGCCGGCGGCATGAGACTGTTTCGCGACCAGGCAGACCTGAGCATGAAGAAGCACCCGTCCCCTAGCAAGGACGAGCTGAACGATTTGGAGACTCGCTTTCGTGCTTATGCGATTGATCAAATCAAGAAGGCGCCTTTGGAAGAGCGCGAGGCGTTGGAGATAAAGTTCGCAGGCCTTATCGGACCCAACGCGCTGACGCCGCGGGACAAGAATGCTCCGATGAAGTCCCGTGCCGCGAAGGACATCATGGAAGAGGCCAGCAGTGTTGTAGAGCATCAGTACACTCGCGAATCCTCGGTTTTGTCATCCAAGAAATCTCGGATCCCTCGCCCTGTCGAGCCAACCACCAGAGTTCCATTCGCTCCCCGATTCGCACCTCAGCGCCAGCCGACCAATTTTGACGCGATGGAGCTTGACGAGCTGCAGTAGGATGTGACCGTTGATGGTCACCGCCCGCGTCGATCTTAGTCTTGGCCGTGAAGGTTGACGAAAGAAAGTGTCGTCCAGCTGTTGTGGTCCATAAGGATCAACGTTCGGCATGTTGGGCGATTGCAGGGGTTTCTCGCAAATTTCTTTGTTTACTTTTCTACAGCTTTCGAGGACATAATAACACGTCCGGCAAGAGCAACTTCGCTGGGATACGGCCGACGACATGGATATCGCCCTCTTTTTCGACGACTAGGTACACCACGATCCTCGGGTCAACATTCTCTCATTCCGGTTTTCAGCACGTACTTCGTCACCCATTTGTGTTGGGTATCTTAGCGATTCGACAACCGGTACATCTACCAGCCGTCCGAAGTTCGCCTCCGCCACCAATTTGTGTAAGTGATCACCCTCACTCATGATATCATCTGGGGCACTAACGCCAGACAGAAGAATACAAGCAACATCAACGCCGTAGCGCAGCACGCCGCGCCCTTTTCATTGTCTCCTGGTTGACGATTTTGCGAACGCACTACCCTTAATACAAGTCCTGCTGCAACTGGGCACGGGCATATGGTTGCTGCGAATATTTGAGGATCGGTTTATGCACCGAAGGTTACGTTTGGGTTTGGCTTGCGGCACAAAGAATTCTCTCCTCATCCATATTGCCACTCCTCGAGCGCGGGCAACAGGCGTCCTATATGGTCCAACGCCCCGAAGAGGCTTTCTTTTTCTTTTTTTCTTTTCCTTTCCATATGCCAAGGTTGCATATAAGTGGTTTGCTGGTTGATGGATGGTACGAATGAGGGATCAGCGTGGACTGGATTTTGGGCGAGTTGGTAGACAACCCTCCTCAACGTCAAAGGGTCGCTTTTCTTGCAGCTGTAGCAGACACACAGTAGATTCACCAATACCCAATTCAACCACCTACTTTCACAACTCACCATGTCACGTACTGACAGCATGCGGATATAGATCGTTTGCCAAGTGTTTGCATTTCATATCGTAATACAGACGTGGTATCTTTCAAGCCAGCTCGCTTTCTCGAAACAATAATAGTACAAGGTATCCCAAATCTCCATCATCAATCATGCGTTGCTCAAAAAACCGAAAATTCGCTACAGACGGGCCTTGTCTCGCAAGAGGCGAGAGAAGCCTTCAGGGGGGTAGGGGGCCATGGTTGATGGTAGTGGTTGTTGGGGGTATCAAACATCAACCGGCACGGCCCCGTGCGCGAACGGGGGTTGGTTTAGTAGCGGCGGGAGCCGCGGCCGTCGGTGCCGTGCATGCGGCGGGTGCCGGCGGCCTTCTGGCCGGGGCGGCGGGTCAGGGTGCCCTTGAGCTTGAGCATGGCGCCCGAGATCTTGTCGCCCATGGAGGGCTTGCGGCGGTGGTGGTGGACGGGGGCCGCGGTGTGGACGGGGCCGCGGCGGCGGGAGAAGAGGCCACCGCGCTTGGTGTGGGTGGTGCGGGTGGTGGTGGTAGTGGTGGTGGCGGGGGCGGCGCGGCGACGGGAGAAGAGGCCGTTGCGGCGGGGGGCGGTGGTGTGGCGGGTGGATCGGAGAGGCATGGCGATGGTTTTTTTTTATAAAAAAAGGATTTCTGATAGTTGTAGAAGAGGTGGTTGGTTGATTTGGTTTTTGTAATTCTTTTTTGAGAGTGCTTTTGCTTGTTTGGTTGTTTGGGTAGCTTGATGCTTGTGATGAAGAAGAGATATCTGGTTGTAAGTGGGAGCGGAAGGCGGTTTATATGCTTTCTTGTCAGATCAGCTCTATCTATGTTGGTCTGATGGTCATACGTAGGATTGTGGTGTACAAGTGTGTTGGATGGCATCATCAAAGGAGCCCCGCAAGCGGGAAGGGTGGTGATCTACGGGATCAGGGTCCAGAGGGATGATGTCAGGGTCCATGGGGTCTACGCTTGGTGGCCTCTCGATGAGGCGGGAGAGCTGGAGTCAGGCGACGACATTCCGAACGAACTACCCAGATCCTCTCTACATCGGGTCAGGTCCCAGTGGGCGGGTGTAAGGGTGGGAATGATGCGCAAAGGGTCCAGAACCCGTGTCTTGGTCCATCTTTGGACCCTTCAGCCGTCTTTTGCGACAGAGGCAGAAACATGAGGGGCTGGACCCTTGGCTGTGGAAGACGGTGACGTGCCCTCGCATCTCGGGACGTGTGCAAAGCAGGAGAGACCCTCCTCCCGCTGAGGGTAGACATGGGCGTGGGCGAAAGATTTAGACATTGTTACGTAGGATGGGAGGGGGGGAACCGCGCGTTTGCGAGCTGCTGGTGTGGCAGCCAAGGCTGGCCAGACCAGTGCTCGTTGACCAAACAGGCAGGATGTGTGGTGAGCGAGCGACACGTTTGCGCCGCCGGGAGGTGAATGAGGTCAAGGTGAGTGTCAGTTGGACGGCGATCGAGACAAACAAATCGTTCGTCTGTCGAGCTCAGTGAAGAAAGGCAAAACAAGTTTGGAAGGACCCTGTGGCTGGTGACGTATAGCGGGTGGAAGAAGGGGTCCCCATTGGCTCAAGCCTCACCCCCTTGCCTCGAGCTTGCATCGGTGGAGTGGAGTTACGCCAATCAGCGCTGTGGCACAGAAGAAGGATGATGTGTGGCTGGGGTGGATGTGATGTCATCGGCGTAACGGTTTCGCAGGTTGGCTATGTTGTAACGCCAAAACGGGTTTATTTTGTTTCTGTTTTTTTTTTTTTTTTTGTAACCCCTGTTCTGCCTGCCGCAGATGAATCCTTAATCCTCCTCTTTGCGCGTGTGATCGGAGAGACGGCGCGCAGTTCACGGTATGAAAGGTAGGGTGGGGTAGGGGATGAGCGTCGCTTTTACTGTGTACGGGTGTCGATGAACAGAGGTCCGACGTCAGTTTTACGGGTTCGACACACTCCTTCAGGACACATCTCACGGAAGGGTCAGCAGGGTTTCCAGATGGAGGGAGCTACCGTATCCTCTGACTTAACTGAAAATCCGCACAGACCGCGGGCTGCTGAAAAGGGGCTGGCGTGGTGGCAGAAACAGGGATCTAGATGTGGCAAATACAGGGAGTCATTTACGTAAGCAGCAAGTTTGGCGGCAAGGGTTAGGGTTACATGGGTGGGTGTGTGTAGAAATAGATTGACCGCTTTCTACAAGGGGTCTAGCGTATGGTCTATGCGGTTTTTCAGTTAAGTCAGAGGATACGGTATTACTGAGGAGAAATGACATTGTCGTTTGGCCTTGGTTCTACATACCGCAGGGTGCTCTGCTGGCTTGTTACTTCTCTCCCCGTCACGCATGGAAGACGATGTTGTCCATGTACATGGTTTCGGTCACACTACCCGTCTCAACTCTTTCCGTCAACCCTTCCTGGGCGACGTTTGCCGGCGTAGACTGTGTTGCTCCACTCTCTTCCAAGGGCGGTCTTGTTGGGGGTTATGGCTTCCTGATCGAACTCCTCATAGTCACCCCAATCGTGATCCTCGTCGACATCCCAACCAACATCCCCGTAGGCACTCCAGTCGACATACTTGTAGGCGTCCCAACCGTAATCATCGTAAGCTTCCCAATCGAAATCTCCGTCGGCGTCATTATCGGTAAGGACGTCTGTGTTGTTGAAGGAAGGGTCAATCATGGGTTTTAGGACGGTATCGGTCTCCAACCTCCAAACGCTTTTTGGCCGTCTGATGCCGGGAGGCACGCAGAGACCCTGAAGCCATACATCGTAGTGCTTCCTCAGGCGCCACAGTGAGTGCTCAAATCTGCAGCTCTCCAAGGTACATCTTCCGATTTGCCTGACAAAGTACTTCTTGACAAGACCGAGTCTTGGGTCACAGAACACCCGCCGGGTGACGGTATGTACCGACACATTTGCGCCGCGGATATTGACCCAGGAGTTCTCCGGAGTGATGCAGTCTCGAATGCATGCGGGGAGCGTCATGAGTTTCAGTCCCCTGTCGTCAGTTTTGGGCCACAGGATCCACCACTCCATTGCGTTTCTGTGATGCGTCCATGCATTGTATGGTGACTTTTGGGCCCCTTCGGCTCCCAGCGCGAGCAAGATTAAAGCTGTAACTAGCGGGACAAAACCAAACAGTTGCATCGTGATGACAACAAGCTAGTCGCAACTGGGTGTCTTGTAGCTAGCAGGGAGCTGCCGTAATGGTTCCCAAGAGCCGAGTGTCTTCGTATGCTATGCCCTGTTAGCATCGTAATCCAGCTTGTGAGGTGGCGGGTCGAACCCCGAAATTCGAATGAAGACGGTTAGACGTTCATACCAAGAAGGATGAAGGGAGAAAACAGGTTGGATACACTGGAATCGCCTTTCAGGAGAGGAGAGTAGGTCAAACATACAAAAAATAGCTCTGTCTTTGGCACGACGTTTGCTCCGCTTGTGTTACGTCAATGGGCAACTCGTCGAGGTCGACCAGACGCGAAATGAAGGGTTTATATACAGATTGCCAGAAACAAACGGGGGACCTAGATAAGGCCATCCGGCAACCGTGAGAGCGTTGACTGTCAGTCATGGTCCGATCCCAGACGGGTTCCCGAACGCTACTCGCATGAGCCGCTTTTCCAAGGCGTCCCAGCTCGACGCCCGCAGGCTGCACATGTTGTAGAAACCCGGGTGTTCAAACGTGGCGCCGACGCCGATGCGAGAACTGCCGAGTAAAGTTTCCCTTGTGGGCTCGGTACGGACTAGTAAGAGCATGTAGTCGAAGCGGACGCCTCGGCAAGAGACTATAGGAAACCAGCCACCACACCTGTGCGGTCTCGCCCGGATAGTACGGCGTCAAAGGCACTGCCTTCACCATCTCCGCGATTGAAGCAACGAGGGGCCCATTTAATGCCACTACTTACCTGTGCTGGTATAAAAAGTGTTAGCCAGGCCTATCATGTACGTGCTAGAGTATGACCCGGGTGGTGGGTTGGTATACGTCGAGCATTTTGAGGTACTCTTTACGAACAACCAGTGCCCCGCCGGCCGGAGAACCCTCATCCATGACGGGTTAACCATCGAAAACAGTGCTGTCGAACCACGTGCTCGTGACTCTTCGACCTCGGGGCCTGGATGGCGTTTGCGTTCGCCGGAGGAGCATATTTCAAAGATGTGCCTGACATTGGCGGCTAGTCGTTCAAGCGCGGCAGAGTCCTCGGTGGCAGTCTCAACGGTGCCGCATCGGTAGATGACTCCCGGGCGTATAGCAGAACCGGGCATGGACTCAAGATCGCGGATGTTGACCAGCAAGGTGGAAGAAATGAAGGGTGATGAGGCTAGTGCAGACAGCCACATGTCAGCGGGGATGGGATCGCGGGCATACGTTTCGGTGAGGCGCTCAAGTCGCTTCCAGGACCTGAGCATTGTGGTAGTAGCACGCCAGAGAGGATCTGTCAAAGAATGAGGCCTTGATTGAGGGCGGAAGGGGGGAAGGCGGGTAGCAAGTCATGCTGACCAGTCCCAACCATGGCCCAGAGCTACAGCGGTTGAGGCGTCTGAGTCTGTCTGCATCCTGCATACGACGTGGACAAAGATGGCCCCGTTTGGCTGAAACAAGCATCTAGATGGGCTAGGCAAACTCCAGCTGGCACTGAGACCTGGTTCACGAGCTTGTCATGCCGCACCAACAAGTCGGATCATTCGGTCTCCAGATTAACTTCGTCTTGAAAGGCGAGGTTAAAAACGGATTGAGTCCAGTGACTCTAAGGGTTGTGTGTGTGTGTGTGTGTGTGTGTGTGTGTGTGCGCGCGCGCGTGTGTTGTTGATAGCCCGTTGTGGTAGGATGTATATACACCCCTGCTTGGTTATGGGTATATCCTTCTATAGATGTGTGCGACAGTTGCCCCCCTCGAAAAACTGCATTATAAATAAACGCCCTCGATTTAACCTCTAACTCTAATGCAGACACCAAGGTCAATGAGGTTGACACCGGTAGAGAGGTCAGTAAGGTTATTATTAACGCAGCTGATACAGTTGGGCGTCGTCGTTGTCGTTAAGGTTGTAGGTTTTCTGGGTAGCGAATGCCGCTTGTGCCTTATGAAATCAAAGAATGCTGATGTATTTTAATACAGCTTAACGCCTATTGATGATTTTGGCCCCTGGGCCCCCGATCTTTTAGTTGTGCTACTAATTGTTAGCATATATTCCAGCTATATGTTGTAGCAGGATGTTTGTATTAGTCATGGGTGCGTGACAGGACACTCAAAGAACCCAAGAATGTTATGGTGGTTTTTAGCCCGTCAGGGACCATCTCCAGAAAGCTCGAATCCTGTCTCGTGACAACCATCAACTAAATGACGAATTGCAGAGTCTGCCAAAGCCAAAAAGGGTACGAGATGTCATTGTAGACCCTGACGAAGCAGTTCCAAATCCAGAAGGGTGGAGGGATGCTACGGAAACCATGGACCCCTGCGTCCACTGATAAGATTGGATTTCTTATCGAATAACGACGATAAGAATATCGACCTTCCACACTGAATTCCGAGACCTTTGTGACTCGACTGATGCCGCTAGTCAACTCTATGTCCGACTAGAATTTCCAGCATCATGTCCGCAACTCCAATCGTGAGGTGGGGCGTCGGCCTCTCGGCCGCCGTAGCAGTCGTCGCTCTAGCGGTCGTGCGCCTCCAACAGCCTCTAACGGGCGACATCGCTGACACTCAGACGCATTGCTACCAGGGTGTCCGGACGCACGACGAGGACCAGCCTCTGGCCCAGTGCTTCACGGTCTCGGGCGGGAGGTTCACCCGCGTGTTTCCTTGGGACGACGCCAGCTTGACTACCAAGGCTGGCTACATCATCCCCGGAATTTGGGATGGTCACGGCCATCTGGCACAATACGGCGAGTTGTACGTATTAATAACGATAATATCTATACTATTCTTGACTAATTACGTGCCAGCCTCTACTCGGCTGACTTGTTTGGATCATCTTCGCTGGACGACGTGAAGGGACGTCTCAGGCTCTATGTTGATAGTCACGCTGATGCAGGCACCAAAGACGAATGGATTCGGGGCATTGGTTGGGACCAGAATACGTATGGCAGGATGCCCACTGCCGTAAGTGAACCCTCCCGGCCGAATCCCCTCTGAGCGGTTCTTCTCACTCTCGACAAGGCGGATATCGAAGAAGATGAACTCCTAAAGGGGAAGTACTTCATGCTCGACCGAATTGACGTGCACTGCACCTGGGTCTCGCAGGCGGTGCTCGATCTCCTGCCCGCAGACATCCCCGATGTCCCGGGCGGTGAAATCGTCCGCGAGCCGGGTATGGGTGTCTTCTGCGACAACGCCATGGACCTGATCTACAACTTGTGGCCCCAGCCCGGCCCCGAGAAGAAGAAGGCCTTCGTCGCGGCGGCCATGGCGAAGCTCAACGAGTTCGGCCTGGTTGGCATCCACGACGCTGGCGTCTTCCCGGACCAGCTCGACCTGTACGCCGACATGGCGCGCACGGATGACTGGACCGTTCGTGTCTACGCCATGCTGGAGTGCGCCCAGCGCAACAACTTCTGCCCCGATGACGCCGCGCGCGTCTTCCGCGAGGACGACATGTTTAGCGTTAAATCCGTGAAGCTCTTTGCAGGTGAGTTAACCAAAAGAGGGAAAATGAAAAATGGGGGGTGGGGGGGTACCGCGCTTTGCGTGATGCTGATATATCGCAGATGGCGCCCTTGGTAGCTGGGGGAGCGCTATGATCGAGCCATACAGCGACCGTCCCGACACCGCCGGCTCTCTTCTCGTCAACGGCTCGACCTTGAAGCAACTCGGCAGGTCTTGGGCATCCGTCGGCTACCAGGTCAACATCCACGCCATCGGCGACCTGGCCAACCGCTACGCCGTTGACGCCCTCGAGGCCGGCCTCCGAGATGTTTGCCCAACCGGAGACCTCGCCGAGTGCCAAGCCAAACGCCGCTTCCGCATCGAGCATTCGCAAATCATCCACGAGGACGACCAGAGGAGGATCCACGCCATCGGGATCATCCCCTCCATCCAGCCGACGCACGCGACGTCGGACATGAAGTACGCCGAGCTTCGCCTGGGCCCGGAGCGGACCAAGAAGGAAGCCTACCGCATGCGCTCCCTCCTCGACGTCAACCCCATCCTCGGCAGCGACTTCCCCGTGGAGCCGCCCAATCCATTCCAGGGCATCTACGCTGCCGTCGCACGGAAGAGCCCCCACACGGGGTATGGCGTGAACGGCAGCGTCGAGGGGTGGCATACGGAGGAGGCCCTGAGCCTGGACGAGGCCTTGCTGGGGTTCACAAAGGGTCCGGCTTTCGGTGCCTTCATGGAGGGGCGGGCTGGCGTAATCAAGGAGGGCGCCTTTGCAGACTGGGTTGTGCTAGACGAGCCGCTCGAGAACATGGACATCGAAGATGTTCGGGACCTGAAGGTCAAGGAGACATGGGTTGGGGGGAAGCTGGTCTACGAACGCGCTTACGATTAGGGGAGGGGCCACGGAGCTATACAACGAACTGCAGCATACGCCGGTCTTGGCTCATGAGATTAAAGATACCGGGGTTCACAAATCCAAGAGCTTCCCGGGTGAGACTCTTGGCAGTAATGCGGCCTAGCTGCCTCCGCGCGCTGCGTGGTTTGCTGGCCGCGCGTTTGCAGTTTTGTTGCCAATAGTGCGCAATGTGCCACGGCCATCTTCGTCGTCTCCTTGTACGGCCTGGAGATGCGGTCCAACGCCGAGGAACCACGACCATGCCGGGTTGGTTCTGTTTCATTTGTCTGATGATTTAAATCGGCTGCTTCCGGCGTAGAGGCCGTTGAATCGCCGGCGTGTACGACTCGGCGTTGTAGGTGGAGGAGAGAGGACGTCGGTGTCAGTTCACGGATGCTGAGGGGTTCGAAGTCTCTCTCGTCGTGCTCTAGGTATCAAAATGATGCCGTGTGTCGGGCATAGTCGTACAACTCTACCCTGGGAAATGTTATAGAGCCAAAATCGCGACAGTAACTCGAGAGTAAACCACAGGGGCCATGGACTTGTTTGGGGGAATCAAGGTGATACCGAACACGCTACTTATGAGATAGAGAAGTTACCGTATCGAGGCAATTGGAAGAAAATTGAACTTGGGGAATTCGAAAATGACTCATGTTGCAACTATGTCTACACGTGTGTCGCCGCCTCGGCCAAGTGTATACTTGAACTGCCGTCTACGCCAACCCAGATCGGTTGTTCGACAGTATTATCATTAAGCCTCCATGTTTGCTATTTCACCGCTCCATATACCCCTGTTGATTCTTGATTCGTGTTCTCTTACATCGTAGTCGGTCTCCTTAGAATCTGGGGATAATGGCGTCAGGCTTGTTGTCGAGGGCCTCATCGATCTCCGCCATAACCTCGGGCGTAAGCTTTTCTTGCACGCCGAGGGCACGCACGTTTTCGTAGATCTGCGCAGGGCTACTCGCGCCAATGATGGCTGAGCTAACGTTCTTGTTCTTCAGAACCCAGGCGAGCGCCAGCGTAGCCATCTTGACGCCAAGCTTCTCGGCAATAGGCTCAATCTTGTTGGCCTTGTCGACAAGGTCCTGGAACTGCTTCTTGGCGTCCTCACGCTTCCAGTAGTCCTTGATGAAACCAATTTTCTCGGAACCGAAGCGCGAGTCCTCGGGGATGCCGTTCTTGTATTTTCCGGAGAGAATACCCTGGCGCAGTGGGGAGAAGACAGTCAAGCCGAGGCCGACCTCGCGGTAGAGGTGGAAGAACTCGTGCTCAACCTTCTTGCGGTCGAGCATGCTGTACGAGGGCTGCTCCATGACGGGGCCGATGAGGTGCAGCTTGTCGGCGTAGCGCCAGGCCTGGGCGATCTCGTCGGCACTCCACTCGGAGGTTCCCCAGTATAGGGCCTTTCCGGTGCTGATAAGGTGGTTGAAGGCGCGGACAGTTTCCTCCATGGGGGTCTGACGGTCAGGACTGTCGAGAGTCAGCCGTTTTCGTACGCTTGTCTGAGGAGGGCGGGAATCCTTACCGGTGAGCGTAGACGAGGTCTACGTAACTAAGGTCAAGACGCTCAAGGCAGGCGTCCATGGCCTCGATAACATGTTTACGGGACAGGCCTTTATTGTTGACGATATTGTCGCCGAAAGCGCCGCCCCAGTAAATCTACCATCGGACACCAGAGGTTAGCTTCGAATCACAGGGCCGACAGCCGTTCAAGAGTACTCGTACCTTGGTGGAAATAACAAGGTCATTGCGCTTCCAGCCGTACTTTCTGATGGCCTGACCCATGACTGCATGGAGGTTAGCCTTCGCTCTCATTCCAAGGGCTCAACTCATCTGTTCGTACCAATCTCACTCTCGCCGCTCGAGTAGACCTCGGCGGTGTCGAAAAAGTTAACACCGGAGTCGTAGGCGGCCTTCATGCACTCGAAAGTGCCCTCTGTAATAGATGTCAGTCTCTAGTAGTTAATCGCATTCGCAAATCCCATCATACCGGCGTCGATGTGGCCTCCATAGGTCAACCCTAAGGAATAGTTAGTCGCTGAAGCAAATAGCGTTTGCAAGGTCGGGTAACTCACAGCCTCCCAGGCTGATGGCGCTAACCTGAAGACCGGAACGGCCCAGGAAGCGGTACTCCATAGGGGGAAGATCTTCGGGTTTGGACATGTTGTCTTGGGTTTGGCGGTTTCTCGAGACAATCCGGTTACGGGGTTGGCACAAGAGGTGGTGCGAGGCCGGAGAGCAGAATATGGGAGGGATGCGAAGGCTGTCTGTCTAGTCAAGCAAAAGGTGGGTGGACTACCTAGGTACTTATAGTCTCGTGGCGATTTAGGTGATCGGATCGTGTTCAAAAAGGAAGTTCCATTGGAGCTACAGGCTCTGGTTGTGTTGCGTCTTTTAGTTGTCATAGGGGCCGTTCGTCAATCGGCCAGTGGTCAAGCTCATGGAAGCGGGGCAGCCGGTATCAACCCCGCCATCTGGATCCATGACCCGAGGTGCGAGCCAACGAACCCATGTAACCCAGCTTCTCTCGGACTCACGGCGAGTTGTTAGCCAAATATGTGTCGGTCCGGTACACGCACGACAGATACAATTGACACGGTTTCATGCTGCTTGAGATCAAGGAGCTACGACCAGCGGGAAAGCCCCCATCCGGAGCTGATTGTCGCCACCAGAGAGTAGGAAGATATACCATGACAACAAAACTGGGCTGCAAAATCCTCACTTGAGGTCATCTAGCACGGTAGAGCGAACGACAGCCCTGTACTCCTTGAGAGCAGAAGAAGAGCGAAAGTGTTAACTAATGTCACTTTAACACAAGGACTTTTGCCGACGCTGGTGTGCAGGTGCTCTAGGTATGCAAAATTACCCCTCCAGCTTTCACACCAATGCCCCCCCTGTCGTCATGTGTTTCACAAACTTGCTGCTCCGATTGCCGGTGGCTAGCTGACTAATTCTCCAACGACACATGTCCCATCAAGGTGACAAGAGGGCGCTATCGAAGGCTAATCAATCAAGAACTACTGCCGCTTAAATTCGAGTTGTTTTGTGTACAGGACATTTCTAGAAACACATTGGCGTTCACCAGGCAACTAGAGGCATGACTCAAAAAGCGTTTGTAAGCTTGTAATCGATGAAGAAAATATGTAAGTACGCATGCTGGTATTTCGGGTTTCGTGCTGCGGAGGCTTCTTTGGCAAGATGGGGTAGATCCTTCCATTGTTAGGGCCTCTTGGACGTAAGAGACGACGACATATGGGCATTCTTTTGATACTTGTGTGATCCCAGCATCAAGCCAACACCAACTCGTTTCTCACCAGGGGTATTGTGTTTACTGCCCGAATAAACTCCTTATCGAGGCGTCTTTGGGTCTCATCCAGCCTAAGGATAGTTTTTTGACCCCTGACATATATAGGGCCCGTTCGAACTAAGTATCGCTTGATTAAATTGCGCATTCCTGTCATTCGAGCCTCGTCAGCCTATCCGCAGTGGCAACACGACATTTTTCTGGAAATGTAGGGTGCCTGATTTCTTGTTGGCAGAGAGTAGCCTGAGATATTGACCGTGGCACCTTGTGTTCTAACTACTTGACCCAGAAACTGTATCCAGGTCGCAATTATCCTTTGCCATTACTGCCAACTACCTAGTGTTTGACCTAAGCCAACAACATAACGACGAGGGCCATCTTTCAGTTGACCAAGACATAGACTAAGGGATCTCATCATATGGTCAGTGTCAGCTTAGAGTCAAGAGAGATGGGAACTGAGTCTTGGAGGATCGCAAGCAGGACACGTGTTCTCCAACAAAGAAACCAAATGATTTTCAAAGAAACGAAGGAAGGTTAAGCTAAATTTCCCGGGTATGCAGGTATTTGGATGTTCCTTAACACCTTTTGAACAGTGTAACGGCTGATCTGTCAAAGCCGTGCCCCACTTGCATCTCCAAAGTCATCGTTGGGATACCATAGGTCTCCAGGTAGGTAGTCAACAACTCTGAGCATGCCTTACGGCAGGCTACAAGGCCAACAATCTCAACGCCATGAGTGTTTCCTGGGTTCTTCTTCCTAGGTACCTAGGTGGGTACAAATAAAATTCCCACTTCTAGGTAGTTTGGCGACTACAACTTCCTTTCTTCTCTTCCACAACCACCACAAATTTGCAGCCTCAACACTCGAAGCGCGAGAGCAAGATTTCCACCGCGGTGTAAAATAACACAAATCGAGGCAATCACTGAGACTACAAGCCAACAGAAAGATATTGTAAGTCATGGGTTTCTACCCTGGATTCTCTGCTCCAGCGATAGCTAGACCTGCTATTTCACAGCCGCCGCTCTTTCCTCGTCTTTCATCCAGATTACTGATACTTCCGCACCTTCTTTCTCAATCTTTGATTCCTTCCACCATATAACACTCTCGAAGGCAAACCCAGTTTCTTCTTTCTGTTTCCATATTTCTTCCCTCCACTTTCTCATCCGCTTTCTCTTCCAGTCCTACATACGATCTGCCAAATTCCACCGCTGACTCTTTGGGCCAGTCCAGAACACCTCTGTCAACCCTGTTGACAGCACCTCACATCAAGTCTTTAGCACTCCTAGACACTACGACAGAATGGCTGACGACTGGGGTACAAACGAGATCCCCGCCGATGATCCCTGGAACCACCCCCAGGGCGGCGACGGCGTGGGCGGCAATGGTGATGACCGTGCCTGCTTCAACTGCGGCCAGTCAGGGTAAGTCCACAGGTCTTACTCACAAGATCGACATGTTTGGCTTACCGACACACGCCACCTAGTCACAACAAGGCCGATTGTCCCGAGCGTCCCAAGGGCTTCGATGGTACCTGCCGCGCCTGTGGTCAGGAAGGTCATTCTCGTCGTGATTGCCCCGACGCTCCTGCCATGACTTGCCGCATCTGTGGCGAGGAGGGTCACATTCGCAAGGACTGCCCCCAGAAGCCTGCCGATGCCTGCCGCAACTGCCTCGAGGAGGGTAAGTCGTCGCAATTCATCCGCGACAAGCCGCAAGCATAGGTGAGCTGACGTGTCTCTTCAAGGTCATGAGACTGTCGAATGCAAGGCTCCTCGTAAGATCGATCGTGGCTTGATCCCCGATGTCGACGCTGAAAAGGCCTGGGAGGAAATTTGCGAGGCTGTCCAGGAGCGTGACGGAGTCGAGGCCAAGGATGCCATCCATAAGTACCTCAAGCACTTCCCTGAAATGACCTATGTCGAGCTGGAGAAGGCTTTCCGCGGCCAGGAGATCGGTGTCTACCTCATCGCCACCGAGCGTGTCCTTGCCCCTACCCATACCAACATGGATCTTCAGGGCAACTTGGACAAGAAGTACACTGTCCAGTACCGCTTCTCCGCTCATCCCGACCGCCAGCGCGAGAAAGCTACCTGGCCTTCTTCTCCCGAGGAGAACGTGATCCGCCTCGGAGATGCGGGTGAGCCTGTCTCTCGCCTCCTACAGAAGTGCATCAACTGCGACGAGCTTGGCCACACTTCCAAATCCTGCCCTCAGGAGGCCATGGAGAAGGTCCGTATCACCATCACCTGCTACAACTGCGGTGAGGAAGGTCATCGCGTTCGTGATTGTCAGTTTGCCCACTTCCGCTCAAGCTTTCTGATCTCGACTGACTGATATAGGCCCCACACCCCGCGTCGACAAGTTCGCTTGCAAGAACTGCGGGTAAGGTTTCATGCTCTACCTGCGCTCCTCGTACATCACTCACCACTGACCCCTTCGCAGCCAGTCTGGCCACAAGGTCTCGGAGTGCACCGAGCCTCGCAAGGCCGGCGACGATGTCGAGTGCAACAAATGCCACGAGAGTAAGTCCTCCTTGACACTGCTTGCGCATTATCAGCTACTGACCATCATCAGTGGGCCATTTCTCCCGTGACTGCCCTCAGGGTGGTGGCGGTGGTGGCCGCGCTTGTCACAACTGCGGCAACGAGGGCCACATCTCCCGAGAGTGCCCTGAGCCTCGTAAGATCAAGTGCCGTAACTGCGATGCAGACGGTCATCTTTCCAAGGACTGCGACAAGCCCGTTGATGGTACGTCACCCGCTATCCAGCTTTCATTTCGTTTCGCTGACATGTGTTCGTCAATAGTCACCCGCATCAAGTGCAACAACTGCGGCGAGATGGGACACAAGTCCTACCGCTGCCCCAACCCCCCCAAAGAGGACGTGAACGATTTTGGTCCCCCTCACGGTGACTCCAAAGGTGCTTACAACGAGCCCGACACTGGCGACGCCTGGGGTGCGGGTGGCGGCGGTGGTGCTTCCACCCAAGACGCCGGCAACGATGGCTGGTAGATTCCGACTTGTACATGCATCGTCCCTGATGCGCTGAGTATGGCTTGGTGATTCTCTACTTGGCGTTGAGGTCACGGTTTCCGTCGCTGCCACGGCAGACGACAAGGTTTTCTAAAGAAATGGGCTGCGATGAATCCTCCGCCGCATAGCTAGCACCGTCTCTTCCTAGATAGGAGGCACATGAACTAATGCTACGTTCGCGGACAACTCTCCTGCCCGTCCCATGTGATTTTCACCTCGTGGCTTGGTTGCACTCGCATTCAAGCAGCATAAGTCGTTCATACAGAAGACGTAGCACCTCTGCCATGTATGGCAAAGCCTCCAGGCTTGGAGAAAACAAGACAACATCGGCTAACATGACGCCCCGCCCACCACGCACCGGACACAAACGTTCCTGCCCGCTGCTTCCGTAAGAGAACAGATGGCAAACGATTGTCTCCTTCGTCGGCCAACGGTTGGGGGAGTCTCGTTCTACTAAAACCAAAGCCCAGTCGCAGCGTTCCCCATCACTCGCCCAGTCGTCGAACAGTGCTACTGCAAGGGTAGCCCTGCCCCCTAATCCCCAATACTCACTAGATGCACACTTCAAAGGCGTCTACGCGGTGTTCTGCCCAGTGTCAGAGGCTACATATCACTATGAAAGGGTCTCATTGTTCCCGCCTTGAGAGCTCTCCCCGTTCTCACATGAGCCACAGCACGGCACGTTATAATTGAGATGAACGTGATTTTGATACTGACCGCTTTTGCGCATCTAACTATGCTTCCTAAGCCAGATAATCTAGTAGGTCCGAAGTGGGATGAGCATAGTCTCCATTGATGTCCCACTCCCCGACCCTACTATCCAAAAAAATAAATTGAAGATGCCCAAAGGCATGCAGGTCCTTTGCCAAGGCTGCACAAGAAACGAACATGATCCTAACCCGTCTTTCGGGGAAGGGTGGTATCAAAACATCGGTGTAAAACAAACATGTAAATACAGCAGTTGGAACCAAACAAAAGTTGTCCAGCTCGGCATCCGCCGAGTCCTACTTCGTTGATGCAAAAATAAAGACAAGGTGGTGATAGATGATTTGAGTGACGGCGTGAGAGACAGTGCCGAGGAATGGTTGACTCCTGCGTAAGCGATTAAGAGATCGTGGGCTTCATTCATGTCGTGGCTCCGCGCCGACGCGGCTTGGGCAACTAGGCCAAGCTCGGCTTCTTCCGGCGACTAAACATCTTGGAGAATCCGCTACTGCTACTCTGCTGCTGTGGCTCAGCCGATGGCCCGGGGCGCGCCACAGGCGTACTTTGTGGCGGCTCGGCGCTACGAAGGAATGTAGCAAGGTCGTTGGTTCTGGTAGTGGACGAGACGGCCTCTCTCGGCTCAAACCTTTTCATCGGCACGCGCCCGGCCGAGGAATGCATGGCCGGGCGGTTCCCGGTGGTGTCACCGGCTGAGTACTTGTCTTCAGCCGCAGGGTCCTTGATCTGGATAGGAACGTGACCATGACCACCCCCAGAGCGACTGTTCAAAGACCGGCTGTCGAATTTGGCTGACTTTGCGCCGTTGGGTACCGAATTGCCATCCTTCCTGGAAAAGCGCCCTATGAGACTGGGAGCGCTCGCCTTTCTCTTCGGAATGTTCTGCGGAACGGAGGGTGGCTCGGGAGGTGGCGAGTAATTTCTCAAAAAATCCGCCAAGCTCTCCTCCTTCTTGGGAGGAGGTCGAACTGCTTGCGCATAATCTTCCTCGTCCTCGTCGCTCAAGTCGATGGCGTACGGGTCCCGAACGCGACGTCTGGTGCGCTTAGGCATCACGTCCTCGTCAAAAGCATTGGCGTTGGAGCGATTCTGCAGGAGGGCACTCTGCGAGTTGATTGATGACGGGATAGAAGGCTGAGTGGTATCCGTAACGGTGGTCGAGGTTTGGCTATATCGGATGTCAGGAAGGCTGGCATCAACGGCCTTGCCACCAACAGCGCCGGACATCTGATCTGAATCCATGGTGGTTCTGAAAGGGGCGACCGTACGGGGGATCCGAGGATTGTTTGCATTTGGTGGCCCTCTCCGTATAAAATCAATCAGGTCAGAGTTATCTTCACGGTTATCAACAGCAGCATCCCGTGCCTGCAGGCGGGGTCGATTCGCTGACGATACACGTTTCGGTTCGACGTTGGTCTTCACCGGAGGCGCGACAGGGCCGCTCACGTTGCGTAGTGCTGCAGGACCGTTCTCAGCTGCCGGGCCAGTGGACCTGATGAAAACGGCAAAGTCATTCATTGCAGTGTCGCGGGGTACACGGGCGTCACGCGCCTGCGGACCGCCAGTCTTGGGTCGGGCCAAAACTGTGCTGGGAGGTGCCCTTGGGACGAAGCCTTTGTGCTTGGCCTCGGGTGGATGCGAGCTATATCCTGTGGCGCGGCTGACGGAGACAGTCCTTCGCATGTCCATGCTCGAGGAAGATCTGTTTCGCTCCCCGTTCATGACTGTGAGAGCATTTTCACTCTTCCTCGATTTGTGGCCGATTGACGGACTCGTAGTCTGTGCCCGGTTCGCCTGAATATTTGTTAGCGACGAATACCAAGACCGATGTGACGTGGGCCATGGCTTACATCAAGGTGGCGCATGTTTTCCGGAGTGAGGGTGTACTGGATGGTTTCATCACTCTGGATGAGCTCTTCAAAGTTCCGAGGGAGATTGTCGGCGCGACAGGAGGCCTTGCTCTCCTCTGAGCTTCTGACGGCCCTGATTTTTCCAGTGCTAGAAGAGCCAGAGGAGCCGGATGTTCGAGGATGCCGAGAGTGGTCGGGTGAATCATGAATTGCTGCAGACCGTTCGACTGTTACTGCCCCGACGCTGGCTGTCGGGGAATGGGCCACTTGTGCTGCTGGCCGGCCATTGTTGCGTTCAGGCACGCTCGGGGTAGTTCGAGACCGTTTGCGCGGCGAGGACACGCGGTCCTCGGCAATGACACCGTTGGTATGAGTAACGCTCAGGATGGTTACCTTGGTCGCCGATGAGGCGTGATCATTACTAAGGGAACTTATCTGTTGGACAGAGTTGGAGAATGCCTGGGCAGGTCTGGTGTTGGGAGTGTTTGAAGGAGGAGTTGGGGACGACACAGTTGTCGCCGTCCTCGCCTTGTCCTGCAAAGTCGGTCGGGCTTCGGCATCTTCGTCGACTTCCGAGATAGACTCGTTGGTTTTCTGTCTGCGTGACAACTTCTCGACCGGAGACCGGGTACGAGGGGTCGAGGAGGACGAGCGAATGACGATGTCAATCTCGCCTGGCTTCGGTTTCTGTGCCTCTTCAAAAATCGGGGGCGCTACGCGAGAGCCGCTGTTTGCGCGAGAAATGTCAACCGGGCGATCGGACGCATCCACCGACGACTTTCTTGATCCGATCACGGGGCTTCTAGGCCCATGGACATCAACAACACGAGCTGAGTGGACACTCGGCGTTCGCTGCAGCATCTTGGGATCGACCACAACGGCCCTTCCGGATTCCGAGTGGCTCGGCGAGCTGCGACCGGCAATCGAAACCCTGGAAGACGTGCAAATTTCGGGTTCCTCAGTGAAGTCGTCAATACCACCACTCTCATCTTCAACTGGCTTAGGTTTGGGCTTAGGCTCCAGCGATTTTCTTGAAAGTCGATTCGGGTTACGAGGCTTGGGTTCCGGGACCTTCTCAATCTCTGCTTGAGACTCCACCTCGACTGACTCTTGCACCGGCGCGAGCACTCCGGGTGAGGTTTGCGACCTGCCGGCCGATTGCAGGTCCGTAGGAATCGCCTCTGTCGAGATTTCGTTCTCACCCGAACGCGCCTGTTCACCAGCCGGTTCAGTCTGGACCGGGTCGAACCCGGCGCGTTTGAGGACCGGCGAAGTATAAGGCGAAGGGGAAGGGGTGGGCAGCGAGTTGGAGCGTTTGCGACCGGAAGGGGCAATCGGAGTATGAGGTTGAGACATCGTAGGTGTGGGTATGCCATCGCTAGGCTGGGAGGTGAAGATCATCAGACTCTTGGGCCGTTGCGCTAGAGGCTCCTCTTCCTCGCTACCTGATTCCTCGTCGTCACTGTAGGAGGCTAGGCCCGGCACCTCAATCTCGTCAATATCGCGATCCCCAATCGGTAGCGGGATAGCCGATGCCTTCAGGTGACCATTGGAATGTTGTATCTCGGACTCCTCTTGCGGTGCTTCTTGGATGCCAAGCCCCTTTTCAGGGAGCGGGTTCTCGGGAGTGCTGTTCTGCCTGTAACGGACGGAAGAGGCACTTGAAAAGGGGCGCGCGTCTAGAGCAGGGGAACGAAGCCTCTTCTTCCACGACCTCCAGAGTCTGCCCAGAGTCCTATCAAGAGCGACCCGTTCCATGTCCAGCTCTTCGACCACGATTCTGTCGGCGATGTCGGCAGTACTGTTCACGCCCCCCTTGGGTTCTTTTTCAAACTTGGCGCGTAGACGGTGATATGCAGCTTGACCTGCAATGACCAAGGCCTGTTCACCCATGTATTCGAGAATCGACGTGAGGAAGATGGCGACTGCTGGAGAGATCACCTCGGGACCGCGCTCGTCGATGCCAGGCTTGAGGTTTCCTTGATCCATATGATAGTCTTCGTCCTCCTCTTCCATGTCGCCCAGTGAGGAGTACACCATACACCTGAGTCGCGTCCGCCTCCAGACGAGTTCCAGGTCCCAATCCTTGGATCCCGCGCCTTGAGGCTGAACGAAGTCATCCTCGTCGGCCCCGCCGAGGTATTCCCGTAGCTCCTCGTCTGCCTGGTTGATGGCATCTTTGGCAAGTTTCGGTTTCAGTACTTCGGAGACGGCGGGCCTCAATGCGGCGAGTGTCGTTGCGCGAGACGCTGATAGGAAGTTGAAGAGAAGCTGGTCAAGGAAGCTGTTCACCAATCGCAGGGCGGATGCCGAGACCATGGCCGTCTCGCCGGCAGGTTCAATGCCATGTTGATCGTACCATGTGTCTGCATAGCTGTCGTGGTCGTTGGTGACAATCTGAGAAGCAGCTGAGGCGGCAATGAAGGCGGCCTCGGGTGTGACGGAGAAGGGGGGAGACATGAGGCCGAAACTCATGATGGTGGAAGGACGATCGCTCGATATGCTTTGGGCGCGCGACCTCGTGGGGAATTGGGGTGTAGAGATACCAGAGGTCGGCTGCGACGCGGCGGTCGAGCCAGCGGTTGTGGTGGCCATATTTGCTATAGGTTCGGCGTCTTCAAGTCGAGGAAACCAGCACGGCAGGTCTCCCTGACCCCCGTGAGACCGCAGAAGATTGGCTCGAGGCGACACAAGGATGGATAATGGGCGCCGCGTCGTAAGCGGGACAAGGGGACGGTCCTATCAGTGGCTAGGTCGGGGCGGCGCTGGCGGGAGTGATTGCAAGCAAATCTTAGGGAGTTTCTTATGCGATGCGGGAGGGAGGATTGGGAAGGTATGACGGGTAGCTGCGTGAGGTGTAATTGTTAGCGGCCTGGTATTTTAATTAATCAAGCAGGCGGCGGCGGCGGCGGCTGACGAGGTGAAACACCTGGTCCAGGGCCGCATGGCAGCGAAGGAAGGACCCGGGCGTGATCCACTTGGAAGTAGAGGCAGAGAGCGAGGAAGAGAGAGAGAGCGAGAGATTCATGCGGAGTAACCACGTCTTGCGGAGAGTCTAGCTGGGCTGGAGGACGAGATACCGGGCGGAAGACCGGGTTGCGAACGAGAAAGGAACGATCAACCCATAAGAAAAACAAAGTATCGAAGCTGGGCGGTGGACTGTTGTCGCGGTCCGAGACATAGGGGTAGAAGACGCAGTCCCTGGCAAGTGGTGTACATGTACGGGGGACCCCGACGAACGGGTAAATGAGTTTCGGCGCAGATGTGCGAACATTGTGGACGGTAAGTTTGGAGGCAGTACAACATCCGTCGATCACAACCCTCTCTTGCTCTTGGGCCGGCCAGGAGATGGCGGCGAGTCGTGCACGCGCGGGGTGCCAGGTGGTTGGGCCTGGAGTACAGACGGAAGAGACTCTAACACGGGCAGACGTACCTGCGATTGATTGTGTGACGACGGTGACGGAAGCGCAACATGCGTACATGCAACGACCACGACGTGGTAGGAGATGGTCGGTTAGCTTAGCGGCGATGGCGATGTGTAGGTGAGCAGTAGTGAGAGGCGGCTATGACAATGGCAATGGCGATAGCAGTAGTCGACCAGCGGAGGAACGGGAAGTGATAAGAAGATAAGTTGGAAGGTGAGCGAAGGAGGGATTGGCGACGGAGAGAAAGACGAAGAGGAATAAGGTATAATGAATGGGGTGGAATAGTGGCGAACAAGGAATGCTCGGAGAGCGAGCGCGCCAGAGCGAGAGTGTAGGTACCGCAGGTTGATGCGCAGGAGCCACCAGAGAAAAAGAGGCCAAGTCAAGCCAGAGAAGACGAACAACGAACGAGTCGAGGACGGAGACAAGAAGACCGGCAGCAGCCAGGACGAAAGAGGAAGTCTCGAGGGTTCTTAGTGTAAAGGGTATTTTTTTTGTGTCGCACGCCGCCTTTGAGATGGATGTGGTGTCATTAGTGCGGGTGGAGTGGAGAGGAGGAGCCTCTGAGGTGACATAGCCAGACAAGGTTATGATTTAATGCTAGGCAGTATTCGGATGTACAAACACACACACACACTCTCTCTCTCTCTCTTTCTCTCTCTGCCTCTATCTGTCGCCTTCGCCTTCTCCGTATTCTTCTCTTCCACTCTTACTCTTTCGCCTCTCTCTCTCTATCTCTCTCTCCTATCTCTCTCTCTCTTCTTCTCCTCTCTTCAGGGGTGGATCCGGAACGAGAACCCGCGGCGTGAAGTGTACAGAGACCTAGTTGTTGCGTAGTACATACAATAGGGTTGATAGTATAGCCAATTTGTGTGTGCATCCAAGTGGGAAAGACACAAGAGGCCCGATCGCTGTGTGTAGCTAGCTTGGCCCAGCAACAGGGGAGGAGGAAGGCTTGGGTGCGGTTCCGGTCCCTGAAAGTGTGGATGGGAGAGGGGTGGTAGTGCATCGGGGCTCCTTGGATATCCACCATTCAGGTACCAAACATCGGAGTTGGAGAGCGGGTGCGGGTACTAAGTGTGTCCCAGGAAGGTTGGTTGTACTATATGCGGTACCTAGGTAGATAGCACGACACGTGTAGTTTACTATGTATATGCATGCGGGCCGGGGAGCCTACCACGGGCACGCAGAGTGTGTACCATAGTAGTATAAGTAAACATGTGGACTTTCTCTCTTTTTCTTTTTTTGCCTTTCCACTTGCATCCGGACGACGTTTGGGATGGCGAGGCAGCAAGAAGCTCCGAGAGCAGATTCGATTGCCTGGATGGCCTGCTTTCGGATATGCAGGTCATCATTTACAGGCACCTACCCATCTATATAGTACCCGGGATGACGTATATTCTAGGCAAACCACTCGGCCGTACCTCAAGAACAAGAGCAATGGAGCCGTACAAGAATAAGACACTCAGGACCCGAGCTCCCGCGCCATTGCCACAGTGCTCAGGAGATGCTGTATCCGTACATACACTAGCTAAATGAGTGGTGTAAACCAGATGCTGTGGATGCTGTAGGAAGCGAGCACTCTGTATCCACCTCGCTGTTGGGAGCTGGGGCCATTATTTATCTCCCTCGTCACCTTGGCTTGGAGAGCGAGAGAGACTCTGGCACCAAGGACGTTTAGTGCCGCCGCGCGTGTCCCAAATAAAAAGTATCGTCTCCACAGCTCTTCTCCGGCACTGTGGGGGACGTACGGATACTACATAGTATGTAATAGGTAATGGAACGTGCGGCATGGGCGATAATCGATCATTAGCTGGAAGCAAGGACGGAGCGACGAAAAGAGGACCCTTACGCGAGACCGGGAAGGGAAGGGGAGAGGCGGGTTGGAGGAGGAGGAAGATAGAAAAAATAAAAATAAAAATAAATAAATAAAAAGGACATGGACACACACACAACCCAAGCTATGGCAAGTCTGGAAGAGCCTTGTGCTTCGCTACCGTCGGCTGGCTGCCTTTGCACTACGGATACCTAGACCACCTACCTAGTTTATATGTAATGGATACCTAGGTGGTCTGAGGTAGGTATCCGTACTATGTAGATAATTACGTTGCACCCTGAGTGGCTGGTGACCCGCACTGCGCTTGTTTTTATGCCTCGCTTCTTCTGTGGCTTGGACGTATCTGCTTTTGTGCTCTGTGGCCATTTTGAACGAAACTTGACGGGTAGAAGAACCCTGCCCATGGAGCCAAGCGCATGGCCCCCGTGCTGGCCCCCTTTTGCGACGTACCTGGCAGATTAGATGAGGGTCAATGGTCCGTTAGAACTTAGCGACGAAACAACGGCTCCCAGACGGCTATCCGTTTTCCCTGTCTCAAATTGCTACAGGACACAATGCCTTGACACCTGCTTCGGTTCAGCGTTGGCCGTCGCTGGGCTCACCCGTCCACGATGGTGTGGTGTTTTGTGTTATGTTGTGGCGGTCATCATCTGGGCAAACAAGGCCAACTGCCAGGGGAAAAGGGGGCAAACGCACCCGTTGGCTGCTGTCAGAACGGCCCGGAGACCAAAAAGGGGGACGATAACAATTCTCCGGTTCTCAAGAGCCGAACAAATCGGCAGAGAGTGACCTGGTTGTCAAGATGTACGCTAGGTAGTTGCAGAGTCGCAGACGAAGTGGATGCATGGTTGGTTAATTAGACACAAAGGGAGCCATGGTCCCGACCCTGGCCCTGATTCCTTGACCGCCGCACAGTGTGCATCTCGGTAGGGAAGGAGATGACCAACATATTGAGAAACCATACGGAGCAGTCCGAACCGCAATACCATGGGGCCAATTATCGAATATTGCACGCAGCCTGGTCCAGTCCGGTCCTTAATCACCAAGTACCTGACTACCTTGGTAGGTTGATAGTACTGGTAAGCACCGACACCTAGGTGTAACCGCTCAGCATATTATTCGCAATGCCCCGTAGTGTTGGGCAGACGGAATCCAGGCAGCCCGACGCTGGCAGACAGTGTAGCATCAGGAGCATATATTGCATATATTCCCATCTTTGGTCCAAAAGGAGGAAACCGTGAAACGGCGCAGATCCACACATGCGACACGCCTTGCTGCGGCACAGTGTTGTGTCCAATGTTATTATACCAGCATTGGCACTGTATGCTAAGCAAGCAAGAAGTCTCTCGTCGCGCTATCCCCGCCACGTCGATCGACAAAGAGACGACGCCATCGCCGCCCACATACCGTAGTTGTTCCTACAAAAAAAAAAAAAAAGAAAAGGACCAAACACCCGAAATATACTTTCCGTCCAGCCATGTTTTTTCCCCAGCTTTCCAAGACAGACGAGCAAAACCCCCCTCGTTCCTTCCGTTCCCGACACGAACGTCTGCATCGGGGCCGTCCTTTGAGCCTTCTACCTACTGGGCACCGGCGTCATGGAACATGATATGGCATGCTGGCCCAGCTCTACGAATAGGCCGATGAACTTGGGTGACAAAGTCACTCATGTCGACAGTTCAACTCGACGGGGCTTCTTTCCTAGTCCCCCGACCCCGATCATGCTGCTAGCTGGGGTCCTATTGTTCCTTCTTCCTTTCTTGACACTCCAAAAGCAAGAATGCCATTCGTGTCTCGTCTTTCTCTGACAGCCAGTCCCCACTGCGGGAGCCCTTGCCGTTATGCGGGAATGAGAAAAGAAACGATGAATCTAAAGCTCAGGTACGCTATAGCCTATGCACGCAATCCTCCTTGGTTTCCGCAAGCCTGGTCTTACTTGAACGGGACCGCAGATCGGTCACTCACAACAAGTCCAGATTTCGGATTGCGCCGCGTATGTACGGATACACAGCGTTCGATGCATACAGTGCAACCGTCACATCGTCCCAACTGATCAAAGGTCGCATCGTGCTAGATGAGGCATCCTTTCTGTTGTCTGTTTTCTCTGGCCACCTCGTTTACCTCGGGCATTTCCCGTCGAGACTGGGAACCCTCGCTTCGAGTCTGTCACGATCGCCCGCATCGTTTCTCAGCCCCGCCAGCGTGCAGTCGATTAGAAGGATTTGCCGGAGCAACGAAACAAACGAGCGGCCATAGCCGCCGCTGTGTTGCCCATTCCAGGTAGGCTCGCGGTTCTCAGACCTCTCGATCAAGATCGGGTGGAAGTCAAGGATGACAGCTCCCACAAATGCCGCATCTGAGGCGACAGGGGCCCCGTTTCCCTCGCCTGTATCCATTTTCCGATCCCGTCGGCCGCTTGTAAGCCGTATGGACCCATGCTTTCCTTCCACCATAGCAGATGATGATCATGGGACGGCCAGTCTGGCGCCTAGGTGCCTTGAATGCCATCGCGCTCGAGCTGCGCTGCCGGGATCAGCGTCTGGTCGTCGAATCCCAATCGACCTTTATGCTCCAGTGAGCTCTCATTTTCCTCTGAAACCCCTTTCCACTGCCACAGCCGCCCCATCGATGGACGCACCATCGTTGGGCTCGCACAGACAAAGTGGCTTCAGGAAACGCCAACACGCCTCGTCAATTTGAGTTGCCAACGGGTACGCCCATAAAGCGAACATTGAGCTGCACCACAAGGAGAAACAACACTTCGGCCCTCCAAAGAACGCACATGCGAATCCTTCCGTGCTCTTGGGACGATTCATGTGCTACCCAAGTCTACATACGACCCCTAAATCTCCACTGGTTGGGTCTAATCGAGTAAAATGGCAGGGCAGGAAGTGCAGCTAACTCGACCCCGGACTCTCCGGGAAACTGATATCATTAAACTTAGGGCTCTTCACCACCGAGCGTCCCGTCAATGAGATGATGATGTACCACAACCGCTACAAACTGGGCTGACCCAAGTGGGCACTGTGAGTCTAGCGACAACATATGGCTCTTTGGCTTGCTCGCTTTCATTCAAGGGATCGCCTGCTCCAAAGGAGACCGGCCTTAACCGGCATCCTAGGCCACGCCAGGGCCACAAAGAGGCGCATAGCCCCGCTTACTACCCAGCGATCGATTTCCAATATCCATAGTTACTTGCCGAAGACGGTGTCTGACTATTTACAACGGAGGCTTAGGATGCGCGGTCCAAGTGCCAGCACCCAATGCCGAACATCAGGACCAGTGCAGCTGCCAAAGAGACAACGAACGCCTCCTCTCCCTTTCATCATCTTGCAATCGCATAATAGAAGGGCCATTGTAGCCAAGGAACATCCAAGCAAAAGCCGCTGTCTTGTGAGAAAGCCGCCTGCTTCATGTCCGGGTTCCAACGCTTAGGCTGACACAGTCTAGGAGGCCGTCGACATGTTGCAGTATTCATCCATCGTTCACAAGTTTCCCAATATAGTGGTCTCCTCTCAAGATACATACAAGCATCTGTGCAATGCTTTTCTGGCAAATTGATCCGCCCTCCTGCAGCAGAGGCTGATGGTCGACGGCCTGACGCCGCACCGCGGCTACGTCTGTCCACTTGTTCTATCACAAAGTGCCAACCAGCCCCGCAAAGGCCCATTGTCGGCTTGTGAAAACTTCGTTCGTGGCTTCAGAGTAAGCGCCGCGCGGAAGATTGTCAGAAAACAGGCAGGTGGATGGGGAATGTCTTATTCTGGTCAGTGTTGGTTGGACTCTAGCCGCGGCCGCGAAAGCAGTATCCTTCCGCTTCGGCGTGGTATGCAGCGGCACACAGCCAGTTGGGTGTCGCCGAGATGTCAGTGTAACCAAAGTTACAAGCCTAATGACGGCGTTTGCTCCAGTAATTTTGTCTTTGGCCGCCTTAAGAGAAGGAAACATGAGAAGAATTGTTTGCTGAGGCGCATGCGGGCGCCGGCAGAGCCAAACCTGCTTATATCCACCAGACCAAGACTTCGGCCTGACCCAATGCCTGTTTCGGCGTCGGATCCGGCCAAGCAAAGCCAGTGAATCTCCAATGCCACAGTCAGAGGAGCGTGGCTCTCGTCGTGGAATGTCTCGCAAGCAAAACTGGTGGCTACTACGCATCCATTTCCCCATATGCCAACCCTGAAAATGGTTGCGAGTGGCAGCAAACCGGCCGGACCCCTCGTTCGGCTCGGGCGCAAACGCCTTCGTTCTTCAGACTTGGCGAGCTGATCCCCATCAGGATTCACGCTGCCATACACTGCAGCGTAGGGACGAGCATCTCCCGCTAGTCAATGGTCCTCATCCAGATGTTCGGGGCGAGGACAGACGATCGGATGCGAGTAAAACCCTGGGGTCAGCAGCCGTGCCTCGTGGTGACAAAGACCATTGTGGCTTTGGGGCATCGCCACTACCACTAGGCCACAATCAGTAGCTTCGACTTCGGGGTTGCCCGATGGGTATGACAAACTAATGCACCCTTCGTATGGCAGCTTTGTTCTTTTTCCCAAAGCATCATCGTCGCGATCATTGGGTGCAACATATATTCAGACCCTGCTATGATGACTACGGCGGTTAGTAATGACTTTAAACTCGGAAACTCGGATGGTGAACTAACAAAAGGGGTGTTGCAGTATTTCATCGAACTAGCACAAAATGCCTGGGCAACGCATACTGCGGTCTGTACTTGCACCAAGGACATCGTACCCAAGGTATCATCGCGGTACCGAGCTATTCACACTTACCACGAATTGGGAGAGTGAAGCTACGATTAGGCGCACGTCACGAACTGCACGCCGCTGACTGGAATGTTGTCCAACCGCAGGCAACACGAAATCTTTCCAACAAGGGTTCCCAGGATGTGCGCAGCTAACGCTTTGGCCAGAGCTTCCGCCGGAGCCTTTTCGACTGGTGAGATTGGACACAAGGTTTCGAAGGATTGCCAACGACACGGGTCCCGAGCATGCCTGTGTACAGCAGAGCAATCCTGCTTCACCGGCGCTTCCCCGGCCCCTCATGTTCCCAAATCCGACTTCTGCCTAATGTGCCCATGGCGATAGGTGCGGCATTCGTGGCTTATAGGCCCCAGCGGTCCTCCGATCTACCGGTATACTCATGCCGAAGCTAGTGCAAGCCGCGTTGTCAGCTTGAGCTTCCCTGCTGTGACTCTCAGGCGGCTCAGGCGAGGTATTGGGGTGTGGGCTTCTGTTTTCCATTTGGTTCAACTCCGAACCCCACGATGTTGTGGTTACTCCCGGAAGCAAATGCCTCGAAACCGCCCCCTCCCTTGCCGACGCACGCTGACCGTCCGGAATCACGCGGAAGTATGAGCAACTGCCCGTCTTGTGTCCCGTCTTGGCGCCTGCTGTCACTGGGTCGGAGGAGAGACGAGGGAAGAGGGTGCGTGGGCAAGAGGCGTCACTGTGTCTGCATTGTGGAAGAAACGTTGCTGCAGGGCTGCGACGTGTTGTCTGTTTTGCCTACAGATATTGGGCTTGGTGAAACATGTGAGCCCCCCAGGGCTGCTTCTGCTGCTGTGATGGCGGCGGTGGCACAACAGCAGTGGAACAAAAGCGGTGGAACGACACCGCTGAGAGCAATACTGGGATAACATGCATGTATCTATCTGGCGGATACAGGTAGGATTCCCATCTTCGGAGACGCATGTTGACCATCTTTCACGACGTGCTATATTCCGCATACGCGGTTAACCTACTCCTTGGGTTGGGACCCCTCTCTTTTCAAAAGGACTTCTTCGCTGCCGACGCTCCTTTCTTTGGGGAGGCATTCCGGCCCCCCTTTTCTTTCTTTCTCTCTTTCTTTTGTACCAACCGTCCGATGTTGAGCGCTACGTATGACAAGACTTACCATCCCGGCGGTTTTGTCCACGGGTCCAGTCGTTGGGGGCCACGTCCTCGTTGCCACAGCATTCGCGGCTCCCGGCCCGACGTGGGCAGCAATAGCACCGGTCGAGTGCTCACCTCTTCGGTCTCGGCGCTGCCTCTCCGGTGCCGCGTGCATCGGCGTCAAACACGCAGACGTCGAATCAACGATGCCACTCGGTGCCACTGGTCGGTCTGGGGCCCTGCGCGGAGGCAGACCTGCGCCGAGCGTCCCTCGTCCCGCGCCCGCTGTCAAGGGAACTTAGAGTCTTACCATCAGGGTGTTAGGGATGATCCGATCCGCCCGGGGCCTGACAGTAGCAGCTCACGCAGGAGGGCCACCGCGGTATGGCTGTCGTTGTCGGTACCGGTGACGAGGACATGCTGCTGCTGTCGCCGCTCCTGGGCCTGGCGCCGCTGGCAGACGAGGCAACGGCCCCATTTGCGGAACACGCCGGAGCACTCGACGTCCGGGCAGGCGCCCGCGCCGCGGAAGCTGCCACGGGGACACTGCCAGCGGATGTGCCGGCCCTCCCAGCAGCCGCAGTTGATGTAGTATATGTGTTCTGCGAGGCACATCGATGGGCGCGCGGGGGAGGGGGGGACCGGGGCCTTACCTTGGTCCTTGGGCGATTATAGAAATAGGGGGCTTGATGGTCGATGTATGGTTCCGCTGACAGAAGGCAGCATTGGGAGGTTTGTTGTTTGAGAGATGGAATAACTGGCTTTTTTTGGAGGGTCGTTACGTGCCGATATATTTCTTACACAAATTCAGGAACCTGCTGGTGATGTAGAATAGGCTGTATGGGAGTTCCGAAGAACTAATCCTTTGTACAATAGTGCCCCCTTTGTCGAGTAACAATGTCGCTGTGCTGTGTTGGCCGCAGAAGAACGGGAGAGCAGTACAAGTGTTCCGAGACAAGGGCGCCAAAGGCATTTAGGTAGAACAATTCGAAGGAAGGATTCATTGTGCTATGGAGCTCGTTCGTGGGATTCCAGGTGGTTTATGACGTTGAAGATTAACCCACAGTGATGTAGTTTCAGCCATCGTGATGCTGGGTTGGGGGAGCTGTGAGGCTGTTGACCATTGTACTCGTATAACAACGGTCTTATAGGACGGTGCTCTCGGTCAACGTGGTTTCATTCTGGGCGGTCCAGAGGTTCTTGTTTGTGAACTAACGACTTGTGGCCGAGGGGGGGGGCTTTCGTGAACACCTGTACATCTGTCCTTAGCCGGTTGGTTTGTTGGGGAGGCCGAGCTGTCCTCGTCTAGGAAGAGAAGACCGAGAGTGTTGTACCGACCGGCGTTGATGTTGTTCAAAGGTCTTGACGGTTACCTGATCAAAAATCATGTTCTGAGCCACGCGTGAAACTCGCCTTTGGTTGAATTCGGCTATATATTCCTCTCTCGAGGTGTTCTTCAGAGCGTCTGCAATCACGTACTAGTTCGCCACTCATGGTCTATGAAGAAGAATCTAGACAACATCAATGCGCCCTCTTTTCTCGCCCGTTTTCCCGCATGTGTTGCCTCTACACTCAACGCAGCCTTTTCACGCCTCTAGTCTAACCTCGCACGCCGACTGGAATCCCCTCAGCCCGGCTCCTACTCCTTAATCCACCAACCGCGCGAGGTGCACGCCGTCGTACAGCGGCATCAGCCACGAGTCCAGCCGCGGCTCGTCGTGCACGGCGGCGTTGAACTCGCGCAGCTTGTCGACGTCCTCGGAGCGCGCGTAGGCCGCGCGGTAGGCCTTCTCCCCGACGGCCCACGGGTTTCCGTCCGAGTCGTCGGCGACGATGCCGCGGCGCAGGACGTTGTCCGCGACGATGAGGCCGCCGGGCCGCAGGAGGCGGCCCTTCCCGCCCGACGCGGGCGAGGCGGCGAGGATGGTAGAGAGGTAGGCCGGGTAGCCAGACTTCTGCGCATCGATAAAGATCAGGTCGTACGGCTCCGAGGGGCTCAGAGCCGGCAGGCTGGGGTTTCCCGCGTTAGTGAGCTCTCCGGGACGTGCATCGCTTTCTCATTTGTGCTTTTCGTCTTGTCTAGCCGGAGCAGCAGTGGAAAGGAGGGAATGAGACAGGGGGGGTAACGAGGAAACCTACGTCTCGAGCGCGTCGCCGACGACGACGGACGCGTTCTTGATGCCGTTGGCGGCCCACGCGGCCTCGGCCTGCTTCGCGTAGTCGGCGTTGAACTCCAGCCCGGTGACTGTGCCGTCAGGCCCGACAGCGTGGGACCAGATCATGCCCGAGTAGCCAACGTAGACGCCGATTTCGAGGACTGTCGGGGTTGTGTCAGCATGGCAGAGGCTCGAGTGAGGTCGGATACGATAAAGGGAAAGACAGAGTGAGTCCCGGATCACTCGTATTTTCCAAGACTTTTCCAACAAGAATCCCCCTTCCCCCTAGACGTGCTATTGGGGGACAACTTCTCGATCCGCAAAGAAAGCGTGGGCAGGGGGGGAGAAATGCAGATCGACCCCGGCTCCTCGGACGGACGACTCGCAACCTAGCGCCAAGGGGAACAACTAGGACAGCTAGCTACGGCGGGACTCACTTCTCTTGGCCCCAATTAGCTTGGCCAGCCAGATGTGGTTCTGCGCCTGGAAGTTGCTGATCATAAGCATCGACGTCTCGGGCTGCGTGGTGTCGATGTGCTCATGGTAGGCGACGATGTGCGCGGGCAGGTCCGTCGAGTGGGACTCGGCGTAGGCCGTCACCTTCTGTGAGACGGACTCGTTAGGGTAAAGAACCGGGGCGGAGGACTTCATCTTGACGTGGCTATTGACAGTATTGGTGAGTGATTGTGGTTGCGTTGGGGTTGTGGTGAGGTTGCGGCTATGAGTGAGAAGATGATGGTTAAAGGGGACATACAAGTGGACGGGTTGAGTGAGGATGTAGGGACTCGGGGCTCTATATCGGCAGTTGGGTAAGAGGACAAGTGTAGCTATGACAAATATTAACAATGGGATGCTGAAATGTCGCGAGTCGTGAGTCTTGCTTTATAAATCCATCCAACGCGGCCCGGCATAATGACAAGTGCCATGTTACAGACCCGGCCGGAACATGGGTGAACGTTTACACCCCTCTTCCCATCGCCGCCCATCCCCCACGTGTGCCCCGCTCGGAGCAAGATGCCGGGGCTCTCTCCTCGTCGACCCCGCCATTCACGGCCGTTCGCCCACGCTATCCACAAAGGCACATAACTCCGCTGGAGCTCCAATGGAAATGCCCAATTCTTGCCCATGTTCCCTCCCGGCGTGCTGATAAACCCATCGGCGACTGACATCTTCGACCGAAGTATGGACAGCTCGGCTCGGCGATTAGGGATAAGCTACCTGGCCACATGGCGGGTGGGCATGCATCTATCTATGACGGGATCTGAGGCCAAAATCACAATATCCACCTTTCGTATCCCGAACTTTCGGCCATATGTAACTGCAGTTTTCAATTTGGCTCCTATCTGCCGGCACTGCGCGTACGCGGGAAGCTGACCTTGCAGCTCCGCCCGAGGCACTCGGCCTCGGATACCGAAGTTGAGACGGAACGCGTGTTCCGTGTCGCCGCCGCGGGTCATCGCTTTCACAGCAGCCGGCCTATCTGTTTCAGGAAAGAGGGCCGGCTCCGAGAGACCTTTCGTTCGGCGTCGTTCTCCGGATGACGGAGTATGTAGAAATGCATGGAAACCTCAATGATGAGACGTGGTCAATTCCTTCTACAATCTCCCTGGATTCAAAACCCAACATATCTTGCTGAGAGGAAACAAAATCAATATTTTCTTTATTAGAGAGCACCCCAAGTCTACGGAACATTCCAGCGACCAGGTGTAAGCGGGCGATGAGATACCTAAAAGAGCGAGAGAGAGAGAGAGAGACTATGAGAGAGGCAGGGGATAATCAAATCACTTGACGGACTTAGCTACCCTCTACCTCCCTTCTCTCTTCCAATGGCCTCAAATCATCCTCATACAGGAGCTTCCAATACAGTTTTCGTCGTCTCTCTCCTTCTATCCAATACGTCAGCCGGTTCATTAATCACACAAAGACTTGCTAGGCTTCATCTTTCCGAACAGCAGGATCCGAAGGTTGCATAAAGAAGATACCCGCCTCTTTAGTGAGCATCGCCTATTGCCTCTTTGATATCGTCTGCCCTTTGTCGTTCACGCGTTGAGGAGAAATTTTCATCTTCTACAAGCCTCCTCAAAAGAGCCTTTGGTGACGGAAGCGCCTAGAAGAAGGCAACGACGACGAGAAGAGCACTGGCGAGGGTCAAGGGTGCCTTGATGCTGTCGCCGGCCGCGGTGACAACGGTGGAAGGCTGGCTCGGAGTGGCCGGGGGCGGCTGAATCGGAGGCTTGGCGGGCGGCTGGGAAGGAGGTTGCGCAGGAGGCTGAGCGGGAGGCTGAGCGGGAGGTTGAGCGGAAGGTTGAGCGGGAGGCTGAACCGGAGGTTGAGCGGGAGGTTGAGCGGGAGGTTGAGCGGGAGGTTGAGCGGGAGGTTGAGCGGGAGGTTGAGCGGGAGGTTGAGCGGGAGGCTGAACCGGAGGTTGAGCGGGAGGCTGAACCGGAGGTTGAGCGGGAGGTTGAGCGGGAGGTTGAGCGGGAGGCTGAACCGGAGGTTGAGCGGGAGGTTGAGCGGGAGGTTGAGCGGGAGGTTGAGCGGGAGGTTGAACCGGAGGTTGGGCGGGAGGTTGAGCGGGAGGCTGAACCGGGGCAACGTGAGGACGACGGTGTTTAGCTACCGTGGTGTTGTAGGACGGCATAGCTGTAGGGGATACAGGAACAGCAAGCTGAGTAGAGACAGTGACTGGCTGGGAGGAGGCGGATACGACGACGACAATGGTAGAGGTCTTGCGAGTTCGGGTGGTGTTGTGGTAACGCGTAGAGGTGACGATCTTGTGCATGGTCGACTTCTTGGGGGTGATACAGGGGGTTGTGGTGGGCTTCTTGGTGGAAGACTTGCATGGGGTGGTCGTTGGCTTCATGGAAGTAGCGCACGGGGTAGTGGTAGGCTTCTTGGTGGAAGACTTGCACGGGGTAGTAGTGGGCTTCTTGGTGGAAGACTTGCATGGGGTGGTGGTGGGCTTCTTGGAAGTAGCACAAGGAGTAGTTGCTGGCTTCTTAGAAGTAGTGCACGGGGTAGTGGTAGGTTTCTTAGAAGTAGCGCAAGGAGTGGTTGTTGGCTTCTTAGAAGTAGTGCAAGGAGTAGTTGTAGGCTTCTTGGACGTAGTGCAAGGGGTTGTTGTGGGCTTCTTAGAAGTAGTGCAAGGAGTAGTTGTAGGCTTCTTAGAAGTAGTACAAGGAGTAGTCGTTGGCTTCTTAGAAGTAGCACAGGGAGTAGTTGTTGGCTTCTTGGAAGTAGCGCAGGGAGTAGTTGTTGGCTTCTTGGACGTAGTGCAAGGGGTTGTTGTGGGCTTCTTAGAAGTAGTGCAAGGAGTGGTCGTTGGCTTCTTGGAAGTAGCACAAGGAGTGGTTGTTGGCTTCTTAGAAGTAGCGCTACCAGTCGTGGTGGTCTTCTTGGACATGGAAGTCGTGGTGGTCTTCTTGGACGTGGAAGTCGTACTCACGGCAATAGTCGTGCCAGGCTGCGTCACAGTAACAACCCTGTTTGACGTACCCAGAGGCGTACCAGACGGCGTGACGATGACCTGGGATGTCTGCGGCTGGGCCGAGGTCCCCGAGACCGCGACGACGTCCTCGGGCGCGGGAAAGTCATGACTGGGCATCGCCGGGTCCGGGAGAGCGTCGGAGAAGGTCTGACTTTGGGCCAGAGCGTCGTTGAAGAGCACGGCGAGCGCCGCCACGGAGGCGATGGTTACCTTCATTGCGTAGGTGGGTTGGCGCGTGGGCGAACGATTGGGGAAAAGGAGGCTGTCGAAAACGATTGACTGGATGAGTGAAAGGTTCGCGCCTTCCCTACACAATGACTGTGAGCGAGTGACTGATGAATGGGATGAGATGGCAAAGATGTCTAGGGTTTGCTTTCTCGTCCATTGTACTTATACCCATCTTGCCGGGGTGGTTATCTTGACGATCGTGTACCCTTGATGGCCTGGCTGTCCAGCTTCTCGATGGGTTCCCATTCTGCATGGCTTGTTGAGCATCGTATCCGTCATAGTTCGGAGAAAAGAAAATCGAGAATTGGACGTCTAGACTCAACCCGGGTTCAGAACGAGCAGAACGAGAACCACAGGGGTGCCGAAGCAGCAAAGCTTATGCAGAAAGCTCCTGATTCCTCAGCCACCCCGGCGACAAACTCCACCAAGATTGATGGCTGCAGGCCAAGGTTTGCAAGCCAGCAGGAGCCTCTGATAATGACCACCTCGGGCCGTATGAAGTCGAGACAGCCAGGTTCCAATACTCTGGGGGCAACGAGATGCCATCGGCCGGATCCGGACTTGTGTTGGCGTACGCAACGCCAAAGCTCTTCACGTGGCGATCGATGCTACCCATGCTCACTGGACGGATGAGAAAACAAATCTTTGACTCCGTGCTTTGAAATTGATGAAAACGCTCGAGTACATATTGTGGCGGGACCTCTATCCGACGTCTTCCACCGTTGGTTGCCCGCCACTCGCTTTTTGAACTCGGTGAAATGACTCTGCAGTGCCAATGTACCGTCGGCCAAAAGATTTTCGACATCTGATGATGATTTTCTTGGCCCCGGCGGGGCACGTCCGGCTATTCCGACTCGAAGACGGAAGCATTGCGATTGGGATACCTTGGCGGATCTCTCGACGCAGTCGAATTGTCTTGTGCCTGTTGCCTCCAAGCTCCTTATCATCCCCCTTTCACACCTGCGTAACCTGCAACGCTCAACTTTGTGTACTCCGTGTCGGACCATGCTCGCTATGTATGCCTTCTTTCGACTCCATACTTTTAAATCTCGACAAATCCATAACCTAGCCCCGAACGCCTTGTCGTCATGCAGCTCAATATTCGGAATCGGAAAGGCCGAATCGCATCCGGTGGCTCTGCGTATATTATCAGCTCTTGCACATAATAAAACAGCAGGGGGTCAACATACAAAAGGCAGCTTGGGAATGACAACTGCTAGCACGGCCAGAAAGTTGATGATGAAGTAGGCCAGGTCGTAGTGGGTGTAATGTGTGCTGAGGAGAAACAACACGATCGGCACACTCAGCAAAAACTTCTTGGCCGGAGTGTATTGCGCCCCATCATCAATCTGCTCCCACATGTTCAGGTTGTCGAAGGCGCCGCCATTGAATTCGAATGGCACGCCGCGGACGTAATGGAACATAATGTAGGAACCAAACATGTACGAGATGTTCGTCAGAGTCCAGGATGTCTCCTGCGACACGCCCGGCATGACGTCGTAGAATATCTTTAGGCAGAGGATGAGGACGAAATGAATCGTCCAGGCGCCTGATGATAGTGGCTGTCAGCGACGGCTGTCTCTTTCGCCAACTGGGTGCAGCGAACTGGCACGCGACAGGAAAGGGGGAAGCTCTTTGGCGCGGGGCTCACCTTTGGCATTGACCCAGTTCGCATTGAGATTAGGTACCACGGCTTGGTCGCTTATCTGCTCGAGAGTCTCTTGCGGCTCGTAATGGACCTGAAGGATGCTGCTAGATCTCCTTCTACGGGCACCAGGTTCCGCCATGTCTCTGTACGATCCGCTGCCACTTCGCGGAGGATTGGTGGCCGCGTCGTACGAGACGGTGCGAGAGAGAAGGATTGGGGAAGACAGTTTGGCGGTGTTGAAGGGGACGTTGGGGGTGGGCAAGCTTTGTGGGTGGATTTGAAGAAGGGGAGAATTCTGCAGGCTCTCGGGATCGTCGTCGGTGTCCTCGTGATGCTGGGGTTCGGCTGAGCGATGGATTGGCAGCCCCCTTGATGATGTCACGGGAGAATGCGAGCAGTTCGCGTCGATGTGGGCGTTAGAATAGCTGATGCTAGCACAGAAGTGCAGTTGAATTGGTGGGAGCGAGAGTAAAGAAATTGGGCGTCGTCAAGACGGTCGAAGAGAAGCAAGGGCGAAGTTTTTTTTAGGCTGTGAATGTTGGGGATGCCGTTGTCGTAATGATCTACTTGGCAATGGGATGAAGGGGCATTTCCCACTAGATATTCATGGAGGAACCGAGGTGGACAGGAGTCCCGAGCAGAACCAGCAGCAGTCGGGGCGGCAGGAAACAGTGGACGACGGGGGGTCGCAGGTGGGAGGAGACAGAATGACTGGGGCCCATGTCCGAACAAGGCCATCCGGTACAGTGAACATTCTCCACTCTTCCATATACAGTCACGTAGTGTTGCCCCCCAGCCAAGACACGACACGACAAGATTGGGACCCGAGCCGACAGCTGTGAATGGCACCCGTTTTCCTCCACCTTGGTAGCATTGACAGCCAGTGCCAGTGCCAATGCCACATTTTGATGCCGACGTGGAAACCCCCCCCCGGTTAGGGTCGTTCAGGTTCAGGGAACCACCTCAATTTGAGAAGAGGACCGAAGGGAAGGATACAGTACGCCCGGGCACTGGCAGGACCCCGAGTGCACACATGAGACCCGGATCCAGACCTTACACCTTGAAAGAGGCCAGCCAGCAGAACGATCCAAAGACTGGACGGACGGGAGCCAGGAGAGGGGACAAACACGCTCGAGTAAGGATACCGAACATAGAACAGAGAAGAGAAGGGAGCGGGAAGCAGGGCCAGGGCGGGTGATGAACAGGGCATATGCGTCGAGGGAAGCTGGGAAGGTACCTGCGGCTTTTTTCCATTGCCCTGTCTGCAGCACTACCTTATCTTGCTCCTCGCCCAGGAAACCTTCCACACACACATGCGACGCCCAGCCGGTTCACACACCCGATAATCTTACATCCCTTCAATGTGAGAAGCTCCTTACCATCGGAAAAGGAAATATGGCACTTCCATTGTTGCATACCCGTACAGATCTCTAGATTCTGCTATGCAATGTCCTCACACCGTTTGCACATACAGCACGCACCCCGCCCAGTAACGCACACATACACACCCAGCACACAGAACGAATAGCCTCTGCCACGCCGGCAGCACGGGCGGGGACCGCGTTCCACGGGAAGGGCACTGATGGCAGACGAATGCACAGCCAGCCGGCCAGATGTACGGACCCGACGCGTCACCGTCCCGCTGCACAGATATCCGTACTGTAAGCTACCCTGCGTCTGTTTCCTGGCCAATTGTGCTGGCAGGAGGACGGAGCAGCTTGCGGTGTATCTGTAGGTGCGCAGTCGCATCTGCTAGCGAGCTGGAGAGGAAGGGACACCCTGGTCGGCCTATTCTGGGATGATGCCCCTATCTTCCACATCCAGTGAGGAAGAGGTGACGGTGGTTTGGGGGGGAGAGGAAAAGAGCAGACTGGCCAGTGCTGGACGCACAGTCACACGTATCCGGCCACAATCATCCGGCGGATCGGTCCTATCACGCGCCGTTTCAATACGGGGCATTGGAATGGCGTACAATGGTCAGCCTAGCTCTGAGGTTGAGTAGAATTCCATGATAAGTAATACATCAGGCCTTCTCGACATCATGTCGTGAATCACATCACATGCGGTTTCCTGGCGTCTGACCGTTCTGCCTCAGCAAGACACCGAACAGGACGATGTCGGGTGGAATGGCGCACCAAATTACCGTGTACAGTATCTAGTGTCTTTCCAATCTGAAAGTCATTGCTTCTACCCTAGGCATCGTACTCCGTACGCTCCCCAAGACATACGGTCTTGCCCTTCTTACCACCATTCCGTTTCCTCAACTTGACGGAAGTACATAGTACATAGGTTCTACTGTACGTATCTGAGCTAAATCCGTCCCCCTTGTCTCTCCACTAAGAGGGCTGTGCGATAACTTATTGATTAGAGTGGCTCGCTGCGTTGTGTGGGATGACGAGAACCTAGAACATCTCACTGAGGGATGATGGGTTGCATCACGGACGAATACTAAGGTCGCTGTCTATTCCCATTCTTTCCCAGCCCCGTCGCGCTCGACTGGTACCAAGCAGTTGTGATTCGGCGATTCCAATCCGCAAGTAGGTATACAACCACTACTAGGTCATGGTATGTCACGTCTAGGGTTTTCTCTAAAGAAAAGAAAAACGCGAGATCCAACATGCAACTCACTTCGAAAGCAGCAGTTTTGTTTGTAAGACCACGTTGTGCCTGTCAAAGCTGTCGCAAACTTTCCCCAGCTCTCCTCCTCCCCCTCGGCTTCAGCCCTGAAATACCGTTCACTTATCCGTACTCGTCTGCTACAGGACACTTGGTCCAAGTAGTAGGTGCAAAAAGATCTACTACGTATGTAGCCTCATCTCCGGGCTGACCGGGGTGTTGATTCTATTCTGCGTGTTGCATGTTGGTGATTTTGTAATTAGATCGTTCCCTATAGAAATATTTTCACTCTCGCTTGCCCTCGCAAATCGCTACGGCCCACGGACCCGACACCGCCTCAGGTGGGCTCCGGCCTGTAATTAGTGAAGGTTCCAGAGCAATTGGGGCTGGCCTGTCTTACCGAAATGCACCATTGGCGCTGTGACGAGTGGAGAAGGTGCGCGACTCTAGAAAACCGAACCTGCCAGGCGCCATAGGCGGCCTGCTGCTGCCAGCTGCAACCACGTGGTGACTGGTCTCCGAACTTTACCCAACGGTCACGTCGACGAAACACAACGGCTAATCTTCGGCCGCCAGCGCGCTGCTTTGTGACGTCTGTACTACCAAGCGGATACCCTGCATACAATTTTTTGAGGGAGAACGAAGCCTTTGGATGAAGCCCGATGACCTTGGGCCCGCGATATTTACAGTGCCAACATTCCTTTCGCAAGTACTCTCCTGTTCAAGTCAAGGTTTCTATGCCGCTGGAAACTTTGCATCAGGTTACGCCTTTCGACGCGTTTGAGTAGTATCATCATCCACCGGCTCACAGCCTGCTTTCTTTACGTTCACTCACACAGGAATCTGGGTTTGTGATATCAGATATCCAACCTGGACATCAACATAGTCGAGAAGACATTACTCTAACTTCCAACAAGACTTCGAGCTCCGTCGGGTGTCTCAAAGCATCCCACCAACCAATTGAAGCTGCCACCACTGAGTCGTCTAGAAAGCCCCTTCATCCTCATCGCACCTTATCCACTAGTCATCAAGTCTTCTTACAGCTTGGTCTCGAACCTTGTGCGTTATGGACGCATCAGAATCGGCGGAAGCTGCATCACTTTTATCTGGCAGAGAGGACGATACTCAGCAGGCATCAAAGAAACGACCGCTGGAGGACGTCGACATACAGAGCAGTGGATCACCACAGTCTCACCAGGCCGAATCCCCGGAGCCTGAAGCCAAGAGGGCGAAGACAGAAGCCCTCGACAAACAGTGCGCACAGAACGACACAAAAAGCTCGGAGAGCGCTGAGGAAGGCGAGCTAGAAGAGGACGGAGAGGTCAAATCGTCCGAATCCGAATCCGAATCCCAGGAGATGGCCGGCTCACAGAGTGACCGAAGTCGCGCATCACGCGCCCGCTCCAAAGCCTCGGCTGCAAGCGAAGAGTCGGATGCTGGCGTCAGACGGACGACACGTTCTATGTCGGCGGCCGCAAATGGCCCTGCCCATACTGGATGGAACCAAGGCATAACGTCCCAGATTCGGACCTCGTTGGGCGGGTCGAAGGCCAAGGTAGCACTGGCGCCAGCCAAGGAGGCGGCGATATCAGAGGAGGCAACATCTGAGCCTGTGCCTGCCGCCGCCGAATCTGAGCAGATCCAACCAGCCAAAAAGGAGGGCAAACTCACACGAAAGGAGCAACAACAACAACAACAACAACAACGGGCTGAAGCTGCCGCTTTAAAAAAGCAAAAGGCCCAAGAACAGCAGAAAAACACCTTCGTCTACGCACCTGGCCTCACTTTCTTGCAACCCAACAAGAAGACGATTCTGCAGCCCAAGGGTAACAATCTGGGCAAGACCGTCTGGAAGTCCAAGTTCAAGAGCTGGTGCCAATCCTTCGTCAGTCGGAACACTGAGCAAAGCAGCCTTATTACTGCCGACATCGTCGTGGCTGCTCTTCAGGACTATATTGCGACGCGCGCGCATTGGTCCAAAAGGAAGCACACCACGGCCGCGACCGCTGAGGCTCGCACGCCCGAGATGAAAAACGAAATTGCAGTCTACCTGGCGACGATCCTCAAGGACGACAGCCTTTTGCCTGGCTCCGAAGAGTCGCCTATGGTCATCGATGACAACGACGACGAAGCCGACAACAGTGTTCAAGAGATCTCACGTCCTGCTGGCGATATCGCATCAGCTGCGCCGGAAACGCAAGGCGAACAAGACTCGACCGCTGAAGATCCGGACCAGTCTTACAAGGACGACACAGGTGCCTCGATGGAAGTCGAGCAGACGGAGCCGGGACCACCCGTCATGACGGAGGAGGAGGATTTGGCGCAGCAGCGCAAGTACTTCCCAGGCCTGCCAGAATCTGTTGAGATTTGCGTCTACTGCGCATCCGTCGGCCACAACTCGGCCGCTTGTTCCAAGACGGCCTGCAAATTCTGCCAACAACCCAACCATTTCTCCTGGAACTGCCCGACGCGCGAGAGGTGTACTAAGTGCCGCCAATTGGGCCACGGCAAGGCGCAGTGCACCGAGAAGCTCGTCCACCTCGACGAAGAGGGCATGGAGTGTGCCATGTGCAGCGCACAGGACCACCTTGAAGACGAGTGCGAGGCCCTTTGGCGGTCTTACAAGCCCCAGAACGGGGTGATCAAGAAGGTCAAGGTCTTCCCTGCATTCTGCGCCTCTTGTGGCGCCGAGGGCCACTACTCTTCCGACTGCGCGCTCCGTGGCGACAGGCCTCGCAACCACACGTGGTCACTCAAGAACCGAAGCCTTTACGTTGACAAGAACGCATTGGAAGGACCGATCAGTAACTTTGCTAGTCAGCCCCAGAACCCCAAGTTCCCCCTCCAAATCAAGGGTTCTGCAGCCAAGCGCAACCACATCTTCTACCCCGATAGCGACGGATCGGAAGAGGGGGAGTTCATCGGTCAGAAGGTGAAGCCGCGCGCACCGCTAGGTAACATTCAGCTGTCTACCAACCTCCAGATCAACACGGGCAACTTTGGAGCGCCGCCGCAGACGCAGCAGAACGGGCGCGGCCAGCAGCGTGGTGGGTGGTCGACGCAGCCTCCTTTACCTCCTGGACCTCCGCCTCCTGGCCCGCCACCCGGCTCGTACTCGCGAATGTCAAGGAGCTTCAATAACCAGTCGCGCCCACCCCCTCCGAACGGTGGTGGTGTTCGCGGCGGCGGGTTACCCCCAAAACCCCCAGCGCCGCAGTCGCAACAGCACGGCTACCATAACGTGGGCCCACCGTCTAGACCGAATCCGCCAAAGAAGCAGAGAAACCAGTCCGGTAGCTCCCATGCGGGATCCTCGCAGCAGCAGCAGCAGCAGCAGCAGAATGGTGGAGGTACAGCACCCCGCCGCAGGGGCAAGGCCAGACGTGGTGGGAAGCAGGGATGACCGTGACGAATGATTGGTTGGCGTGCAGCGACGACAACACCGGCGCACGTCTTACGCTGCGCGGGCGACGGGGCAGGTGGCAGCTGGTGGGAAGGCACGGGAGGGAATGCGACGGTTTTAGGGTCGAGGTCAACGTGTGTGACGACTGTACGAGTTTGAGACAGATTGCGTGCGAAGTCGGAAAGGAAGACGGGGCGCGATGACGGACGCGCGACGACAGCCTTGCCTCTTCGGTTGGATGAACAACATGGACGAACTGGGCGTGAGAGACTAGCTCTACATTTTGCATTGGAGGTGGTTTTTTGCGTCGACCAATCGCCGCGCATGCGCAAGGCGACGTGGACCACGCACACACACACACACACATACACACACACAAACCACCCCTTTTTGGTGGATCAGATCATGACCAGAGCAGAGCAGACGGCCCAGAAAGGGAACGGGACAAGCCTAGACTCTGGCAGCAGTTTTGATACCCCGGTTTCTCGTGTAGAATACAATGGGCACACTATTATTATTTCTATCATCATTTTCTAACATGTCGCGAAGAAACCAACGGCTTCGAGAGAGGACAGAATCCCTTTCGCCTGTGGCAACAGGGGGTGGACTTCTCGGCTGGCTGGTCTAGACAAGGACCACGTTCATGATTTGACTCACTGCCACGACGTCAACTAGCCAGGTCTCCATCAAGAAGAGCTGAATCATTGACGGTGAAGAGCACCCTGGCAATCTCATTTCCGTCAGAGTTTTCTTCCCAAAAGTTCACGGTTAGCGGGTTGAGCGTCCCCGGGCCGAAGGGTATAGCGAAGGTAGATATCATGGGCGTGTAAGAGGGCCTACTAAGTATTTCAACGGGCGCTTAGACTAGTTCGCGCGCGTGTGTGTGTGTTAGTCATAACCTTACCAGGGGAGGGGGGGGGTTCACGGCCACATTGAACCTTTTTTTGTGTGATTTGGCCTGCTTTTTCGCAACCGAAGGATGGGAAAATGGGTATTTGTGTGGACGGGACGAGGGTTTGGTCGATTTGGCGATGTGTCGGTGTGTGAATTTGCATGGGCGGTGTTGAAGTTGGGTTGTTATGATCCATGTCCCGGGGACCCAGCCGGGCGGGCTAGCGGGGAGAGTATTTGCAAGGGGTGAATAAAAACTAAAAAAAATAGAACGACGAGATGTGGGCGGCCGTGGTTCACGACCCTTGGTTGACGCAGCGGTTTGGTGGAGTTTAGGCCGAGTGACCGGGGGGGGTGGAAGAAACGTGGGTTGTGGGTTTTGTTTGGCGGTTTACCTTGTCTTTGGGTTTTTGGGTCTCTGGACCTCGAGACCGAGGGATGACGATGATGGGCCCGTGGGAAAGGGTTGCGGGATATGTGTTTCGTCGGGGTGGCTTGGTCGATGTGATGGCGAAGCAGGGGGACAGACCGACGACGTGGCCCCCATGGGCCCGTTTCTTCCCTTTACCGCTTCAACACCCCGGTCGACGATGTTTTCTGGAGGAGACTCGGGGGATCTCGAGGTTTTGCGAGGTAAGAGAAGCCTGCCGTCGGTAGGACGTGGTATGCCGTCCACCTTGGGGGTTTGACAGCATGGACGGTGACGGGAGGAGACTTGCAGCTGTGATTGTGGACACTGCGACGATCAAGTGGTGGGGCGAGGGTGTACAATATGCCTTGTCGTGGTTTTCAGTCCATCATCTTTGTCTGTCTGTGTGGTTGAGGATTGTCGTGGGGACGGGGGCGTGGACGGTGTGTGGTAATGCGATGCGGTGCGGTGGGATGCGATGCACGGGGGTTGCGAAGCGGAAGGAACAGACGGCCGCAATTAGTCTCCGAGTCAACTAATGTCATCCCTTGGAGCTTGGACTTGCTGTGTCCGGGTTGGCCCGGGACTCGAGTTGACTTGACGGGAAGAGAGGATGGGATGATTATATGCAGGACGTCAACTGCTTGGTTACCTTAGTTTCTGAGGCGGGTATGTCTGAGAGGTGCAGACGTGGCGAGGGGGGAACAGGACCCTTGTTGCTCTGACCTTAGACCGTTTGTCGACGCGGGTTTGGGACGAAGAGGTAGTTGGTTCCGAAGACTGGGATAGTCTTTGAGGGAGGGAACATCTAGTTGCGGACGGGTTGCGTACTGTATACTGTCAGCCCCGTTTTGTTCAGTGGTGGGTTTTGACGTCTGGGCATGTGGTTGTGTGGTTTTGTGTGTGTGCATGTGTATGTGTGTATGTGTGTATGCGTGTGTATGTGTGTCGGTATCTTTTTGGTCAAAGTTGTGGGGACTCAAGTTGCGCTGCCTTCCAACACATTGGATAAGAACGCAGATGGGCCAGTGAAGTTTTGGATGCCCGTATGCAAATGCGCAACAGCAACAACAATAACAGAAAAGGTGGGTGGCTCATATGATTCGTTCGGTTGGTGTTCCCATACCTTCCCCAAAAGTCACGGCTACGGCTGTACGTAGTGGCGACATGGGACTTGGTCCGGCGCAGGCGGATTGCGCAACCGACCTTACTGGTCAATGGGGCAGGCTGCGATTTACAATAGACACACCGACGATGCGCAGTGCAGGATGGAGAATGCATGCCCTCGTTGTGTGGATCTCGCCTGAGGACCGAAATAAAGAGTCATCATCGCACCAGCCGAGCCGGTGACGCTACTGCAATAGGCCATGTGCGGCAAGTCAACACCCTTGAACTCTCTCTGGCTCTGCTTTTTTTTTTTTTAGTAACCTTTGCTAGACTCGGTCCACATACCTACGTAGCTAGCTATCTACCGGTACTTACCTAGGTACTTACACCACCTGCTGTACTCCGTACGTTTGCCAAGGCGACATGTACGTCTACGCGAGGGGATCTGCGAAAACGGGTGAATGGATGATATGGTTTGCAGGTTACGGATTAAACGGACTGCCTCCTCGGCTGTTATCGTGGGCAAGACGGAGGCGAGAAGTGACGGTGAGAGAGAATATCAGCGCAAACAACCATCCAGCTCCATCGTACTATACATAACCTTCCTTTATAGGCTAGGAGGGAGAGCTTTCTATCTACGAGCGTCGCTGGAAATGCCGAACAACAACATGGGTATCTCGCACGACGAGGAGGGGATTTTCCAAAAAGCCAAGTCTAGGACGACAAGCGAGCCATGTTAGCGGACCTTTTTCCCCCCCAGCAGAGTTGCTTGAACTTCATGCTGGTGGGTTCCCTCCGGCTCAGCAGCCAAGCAAGAAGACCAGGGAGGTGCTTTCCCTGTCCTGTCCAGCGCAGTGCGGATCGTCCATGGGATGCCATCGCCTTCCCCCCGGGCTAAGTCTACACTAGTCGTGGGCCGTGGGCAGCGCTTAAGACTCGGAGACTGGACTCCACGAAATGACTGGTCGTCGACGATAGACGCGCTCCCGTCGGCACCCGGAGCCCATGTCGCGTGGATTTCGCGTTTCGAGCGAATTAGATGTCGAGGGACGACCAGCCTCTAGGATTTTGGACCAATGGAGCGCCGTGTTTACCTTGGTTTGACGTCCGACTGCGTAGTCCCCGGCGCGCCGGTGGACATGTCTGTGGGGAAACCGGGCTGGAGGGGAGGGATCCACTGAATCGCTGTGCTAGGTAGGGCACGCTTATCGATAGCGCTTCTCCCGCACAAGCACAAGCTTACCTTACCTGGGCTACTACTACTTTTGGACTTTCTGCAGATCCCGGGACTTGTGGGCAGATAAGTCGAGGCAGGGCAGACTGCCTGCCACTCTTTCCCTGCAGAGTCCCGCAGCAGACGGGCCAACGGTCTCACCCACCAGAGGCCCTCGACCACTGGGACCACTTGAAACAAAACTTCTTGGCCGTCGTTGAGGGAAGAGGGTGTGGCTTCCTGCTTCTAGCTGCAGCGCTACTGCATCTCCCACGACCTTTGGACTCTTTCCTTCCTCTACTAGGTACTTGCCTGCTATGCAGTACCTAGGTAGGTAGGAAGAGCTCTCCATTCCCATCAATCCTCTTCTGGCTTCTCCTCCCCCCGCTCTCGAGCCCGCTCGTCTTAGTCCCGTCACCGTCGCGCGCGATATGGACCAACCACGACCCCCCGACACGTCGTCAACTCGTCCTGTTCTGTACACGCCTTGGGACGCATCGGGGGGGTGGGCAGTGATGCTCGACGTGTGTAGACGTGTGGGCGTGCGAGGCTCGCGTGGCCAACAGCCCTTCTCGTCCAGTCCTTTTTCTCGACTCCCCATCCTGGGACGTCCTGGGACGTGTTTCCCCCCAAGCAGACAGCCAGAAAGTGGCCATCCCGCGCTCGCGCCTTTTCCCTGGTCTCTCTTTTTTGTGTATTGTATTTGCTGCTAAAGTCTGTCCCCATGGAACCCGTGGACTTACACTTCCACGCTAGTCTTGCATATGCAGGTCTCGACAGACATGACTCACCCGCCAGTCGTTCCCACCGACGAGCGACGGGACGATGCGGGTAAGGGGGGCTGGTCGCTCAGCTTTTTTCTCTTCCGCCTCTTGTCTTGAGCGTGGCTGTTCTGTATCCATTTTCGCGCGACGCAGGAAAGAAGAGATGGGAAAAGACAGGGTTCGATCGAGCCTTGTCTGTGCCCCCCGGCCGAATCAGTCCCCTCTCTCTCATCCGAGTCTCAAGAGGAAACAGTATATATCCCGCCGCTTTCTCCTCTTCACTCCCCTTTCTTGTTGGCCTAATTTTGAAGATCTGGTTTACCCTATCTTTGCTTGTATCTATTTTCCTAGGAGGTAATTGGAACCCTCTTTGTTGTACCAAAGCTCTTTTGTTTTATACCCGACTGGTATCTCATCCCAGTCTCACATTATCATCGAACCCGAATCTGGTTGAGCAAGAAGAACGAGTTGTGGATAACCACCACTCGAACATTGACGAAGGAACTCATTTCATAAGAAAGAAACAAGGAGAGAAGACCAAGAAACCAAGCAAGGACGCAAGAAAGAAAGAAGAAAAGAAAGAAAGAAAACCATCTTCATAGTTCTTCCTCTATCCCGGGAACCCCGTCGTTCTTCATTTCTGAAATCGAACCTCCAAGCCAACCCCACACCCATCTAACTGATAACTACTTACAACATTTTGATCAATACACCAAGTCCGGCAACGACAGCCCGACTCTGGAGATAACGATAAGAAAAAACAACAAGCCCATCATCATTGAATCCTCGACAACAGCCACCCAGAGCCTGCGTCCCGCAACGACATGAGAAAGCCATGGCAGCGCTCCCAACCCCGTTCTACTGCCTCTGGCAGAAGGAACACTCGTCCCTAGGCTCCAAGGTCCTCGACCTCCTCCCAAAGCGCGACCTCGCGTCCCTCCGCCTCGCCAACTCCGCCTGCTGCAACATCGCCACGAAACCCCTCTTCAAGCGCATCCGCGTCACCTTCTCCGCAAACACCTTCACCAAGCAGTCCCGTATCCAGGCCCTCGCCCGCGTCGGCCACCACGTCGAGCACCTGCACTTCCACTTCGCCCACTCTGAAGCCACCTTCCTCCCGCCCCTCGTCCACCCCGCCACCGGCCGCGAGATCTGCTTCCTCTACACGCCACACACGAGCATGGCCTCGGTCCTGGCCCGGCCAAAGTACGCCAACACAGAGCTCGGCGAGATCCTGACCCAGCAGTACCCGCCTCTCTTCCACGCCGCCACCAACGTCCCCAGCTTCATCAACGCCATGCGCTACCTCGTCAACATCCGCCACCTGACCATCCGCTGCCCGGGCCAGGACCCGCAGGAGCGCTACCGCCGTGACATCGTCGACTACGCCATCATGAGCCTGCGCATCGCCGTCGAGCGCGCGCCCCTCGAGCGCCTCGAGAAGCTCTCCCTCTCCGGCATGCACCCCTCGGCCTTCAACTACCTCCGCCACGTCCCCGGCTTCGGCGCCGTGCCCTCGGCAGGCCGCCGCTGGAAGCAGATCCGCAAGCTCAACATCTCTGTCGAGGCCTGGGACTTTTATGGCCCCTCCCCTGGGCTCGACCACCTCAAGATCATGGACGACTACATCCGCCAGTTCTCCGGCACGCTCGAGAAGCTGCACTTCACCTGGCTGGGGCCCAAGGGGCCTTGCCCCATCGCCCTCGCCGCCGACCCGCTGTTCGCGCCGCCAAGGCAGTGCAAGAAGCTCTTCAACGAGGTGACGTCGCCCATGTCGCCGCTGCCGCCCGCGCCGAGCCGTAAGCCCATGCACTTCCCGCGCTTGCGGTACATGCAAGTGCGTAACGCCACCATGACGGCTAGCCAGCTGTCGGACCTGGTCGACGCCCACCAGAAGACGGTCAAGGAGTACGACTTTGACAACGTCGTGCTCATTAACGGCGGCGACTGGGACGAGGCCCTGGCGCCGCTCATGGAGACCGCCAGCGGCAGCAGCAGCGACATCTGGTCCCAGCATTCAAGGACCAACTCCGAGGCCGATAGCCTCCACTCGGCCGAGGCGTCCCACGACGACGACCTCCCCTCGCCATCCGCCGCGGCGGCCGCTGCCACTCGAGAACTACTCGACTTTGACCTCGGCAGTGAACTATACGTTGACGACGAGTACGACCCGTACGACCCGTACGACCCGTACCAGGGCCTCGACGAGGATCTGGCCTCAGACCTCGCGGCCGCCAAGGAGGCCAGCACCTCCTTCAGCACAGTACTCAAGAAGAAGCGCGTCCATCGGCGCAGGAAGCACCGCAAGGACGACGGCGGTGGCGGGAAGGAGGGCTCCTCGTCGCGGCATCACGGGGGCCGGAGCCACAGCCGCCACCGCAAGCACAGGCACCACAGGGAACAGCCCCCCGTGCCTGAGGAGGACGATGTCTTCCGCCCGTCGACCCCTGTACCCAACATCACGGCACCCATCCAGGACATGTCCCCGCATCCCGTCCTGTTGCAGCCTGCCGTGTACGACCCCAGCGCGAACCGATACACGGACCCGGAGGACGGCATTTCCTCGGTGCAACGGAACATCGAGCAAGAGGAGGCGCACCGCATGCTGGCCGAGGACGCGGCGATGCGGGTCAGCGCTCTGCGCAAGGCCAAGGCAGCGGTGCTGATGAAGCTGACCAAGGAGTTCACGCGCAAGGGCACTCCGGCGCCCGCGGCAGGGAGGGACAACTGCGGGCTGCAGATGCGGCTGAGGGAAGGGCTGTTTGGGAGGAGCTTTGTGAGTGTGTTACCCGACGACCGGACCATGTCAAGTCAGTCGGCAATAGTCCCGCTCATGGTGATGCGGTAGACGAGGACGGGTATGATGATAATGATGCTCTAACGACCCTATGTATCTGTTATGTTTGTCGGGAACGCGACGGCGCTGTGGGATCCTCCCTTGCATGGGACTTGGCAGGTCGGAAAGGCGAAGGCAAAGGGCAGGCAGGAAACAGACCGGGAAAGGTCTGCCGGAAACGAACGGTCTTGGTATTATGACCGACGGCAAAGAACTGGGAGGGAGGGCATTATGACTTTGTAATGACTTGACGACATGACACTTATTTTCCTTCAATGTGAATTTTTTCCCTAGTGTTTGGAGGGAGGCCATGGGTGATCCGAGTGCTCGGAGGGAAGACCGAAAAAAAGAAAGAAATGAATACAAACACAAATACAAACTCTAAACCGTTTCTCCTGAGCTTTCCCTTCTCCGTCAAAGACGTTTTCTCTAATGCCGTGAAAACGCGGGCGAGGCGCGCGTGTGTGTGTGTGGGTGGGTGGGTGGGTGACAAGCGCCGAGGACGGGGGACCGAGTTTGTGAGCGGGCAGGTGCGCGGCGCGACGTCGGCGAGGTCTTTGCGCGGGCGGGGTGACCGGGAAAAGGCCCTGGACAGAATCGTGTGCAGTGTTTCGTGGGCACGGCCGGTGGCGCTCGCCAGCAGGAAACACGCGCGCCTGGATATTGCTGTTGTGCTGCTTCCAGAGACACACCATGTCCCTGCAGCGCAACATGCCGCTTTGGCGAGGTAGATAATCTGCCGGGGCTTGATAATGTCGGCAGGCAGGCAGGCAGGCAGACAGACAGACAGACAGACAGATAGTCGGACTGAACCATCGGAATCTCGACAAACTCTTCGTAAAACGAGCGGGGGATGGCATTTGTATACATTGGCCATGTCAAACATGACCCTACGGTGGGCGGAGGCTGAGGGACGTATCCAAGGCAATCCCTCTTAAGGTCGTACATGTACACAATAATACTCTAATACCGGTACAGTCCTGGTAAGACCTCCCCCCTGGGACGAGCTGACTGACGCCTCCGCGATGAATGCAAAAGAGGCAAAGCCTGGCCAGCGGCGATGATTTGGGGTTAGACAAGAGTGTCGGCCTGGGCCTGAGCAAGCCACGGGAGCCGCTTTCGTCCGAGGCGTCCGTAGATAGCACCCTTTCCCACATCGTAGCCTCATCTCCGGGGCGGGAGGGTCATATCTCTTGTCATCTGGCATCCAGCAGCATGCCAGAGGGGGATGAGTCCTGAGGCAGCACCGGGAGTGAAAACCATTGGCTCGCGTTGCAATGGGGGGGTGAGTGATGGTTGCATTGTCAAGGGAGCCTGGGGAACCAGGGGTGGAACGCTGGCTAAGCGAGCAGGGGTGAAGGGGCGAGGAGGGGAGGAGGTCGGAACATGGGATTTCGGCGCAAGTGGCTTCTGTCTGGAGAGGACGAGATGGGGGAAAACGGCCGCAAAGCGCGGACCACGACCAGCACCGTTACCCAGTGGCCTGCGACGTGAGATTAAGAGAGGGAAAGGAAAAGGAATACCTCGATGACCCGCCGAAATGAGATCGCTGGCGGGCTCCTCGAGCGTGCACTGCATACTGTAAAGGTGGGAGGGAATGCCTTGGCTGCATAGATACAGTATTCAGTGGATCATGGATTGAATAATGCAAGAGGGCATGGGAATGTCGCCTTCCCCGACAACATGCACATAACAGCAGCCGCGGCCGTCTGAGAGCAAGGCAGGTGAAAGAAAGATTGTGGATGACGAGTGAGTGATTGAGTGAGAAAGTGAGCAAGTGAGCAAGTGAGTGAGTGAGTGGTCGGGTGATGATGAGTGAGCGAACCGGTAGGACCATCGTGCGCGGCGGCTGTTCTCATGAGACGACGAGGCAAGCATTGCCCGCCCATTGCACCGTGTTGCAAATCGCCGCAAATGCTGCCAGAGACGCGAATGCCATAGTCAGGGCCTAGACTGGCTGTGGACCTCTCGACTTTATCAGTCGGGACACGGACTCCCATTCCTCGTCCCGAGGAGCCACAAGGAGCCGGGGTGCCTGTCGGGTGTCGGCATCTGGACGAATTGAATTCACGGCTACGCTGATCGCTGATCTGTCTCCGGGAGACTGGTGAGAGACTTGAGAGGGACTTGTGAGGGACTTTGGGGGGGCTTCACTTCTCTTCTTTCCTTTCCTTGTCCTTCTGACACCCGCTCCGGGCAACCAACCACTTCTACCAACATTCAAAACACGCAACGCGTTTTCGCCTCAGCCAATCCGTACACCGAACGGCTCTGGCTTCCCGATTTCTAAGACCTCCCAGGCCTCTGAAGACTGTCCCCTCAAGCCGTCCGCCCCAAGCGTCAGTCGACCACTTCTTCCCCCCTTTCAGTCTGAGCGACTTGGCGATCTCGCGGGGAAACTCGTGGAATAGAAGGGGGCTGCTCTTCTCATCCAAGTCGCCCGTGTATTATTCTACGACGTTTGTGTACCTATCTATACCCTTTTCCTTCGTCCGTTCTTCAACGACTCGCTCTACCGTTCTTGGCTGAGACGAACGACGGAACTTAGAAAGGCCGTGGGTTGACCCAAACCTAATACATCCTTGCGAGGGGTCCCTTTTCAAGCCATGCGTGCTCATCGGCACTCTGCTGCCGCCATTAGCAGACGTAGCCCGGAATGGTCCCGTATCATCTACGGCCGCCTACGTATGGTTTGGGGGGGGGGGGGGGGGGGGGGCTCAACAACACATACCCGTTATTCACCAAGCTTCGCCCTGGTGAGACGCTATCCCGGTAGCGTCTTCCACGTGTGGTACTGGGCGCTCGCTAACGTAGCAAACCAAAAAACGGGCGAGCTCTGGGAGCGTCCTTGCGTACACGCATCCCCTGAGCAGGCGGGAAGACGGCCTCGCAGTGTGTATAGCCCAGCTAAGGTAAGTAAGGCAGCGCAAGCCCGAGCGATGCCGTAACTACCGGTATATTCGTACGTAGTTCTCGTAGCCGCTTCCATCACACCGAGCGACAGGAGTCCAAGTGTCGCTCCTGACACGACGTCCTATTCAGCCGTGATAACCGCGCCGTCATAGCCCGTGCAGAGGGGGGGACCATGACCGTCTCGTCTCGTCTTTGGCATTAGGTGATGACTGTGGTTGTCGTGTCTTGGTAATCTCGCGAGGCCTTGCCGTCCACTCCGTTCGTGGATGAATCCCCGCCGACGAGGCAGAGGAGAGAACCCGCCATGTTCGGCATTAGAAGGGCCATGTATCCTGCACTACATGTTTTTTTTCTTTTCTTTTCTCAATGGCGCTAGTCCGAAGCGAGGTAAAAGCTGCGTACCTCGCAAGTACTGCCGTAGCAGCAACCTACCCGGGGCCTCCCAGCTCCTCCCGTAGCTCCACCCTCGGCCGCTGGTCATCTTCTTTCTGGCTCGCCCTTCTCAGCCCATCCCGTTCCACTCAGTCATTCTCTCCAACCGACAACCAAGACAGTCAGTCTCTCGCCCGCAGCTCAAACCCCTTCCTTTTGTGACGAGTTCGCAAAATCGACTTTTGCGTCCTCCACCTTCATTTCGACTGCTGGAGCATTTTGGATCCCCCTTTCGCCGGCCCTTTCACTCACCAGAACACCAAGGACGTAGACCTTTTGCCTAGTCCCCCCCCTGCTCCTGCTTTTGTGGAGGGGAAAAAAAAAGGAACTGGGTCTTTGGGGAGATTGCGGATACCACCTCGACACAAATCACCGCGATCGTCGATCGTGCAGTTCACTCTCGGGCAACCGCGTGCCAAGCAATTCAAAGACTTGTGTTTTGCGATTCTCTCACTTGATAACACATCGTGGCGCTAGTCAACAGGAATTTCCGGGACACGCCGCTGCAGACGATGAAGCCCGCCCAGACACTGCCAGACTCGCCTTTATAGTCTGTTCATCATGGGCGTCAGGATCGCCATTCGGGAACAGCTCGCCTTCCTTGTGGTGGTTGCTGTCCTTCTTGGCTTGATGATTCTGTCTGTCCCTGTCTGGATATACGTCAACAAGTTCGTCACCGAGGTCGAAGGACGTGAGCTCGCCCTCACTGCCTCGCTCAAGGCATCGCGCGTCTCTGCCGAGCTCGAACTCCTCCAGTCCAGCATTGTTACCATCTCGTCCCGAATTCTGATTCAAAACTCCCTGTTCGACTTCTACGGCGGAAACGACACGGAGGGGAATTGGGCCCAGGCCAAGGATGATCTCAACAGTGCTCTGAGTGTTGGCGGTCTCAATGGGTTGCTACAAGGGAGGATCTACTCGAGAAACACCACTGGCAACGTTCACGGTCTGCTCAATGTCACCGGGGAGGGAATCCCCCGTATTCCATTGCCATATGGTGGCTCCAATGGACAGCCGGCCTACCTCTCCGATACCCCTGAGGGCTACCTGACTGCCCTCTACCCAAACATCACCTACACGGACCTTGGACGTCCTAACCAGTACAGAAACAACACCCAGGCCTTCGCTGCCTTTGCCTTTCCCGGCGTTCGCATTACGGCAAACGGTGGCTTGTTGCTTGGCCCCGTGGTGATCAACGAGACAACCGCCCTCATGTCCATCACTGTTCCGATCCGCTATAACCTGCAGCCAGACTTCGTACTAGGATATATGACACTCGTCGCCACGGCAAACTCTCTGATCAGTATCCGCAACTCCCGCGAAGGCTTGGGCAGTACAGGTATAGTGCTGCTCGTCGGGCCCACAACCCAATCCAACAGGTTCCCCTCAGACCAAGCAGTCAGCAACGCAACGTATCTGCCGGACAGTCGCAAAATAGGCGAGGTGCCAGTGAAGTTTGTGCTACCGCCCAACCCCTTGTCCGGTCAAGCCGATCGTCACAGCAAACGAAGCTCGGCGAACAGCCAAGACGATAAGCCATTTCCCATGAAGTCCTACCCGGCGGTTTTCGATTCTTTCGCCAAAAGATTCGCTTCCCCCAACAACTCAAGCTCCGTGCTCTCAACAAAGAACGAACAGGGCTATCCGGTCGCCGTGGGTTTCGCTAGAACCAATACCGCCCTCGTTAACTGGACAGTCGTGGTAGAGCAGGCCAAATCAGAGGTCGACCAGCCCATCGACACCTTGCGGAACATCATGTTGGGATGCGTCTTCGGCACCGCGGGTCTCGTCATCATCCTCATATTCCCCTGTGCTCACCTCAGCGTGAAGCCGATCAGACGACTCAAGACAGCGACGGAGAAGTCGGTCCAGCCCCCAGGCTACGAGGATGGATACTATTCTGATTTAGATGGCGGGACCCCCTGCTCAGGTGGGCTATCGTCTCGGTCAAAGCGGTCAAGAAAGGACGGGTTCATCGCGAGCATCTACCAGTTGGTGCGTTACAAGCATAGGGAGAAAGTTGCCTCCGACCACGACCGCGATTCAACCCGCCGCATCTTCAAAATCCCTGGCAAGGTTGAGAACCGCAAGCATTTCATCACCGACGAGCTCACCGAGCTGACAGAGACCTTCAACGACATGAGCGATGAGCTATTTAAGCAATACACCTCACTGGACCAGAAAGTCTTGGAACGGACGAGAGAGCTCGAGATCAGCAAGAAAGCGGCTGAGGCCGCCAACGAAAGCAAGACGCTGTTCATTGCTAACATATCTCACGAGCTTAAGACTCCACTGAACGGTATCCTTGGGATGTGCGCTGTTTGTATGGAGGAAAACGACATTCTGAGGATTAAGCAGTCTCTCAAGACGCTTTACAAATCAGGTAAGCTGAGATTGCTATATCGTTTCGTTTTGATGAAGCCAACAAGTTACAGGCGACCTGCTGCTTCATCTGCTTGAAGATCTCCTTAGCTTTTCCAAGAACCAGATTGGCCAACAGCTCAACCTGGAGGAGAGGGAATTTCGCCTGGCCGACATCAAGTCGCAGATCCTGACCATCTTTGATAAGCAGGTCAAAGAGGGTCGGATCACACTAACTGTCAACTTTCTCGCTCTCGAAGCCATAGAACTTGGCAGCCCCGAGAGAACAAGCACAGACAACAGGCTGCCTGCCCTTGGCCCACACGGTACCGGCAGACTGAAGGACATGTGTCTCTGGGGCGACCAACACCGCATTCTTCAGGTTATCATCAACCTAGTGAGTAACAGTGTCAAGTTCACGCCGGCGGGTGGTAGGGTAGATGTTCGCATCAAGTGCATTGGCGAGGTGGAAACTCCGCCAGCGAACGACGGCAGCCGCTCTTCGTCGTTCTCCAAGGATTCCCGACGACACAGCCGGCCCCGGCACCGGCTCGGTTCCAACTCCAGCCAGTCTGTGATCTCAAAGGGAGGTTCAACTTCTGAGCCTGTTAAGGGCACTGCCTTGGTTATTAACCCGATGGAGCCCAAGTCGACACCGCACATCTACGTCCAGGAACGGTCTCCCACACCGCCGCCTCCCGGAGCAAAGGCGTATCTTTTCGAATTCGAGGTCGAAGATACCGGTCCGGGTATTGCTGAACACATGCAACAGAAAGTTTTTGAACCTTTCGTGCAAGGCGACTTGGGATTAAGCAAGAAGTATGGCGGGACGGGTCTCGGCCTGAGTATCTGTCATCAGCTCGCGACCCTCATGGGAGGCTCCATTTCCCTGAAGAGCACCGTTGGGGTTGGCACGACTTTTACCATGCAGATTCCCCTGAAATACGTCAAGAACAAGTACGTCTCCTTACCAGCAGGACAGAGGACAAAATGCTAACGTGAGCGTATCACAGGGCATCAAGCACCGCCTCCAGCAGTGTCAATTCTCGAACTCCGAGTGTTGATGCCATCGACAAAATTGAGAGCACCCAGAACTCGAAACGCAACTCTGGCGGAACCCCCGTCAAACCGCCCATCAAGCCAGCTAATGAGACCAATGCGAAAAATCTCCTGGATCAGCAGCCAAGGCTAGTCGGTCTCAGTCAGCCGTTCTTTGCATCCAACCCAGCACCGAAAGGAAAGCGAAACTCTAGGGATCAGATGGCAGTAATCGACAAGGCGATGGCCACCAAGGCCAATCCGGAGGTAAAACTACGAGTGCTTGTTGCCGACGACAACTCGACGAATATTGAGGTCGTCAGCAAGATGCTGAAGCTTGAAGAGGTCTACGATGTCACCGTAGCCAAAGATGGCCAGGAGGCTTACGACCTTGTCAAAGCAAACATGGATAACAACAAGGGTTTCGATGTCATTTTCATGGACGTCCAGATGCCGAACCTCGACGGGCTCCAGTCCACGAAACTCATTCGCAAGATGGGCTACACGGCTCCCATCGTTGCATTAACGGCTTTCTCGGAAGAGAGCAACGTGAGGGAGTGCATGGAGAGCGGCATGAACGAGTTCCTCAGCAAGCCTATCCGACGCCCAGCATTGAAGCAGGTTCTCAAGAAGTTTGCCACGATCCCGGAAGAGCCCGAAACGACAAGTCTGACCAGAAAGACGACGCCGGAGCGAGCCACGTCCGAGAAACTAAAAGAAGCCAATAGCGGTACCGCCCCGGAGTTGAACGAGAAGGGGGATGCGATCCACCCAAACGGGAACGGAAACGGGAACGCAATCGCGGCGGCATCCGAGCAACCTCTGTCAGAAAAGGGGGCATAGTAGACGTTTAATGACTTTTTAGCAGTGGGCAGGATACCTCCCCCTTTGTTTTTCTCATTTTTTTTCGTTTTGAGATGCGTTGCTACACATTGGATTCCCCCTTTTCTTTCGTCTGGCGACGTGGAAAAGTTGGCGTAAGGGCGTATTACAGTTTTGCTATTTCTTCTCTTTTCACTTCATTTCTTAGTCTCCCTTGATCGTCTACTGTATTCGTAATGAACCCCGCCCAGACTGGGATCGCACTGATTTAGGCTTTCCTTGCAAGTCGGGCCTGGGTATATGGCAACATTCTGTTACTTCTGGGAGCGAAAACGGGTTGGGGTGGTAACATTTGCAGCGAAGCAAGCGGAAAGACGGACGAGGAGGAGCCACGCAGGTGGACATGGTGTCTTGCTGCTCAAGGCTGGGCAGTGCAAGGGTATTGTAGTTCAAATGTTGCGGGAGGCCACCCGGGATCTGTCTCTTTGGAGACGAGCACGAAAGCAAGAAGGCGAGAGAGCGATGAAGTGTGGACATGAGTTGGTTTGAATTTTTCTTTTCATGCAGGGCGAGCGAGCAAGCGGCGTTCCGGGCGTACACGAAAAAAACACCCGGACATGAGATGAGTGCCATTCCCCCTCGATCATTCACACGGGATCGGGACGCGGAAGGGATTGGCAATACGAGAAAGGGCATGGCAACGGGACGAACGAGGCTGGAAACCGGGACGGAAACCCCCCCCCCCCCCAAGAGCTCTCTGCAGGAGAGAACAACACACGCGGGAGTCTGAAAAGAGGAAAGGAAAATCCTTGAACATAGATTACAATGTCGAGTAGATGATGAACGCACATATCCATCCATCATACTTCTTCTTCCACCATCCCCCGCGCCGCCATCAGGTCTCTCTCGCTTCTCGTCCTCTGCGTGCCCCACATCCCGCTCTTGAGCAAGTCCTTCACTCCTCGGACAGTGCTCGTCGCCTTCCTCGACGGCCGACGAAGGTCTCGCCGCCGTGCATTCGATGTGCTCAATAGGTAAGAGGAAGGGGGTTAGAGGGCTATCCAAGAATCCGCCAAGCCGGTGTTCGGAACCGATCCACGGGACGGGTTAATGGGGCTAGGACCCCCCCCCTCAACCTACCCACCCACCCATACACCTCCAGACCGTCGAACCCCGCTCCCGCGAGGCCAGCGCCCTTCTCCGCACTTTGGCCATCATTGGGCACACGAAGGAGTTGGGGGTACGGGGAAAGGGGAGACGGGTACCCCCGAGAGAGAGAGAGAGAGCGGGGGGATCGTGGTCCGAGGCATGATCAGGATGAGACATGCGAAGTCGCCCTCGGCCCTCGGCCGACGTCCAGGGCCAGGTTCTCGAACCCGGAGGACGGGAGAGAGGCCATGCCGGTATGACAAACCGGCATCTCGAGATATCAGAGATGCCCAGATATGATTACTGAATATCATTTTAACACACGGGGGGGCGGGGGGCGGGGGGCGAACGCGTGTGATGGAGAAGGCCGTAGGAGTTCATCATTCAACACAGTACTCATCCAGAACCAGGCTGAAGGTACGAATTTGTTGCTACTCGTTTCGTCACTGCGTACAGACCAGGAAAAGAGACAGGAAAAGCAGAAACATCACGAAAGGATCCCCTTGGCATGTGTATCCCCCCGGAAACCCAACTCCAGCATATATGTCCAGATCCAAACGCGTCGCTGTCAGATGACCGAATATGGACTCTTGGGAACCCAGGAAAAAACTCCCGACGTTGTTCATTTGACAACCCACACCTCGCCCCAGCCCTTTTAATCCTGTTTGCCATCCAGGACCAATGTCCGCATGCACCGTACCCTAAAACCCCCTCCCGTGCTTCCGTTTCCCTGCCAGCGCCACCTGGCAAGAAAACATAAGGGTATCGCCGCCATCGATCGAAACGACAGGAAAGAAAAAAGAAAAAAATAATAAGAAAATAGTAGGCAAACACTCGTTGCCAGCGTACAGGTTCAACGACAACGGGAAGGAAAACCAAACTCAGCAATAATCAAATAAAACTGAAGTAATTACTCGAACGTAAAAAAGGGAAAACAAAAATAAATTGAAAGACAATGGGCCGTTGAATGGTGCCCATGTCGTGAGCTGGCCGTGACAACTTCATCAGTGTGGAGTTGTTGTGCTTCAGCGGGTGTAGAGAGCTACCCTTGCAAGCTCTGATAAGCGGTGTTGAATCAGTGACTCCGTTTCGTCATAATGGCTCTGAAAACATGAGAGAAACGGGGAAGCGTGAACAGGTCATGCGCCAGTGTGGAGTAGTCCTCAGATCTCCATGTGGGCCACGACGTCCTCGCTCATGCGCCGTACCGGACTCTTCGGGTCAGAGTCGGTCTCGTCGTCCTCCTCTTCGTCGTAGAAGAAGCGCTCTTCAGTGTAGTCGTCGTCGGAAAACGGGACTAAGTCGCCGTCGGCACCTCGATTCCATAGGAAGCCGTCACTTTGCTCGTCGTCTTCGTCGGGTGCTACCAGTTCGGCGTCACGGTTACCGAGCCAGTACTTGGCGCGCTTGTTGGCACCCAGTGCGTCAAACTGGGCACCGCGCGTCCGCTTTACAGAACCGGAAAGCGCCGGTTGCAAGCGCGGCGATTGTGAAGAAACGACGGGAACGACTCGCACGTAAAGATAGGCGACTCGCTTCAACGCGCGATTGAAGAAGAAATAGTGAGCGGCCCAGATTGCAGACTCATCCTCTTCAAATGGGTCGACATCCGGGTTGTAGCTGAAGACGGTGCACTCGTTCAGGCGCATCTCCTTATCGATCTTGGACCAGCAGTGTGGGCCCCACACCGGCTTCGTCTCCGAAGACGTGGCCTGCTCGATTGGGTGAGCCTCAACATGGGGTCTGACATTCTGCAGGATCGAGTCCAGGTTTCCCATCACCCGCCGCAGATTTCTCTCCTTTTTGAAGTCGCCTGGTCTTAGAACGTGAGAAAAGTCGTAGTGCTGATGGCTCGCGTTCAGGGTCGCGATCAGGTAGGCAAATGTGCGACGACTTGAAAGCTCCGATAAGGGACCAAACGCGCTCGAGTGCGAGAACATTTGCATGTTGGGAGACGTTGCCAGCATGGCTTCGCGGTCCGGCGGCGACAGGCTGGCGCCGAGCTTCAGCAGGGCGGCATGTTGTGAGCTCAGATCCTTGTCAATGTTTTTATATAGTTTCTTGTCGGAGCCGGTCGACTTGGTCGTATACAGATCGCATCCGCCAGTGACATTGCAATCGGGGGTGTTGAAGTTCAGAGCGCCAGTGACGGCGTCGAAGTCTTGCAGCGGTAGGTACTGCGAGCTAGGTTAGCAGGGTGTCGCGGTGTAGGGTGCGACGCATTGCTGCCTGCTGTGAACAGCAGAAGAAGCGCACCTTCATTTTGATAGGTCTGGGTCAGGTGTGGTAAAGAAGATGAGGTGAGGCTTTGAGGCGCAGGCATTCGTAGACTGTCGTAAAGTGGCTGACCAAAACCCAAGGGCGCTCTGGCTAATGATCTGAGGGTTGCAGTGAGCTTATCGCCGGTATCGCGCTGCGATCAGGTTGTTGTGATGGAACCGTCGGATTCCTAAGTGCGAACGTGTCGAATGATGTCACGGGAGTTGGGCGTTGCGCCAGATTAAGATAGGGGTGGGTGCGGGTATCGGAAAGGCGGTGACCTGGATTCTAATGTGTGGTGATTCGAAAACCAAAGACGCGATAAGACGCAAGTGATGCGTCGCGAGAAGGATGGATGAAGTGGTGATGGAGAGGCTGCTGTCTGTGTTTCGATGGAAGCCGAGAGCCTGTGCCTGCTCTAGATAAGGCAAGGAGCGACTCGACCCTGTAGATCAGTTCGGTTCGGATGGATGAACGGAGACTAGACGCGATGCGCCTAGTAGTTGATCTGGTCGACAGACATTACTGAATAACGGATGGTGTCATGGGGGGGCGTATTGGGAAGTTGGATAATGATATGAGAGAGACGGAGGGGTAGAAGGAGAGAGGGATGGGGTGACGCCGTGAGTTTAAAGCGCGAAGCGGGAGCGAGCGAGCGGGAAGGGAGTCGGTAGCCGATGGTGGTGCTGTCGCAGAGCATACTCGCAGGTGCGGTGCCGGTATGAGGTGACGACTTACTTCCCTGGGGTGCGTGGTCTGTGTGGTCTGGGTGCTGAGTGCTGCTACACCGTGCTATCGCTGCTGGTTTATGGGTCCTGGGTCTGCCGGTATGTTCCCCGTGTCCGCCTGACAAGGTCCCCGCTCCAGTCACGTAGAAGCTACCGTATGGCAATGTTGAGGGTGGTCCAGTCTCAAGATAGGAACTGATAGTGAATGGGACCGACGGGGGGGCCTGTGACAAAGCATATCTTGCTCGACACTCTGCGGAGTCCTTGGCACCGGATTCGCGGGGGACCGCTTTGGAAGTCGGGGACCAGCCCCTGTTCCCTTGCTGCTTGTTAGAAGGGGGGCGCCCCTTTTGTTCCTACTCCTCTCCTTTGGAGAGCTAACAGTGGGTCGTTCGTCAACTCTGTCGAGTCCACGCCGCACCCGGATGGGGGAACAGGCGGCAATCTCCAAGCGAATGAGGCGCCGTCAAGAGACCACGAGGGCTTGTAGTCCGTTTCGCGACATGACTTCATACTGTCTCTGGCAACATGAAGAATTGGAGGTCCCTCTTTGTGTTCGTAAAGCTCGTCTATTTGTTAATTGTTACGGCTTTTGCGTGGAGCGCATTGCTTCTCGAATGACGCCGCCCACCCTGGCCCCGTGTCTGGCTTCTATGTCTTCTCTGGACGAAGCGAAAACCCGGAATCGACAGGCTTTGTGGATGCGACTGTGCAACCCGCACCGCTCGATGTTCTTCTCTTGATATGGAGAAGGTGGTTTTCCACCTTCCAAGATCTATGCACACAAAAGACCACCTGGGCCACTCCTTTCATATCCGCACAGGCGCGTGTCTTCTTCGTTGCGCATCAGCCGCTTGTTCTCCTGGCATGTCATGCATCTGCCTGGTGCCCGTCACCGGCCAATTGGACCTTTTTCTCAGAGAATACCGCTTTTCTTGAGAGACGACGTGACCGCTTCCGTTTCCTGCATACGTGGTAAAACGCCCATTAGCTAAAAATGCTCGCCAAAGCCATGCCAAGCATGGCTAACGCAACACATATATATAGGTTGTGGATTCGGTTCGGGGCTTGTCGTTTCCGAGCATCAAGTCGCAATCCAGTGGATAGATACACATTGAAGCTGGGTTACATAATTTTTGTAACTTCGTCCTCGACCTGAAGGGGTTAGGGAAATATGGTCAGCCCAAGACTTGGTCCGTGGCGCGCAGCTGCAATTCGTCGTCTTGAAGGCAGGTATATCAATCTGAAAGCAAGTGTGAGCTACACGTACCTCCATGTCTTCGAGCGAGTCCTGTTGTGATATACAGCGCAGGACATTCTTTTTACTGCTTTCTTGCAGTTCCCCGGCCAATAGCAGCTCATCCAAAATGTAATAGGCTTTTGTGAACGAGAAGATGATATCAAGCTCGCAGACGTTGCCGTAGTACTTGTCCATCTGCTCGACGTAGCGGTGGATGATTTCGAGGGTGATCAGCTCATTGTCTTCCGAGGCGGCGCCGGCGATGAAGAATAGCGAGGCATATCTGCGGTAAACAATCTTTGAATCTACGTGAAACATGTCAGGCAATGCTCGGCTACGATACTGTCGGACTCCGATGGTAACTGACCCTTGTACTCGAGGAAGTTGCACATACGGGTTCTACGGGCGAGAACCAGCTGGGAGACGTCCTTGACAATCTTGGCCTTCTCCCTCGGCGACAGGGTGGTGAACCACTTCGCAAGGCGCTGTACAAATGATTTGTTAGTTAAGGTAGCTGTCTGTATGAAGGGGAATAACCCGTACCACTTTGCCCTGGCGAGAAAGAAGAATGAGGTAGCTGCATCATGGGTTAGCTGTCTTGCTCATATGCACCGACAAGGATGGCGAGGGGGGGCGAACGCACTGGATAGCCATGATGATGCTCTCACATCACCACAACGAGGTGTACAAGAGGAAAGGTCGAGGGTGTTGAGGACCTCAGACTGGTGCCGTAGGCTTGTAGTCAAGCAGAGCAGACCGAGCTATGAACTGCGGTTGGCGACGAACTGCAAGATGTCGTGTGGTGATGCCCCTTTGTCACGTCAGGCTGGCAGGCTCAAGGTGTCCAGAATTGGTGGCAGGTGCGCTTTACGCTGTGGTGTCCTCAGGCAGGCACCCGATTCACCGAACCTCCTTACCTACCAATTGTGGAAACCTGTCGCATCTGCATCATCAGGCAAACTGGGCACCTGTTGACAGCGGGCTTACAGAACCCAGTAGACGTATGGCAGTACTGGAAACGCCCTAGAGTAAACACTAGGGCGTTTTAACACGCTGACAAACCATGGGGACTGCCTTGTTTCGCTGTGCACAGGCCCTTGTGCAGAACAAAGCTTGTTCTTCAGTGGCTGGTTATCTTTGTGTGCCTCATATCGTCCTCCGATGCCGATGACACTGTCGGGTGGCCTGAGTCGAGTAGCCGAGCAGAGACTCATGCCAACGACGGCATGTGGCCGCAACCAGTGGGGGATTTGGGGGTTCACCCCCCTAGGGGAAGCGTAGCCTAGGTACATTGTACATAGGTACGGAAAGCAAATCACTTCCTGGCTGGCGCGTTAGGCGACACCCCACTGCACCGCTGACCTTCCCGGAGTTGCGCTCCTGCAGCAGGAATGGAGGGGTGGAAGGTGGGATGATGACAAAATGAGTGCCGCTACCACAACGAAAGGCCATGATTTTGCTTGTGTTGCGCTCTCTTCCTTCACCTCGGCCAACAAAACGAAAGAAACACTCTATCCACCTTCGAGTTCCAGAACCGTTTCTCGTCCTTCTAGAACTCGGCCCCCTCCTCGCCTGCACCTCACCGTTGCATAATAATTACCACATTCCCAAGCCCTCTAGCTCCGTTTTAGGACTTTCGATAAACGGTCTAGCATCCGCATGCTACGCCTATTATTAATCACCCTGTCTCCCCTGTGAATCCCGAGCGGAGCGCACCTATCCTTATCGGCGCCGCCAGATTCGGATTGTTAATCAACCCCTCCAACAGACTTTAGGAAGAAAGAAAAAATACTAGGTGCCAAACAGAGGGGGTAAAAGTGCTGAAGAGAGACAGAGACAGCCTCACAGTATTGCGCAATCAGAACTTCTAGCAACGCAATCTAATCCAGCCTACCGTGCCATCACGTCTGATATTTAGCCAACTTACCAAAAGTCGACTTCCACCACCATAACCGCCGTCATGACGAAACTCATTCTTTCCACGGGGTTTGTACTGCCTTCACATTTTCCCTTGTTGTGTTTGCATAAACTCGATCCGCGCCCTGATGCTAATTGGTGATCCTCCGCCACGTACAGAAATATTGTCTCAGGCGGCCCCTCCATCATTCGTAAACCGGGTGCCTACAGATCAAACCTTGAACTTACCAACTCGCTGCGAAGCAACTTCCTCGCCGCCCAGCAAGACTACTCGTCCACCGATGAGTCCTCGCCTATCGACGATGAGCCCGTCAACGGAAATGGCGCTCTAAATGGCCACTCGAATGGCTTCTCCCATCATTCCTCTGGTCGCACTGCCATCGACCAGTGGACCGCCCGTGAGAACGACATCCTCTACATCCCGCGCATAGACTGGTCCTACTCTGGCCTACAAGAGGAACCCGATAACTACGACATCACTGTGAAGCTGTTTTTCCTTCCCAATGCCCTGGCGCAGGACCGCGCGCAGTATGTTCAGGACGCCTTGAGCCTCGTGCGGAAGGAGTTGGGCGTCACGACGATAGATCTTCTTATCGCCTCCTTCCCCGGCATGTCGTTCGAGGGCGATTGCGAATGGGAGGCCGACACACGCAACGCCTCTCAGGGCAATATCGACGAAGAGGCTGCGACGTGGACGGTGCTGGAGGATCTATACAAACGCGGCGAGGTCAAGGCCCTCGGCATTTCCGAGTTCGGCACGGAGAAGTTGGCCAAGTTTATCAAAAAGGTCAGCGTCCGCCCGGCCGTCGACCAGATCAACATCAAGGACTGTTGCAGCGTGCCCCCCTCGCTGGCCAAGCTGGCCAAGACCGAGGGCGTCGAGCTGCTCGTTCACACCGACTGCACCGACATCCTTCCCCGCGGCACCCTCCGTGAGCTCCTCGGCCACGGCCTGCAGGGCGCTGGCGTCCTCGCCGACCCCGTCGAGGGTGAGGACGGTCTCGAGGGTGAGCTCACGCCGGAGTGGGTGGTCAAGTACACTGCGTTTGTGAAAGACCGGGGCGTCATTGAGAATAAGGGCTATTTTGCTGGCGCGGAGCTGGTTGAGACCTCGTAGGAGTGAATATTCCATGCTGTTGGACACATTTTTTCTTGATACCATGGCTTGGATATACAGCCTTCCTATAGATACATACTGCATAGCGTTTCTAATGTCTGACGACTCAGGGTCTCTTTGACGGCTTATACGAGGCTTCCCCTTTTGGTATCCATTAAGAGTCTCATCTCTCGAAGACGTCTCTTTTATTTCATTTCATTTTGCATAAACATCCCTTTTTGAGCTTCCGCTTTCACGGTGACGCAGCCTATTCCCTCAGCAGAGTCTCGGCGAGCCTCTTCCCCCTTTCGCCGCCAAGGTAAATGTCGTCGTCGACGCTCTCCAGGCCCATTTCGACCGCCTCCTTATACCCCCTGACCACCAGCTCCTCCTCGACTCTCAGCCCGTTCTCTACCAGCGCCAGGATGACGCTGCGTATCCGCGCGATCTCGCGCATCGTCTCGGTGTCAATCCGGTCGTTCTGACTCGAGTAGACGTTGGCACTAACACTCTCCTCCATGCGGTTGAGCCCTACGCTCTCGGGCACGTCGCTCTCGACGTGCTTGCTAATCCAGATGAAGCCGTTAACGCCCAGTGTGACATGCACCTTGCTCGCGCCCCGCGCTGCGTCCATGACCCACTGCTGCCGCTTGGCCCGCACGACGCCGCCGCCGCCGCCGGTGCCCGTAACGGCGACAAAGACGCCGTTGCGCAGCTTGCCGTACTTGAGGGAGCGCGTGTGCAAACTGGCGGCGCCGTCCTGGTGCAGTTGCTGGACCTCGGCCACCACTAGGTCGCCTTCGGCGAAGAAGGACCGGATCTGCAACTCGTCCGTGTCGGTGCGCTTGCGGAGGATGCCGCCAGGGAGGTTGATGGCCGAAATCTGGAGGATGGCGAGCTGCGAGGAGCCGACGTCGACGCACCAGCGCTTCGCTTGGACCTCAACGATGCGGCCGACGACCAGGTCACCAATCTCGGGGGTGTAGCGGGCGCGGAGGGGGCGGACGGAGAGGAGCTTGTTGGTGCGGGTCACGGTGCCAGCGACGGAGGAGACGATTTCCGTCGTCGTGGGGGTGATGTAGGTGCCGTGGCCTCTGTCTCGTTTGTCAGTTTGGGCGAATCCTGCTGTGCAGCGCAAGCAAGGAAGAGCTCATGGGAGAATGCCAAGAGGGTCGGTCAAGAGCAGAAGAGCGAACAAACCTCATCCACTGGGGGTCATCGGTGATGACCTCACCCGGTGTGACAATCTCGTAGTTGTCGCCACGGGAGCGCTTCGCCGGGGGCATGGGAATGTCGCCCTCGATATCGACGCCACCTTCAGAGTCCGAATCCGAGTCCGCGGCAGCGGCAAAGTGTGTGGGCTTGTGCTGTGACGGCGTGCCCCTCGGGGCAAGGATTGTGATGGGCATTTTTTTTTTTGTAGTAACGGCGACAAGGCCGTGGGATGGCGGGTCGGTGGTGCCTCGAAGGTGATCTTTCCGTACTCAGATTTTCTCGATCTATTCGAAATATTCGGCTCAGCTGTTACGGGGATCGATTCGCAGTGGTTGCTGTGTTGTGTCGTGGTTTGGTGGTTGGGTGAGGTCGAGGTTGACTGGGTGCAAAGAATTTTTGGTGAAGCTGTGGAGGGGCATATTGGAGCAGGATGGATAGCGACACCAGCATCTTCGAATTTGCGACTTCACAAGACCCTAGATATCAATACAAGCAAGTCACAATGAAAAATGCCAAGATGAACGTAAAGGTATTTTGATTCATGTTTTCGCTTTTAGTATGACAGTGTTATACAGTATTATTACAGCACCATTCAGCCGTAGCCGGATGCTTGGTTTAGCCATCGTTGATTGTAAACAACGGGAGCATCCCGCCTCGAATGATCCCGATGTGTAACCCATACTAGACTTAGCCAGTTATCAAATGTATCCCTCCAAGCTCTTCAATAACAGTGGCGTAATCGTAGGCCTTGCTCGCTCCATAGCGAATTGTCAGAGACAACAACAGCCGTTCCGACAGCTCGTGACATGGCCCTGTATTTTTTACGACCGCCGTGGTATAATCGTTTGAGTGGTGTTTATGTTGTTGATCTGATATGCCCTCCTTCCCTTGAGGTTCCGTTACCGGAACAACCTCCACAGTCCGAGGTAGGCCAGGCCCATCGAGATGCTAGCGACACCGAACTTGCGGCTTCTCATGCCGAACATCGAGCCAGATTTAAGGATCGCCGCGCGTTGCCGTTCGAGGTGACCCATGCCTGTCAGATAGTTATACGCTGCGAGACCGAGGAAAGCACCGCCTCCTGTACGTGAGAGAATCGCGATTAGTACCGTGGTAGCCTTTGAGCGCAGCAGGCAGCTTAGGGGTCCTCACCAACTACTCTGCAAGACGTGCAATCATCGCCGCGGTCCTCACGCAGGAGCTGGTCGAGGTTCTCGGGCTTGTCGAGGGTACCCACGCTGGGGATCTTGTCGCCTCCTCCGATCATGGCGACACTTTTCAACGTTGAGCTTTTTGAAAAAGGGTTGGATTGACTGGTGTGCTTTTTGTGACAGGATGCGATGCTTGTGACCTTGTTGCAACTGCTGTATAGGCTTGAAGCTTTGCACCCGCGTTGCATCTGATTGGCTGACCTGGGCCGTCTCCCCTTGCAATAACATTTACTCCCATCATTGGCGGGTAGGAGCGGCGGCCCTCCAGCCGGGATGTGTGGCCCCTCCAAAGGCTCGGGGAGCTCCAGCACCGACACTGACGTGCTGTCACCGACAGGAACCTCTCCCCCACCACCCTCTGACGACTACGGCGCAGCCTCCAATGCCGACTTGAACAATGAACGGCGTTATTGAGGCGCTGCATATTTATGATGAGCACAAGTTCGTAGCATACATCGCAACACCCTGACACTACTGACTGACACCGCGCAGCCATGCCATCCTGTCACACACATACACCTCCCGCCCGCTATCGGCGCAGCACCTCCTGCCCCTCTACCTAGAACACCCTGCGCCGCGGCCGAACCTGATCTACCTCCCGAACACGAACCCGCCGACACTCATCTTCAGCCTCAATCACGCCAACCTTCTGTTCCTGGCCACCTCATCATCCGAGATCGAACCCCTCCTCGTCCTCGAGTTCATTCACCGTATCATCGACGTCTTTGAGGAGTTCCTTGGCGCTCCCTTACTGGCGCACAAGGTCGAGAGCAACTACGATGTCGTCGCGCAGCTTCTCAATGAGATGTGCGACGCCGGAACCATCAGCACGACGGAGCCCAACGCGCTAAGGGACTTGGTGGAGGTGGAGGGCTGGGTGGGCAAGCTGCTGGGTAGCATCAACTTGCCAGGGTAGGAGACACCGTGCTGTCATGAGAAGATGCGACTGACAAAAGACTGTAGGAAAAGCGGAAACTTTGGCACAGGCTTCGCCAACTCGAGCGCGCCGTCGTTGATCGCTCAGAATACCCCGGCGCTGCCCTGGCGCAGAGCCAACGTGCGGCATACATCCAACGAGATGTACGCAGACATCGTCGAGACCCTGACAGTCACACTTGCGCCTTCAGGGAGACCATTGGCGGCGTTTGCAAACGGAACGATAGCCTTCACGTGCAAGGTGTCAGGCATGCCCGACATTGTCATGAACTTGACGAGTCCATCTGGCAAGCACAACTTGGCAGGCTTCATGGACCTCCCCGTGTTTCACCCGTGTGTACGCCTAGCACGGTGGAAGGAGAGGCCAGGTGAGCTCAGCTTCATACCGCCAGACGGTCGGTTCGTCTTGGCCAGCTACGAGGTCGACCTTTTGCCATTCACGAACGGCAAGAGTGGTGGGTTGAGCACGAATAACCTCAAACTACCCGTCAACATCGAGGTGAAGACAGGCCTAGGCCCTTTGGGGTCTGATTTCGAGGTTCGACTGCACGTGAACAGGATGTTGGGGGGGAGCGGCCCATCAGCAGCAAGCCAGTACGGAAGAGGCGGCAGCGGAGCAGGACGAGGCTTCCCAGGGCCGCACCCTGGTACCCCATCATCGCCACTCATGGAGGATCTTGTGGTTACGGTACCTCTACCGGCAGAAGTTAGGAACTTGTCAGAGATACGGCCAAGCAAAGGTGATGCCAGCTTCAACCCTAGTGAACGGGTTCTTGAGTGGCATATCCCCACGAAGGAACTGTCTTCCGGCACGTCTTACTTCGGTCTTAGAGGCACCGCGGTGGGGCAGCTAGCGGATGAGAGTGAAGACGAGTTTGACCCCAATGGATTCGGGTTTGGGAAGGCATATGGCTACGACGAGCCGTACCAGAGCAGTCCGGTTGAGACGAAGAAGACGACCGAGGCCACAGACGAGGAGAAGGATACGAAGAAGGTGGCGCAGAACAAGATGCTGATGCCGAGCTCAGCGTCAGTCAGCTTCTCAGTCAAGGGGTGGCTGCCAAGCGGGCTCAAAGTGGAAAGTATCATGATCGACCCGCGGAAGAGCAAAGGCTTGGGAGAGGGCGTGAAGCCATACAAGGGTGTCAAGTACCTGACAGTCAGCAAGGGCGGTATAGAAACGCGGTGTTAGACAATACGCGGTACAGCAGATATAAAATAATGAAAAATACTTAAGCTGTCCGTCCTTGGGTGTCGTTTGAGAGATTCACATGCTTACAGGAGCTTGGTTTCAACGGCTAGTGGGGGGCTAGCGATGTCAGTATCTCGTGGCCTGCACAGGCTAGTGGACACCTCTTGAGATACATGTCAAGGACGTGACAGGCAAGCCACAAAAACAACACATTACTGGAAGCCGTGGACCGTGGACCGTGGGCCGTTGTCGAAGACACATGATGGCTGAGCCGAGGTGGGATTTGATCTTCAGCGGGCATGTCGGCGATTCAGCGGCAATTGGCCCCTGGTCCCTGAGGGAGATCCAATCCATCACAGACCCCAAACGCCCCACCCCCGGCGTAGCGGAACCAAAACGCACCTGTAAACAGTGCTGAAGAGCAGTTTACCAATCGCGGGGTGACTCCATGCCCCCCAACGATTGGAGTGTTCAATCTCTCGGCGTCGGAACATTCGGCTAGAAGCGGCCACTAGAGGGCAACCGCCATCGATTGGCGTCACCAGCCGACTGATCTGGGTGTCATGTCCGCCAACAGTGCGCAACACGTTCTCTGTCCCCTCCTTAACAATAAAAGGCATAATTAAGACACTACCGCGCGCGGGCAGTGCATGAACTCTGCCGTGCGTGACGCATTTCCCACCCTCGAATTCGGCGCAAACCTGCAGGCTCCTCCTCCTGCTTCTAATTATCTTCTATACCTATTTCTAGAACGCCTGCGACTCCTCACCTTACCTATCCTAAAGTTGAGAGGACAGACATCCATGATTGCGATCATATAGCTGCCCCAGCTCGCAATCAGCTGGCGCTCTTTTCCTCTAGGCTATGACTGCAGCTCCCGGAGTCCACCACGCCATCCGCCGAGGCGCGGCCGTGTGGGCCAATGGGCGCATCTGCCTCGGTCGCACGCGGGCCGCAACGAGCAATGTATCTTTCGGAGTGAGTCGACGACATGCTTCTTCGTCGTCGCAAGAGAAGCGGCCGCGGACGGCGCTTTTCTTCCCAGGTTCGTGAGATCTGCAGCGCCGCCTTGGGTGGCGGGCGAGGAGGGAAATGCGGGGAGCTGACATGTGTATAACACCCGTCGCAGGCCAAGGAGTGCAAAAAGTCGGCATGGTAACACCGTGGCTTGAGGCCTTCCCGCGGACGGCAAAGCCCATCATCCAGGAGATCGACCACTGCATGGGCTTTAAGCTCTCCGATACCATCGCCGAGGGCCCCAGCAAATTGCTGACCAAGACGCCCAACGCGCAACCGGCCATCATGGCGACCTCGATCCTTATCCTCCGTATCCTCGAGTGCGAGTTCAACTTCGACGTTGCCCAGCGCGTCGACGTCACGCTGGGCCACTCGCTCGGCGAATTCGCCGCGTTGGTGGCCGGCGGCTATCTCGAATTCGAGGACAGCCTGTACCTGGTGCGGAAGCGGGCCGAAGCCATGGCGGAGGCGACGCGGCGCGCCGTCGAGGAGCACGGCGGCGAGTACGGCATGGTGGCCATCGTTACGGAGCCGCAATACTTAAGCCCGCTGATCGCGGCGATTCACGACTTTGTGGGTCACTCGAGCGCCGGGTCCAAGGGTGACAGCTCCGAGGATGTGCCGCCCATCGAGCAGGTGCACATCGCCAATGTCAACAGCAAGAACCAGATTGTACTAAGCGGCAACATCGAACGCATAAAGACTCTGTCGACGCACGTGCGGCAGTTCCTCGGTCACGACCCCCGCGCCGTGAGGTTGAACAGCGATAGCCCTTTCCACAGCCCACTCATGAAGCCCGCCGTCGCAGTGGTGAGGAACATCCTGTCGAGAAAGAGCCGCGTTAAGGGGCGCGAAGGGGAGGACATCATCACGTTTCCTGCAAGGGTGCCGTGCGTGAGCAACGTGACCGCACGGCCGTTCGAGAGCAAGGCGGACGTCAAGGACCTTTTGGCGCGGCAGTGTCTCGAGACGGTGCAGTGGTGGGACAGTATCAAGTACCTCGACCAGGAGGAGAAGGTGAGGCGGTGGATCGGCATCGGGCCCGGCAAGGTCGGGCGGAATCTGGTTGGCAAGGAGGTGGGAATGAGGGGCAAGGACTCGGTCAAGGGCGGCGGCGTCTGGGGCATCACAGACCCGAGCGAGATCGAGGAGATGCTCAGGGGATTGGAGGACACGGAAAGGCTATCGGAAGAGGAGAATGAGTGAGGCGGGTGACCATGCTACCCAGAAGCTATAGACGTATTTCCGTGCATGTTCTTGGGACCTTTGCGAGGCGCTTTCTGTTTTTTGCTATACTGGGCTCGCGAGCTCTGCAGAAGGTCTGGCTTCGATACTTGTGAAAGGGAAGCTGGAGTATTGGTTAGGTGTGTATGTGTAACACTACTTGTTATCTGGAGGGACGATTCGTACAAAATATATTACTGAACACTGGAGCCACATATTCCGAGTTCGTTCGACATGGGATATTTCTAGGCCTCCAGTACATTACCAAGACGTCATGTTCAGAGGATCTGATCGGTTGTAAATTACTCTGCCTAGCTAGCTGATCGTTGAACCCTGATTTCGATGCGGGGCAGTCGAGAGTGAAGCAAGGGGACCCAGAAAAACAATTAAGCTCCCGCCCACATCAGCTACCTACAGAAAGGTACCTATTACCCCAGCTCTCTTTCTCAACCTGCCACGAAACGAACGACATCTGGTCAACCTCGAAATAATTGACTATCTACTCTACAATCGCGCCGCGTCTGCCTCCACCGCGAGCCCAGCAATTAGACAAGCCACGCATCTGGGCGACGAACTCACGCACACAAAAGGCGTACAAATGGCGGCCACGATCCCTTCGATAGCCTGCATAGGCATCATCGGCCGAAACGTACGTCCCCCGTCTTCTACCCTTCGCCGGCCTTGTGATGCCTACCTCTGCCGTGCGCTCGGAACCTCAAGCTACATTCACCCCTCCCTGCCGGCTCTCCTGTAGTCTTCATAAGCTAACCGGCGACGTCGCAGAACAACCCCCTCAACATCCAAATCTTCTCATCCCACAACCCCGCGACAAACACGTTCGCGCCGATCCGGACGCCCCTGCAGTTCTCCCTCCTCCTCTCCTCAACCCTCGACGTCTTCGAGCTCCGCCACGGCAACGGCGCCTCTGGCAACGGCGGAGGAGCCGCTGTGGGGTCCAGCGGCACCGGCCTCTCGGGCGAGGTCGGCCTCCTGCACGCTGTCGATGAGCGCCTCGCGGCGTACGGGTGGGAGACGAACACGGGCGTCAAGATCGTCGTCGTCGTGGATATGCGCGGGCGCCGGGTCGCGGGTTCCGGAAGCGCGGCGGCAGAGGCGGCGGCCAAGGGGCGGGGCGCCGTTGGGCTGCGGGAGCAGGAGCTGCGGGTCGTGTTCCGGGCGGTGCAGAACGCGTACGTCCGGCTGCTGCAGAATCCGTTCTACGAGCCGGACGAACACGCCCCCGTGTCCGGCCGTGGCGGGCGCGTGATCAAGAGCAAGAAGTTCGAGGGGGAGGTGCGGAGGATCGGGGAGACGTGGACGCCCGGTGTCACGAGTCTTTAGGCAAAGGGGGGTTTGGGGAGGATAGTGGTCTGCCTGTCTTGAGCATTTCTGGAGTTCTGGGCGTTTGAAAGAGATTAGACGGGACGCAGGGAGGGTTGTAATTCGTTATGTCCATCGTGGCTTTTCTATCATGGCCAGAAAAGACTGGCTCTGTAAAGGTATCTACCATGCAAAGACCCGAAGGTCTTGACGACGTCATCTCGTATGACGTTGTGTTCAAATATTCCAGCACCGCCAAAATGCTATGCTATACGCCGTGATATGTGTCTATGAGCAAAAATTCAACAAAATCCAACGTCACAGAGATGTACAATAGAAAAAGGACATCTAACTCCAATGGATAGCTGTTGGCGGTTGCCGGTCAGTGAGCGAATCCAACACCCCCTTAGCCAGATGCTTTCGGGCTCATGAAGTCAATGGCTTCCAATGACCTCGATCTTCGCCTTCTCAGTCTCCTCCGGTGGCCTCATCTCCCCTGAGAGGATTTCTCGCGCCGCAGCTCTGCCTCCTCCAGAGCTTGCCATCTCTCAATAACAAGCTTGTCCGTCCCGAACGGCTCGTCAACAGGCCTAGACGGGCCCATGAAGGCATCGGTCTGCCGCCGCGGCAGCAGGGGCTCGTTCTTCTTCGGCCTCGACGGCGCCGAATCTTCCCAATGCCGCGCAGTGCGCGGGACGGGCGTCCACCACTCTGACGGCTCGCCTCCCACCCCTCGGGCGTGCCACGCGGCGCTGCACAGCTCCCACAGCCGGCTCGCGGCGCGGCGGTACGCGAAGCGCTCGTCCTCGCCGATGAAGCCAGCCGTGTTGCTGAAGTTGGGGCTAGATGCCCCCGTGGCACTGCTGACGTTTCCGAGGCGGCCAAAATCCGAGTCTTGGTCTGGGTCGTATTTGGAGGTCGGCAGGTCGGTGTCGTAGTAGGAGATGTTGGGGCGGAAGGGCGCTGCTTGGTCTTGGTACACTTCGGCTATGGTCTCGGAGTGGATCGCGTCCGAGTCTATGACTTCCTCTCCGGACTCAAGCCTGGAGGCGGCGGCGGTGGCGGCAGCGCGGTCCGCCTCGGCCTGAGCGGCACGGATGTCCGGGAAGAACAGGTCATCAGGCCCGGTTTCGGCACGGACGAAGAGCTTACCACGGGCCTCGTAGAGGGCGTCGAGAAGGGTGATAAAGCGGCGGGCCTCGTTCTTGTGTAGCGTCGTCATGGTCGGAACATTGTCGATGATGAAGGTGTGATAGGTGGAGGCCATGGTCACGTAGTCGGCCGGGCCAAAAGTCCCGACGAGGTCATTAAAGTCCCAGTATACGATGCCGTCGCGCTGGCGCGGGATTGCAATCGTACGGCCGTAGACTGTGAGGGCTGCTGATGTCCACGGTTTGGAATTGAGGTCCGATAGCTCTGATTTCCAGGCAGACATTTCGGGTGTCAAGAAGTACTTGGCGGGTTTGGTTGTTTCTGGTAGCGTTAGGATGCAATGCTGTGTAAGAAGACTCCCTGAGAAACAGGCTCAACTTACCTCCTTGTGACTCATCTGGCTTTTCTGCAAGTCCAGTTCCCTCAAGGGACGCTACCTCGATTGCTACGTTCTCCCCAGTTTCACGACGCCGCCAGTCAGTGGCCCCTTCCATATGCCAAAAGTCGCAGCGGGCTTTAAGAACTTCAACGAAAGCAGCAAAGTCGTTTTGGCTATGGAGAGTGCCTCGCGATCGAGCTCCGCCAAGGAAGAGACTCTTGAGGAAGCCGTCGGTGGGAGCGACGGTATACTCGATGCCAATGGCCTTCTGAAGCTCCTCAGGCATTCGGTTGGAAGAAGCGATGAGAACGCCTCCTAGGTGAAAGAAGGCTATGAAGAGGTGACTGAGGATCTTGCTTGCCGCGCGGTCGGGTAACTGAAACTCATTCAGGAATAGGATTGGAGACTCTTCGACCAGCTTTTTGGCGAGCCATAGCATGGAGTACTCCTTCTCATTGCCGCTTAACTCGGGATGAGACCGACGGAACCGTTCGAGCTGTGAGAAAGTATACAGCATGAACGTGTTGAAGTGCCATCGCTTCTTCTTCTCCGTCGGCAGACCCTGTGCCAACAAATCGATCAACATGGACTTTCCCACACCCACCTCACCCGACAGGAACAACCCCCTCGGCGAGTTGATGCTGATGGCGCCCTCGAGGCTCGTCATAACGCGAACAAGAGCCATTGGGTTTTGGTCTTTCGGCGTCGGCGTCGCCTTGCGGGCGAGGTGCTTGAACAGCGGGTTGTCCCAGATGGGATGGTTCGGCATGGCCAGCGTCGCAGCGGCCTCTTCAGGGTCGCGGGTCTCGGGTATGTCGGCGACCTGCTTAAGACGCTCGCTGTAGTCGACCTCGGGGGCGTAATCCTTGAGGCGACCGTAGAGCTTGTGCAGGTGGATCGCGAGTCGGTGCTGGTCTGGGTCCGGGGAGAGGATGTTGGATGAGACGAGAGTGCGGTATTTGACAAGAGGGTCGGTGATGGTCATGGCAGTTGAGTAGTACCGCACGAGAGAAGCCATCTTTCCCGCCTTAGCTGTCAGTACTTTGTGGCCCATCATCGTGTCCAGAGTTCATCGATAAAATCCTTGTCATAAGACTGCTGTGAACTCCATCTGACACGGTATGAAGACCGAATACGTCTTGGGCAAAGCTATGCAGTTGTCTTCGAGATGTGAATCTCGATGACACAGATCCTGTGCGACTCAGGCATAAACAGACACCGCTTGTGAGGCGATTGCTGGTGGTGAGGCCAATGTATCACAACTGCTGTCGCGAAGCAATATCGACTAAGTTGATCCCAAACGATTCTTAAGCTTGCGTTTTCAGCCCAGCTGGGTTGCTCACGCCGTTTCTCCAATGCAGACAACAAGGCAGTCTGGTCCCATTCAATCGGAGTCGAGAAGAGAGATGCATGGGACGGTCTAAGTCAGTTCAATGACAGTCGTTGAAGAATCGAGTCTATTGCTTGTCCAGGCTCATTAAGTCGTGCAGCCAATCACTGCTCTTGTGTCTCTGAAGACGTTTCCGGGTCAGAGGGTCAAAGAATCGGAGAACGTGAGTGAATCGAAGCGGATGGTGCCTGAATCGCAGTCGAATGAAAGCCGATTGGCTGGTTGACTCTGAAAAGCTGTGGTTCTCTGGAGGATCTACCAAAGAGATGAGACCAAGCGCATGTCACAGCGGGAAACGACTCAGGGAGAGTGAGAGCTGTTGGGTGGTTAGTAGATATTTCTCCTTGCATCTAGACATTGGAATCTCTTTCCATGTTCCCACTGGTGAGTTCCCGAGGGCCGAGTGACGTTGCTGACTTGGTTGTTTAGGTACCTATGCCCCACTTTCAGGGTCCTATTTTCTTCCAATGCGGCGATTCAGCGGGCTCCATCTCGATCGCGGAGTCGGCCAATCAACGCTCTTTTCTTGTCGGCCGGGAGCAACGAAACGCCCAAAAGCAGGTACGTACCGCCTCCCAGGTACCCTCGTGCTATTGCTGCTCCTTGCGCCGCCTCAGCTGGCACGCCTACACACCCGTACACCTGCCCTGACCTGCTGCTCACCGGCGGCCTGTGGGGACTGACATACGCTGCTAGTGGACGAGCAGCCGGACAGGAAGCTGCTGGTGTTGCTGGTCCGTGCTTGGCAGATGCAGCAACCTAGTGTTTTTTTTCTACGAGACCCAATCGATTGATGCTTCGTCACTCTCACATATTTGCTAAATCCGCTCTACCACCTTCGTCCACACTCCCCCCGGCCTCCGCTTTCCCTACCAGTACCTTAGGCCACAGAATCCATCCTCGAAATGTTTTTCTGACCGACATCCACCTATCCACGAACATCATCAGCATCACGGTGACCGACCCTTTCCCCCTCAACAACTTCGCGCCCGGTCGCTCGACACCATGTTTTCTCCCTCCATGAACGAGGGCGGGCCAGCCACTGCTACGCGAAGCAGAAGAAGACAGCGACCTGCCAGCCATGAGAGTGTCACACATCAACCCAAGGCGAAACGCCAACGCGTTCCCTTGACCGAGCAGACCTTCGTCAATCCTGAGGTGTCCGCGTCTACGGGCCCCGAGATGTACGAGGTCAAGTCCGACAAAGTTGCGACACTCGACGTGCGACAAGACGGCATCGAGAACCAGAACCCCATCACGCCCACCCCGAGGAAAGAACTCAGCGTGCGCTCGAAAAAGCCCAAGGGAGGAGACAGGCCAACCAAGGGCGATGGAAGCGTCATTCTGGTAGGTTCAAATGCGTCCGCGTTACCCCCCCTTCAACCAAGCTAACCATTATCCGCCAGACGACGAACAACGCTTACACCGTGAGCAAACTGCCTGCGCTGCCAGACCGTATCCGTGCAGATGCTTCAGGTGAGTCCTTCGTGCTGAATGCGCGCTTCCTATGGCTAACAATCACTTCAAGCTCAACAACACGGCGACATCTTCTCGAACCGCTATGCCCTCAGTCTTAGCCATACTCACGCGATTGTTTGGCCGTACACGGACCCCTCTCAATCCCCCGAGACATTCACCTTTACCCTTCCGTATCCCTCGAAACATTCTTCAGAGCCTCTTCCGCTAGGTTGCTTAGTGTCGCCATCAGCTTCGTCGACCGAACCCGGTCTGGTTGTTGTCATGCCGGTCAGTGGTAAGATAGCATACTGGGAATCCATCACGAGCGCCGCGACCTTGGACTTCATCCGCCAGCAGCGACATGGCGTGGAGGGCTCAATATCGGGCATGTTCTCCGGTGAGAAGGTTATTCAAATCACCAACGCCGAATCCGCCGGCTTCGTCCTGGCCTTTAGCAGCGGCCGACTGGCCTACATGAGCGTCCGAGATGGCCACGGCAGACCCACGATTTCCGTCCAGTTCCTCCGCACGAGCTTAGGGTCTACGGCTGGTGGTATATTCGGCAGCATTCGCCATGCTCTGACACAAACTTCAGGACGTGGAGACATCGCCGCTGTTCGAGCGGAGCGCACTTCTCGGGTCGGCGAACGAAACGTCGTCGCAGCTACCCTTAAGGGCAGGCTCCACGCCTGGAAGATTCATCGCGGAGGACACCACGAGACCATAGTGGAGGCAGACATGCAAGAAGAAATCGTCGAGGCCATCCGTCAAGTTGACCCTTTGGCAGCGACCGACTTCCACCCCGAGACCTTCGAAGTTGTTGACTTCGCCTTCGTGCCCAAAGGCTTGGAAGATAAGTACCGAGATATGAGCAGGCTCAGCGACGCCATGGTCTCAACCGACGTCAACTTGCAACATCTACTGTTGCTCGTCAGCCTCAGCAAGAAGAGAGAATCGCATTACTCTCTGGTCGAAGTTATTCTGTCGCCGACCTCCGCACAAATCGGCATGGTCCGTCCGATCTCCTCGTACAAGACGCGCTTCAGCCCCACGAATCCAGTACAATCTTCTCGGCCTCGTCTGCATCTTCCTCGACCGGCCCTCGTGGCATTTCTCATATTCGATAAAGCCGTTGTTTTGGCATCTATTGGTGTTCCTCCAGATTCGCCAGATGTTCAACTCCAGGAGGATAACCATATCATTCCTCCGACTTATGAGGATGTGATTAACTTTTCTGACAATAATCAGTCCGAGATTTTCGGCTCGGGATTCGAAGAGCCGCAGGCAGCTAACAGCAGCCATGACGAGTCCAGAACTCGTCAAAAGACGAAGAACCCTGCAGTCATTTTGATGGTACGTGGCACGGGCATTGTACGACTTACAACGACAGACATCGATAGATTTGGCAGTGACAGGCCCCCGAAAGTCACGCCAAAGAGCAAGCTTGAACAGGCCGTCTTCTTTGGCAATAAGCAAGACACCCCTCTGATTTTCGACGTTAGAAAAGGTGTTCAGTTCTCAGACAGGGAAATGGCAGAAGCCGCACTGGAGCTTAGCCAAGAGATCATGAGCTCCTCGACAACGCACATCTCACTGCCGGCATCTTTGGAAGACAATCTCAGCACCCGTTGTCTTGCTCTTGAACGGTTGATGCTACATCTCAAGACAACCAAGGTCAACCTGGACCGGCGTACCCGGTGGCTGTTGCTTTCCCATGCCGAGAAGATGATGGTTTCGACGGTTCTCTGGAAACGCCATGAGGCCTTTACCAATGAACGACCTGCCAATAACAAGAAGGATCTGATTGCGGAGATCGTCGAGTTCATCCACCAAGATGAGAAGACCAACCCTAATCGGAGTGCGGGAGAGGTCGACCGTGTGAGGCACTGGTTCATTCATGATGTTGGCAGGCTCGAGATCTTCATTGCCTGGGCCTACGAAGTGATCAAGTACATTTACAAGGACCATATCATGGACGATGTTCACATCACTCGTCTCATGTACGAGGCTCAACAGGTGAACCTTGTCGCTCTCATGACGGCTCTGGAATACCGGCAAAAGAGGCTTGCATTCTACGGACTAGAGGATGAGGAGCTTGATTTCGGCATTGTACGCGAGAACTACGAAGATCTCCCCGAGCCCTGGACCGGGTGCCACTACATCGGCAACAATCTGAAGCGTCTCCTTGAGCTTTGCCACACATGGCTCGACCAATACTATACTCCGAATGAAAAGACAAAGGACAAATCGAAACAGCCGGACCCCGTACTTCTCGAGAAGATCAATTCGGAGGTCTCCAACCTCACCGACCTGTACCTTGTATCTCTTCTCGAGGCGTCTCGCTGGAACGCTGCACAGCAGGATGCGAAGGCCCAGAAATGGTCGGACCATCTCGCAAAGCTCTACGATGCGGACCGCAACGACAAGGTTCTTGCCCTTCTCCGCCTAGGCAAATGGGACGAGAGCATTATCATTGCCGAGAAACACCGATGCTGGAAGGCACTGGCACTGGCCATGATCGAACAGATCAACAGCCTCAGGAGCGAAGCGACAGTGTCAAGATCGCAAGCCGATGCTCGCGAACTCACCAAAAAGGCCGAAGCCAAGGAGAAGCGGATTGGCGAATACTTTGACAAGTATGGCGAGGCATTTGCCTTCCCCACATACGAAATTCTGCTGGACAATGCCGGCGTCCAAGCCGTTCTGGGTTTCCAATACGACAACCACGGATTCAGGACAAAGTTCCTCCGACAAAAGCCTGAGCTGGCCAAGATTTCCTGGATCAACGACATCCAAGGCGAGGACGACATGGACCACGCAGCAGAGACGCTTCTTGACCTTGGTCTCACCCGAGAGCAGCAGGTTTGGAACAAGAAGATTGAGCTCAGCCTCGGAAAGCTGTCACTCATGGCCGATTCGCAAACGCCTCCCTCCTCCGATCTCTTCGGGTTCAAGCCCGCTAAGACTGAGACCGAGGGACTCTCTGAGTCTGAGGATAAGATTGAAGCCATCGACAGCCAGCTGGGCCTCATCAGAATTCAAGATGAGCTTTATGCTCAGGTCTTTCCATCTGTCCAAACGGCTGTGGACGAAGGCGCAGAGCTGCAACTGGCCATGGAAAACCACTGCCTGTACATCCCGAAGAAGCAGAAGGCACTGGTTCAGCTCTTCGAGAACAGCATGAGACGGCTCCTCAGACATGAGGCTCTTGATGTCATGTCTCTTATCGACCTGCTCACGCTCATCAGCCTCTCGCCCGAAACCGCTGCTGATATTGCCGATCCTTTTTATCTTGCTCTAGTCGCAGCCTCGTACGCCCTCCAGGGTGAGGAATTGAAGATGGCCAAGCGCCTCATCTGGAGACGCTGTTTCATTCGTGACGACTGGATCAAGCTTAACGACACCCAGTTAAAGGATGACTCTATCGTTGAGGAAAAACTGGCCCGCACCACGCTCTTCAGCGCCTTGATCTCCTGTTACCAGTACCGTAAGTTTCCACAAGCCGAAGTTAACATATCTTCATCCACTGACTCCTGAACAGAGACACTTGACAATCCGTTCCAGCCGCCCCGGCCAGCAGACATGCTGGGCGCTTACGTCATCGACCTCGACAGCCGCTTTACCTCCATGGAGAAGTCCTACAGGGACAAGCTCCTGGATGCGATGAAGTGGGAGGACTCAGTCCTGCACAAGTACATCGATAAGGCGCGTCTCGAGGAGTGGGCTCGTACGGCGGCCGAGATGGCCGAGGCCACTGTCGCGCAGTCAGTGGACGAGGTGACGAGGGCCGCCGCGGAGGAGGCGTCGGATGAGCACACGAACGGAAAGGCGAATGGCGTGTACTAGGGGTACATGGACCATATGTTTCCTTGAGTGTGAACTGCACTGCCACGCTGTTTATTTTGAGGTGGATTGGAATGCGGGCTGAGTCCAGATTTTGGTGGGACTTCATGTCACTGCCACATGGTGGGCATTTTCATCGTTTGTTTCTTTGCAGTGTTGGAGGGGTTCTTGGTGTCACTATAGCAGCTCTCATCGCGCTGTTGGTTTTTTCTGGGAATGTCCCTTTTTCAATTATTCTCCCCCTCATCCGTCAATTGGCCTGAGAATAGGTGCCACAGCGCGGCAGGTAGTCTTTCTTTTCCTTTCTTTTCTCCTCTCGACTATTATCATTAACGAATCAGGATGGCTGGGACGGCTAGAGAGCAACAAAAGAAAGAGACTTTGATATGCATACATACAAAACATAAACAACGTCACGGTCCCTCGTACCAGGGGGCGAACGGGGGAGAGGGTCGGCCGGCTATAGTCACAGTAGTGTTGGTAATTAATCAGACACGAACGTTGCGGGTATCTTGCTGGGGGGCTTTTCTTAGGGGTAGTACGGATAGTTTCTTAGGGAAACGAGATAAACGAAGTGGGGGAGACGAACATTACTTTATTCAATTCAGGTTCCGTTCGCTCCTGTGTTGCCCCCTTTCTCCCCCTTTCAATCATCGTACTATTCCCAGGTACCGCCGCGAAGTGCTTCCGGGGCCGTTTACCCAAACGACTTCCGCTGGTGAACAGGCGAACACGCAACTTCCTCGCCGTTGAAATGAGGATTTCGGTCTGCCCAGCACTACAGGGTAGGTTTCTTTCTTTCTTCTTTCTCTTCGACACTCTCACGATGACCCACCACGCGTTGCCATGCGCGCACTCTTCCATCATAGGGAAACACTCAGGGGCAGAACGTTGCCGAGGAAAGTGTTTCAATAGCTTTGCCGACTTAATACTCGACCGTCAAGACGGTGGGGAAGTGTACGCGCGCGCGCGCACCCGCGCTCTTCTACTGAGACAGCTTTCCCACGCAGATCGTGTGCTACATAAATCACCCCTCTCGCTGCTCACTTAGAGCTGGTGACCAGCTGGTCCACTTCACATCCACTCAATGTGATACTCCCGCGCTGGCCTATCGAACCCGTCGAGGAAATAGATGGGCCATGCGGCGTTTCTTCCTCGGGCAGAGAGCACTGGCCAAGTGGGAGGGGGAAGCTTCTCCAGCTTGAAGCTTGCCGCGTCGCCCACACGGCATTTACGTAAATGTGCCCAGAGAAAAAGCGTCACACAGCAGGGATTTGCATTTTCCTGAAATTATGTGGTGAATCCGCAAGGCAAGGTCGCCGCAGGAATATCGTAGGCTGATGGGAGCTTCGGCCTCTCTGCGAATCCACCTGAATGACCTCTTGGATTCCTTCGACGTCCTTTTGCCCCCTTGAACGTCAGTATTGACCTAGGATGCGGGTTGTATTCCCCTCTACCTCGCACTTGCTGTTTCGATTTGTGCCAAGGTGTGTTGAGTAAACGTAAAAAATCAGAGGAACCATGGCGCAAACGAGGGGCAGGCTAGCTCGTAGGTTGGCGTCCGACAACTTTGTTGAAGCCCACGATTCATGTCATCCTTAAGGCAAGAGAGGGGAAACCAGCAACCGTAAGGGTCCCTGATGCTGATATGGGTGAGCGAGCGACACCGTAATGAGAGGCTAGCCTCTTCCTGGCATTACCCGCGGCGGCGGCGGGCGTCTGTCTTGAGACATGACTTGCAGGCCCTAAGGTGCCCTGCAGATCCGTCTGGTCATGCGTTGTTGGCAGAACAATGCCAATCAACCGGATTGTCTGCTTGAACTTGAGGAGAACAGAGACATCCGTCAAAGGAAGGAAACGCCATTAAACAAGACTTGTGGCGCACGAACAACGGTTTTGGCGCGTCTTTGTCCTGTGATTATCACAAGCTAGACCGAGACTTGTAGTTTCGACGATGGGCGAGGGCAATCGATTGGACGAAGGGCCATGGGATGGACGCGGGAGGCCCGGGCGTGGTTGAGACTTGCCAGAGTTCTACATAGTAGACGAGGGAATGGGACAGCGTTTCAATCAAAGGTTGGACAACAGGGTCAGCTGACGGGGATGCGGGAGGCAGAAGTGAAACCGTAGGGCGGAATGGAGGGCGAATGGTTGGCTCGACGAGCCGTCTCTGTCGTGGAGATGGTGAGCAGATACATCGAATGATGTACACCAATGGTTGTGTTGTGTTGGGAGGAATGGAGGGTGAGAAGGAACCCGAGAGCCTGCATAGAGGCAATGAAGGCGGGAGCCGGGCTGTTGCCGCGTTGGCAGGCACACTTGTTGGTTGCCCACAGCTGTAGGTAGCTTGATAGGAAACGGGGCGGTCATTCACCGCATCTCGGGCGGCACCTCGGCGGTGGGAGCCAGACATGCCGGGTTGTAGCAACGCTGCAGGTCCAGTCCGGTACGGGCAAGGTTCCGCTGCAGGATAAGAAGCCATTGGACAACGGGCGCTCCAGCAGATGCAAAAGGTGCAGACAAGTGGGTTCTCGTTGGTGATCCTCTAGTCTTTCCAACCTTCTTTTTTTCTTCTTCCCTCGAACAGGTGACTGGTTGCAGGCCGTTGGTGCAAGCAAGCTTGTTGTTTTCCGTTTCTGATTTATGCCATTATGCCATTGCAAAGGACGGGGGTTTTTTTTTCTCTCCTTTTTTCCCTTTCTTTCGTAGGGTAAGGGACCGTGTGATTTGTAAGGTCACAGGGAATCTCGTTTATGCCATACGGAACATTCGAATGTCTCTGATGTGCAATGTCAGGCGCCAAGGATAGGACATGGGACAGGCAGCATGTGCAGGGGTCAAAAGTCGGGTAAAATAGCCTCGGGGACGATGTCGTCAAATCTTGCAAGCCTATCTCGTAGGTGGTTCACTTGCCGGGAAAACAGTGACAAAAAAAAACGGTCTTGACGTTTGGAAACCTGGGCTGTGGGATTCAGCCAGGTTCAGGGTGCTTTCGGCTGCTGCGCTTATCGAGACGAAGTCAACGACGACGCGCCACGTTTGGCGTCGTCTTCTCCCTTTCGTCCAGAGTCAGACACACATCAGACTGTCCGTCACCCCTTGTGTGGAGGTTTCCAGGCTCCCTTGAAAGGGGTCATCGGCCGGATAACGAATAAACAGTCACGGCAGGCCTTTTGCGGCTAGGAGGTCTAACTTCCCCGTCCACGGGGACAAAGCGAGATATGCGGCGGATGCCTCCAGGCCGTCAGCGGACCTCGATCCCCGCACAGGGCGCAATCCGTGCATTTTCTAGGGCCGTGTCTAGCGCAGCTTTCGATGCTGTTTGGGCTTGGCTTGGCTTAGGATTACCACAATGCCTACCTACGAGCAGAAGGGGGCCATATGCAGCATGCCCCATCGCCCCTGGGCAGGCGCGACGTTGGGCAGGCTAACCGTTGGTGTCTGCCGTAACCCTGTCCCGGTGCAGTGTCAGCGTCTCCCGTCGTTCGTCGTGTAGTGAGTGTACAAGGCACAGCGATGATGGAGATGAGTGGTTGATGTAGGTAACTTGTTGCAGGCAACTGGCGGCGTAGCTGCATCCCAGACGAAGGAGCGACGTTGCTGGAGGCGGGCGCCGGATGTCCTCCATACAATAGGTCGAATTGTCCAAGGTAGGTACATATGAAACTGATGGAAATAGAAGGCCGTATTTGATTTGACAAGACGAGGCGAATACGGCGTGGGTTCTCCAACTAGATCATATACGAACACATTGTGAAAGAGAGGATACCTACGGAGAATTAGAGGGACGGCTGAAAGCGACAGAGGGAAGGGTTGGAAGGAAGAAACGAAGATCGTACTGCAAACTGGGGCGACTTGGGGAGAACGGTGTAGCAGACCCGAAAACAGAAGTCGGCTCCGGTACATGCGAAATTGGTGGGAAATTGGGGTGACGACAGGTACCGGGACCTTCTTGCCCGGGCCCTGGCAACCAAGAACCCACCGCCGATGGGCAGGTCTGCTCCGCTCGGTGTCGGTAAGGCAAGGTACCTTCCTTCCTCGACATGTACCAATGTATCTTTTCGCTAGTAGCGGTACGTACCTCCACGTTCTTCGTTACTTCTGGCGCTTGTGTGTCTAGAACCTCGATTCTCAGGCACTAAACTCTTTTACCCTCTTTGTGAGGTGGAACACCACTGCCATCGGCTGGTCTGTGCGCCCGTTAGCTGTTGATATACGCCCAGTTCATTGTTACCATAAGAGTGCAACGTACCTTACCTAATAGGTAGGTAGCATAAAGCCCATTCCGTAGGCTAGGACCGGTTGACAATGCGCCACTCACAAAACCTCAATCTGTCCGAAGCATCTCAAATCCTCAGGTTCAGGACAATCCGGACACCAGCCGAAAGGGAGGGGGAGAGAGAGATAGAAAGACAGAGGGGGGGAGATGGGGATGAAAAATCCGGCTCCGGGAGGCCGTCTGCTATTGATTCCATTTGCAACGTGAACCAATCCCGAGTTTGAGCGGAAATCCGGCAAACCAAGATGGAAACGCTGCTTTCCACTCGTCTTGTCATTCCGCGCCGGCCCCTCGTCCATTGAAATTAGGCGCAATCCCCCTTCAACGGACAGCCGCCCACAGTTCGTGGCTCTCTTGTTCCCTCCGATTCTCGCCTCGTTCAGCCATTGCTCACTTTCCCAATCCTGGAACTGGGACCTGGACCTTGAACCCGGACCTGATCCGACCCCCTCCCCTTCCAGGCTTTACTCACTGAAAGTGAACAATTGTGGGCTACAGTGAGCGACACAAAGCTGTTTTGGTTATTGAGAAGTTGAGGCGTAGCTTGTAGTGCAATTTCAGCTTGACCGTTGACGACAGTCACGACACCATCTGTTGCACCTATCTTTTCTTTCCTCCCTTCTTCCTCTTTCTTCTTCTCTTTTTTTTTTTTCTCTCTCTTTCCCCCTCTTCCCTCCCAATCGCGCTCCTTCTCGCGTCGACAAGCCTCGATCGGAGAAGATTCACCGGTCCCAACCCGACAACGGCGAGATACGACTCAGCCTTCGCACCGCCTCGCTCCGTCACCCCCGAGACAAGACATTCCATCAACAACAGACGAAGTAAAGGCATCGGATTGGACAGTTCCATTTACCAACAGCCCATGCCACAAAAAAAAACCAATTTTCGCGTCGACTGCCGTATTACGAGGACAGAAATAGCTTCGTCCAACTGAGGGTGGAAACGGATCCAAGTCAAGGTGAGTGGAAATCGAGAAGGCTATGTATGATGCGATCGATGCCTGTTGCTCGCTGCACAACGCAATGCAGCGGCAATCAACAAACGGATGGATGGTCTTGCCTCAGCACAATCAGCACAACCGATCAACCTACCCCTGCCACTATGCCCTTGCACATCACACTACACCCTGAACCACCACAACCTTTACCCTCCCTCACCTCACCTTCGGCCTCAGGCCACAGCTCTTGCGACTCGTGAGCGTGTGTGGTGTGTGTGCGTGCCCAGTCCGGCCCGGCACCGAGCCAACAACATTGCTCAGTACCTACTGCACAACCAACCTAGTAGTGCACCACGGCCTCAACTTTTTCTCCCCCTCGCTCTTCCTCTCCCGTCTTCCCTCCCTGCCGTTGTCTGTCTCCCTCCCCCTTGGCCGCCTGACGGTCGCTCCATTTGCACTGCACCCACAAGCAACCCCAACGAAGGTGCAAGTAGCCCAGCCCGGTCCAGCCCCCATCCTCTTCCCTTCGCACTCCCCGTGCATGTGGTCCGGGGGCGTATTACCCACTATACTTGCTCGCCTCTGCGGTCTGCGGCTGCCATCCGTCCATCTGCCCCAAAATCCGTCCATTCTCTTCCCCATTCATCCTTCCTTTCTAAAACCTCTCCTCCCAGCAACCGCGCAACCACCATCCCCTTCCCCGTCCCTCTCGGTTTGAGCCTGATTTTTCGCCTCGCCCGAAAAAATCGGCTCAATGGGCATCGGGATATCGAGCAGCTAGCTGACCTGCGACCCTCATCATTTTCAGATACCGTACTCCTTTTTTGTTTATTCTACTCCCGCTGCATCCCAAGCCGATCAATCCATCAGACCGCCTCCGACCCCGACCGACTTGCCGACTCCGACTTCGATTGAGACGAATACCCACCGTGCCTCTGCTACGATTCCACGGTCCGTAAAAGGACCACAGCCTTGCACCTCATGGCTTCCTCATCGAGCAACGTCGTCGGCGTGCACTATCGTGTAGGAAAGAAAATTGGAGAGGGTTCTTTCGGCGTCATTTTCGAGGGCACCAACCTCCTGAACAACCAGCAGGTCGCCATCAAATTCGTACGTCGGCTTCGCTCAATCAGGCACCCCATCGCCCACGGCGTCGCGGTGATCCTGCGTTGCAGCAACATTTGACTAATCCCTTTTCTCGTCGTAGGAGCCGCGCAAAAGTGACGCTCCTCAACTGCGAGATGAGTACCGCACGTACAAGATTCTCGTCGGATGCCGTATGTTGTCGTCTTCAATGTTCTCGCATCATATACACCGCTAACTCGTTTTCAAGCCGGCATCCCCAACGTTTACTACTTCGGTCAAGAGGGTCTCCACAACATCCTCGTGATCGACCTCCTCGGCCCCTCGCTTGAGGACCTCTTTGATCACTGCGGCAGAAGATTCACGATCAAGACCGTCGTCATGGTTGCCAAGCAGATGGTAAGTGGGCTCAGAATCGGTGGGTGTAATGCGACTTATCTGACTTGGCATAGTTGTCTCGCGTGCAAACTATCCACGAGAAGAATCTCATCTACCGTGACATCAAGCCCGACAACTTCCTCATCGGCAGACCAGGCACCAAAGCGGCCAACGTCATTCACGTCGTCGATTTCGGCATGGCTAAGCAGTACCGCGATCCCAAGACGAAGCAACACATCCCTTATCGTGAGCGAAAGTCGCTGTCTGGAACCGCTCGCTACATGAGTATCAACACCCATCTTGGCCGCGAACAATCCCGACGCGACGATCTCGAGGCTCTTGGCCATGTCTTCATGTACTTCCTGAGGGGCGGTCTTCCCTGGCAAGGACTGAAGGCTGCCACAAACAAGCAGAAGTACGAGAAGATCGGCGAGAAGAAGCAGACTACTCCTATCAAGGATCTCTGCGAGGGATTCCCCGACGAGTTCAACAAGTACCTGACGTACGTACGCAACCTCGGCTTTGAGGACACCCCCGACTACGACTACCTCCGCGAGCTCTTCACTCAGGCCCTGAAGAACACCGGCGAGGTTGAGGACGGCGAGTACGACTGGATGAAGATTTCCAAGGACTCGGGCAAGGGATGGGATGCCATGAAGGGCCACAACCAGGGATATCTTCACAACCCAAATGCTCGACCCGGCCCGTCCCAGATGGAGCTGCACAGCGGCCATCGGGGCGGTGCTGCAAACCCCAACAACCCACAGAACCTGACTGTCGGCCGTTTAAACGCCGCGCAACCCCCGCCTCCTTCTCCGATCAAGCAGATGGCGAAGTCGAGAGGTCAACCAAACGCCCCCGGCGCCTTGAGCGCGCAACGGGGCAGCGGAGTCGGGGGTCTTCGGGACATGGCCACCCCCACCGGCTCAACTCAGGCCCAGTTTCAGAACAGCAACCGCAACCTCCCACAGAACGTCCCCCAGCAGACGCCGATGAACCAGCAGCAGGCCCAGCCTAACGGTCGGCCTGCCGAGCCTCAGCCCACAGGCTTCCAGAAGTTCATGAAGGTGCTGTGCTGTGGTAAGTTTTTGTCCTTTGCCCGAATCCAGCCTCGAGGCAAGACAACTAACAATGTCGTAGGTTAGAATCCTGGCTTCTGCTCTTGTTCGTGTTGCCAAAAGGACGGCTAAGACTGCTCCACCACTATATAAACACCCACTGGGCACAACCTAGCCAGGCGCCGGATCGATGTTTGAGTGCACTCAGGCGGCCACACCTGGTTGATGACTCTCCAAACACACCACATTCCCCTATGTCCGCCACTCTTCATCTCGACCGACTAGACTCATTCATCCTCCGAGCTACACTTTTTTCCGCGTGACGACCACGGAGTGGCACACAGTTGCACAACTGGCTGCTCCTGGATAATGACGAACACATTAGCCTTTCTTTCCGGTTTTTCTCTTCACCCGCGCTACGACTTAGTTTCTCCGCAGGAACCGTCATAGGGCATCATAAAATCACTGGCATGGAAATCTCAACTCGGGAACTGGGACCTTCTTGAACTAAGAACTTTCTGTTTCTAAGGAGAGAACCAAAAACATACAACTTGATAATGTACAGCGCAGCACGGCGCAAGGCGGTTGCAGGGGTTTTTAGCATTGGGTCAGGTTCTGCGGCACGTTTTCGTTATGTTGATAATAGGGCTGGCCGTGTCCGGCACAGCTTGAGGCGACTGCACTGTTGAGGGGAGGATGTTGATAGATGGCTGCAAAATGGGGGATGGTGCGCAGCCGCGGGATGTGGCAAGAGAGGAGTTGTGTGGAGGCTGATAGACAGAAGAGAAGTGGGATACAATGGACATGAAACTTCTACATATGTACCCACACTCGTCGATGAAGCACGCCGTTTCTTTCAAATCTCACGCCAAGCGCCATTTTGCAGAGCCTGGCCCGGCCGCTCTTCACGATGTTCAGACTTCTATCACGACCCATAGAATAACAGCTTGTTAATAGATTGAAAACACAGATCCTCCTTACCCGACCTTCCCCATGGTAAAGAAATGTAGTGGAAGCATTCCCTTGAACTTTCCCTTCACAGTCGTTCCTGGCAAGACTGGCATGACATGAAGCCCTATCAGGCCATGCACGGCTCTATTGATACAAATAGCATCAGGAGGTGAGTTGAGAGCGCCGTATTCTTTTCTCTCAACCTTATTCCTTGGTCAGAGCCGAGGCTATAGCTAGCTCCACAATAAACAACGTCCAGTCGCCCCCGTATTTATTGCGGCGACTACATGCGTTGCTCTGATCCTCAAAGTCCTATCTTGGGTACAGGTCTCTATGATAGGAATGAGCTAAGATGAGCATTCTCCACTCGCTTGGGATTTCACAAAGCCCTGCTAGCCTAGAACAGTGAGATTCATACAGCACGCGGGGATTTGACTAGAGTCAAAAGTAACGGCCACATGATTGCACGTAATACTGATGTTCTTGCAATTCTTTAGATGTTGATGGCAGCAGAACTACCTAAGGTGGGCGAACTAGCCCCTGCAGCAAATTGTCTTCAACTTCTGTCTTGATTGGCTACATATACCAAGGCGGAGAGGCGCAGTCCTAAGCTGTTGGTTGGTATGATGAGCAGCCTTGGGGAGGCCTCAAAAAGTGAGGAGATGCGGTTGAATTTCGTCAGATCAGGCTGCTTGCACATCTTTCATATCCCATCGATCTCTTGTCCATCTCCCTAGTTTCGCGACGCCTGACATACCACTACCTCCTCGCGATACTTGACCTACCGACTACATCACGGAGATATGGACCGTAGGCGACCTTGGCAAGACGATGATGTCGAAACTTCTCACCTTCCACGGCGACAAAAAACCTCGCATCATGATGATGCGCGGCGCTTTCTACCACACGATTGCTATACCATTGCCTGGATTTGCGCCCTTCACATAGAAATGGCAGCTGCTCGAGCCATGCTGGACGAGGAACACCAAGCCCCAGTCGCCTTCACGAACGACAGCAACACCTACTCGTTGGGGAGCATTCGGGGACATAACGTGGTCATCGCGTGCCTGCCCAATGCGCAGTATGGGACAAACAACGCAGCGAACGTACTGACGAACCTGACTCGGACATTCCGGTCAGTCAACCTCGGTCTAATGGTCGGGATCGGAGGCGGTGTGCCGAGCATGGCAGACGTGAGGTTAGGCGATATTGTTGTCGGAACGAGGGTGATGCAGTACGACTTGGGGAAGATCGTCGAAGACGGACAGATACGACGTACGGCAGTCCCCAAGACTCCTCACCAGACATTCGGTTCAGCGGTATCAGCCTTACGATGCGAACATGAGCTGCGACCCAGCTATATCCCAGTCATCCTTGAAGATAAGCTGGGGAACCACCCTGGTTACTGTCGTCCAGCATTACCCGATCAACTTTTCCCCGCGACATACGAGCACGAGGCCTCTACGCCTGATTGCAGCAGATGTGACCAGTCGAAGCTGACACCACGACGCGGACGGCTCTCGCAGGACCCATCCATACATTACGGTGTCATTGCTTCTGGAAACCAAGTCATGAGAAGCGGCACTGTCCGGGATAATGTTGCCCGGCAGTTGGATGCTGTGTGTTTTGAAATGGAGGCCGCTGGTCTCATGGACATTCTCCCTTGCCTTCCAATCCGGGGTATCTGTGATTACTCAGATTCTCATAAGAATAAAGAGTGGCAGAGATATGCTGCGGCAACGGCGGCTGCCTACGCTACAGAACTGCTGGCACTACTTCCCAACGCCTATGGCCATAGACGACCTTCCCACCAGTCTCATCTTGCTCAACCTACTCAGTGGTCAGATTTCCCGCAATCTGGACCTGCAACTGTCCAAGACCGAGCCGCTGGTCAGAACATGTCGGACGACCGACGGCGAAACTTGCTGGATTCCTTGAAATTTGACAACATCGATTCTCGAAAAGTCGACATCAGGGCTGCTCATGCCAAAACCTGCCAATGGTTTTTGAGTCACCCAGACTACCTGGCCTGGCTCGACCCGAGTCGGATGAAGGAACACCGTGGTTTCCTATGGATCCGAGGCAAACCAGGAGCCGGCAAATCAACAATCATGAAGTTTATCTACTTACGAACAAAAAAGGCACGCAAGACACGAGGTGTCATTGCTTCCTTTTTCTTCCATGCGCGAGGCGAGCAACTCGAAAAGTCTGTCGCAGGAATGTATCGTTCGCTGCTTCTCCAACTTTTAGAAGGCTACCCCGATCTCCAAGCCGTGTTGGATGACCCTGATGTTGTTCCCCGTACTCAAAGTGGGTGCCCCTCGTTGAATATACTTAAGGATATCTTCACGGCCTCGGTTTCCCGCCTCGGCTCCCGCCCATTCACTTGTTTTGTCGACGCCCTTGACGAATGCGACGAACAGCAGGTACGGGCTATGGTTCAGGATCTTGAGGAACTGGCGGACGAGTCAACAGAGAAGGGTCAACTCCTCCGTATCTGCTTCTCCAGTCGACACTACCCCTATATCAACATACGACATGGCATACATCTTACACTGGATGGCCAACCCGGTCATGTGAATGACTTGACCAACTACGTAACGAGCCGCCTAAATATTAAGGACCCCAAGCTTGTCGATGAGCTTCAAGGCCAAATTCTAGAGAAAGCCGCCGGTGTGTTCTTGTGGGTAATTCTCGTGGTCGAAATTCTCAACAAGGAAAACGGAAGGGGCCGCCTGGCTCTTAAGAAGAGACTCAAAGACATTCCAGACCAACTGAGCGAGCTTTTCAAGGATATCCTGAGACGAGATAATCAGAACATGGACCAGTTGCTTCTGTGTGTCCTATGGATCCTGTTGGCGAAGCGGCCATTGCGACCCAATGAGTTTTATCATGCCCTGTGGTCTGGACTATCTCCACAGGGTCTGGTTGATGACGAAGTACCCGACGTAACCAGTCAAGACTCTGGCGATACTATCACTAGCTGTGTCGTCAGCTATTCCAAAGGGCTCGCTGAGATCACAAAGTCAAACCAGCCAATCGTACAGTTCATCCATGAATCAGTCCGAGACTTCCTCGTCAAAGATAAGGGTCTCCAGGAAATATGGCCCGCCGTTGGGTATGACTGGGAGTGCCAGGGCCACGATAGACTCAAACAGTGCTGCTTCGTCTACATGAATTACCATATGGCACCCGGAAGTCTCTCAATACACTCGCCAGCTGCCCATGAGGAACATCACGACAATGATGCAAATAACTTTCCGTTCTTGGAGTATGCCAGTCATCATGTCCTTTTGCACTCGGATGGTGCCGAACTGGCCATCTCTCAGGAAAATTTCCTCTCAGACTTCCCTCTTTCTCTATGGATTCCCATTTATAATCAGTTCGAAAGGTATCAGATCCGACGATACAGTTCGCAGGCAAAACTACCCTATATTCTTGCAGATATGGGGCTCGCGAGGCTTGTCCACAAAATACCTGCAGACGAAATGCATGCTTGCTACCCTGAAGAGAGGTACAAATACACTTTGTTTGCGGCTTTGGCCAATGGTCACAAAGACGCTTTTGCCTCTATACTAGGCCTGACTTCGCGCATCTACAACGGAGGCGACATTACAGAGGGCCTTAGCCATCGAAGAAATGACCCGGCGCTGAAGGAATTTAAACCCTTAACCTGGGCTGCTCAGGCTGGCCGCAAAGACATAGCCAGACTGCTCCTAGCGAAAGGGGCAGACATCAATGAGAAGGATTACAAGGGGAAGACACCAATCTGTGAGGCAATTCTAGCAGGTCATAAAGAAGTTGTAAGGGTGCTTCTTGAAAGGGGGGCAGATGCTGAAGATACCCTTACTTTTGCCTCAAGAGACGGTCATGAAGAAGCTGTAAGGATGCTTGTTGAAGGGGGAGCAGATGCTAATTCTGGAGGTGCCCTTGCTTTTGCCTCAATAGGAGGCCATAAAGAAGTTGTAAGGGTGCTTCTTGAAAGGGGGGCAGATGCTAATTCTGCAGGTGTCCTTACTTCGGCTTCAATAAGAGGTCATAAAGAAGTTGTAAGGGTGCTTCTTGAGGGGGGGGCAGACGCTAACAGTCTGGTCCTTGGGAATAAAACCGCGCTCTATCATGCCCGCCAGAACGGCTACACGGAAATTGCACAGCTCCTTCTCGATCATGGAGCTGAAGCAGACTGATACGCTTCTCAACAGCTGCGAACTATCTCGGAGGCCAGATCAACAGTTATGTAGCAAATGCTTGGTATCTTACCATGACTGTGAACCATCAGATAGACTTATAAACTCCATTTGCGTCCCGCAGAAAACTGTACGTGGGAATCTATCGCAAGGATCTCGCCTGCCACTAAATATCCACGAACTGATGCTAGACGTGAGTGACATCGTTGTGCGCGTGTGTTGACCTTAAGCCCAAGACGGATCCATGAGAACGCCGTGGGAATGTTAGGGCCGGCGAGACAACGATTGCCACCTAGCTGAAGCAAGCAGCTCTTGTTGCCGTTCCGCCAGTCCGGTTCGACGAGATTGAAACTGATGCGGGCGTGAAGGGTTACAAGTAGAAGCAATGTGCTGCGGCCTCGTCGGAGAGTATATGCTTGCCCGCTGGGGATTGTGAATCAAACCGTAGGGCTTTAGAGGTTCCGAGGCATGTTCAACACAGTTTGGATGCGCTGTGAAGTGACGTCGCCTTATATACATGAACCAGAGGAATCCGGTTCATTGGTCACATGCTCCGGCTTGCTCTTAGCTGCCGTACACTATGGTGGGGTTTCGTATGCCGTGCGATCAGGCAGGGGCCAACCCGGCCACACCGGCCGACGACCCAAGTTTGTCTCCGAGAAGGAACCCTGGCCGCGACTTGCAGGTATACATAACGCATACCCTACGGGTACTATGAGAATAGAGCTGGGTAAAACGGGGAATGGTTCGACGGCAGCTAATCGGAACTCCTGGGTTTCTGGGTTCCCTCGCTTCAGAAACTGCCCAGACAGCCTGCCCCCTAATTCCGCATTAATTCAGATGCTGATTGTCGAGACAATGTACGCCTCGATGACTAGAACACACCTGCCGTAGGAGAGTACTACAATCAACCGAGCTGGAATGTCAAGGGTATCCCGCTTCAGTCCTGCTCCGGTTCAATCCCCGTACAAACCAAACAAGCTTTATCATTTTAACTTCAACAGACCTCCTTCGCCCACAATCTACCACCCCACCCTGGATACTCTGCGCTGCCCCGTGGCAGCGTTCTACAAAGAGATATCCATCGCCAATTGCCCGTTCCCATCTAACGTCAAGTACTGGTCCAACAAACCCTGCAAACGCGTTAGCTCAGCCTCTGGTAATACACACCCTCCAACCAAGACGCCGTCAGACTCACCCAGTCCAGGTTGCAAGGGTCGTTCAAGGCGTTATCAAGCGTCATGGAGTCGAAATCGGACGCCTGATCCATCCCGGACCCCTGCGGCTGGCCGTGCCCGCCGCCACCGACATCCCCAAACCCGCTGACCGTAGTCGGGGCCTCTAAAAACGAAGACGCCGGGATGTCGTTGCCGTCGCCGCATACTTCAACTCCCGAGGCGGCCACGGTCGTCAGGTATTCGCCCTGCCGCTGCGAGATGCGGCGCCTCTGCCTCGTCAGCCGCTGGACCATCGCCCTCAGGACCGTCGACGCGTGCCTGGCGTCCCTGGAGCAGCTCGCCCGGTTCGACCAGATCTCGCTCGCCGTCTTGAGAGCGTTCATCTTCCTTTCGTAGTCCTCGTCGCTAGGTATCGTTAGCCAATGAGCCACGTCCAAATGTTCTCTACCGCCCCTTCCCCCTCCTCTCTTTTTCCCCCTGAAGGAGACTCAAATGGCGGGACAAACCTCATATCCGTATTCTCGTTCAGATCCAAGCACACCACCATGGCAGCAATCATAAAATTGTGCAACATGAGACTACTCAGCATGTACCGGTCCTCAAACAGCCTCCCGCCGGGGCTCGACTCCCTGTCGAACTCGGCATGCAGATCGAGGATCCTCAGCGCGGCGGCTCGACAAATGTCCCTCGAGAGCGCGAACCGCGGGTCCGCCTTGTCCCGGCTGAGGTACGTCCGGTGCAGCACGCATAGCGCCTTGCGGTACATGAGCTCCAGCATCAGCCGCTGTATGACGGTATAGTTCTGCTCTGTGAACCCGGTCGCGCGGATTGGCCGCACGCGCATCGCCGCCGGCAGCTCGCCGTACCAGGCGTGCAGGGCGTCGTTGAGCACGCACGTCTCGGCGTAGACCTGCTGTGCTGGGCTCAGCGCGTGACGGATCACCTTCCGCAGGATCCGGCATAGCTTAGACTTCCAGCAGTAGTACAGAATCGGCGTTGGCTCCGTCGGAGGCCGCGGCGGGGGCATTGTCACCGTGTCCTCGTCAAAGTCCTCGTCGGGGTGGTTCTCCGGCCCACGGGTGTCGCTGTCGCTCTCGTGGACGATGGCGGGCATTCCAAGCTGGAAGGACAGCAAGAGGTCAAAGGATTCGCAGCAAAACCACGCGCGGCGGCGCATCTCGGCCTCGAAGGGGGATATGGGCGTCGACAGGTGCTTCGGGTCGAGGTGGTAGCCCCTGCGCTGCGCGAGCCTCGTCGCGACGCCGAACAGGTTGGACAAGATCGGGTCCATGTCCTTGCTCCCTATCACCCGTGTGTAGGCGACCAAAATGGTCGCTTCGACAGAGTACTTCTTGGCGACCAGGTAATTCCCCTTGACGAGGCACTGCACCGCGCGGCCGGCGTAGGCCGACGGTTCCTTGAGACCCCGGGTCAGACCTAGTGTCTCCACGGTCCCCTTGCCGCGGACGATTACCGCCGCAATGGAGATGATTGAGAATAGGATACTTATCCAGAGAAAGCCTGCAGCCTCGGGCTTCTCCCAGAATGCCTCGTACTCCCGCTGGAAGCGACCGACGTGGATAAAGGGAACGGCAGTTGATCGGGCGTTGAAGTACACGGCTAGCAACTTGTCGAGATCCTGACGCGGGGGTAGGCTGTACAGCACTTCCGGCATCGAGACGGTGACGACGGCACCAAAAAGAACGTCCGGGCTCATTGAGCATGCGCCGCCCTCGGGTGGCTCCGGTAGAGCGGTCGGGTCCGGCTCGAGGGCCGTCTGGATTTCCCGAATGTGGTGGAGCAGCGCGGTCCAGTGGGTGGCGCCGTAGTAGTCGTATCCTCCTTCTGGCGGGGTCAGAACCGGCGAGTCGCCGCGGTTCCCCGGTTCCGAGTCCGTCGGCGTCGGCACTGTGGTGGGTTTGGTCGGGGCCGGTCCTGTCCGATCCCGTGCTTGAGATGCGGATGCACCCTTCCGCACGAGATCTCGGACCATGTCCTCCAGCTTCTGGAGCCGGAGTTGCATTTCCGGTCGCTGCTGCTGCTGTTGCCGGCTCGCTCCCCCTCCTCCATTCCCACCTCCCCCAGGTCGGTAGCCTGGAGTCGAGGGAGCTACAGCAACTCCATTCTCGCGGTCAACAGCGCCCATGCCAGCGTGGCCGCCGGCACCATTGCGGTTACCACCATTCAATGGCACGGCGGTCCCGAACTGACAAGCATCCCCGTCTCCGCGCTTAGCGCACGCACCGCAGGGCAGGGCGCGGTCGCATCGTAGCTTGCGCGTGCGGCAGGCAAGGCATGAGACTGGTTGGCGGTTCCGCTTGGCCACCCTGTGCTGCTGATCGGACAGAGACTGGGCGCGGAAGATGGATGTGAACTGAGTAATGTCCGAAGACGATGACATTAGGTTCTGTCCTTAGAGGTGGGGGGTTGTGTCGTCAGAGGTGTCAGTGCGGAGGAGTGAGGAGTAGGTTCGGTATGCCAAGGACCAGGTGGGTATTCTCGGCCGAGATTGCCGGTGTTGGGGGGTGGGAGAGAGAGAAAGCAAGGCGCAGTGAGGACGTGAGGATGTCCAGCTTGGGAGATGCTTGACCCCGGGGCTGTGTAGTTTCTGTGAAGATCGTGCATATAAAATCCTGAAGAAACCGAGGCTTGCAACGATGGCTATTAGCAACAGGTAAACGGAACGGTGCTAGAGACGACTAGCTCCGGGTAGTTCGGTGCGTGGAGCTCTCTCTGGACCGGGGATACCCCCGGACTTAACACCTTCCCGTTCCGGAAAGAAGAACCCACCTCCCCCACGCACCATCCAACGTCGTCTCATTGATCCCTTAGGGTTTTCCGTCACAAATGCCAAAACGACTTGTTCTTCCGAGTACCTACCTACGAGGGAATCAAAATGGAGGGAGCCCTGACCCGATTTTTGTGTTCCTTACGGACGTGTCGCCGGTTTGTTCATCATGCCGGAAAACATCCATCTACTTTGAGACACCGGTCAATGGCAGCGCTCTCAGCTGTCGCCCCCCAGTCTGCCTTACCGTAGGGCATCTCTCCCGCTGCAATCCGTGCGCCATGTTTCAAGCAGTGGTGACGGAAGAAAGTGTTCGAAATGCCTAGCTACCGACAAGGAGGTTCTATGGTGAAGAGGCGGGTAGGAACCTGCATCTCCAAGACTATAACTCCAAGCAGGCAATTCGGATGCGGGCGGCCAGGATGCTGGAGAACGTCTTGTGATTCCCAGACAAAAGAAAAAAAAGAAAGAAAAAAAGGACAGAGATATGAGAGTCCGAAGGGCTTTGAAGTCGACAAATGCTAGAAAGAAGACGAGGGAGAGAGAAAGAGAGAGGCGCAAACGACCCCATCCCTGTTCCTGTGTCATCTATCCGTATCGAACATACCTATTCATGAAGGACGGAGGCCCGCGCCATTCAACCCGACTCAGGGAAAGGGGGCTTGGTTTCGCGAAGCCCGTGCGGAAGACGAGAGTCTGCGGAGTGCAGGAGCAGACTGCACCCTAAACTCAATGGTGTTTCCTTCTCTGTTTCTTTGTTGCTGTGTTTCTCTAACCCGCACACCCCCTTCTCCAACGACCCGATCGTCCAATGAATGCACCCATCGCGTCTGTTCCAATTCAATCTCGTTGCCCTTCCCCCAAAATACCTGACGTACATATGTACTCGCTGCCCGCGGATTCGAGGCAGGATCGTAGGAAACATCACACGGGCCGTATGCATACACCCCTCTCCCTCTCCATCAATATCTCATACCCGAGGACAAGTAGCCGCCTGCTCTCGTCTCCCCTTTCATTCCTTCTTCCTCTGTTTCTGACCTACTATGGCAATCAAGAACATTCTTTCAGCACCCTTATCAGTTCATCTACCCCCCCCCTCCCTTCCAAATACTGCCAACTGTCTCAAGACTTACATCCGTGCGTCCCCATCCGCACGGCCCCAAAGCACAAACACTAGAGAGAAGGCCTGGCAGCCGGAGGCGCCTCGGGACCCTTGCAGACCATGCGCCTCGCATGTAGCCCGTCGCTAAGCATAAACCAACACTGGGAAACACTTGCCCGCATCGGGGATCTCGTCGCCTGCCGTGACAGAACACCGGGGATAAAGTGACGTTGAAGCCGCTCCACACAAAGCCTCCTCGCCCACGTTCCTCCGTTCGTCGCACGGTGACAAGCGAGCCCCTAGACGCTTTCCCGTGACTCTTGCATAGCGTCCTCCCTCTCCCGTCTTCCCCTGCCGATATGCTCGAGTCAAACCGTCATAGCGGATCTGCCTCGACGGTTCCAGAGTACGCCGATTAGGCGAACAGAAGCGCAGCCAAAGGGACATCCGGCTACCCGCCTCAATCAGCGCGTCGTTAACCCATGGTGATTTCTGATCGCACGCCCTTATTCGCCCCCCCCCCCCCCCTCGTACCCTCACTTTGACCTTGGAAGGCGTCAGATTCATCTCCACTATGTGGTGGGACGCCACCTTTTGCCGGCTAACAATACACAGTTCGCAGAATACCAAGTTGTTCCGTGGACGGGCCCATCACTTTGCTCCCACCGGCCGGCCTCGGACGACCGGTATGACAGGCCCCGCCGCCGCCGTCGAGGTGTTCCCGGCAATGATGCCTACGGAATGATTCAGACTGTTTATTGTATTAGGCTATACCGACTTCAATCCTCCTATACTGCCTGGCGCTTGACCCTCCCCCTCTTGTCTGCCTCGTTTCTTCGGACAAGAAGTGATTTGCATTCCCTGCTATTCGCACTCACACAGCAACGACGTATAGATGGATAGTATCACAGCGGGATGGCAGGCACCTCGGGGGGATCGTTTCGTATCATGCCGTCATACAGCTTCATTTCGTCGCATCGATAAAAATAACACAAAAAAGCTTGCCGGCCCTCTGCCCCTCCGCCCCGAGAAATAATGTGTTACCCAACCAGGTTCCCTCCCCCTTTCGCCCGGGCCGCGATCGTCGGTAGGGAGGGGGACACACAACGGGGGTAAATAGACGATACCATACCAAGGAGACCGGTAGCCTTCCCCCTTTTTGTTTATGCCCTTCGCGCGCTCTCTCGTTTTCAAACACCCTCTCCTCCATCCTCGTTCATGCAACAACCAGCCTACACACAGGCGAGCACCCAAGATTGGAATCCCGTCCATCCGCTCTCGCCCCCCCCCCGCCTAGCTACCAGAGCTAACGCACCCAACATCTTTCCGCGCGTCTCTCCTCTCTCGTTCTGACTTGGGTTTGGCCCCTAGAAAGCCGCGATGAATTGAGAGGCCGTTGTATTAAAAGAAAAAAAGAAAAGAAAAAAAAAACCACCAGGCTCTTTTTAGTGGCTCTTCCTTGCACCATCCCATGCGCTTGGCTCAAAAAGTAAAAACAAAAGATTTAGGCTCGGAAATAAGTAGTAAGAAACAGAGACGTTCAAAGAAAAAGAAAATCAAGAATCAGTATGCTTTTGTACACGGACCACGATTGTACCATGAGCTGGGTATCACGGGCAATAAGAGACGCAGGTGGATAGACGGAATCAAACGATGTTACGACGAGATGCCGCGTATGATCCGGGCGGCATTACCGACGGCGATGGTGAAAGGAGGGACATCCTACACACCAAGTTAGACTACAGATCCATAAAGCCAGAGCGCGGGCAGCAACTTACCTTTGTGACGACCGAGCCGGCCCCGACGGTGCTTCCCCGTCCGATAGTGACGCCTGGTAGGATTATGACTCCTCCGCCGATGAAACAGTCCTCCCCGATGGTGACGGGTTTTCCGAGCTGTGGACCCTTGCTGCCCAGGCGCCGCTTGGGATCGGTGGGCAGCGTCGCCGTGTATATGCTCACGTTCGGCCCGATGTGGCAGTTGTCGCCAATCTTGACTTCGCATGTATCGATGATGGTACAGCTCCGGCCGATGACGACGTTCTGTCCAATGGAAATGTTGTAGCCATAGTCGCAAGTGAAGGGTGCCTCCACGACCGCGTGCTCGCCCACTCTTCCAACGTTTGTCACGGGCGAGGTGACTGTCGGCGAAATCTGGATCAGGTCGCGCGGTTGCAGAATCTCACGGAACAGGCGCGCTCGCTCTGTCGGCGAGACGCCGTTGTTGGGGTTAGTCGAATTGTTGAATCGCCAGCAAGCTGCGCTGCAGCGCTCGCGTTCCAAGACAAGCTCCTTGTCAAATGGGTAGTAGAGCTTCCCGGCGAGCATGTCCTCCTTCTGCGTCCTGGCCCTGCTGGGGGAAAATTGGGTGTGCGACAGTGCCAGCTGCGCGGCGACTTGCACATTGCTGGTGGCCGGCGGCTGCGGCTGCGGCTGCTGCTGCTGCTGCTGCTGCTGCTGGATGGGGCTGTTGGACCTCGTCGGGTGAAGAATGTTGATCTGAGGCAGCGTGTTGCCGGGGTGAGGTGTCTCGGGCTCCGGCGCAGTCCTGCTAATGTCGTGCAACGGCGGGACGCGCTGGTATTCCTTCCTCTCCGAGAAGGGGGCATGCGGTGGCCCTTGGGCGCTGACAGGCGTGGGGAAGGCGTTGGCCGGGGTGTAGGGGATGGCAGAAAGCTTATTCTCGGGACTTGTCACCGATGCGCTGGGGATCGTCGAAGCAGTGGGCCGGTCATCGTCAGTCAGCAGCGGTCGTCCTTGAGGCGGATCAATCCGCAAAGGCTGTCCGCGGTAATGGGGCAGCGTCTCCCGCCTCTGTCCCACGGCAGGCTGGCTGCCGTACGGAGCTTGCTGCTGCGGCATACCATATGCGCCGGGCGGGACATAGCTGGGGTCTTTGGACTCCAAGGGAATCGCCGCGGCCTTGCTGTCTGGCTTCTGCCAGGCCGTGCTGCGCTGTGGGGGATATCCTGCGCAGATGAATCCTCCACGGAGGCAATTGCTGCCTAGGGGAGGGTCAGTTTCACACCATGATCAACCAAGGGGAGGGGATCATACACTCGGGCTTCTGCTCATCGCACTTCTTCTTCCTCCTTCGACACGTGAGACATCCCGTCTTGGTTCGGTTGCTGAAGTTGCGTTTCCTCTTCTTGTTGTCGGATTGGAGTGTTGGGTCACGGGATCCGCCAGGTGTGTAGGAGCCATATGCCATGGATCTATCATCGCCATCGGGGCTGGTGTTGTCGTAGTCGTGCGCATCCATCTGGTTGGCACGTCTTAGTGCCTCTCCAATCTGTTCCTCAGACTGGCCCTGCGTAGATGTGGCAGACGGCTGGTCGTAGTAACCCCTCTCATCCCTATCCCTGGCATCGCGTGAGTACCACGAATCGCCGTGCTCCCGCGAGTCTTCGCGTTCGGCGTAGGAACGATGTTCGCGCTCTCGCGAGGGGGTGTCATAAGGGTCACGTGACTCTGGAGGGTGAGAGTGAGAAGCGGCGTCGGGGGACTTTTCCTTGGGCGCGGGGGCTTCCCGCCTTGCTTCTACAGAGCTGGACCGCTTTCTCTTGAGAGAGCCGTCGATATCGGGGTAGTTGGCAGATTGATATGGAGACCTTTCCTGGCTCGGGCCGGCCCAGCTATCCCTCTGGCTCGTGGAAGGGTCCGCAGCGGTTGTGGTCGGCTTTGGCTCAGACGGGGTATGCTGTCCGTTGGGGCGCTCAACCGACGGTGCTCTGTTGGCGTCGGTGGGCGGCGGATGAGGTGGTTCGGAGGTTTTTGGTGAGCCCCCATTGAGGGCAGTGAAAGCCGACATAGTTCAACAAGGCACCTCGCCAATGCAGGCGCTGGAGGATACGAGCCGGTATGTCGCTACGAAGCTGCGATCAGAAGAGGAAGCGTTGTTAAGTGAGAACTGTGGTGGATGGCGGTGGAGTTGCTGCGCGGTAGGCAACTGGCGGTAAATAAAAAAAAAAGATGACAGATAACCGTCGGGAGGCGGGCTAAGAACCGACGGGGAGGTTTGGCGGGAGATGGGAAAAAGCCGCGAGATGATGTTGGCGAAAAGGGTACGCAGCAGGGCGCGCGCGCGCGTCAAGCAGTGCCAATGTTGGCGATTCGGGCCGAGCAATGTCCCTCGTGAATGAGCCACAGACCGTGGAAGACTGGAGGAAACCAGGTAGCGGCTAGCAGGTGGGCTCTAGAGTAGTGCTAGGCTGGATTTTTGAGGCGGACGAACGGCTTTTTGAGACAGGGAGGCGCCTCGTTGTCTTCCGGATCCAGAGTCTTTTGCTGAGAGGGGGGTGGTTTTCTGAGAATTGGCGCGGATGAGATGAGTAAGGAATGCCACCTCTTCTTGTCAAGTCGTCTCTCTTTGTGTCGTAGGGGTGGGTGGGTAAGCTTTTCTTCCTTTCCTCGTGCTTCCCTAGGCCTAATCCCTTCTAAGAGATCTGCACGCGAAGACGAAGAGTGGGAAGTAAAGATGATGGAGAGGAAGAAAAAAAAGGATAAAGGAGCTATCAAGCGCAGATGATGACACTCTCTGCTGCAAGCTGCAGGTTGCTGTTGTTACTAGGTACTGTCGGTGGTGCTGGTGCTGGTGCTTCGGTACGCGGAGTCCAGAGGTCGCGGGAGCTTGAGCTTTGGACTTTTTTTTTCTTTGCCCTTTCCTTTCCGCTCGGTAGGCCGGGGGGAGGGGTGTGGGAGAAATAATTCGACGGCTGTGCGCGGGTGCGTCAGTAGAGAGGTAGGTACGTGCGACAAGGCAAGGACAAGAGGGTGAGAGCGGTGTCTTATCCGCCGGCTCGGCTGGGGGTGGGGACAAGGGTAGAGATTGGTGAATGAGCGATCGAGTGTGTGAGAGAAACAGAGATGCCCGCTGAGACTGGAGGCTGTGTGCAGCCCTTGGTGTATGGATGTATGTGTGTGTGTGTGTGTGTGTGAGAGAGAGAGAGAGAGAGAGAGAGAAGGAGAGAGACAGAGAGAGAGATGGGATGGTACCAGGCGGCCCAGCGTCTCTGGCCTGAACGGGATGTTCGAGGCCGCTGGGAGGCTAGGTAGGATTGCCTTTATGCCCGTCTTTCCGCTTTCTGGTGTGTAAATGGGGACCAAAGAGAGAGTCAGATGGCAGATGGTCACTTACTCTTCTTCTCGTCAAATATCCCCACCAGGCTGGGCTGAAGTACGCTGCCTTGCCAGAAGACAATGATGCTGCAACGGTTCTATCCGACAAGCAAATGCGCGCTTCGAGTCTGGGGAGGTGCAACAGATGGATTCGGGCTCAATTTGCGCATGCGTAGATTGTCTGCTTCTTGGCCTTGTCAGTCGGTGGAGGAGGCAATGGTTGCGGACGTCCAGCTGGGCCGATGCCGACGTCGAATTCGAGATACACCCGTTGGGGCAGCGAGCTTTCGCAGATTGCTTTGTTGCTTGCTTTCTCGTCTGCTTGCTTGCTTGCGATGCAGTCCCCGTTGGAGCTGGGTGGGCGACTTTGTTGCTGGTAAATGCTGTGCCAAATGTGATGTTGGGACGGGAGCGGGTAAGATGGTAGTTATTCCGGCCTGTGACTTTGGTGTGTATCGTCGGAGAGGATGCGACGTATCAAAACAATCCAACCCGGAAATTGTACCGGTCCTCTTCCTGCCTCGTCGCCTTCGCGGCTGTCTTGCGCCCTCTTTCGCTTTCGTTTTCCCTCTTATTCTTTCCGTCTCCCCCTCTTTTTTTTTTTTTTGTCCCACGCCCTTCCTCGAACAAGAAAAAAAAAAACCAACCGAGAATAACCAAACACTGCTTTTTCTTGTCGTTAACCCGAGTCCCGCGGTGTTCGAGGGCCCGTATTTCCTTTTCCCGTCTACGGGGCTTGTCCTGGTCGAGGGATGATGGCTGCTCTTCGTCCGGCGGCGCTTGAGCGGTTTTTTGGGTTTGACGCGCGATTATGCTGCGCCTGCCGGGGGCGAGACTAAGAGCGAGGAGATGATTTTCCCACGTCGCAAAGCCGGGTTGGGTGGTTTTTGGTTGCACCGCGACCCGTTGGCACCTCTTTCTCTCCTTCTTCTCTTTTGCCTCCCTTCCTTTGGCCTTCTTGGTGGCAGCCAACAGTGTGGGCTGAAGCGTCGACTAGATGCAGCCAATTCCTCTTCCTCTTGTGATGCAATTCGAATGTTTGGGCTGGACGTGCAAAGGACCTGCCTGATGAATTAGGTAGGCTGTGAGAAGACGGGATGTCCAGGTGAAGGATAGTTTTGGCGGTGTCGGATGTTGGCGGGTGGGATGGGCGAAAGGGTGAGATGACAAGAAACTGTAAGTGCGATGAGCGGGGGGGGGGGGGGGGCAGGAGGAGGGAGGAATATGTGATTATCATGTGGTAACGAACCTCAGGTGAGAGTAGGTGCGGCAGTCGGGGTTGTGTCTCGCTCTCGAGGTACAAACCACTAACTACTCTATACTCTCCCTCTCTGCACTCTACCTAGGTAGGTTGTAAGGGCGTCTGGCATCCGCACCCGCATCCGCATCCGCCGTTGTCGTCAACGACGTCGGCAACGTCAAAAAGTCTGCAGGCGAGCCAGGGGCCACCCCTGGTACGCGAACCAGCCGTGCCTTTTTTGTCTTCCTTTCCTAGTGCACGCTACTCCTCTTGCTACGCGCCTGCTCGTTTGGTTTTGCCGGGTTGGTTCCAGAAACCAGACCAAAAGAGGGTCGATAAGGTACGGAGTACATGTTCATACATACGGAGTACTATTCGTAGGTTAGGTGTTTACATGTGCGGCCTAACGGCAAAAGGGGACGAGAAAGGCCTCCCGGGGTTGACGAGACGGGGGTCTCGGCGGGTGCTGCTCATTACAAGGTCTTTCTTTACACGGAGTGTACGAAGTAGTATCTGTACGGAGTACACTACACTGCCTATCCTGTGTGGATTCCGTCCAGACCCTTCTTTCCCTATCGTTTTCGTCTGCCGCCCCCCCGGTCGCCTCTTCTTCCCGCCGACTACTCCCACTCCGTTTCTTGCCTTCACACTACTCCTTCCTCCCCCTTCTCTCTCTTTCTGTATGTGTATGTATGTCCAAGTTCAGACTCGAAAAGGATAATGAGAGAAAGAAAAAAAGAAAAAGGAAGAAAAAAAAGAGAGCGCCAGCCACTCGTATCGGTTCTTCTCTCTTCCTTCGCTGTGCCATGTAGGTAGGTATGCACTTTGTGGCGCCCTCATCGATACATACCATCCCCCCGTCCTCCATCGCTAAACCCGGCAATTGCTCGAACAATATTGGGGCGGCATGGCGCTTCCCATGAGTACTCTCGACCGCCATCAGGTACTTGCGCGATACGGTTACCCACCAGTGAACCCATTTGCGTTTGTTGCCGCTTCGACGGCCACCTGGGTCCCCTGGTGAAGCATGAACAAGGGTGAGGGGATGGCATGCAGAAAGGAGGGGGTGTGTCGGTAGGCCATTGGCGACCATGGGGAAGGGGGTGAGCCACGAGCTCTGCAGCTCGCGTCTGGTCGCTTTAGCTGTACGTACCTATCTACCTGGGCAGGTAGGTATCTACCTGTACGGAGTACTTAGATACCTAGGTACCTATTTAGAGAATTGCAACGCGACTGGATTGAACTGGGCTGGGCGGTAGGTACGTACTGGAGGTGTAAGAGGTACATGTCTAGGTACCTAGTAGGCTTGCCTGGTCCGGCTGAGTCTCAGCTGGGATGTGCCGACATCGTTGTTCTCATCCTTTTGCCCACGTCTGTCCATCTCTCCTCTCCTCTTGACCCCCGCCCTGGGCCAGAAACGAATATTCTGCGTATTTCGTCGTTGCAGTTCGCTTATCGTTGTTGCTGGCCACCAGGCTGCCCTATCACTCGGGCCTCTTCTGTCCAAGTGCCTGTCTGACTGCAGCCCAGATGCGGTTGGCATACTCTTACTCCACGGACCTCGCCGCCGGCCATGCCTCCCTCTTCCCCTTCCCACCACGTCACGATGCGATGCGATGCTATGCTGGATCAGTCTGCGCACGGATGTGTCTTGTGCAAACATCCACGCACGTATATACCGTAGAATATCGCCATTACGGCCTCTGCTAAACAACAGCCACGTGTGAGGGATGGGCACCTGCTTCAGCAGCATCGGCAAGGGATATGTCATCCTTGGTAAGATAGAGAGATGTACCCAAGTACTCCGTACTGTAATAGTGTGCATGTAGACGCACGGCAAGGGGGGTTGGGGTTTGGCCCCCCGCTTGCCGCGGCCGTGAGCCGTCGTCATCTCCAGTTCTCCAGAATTGGGGGCAGTAAACAAGCGACCTTCCGCGACAAGAGCCGCCGGCTTTCGCCAAAGAAGCGAACATCTACTTTTACTTCGCATCATGGCAATAAAGAAACCCCCATTGATTCATGTCGCCGGACCGTACTCGTGCGCCGCTGTTTTCTCTCAACAAAAGGGTATGCGCGTTGCCCCGGTTAAACCTAACCCCCCTCTTGATTACTGTGCAACTGACGGGCCGTCGTCGTCTTACTAAGACATCCCAGACCCACTTCGCGGTTCACCAAGAAGGGCCCCTCGCGCATCCGGAGACGCTGCCCGCCTCCAGCGTTACACTCGTTTCCACTCGTCGCTCCCACGAAGCTCGGCCCTCGCTGTAACCCTTTAGACCGCTGTTTACGCCGGCTGTTCGGGGTCAATTCCATTGTGCATTGTGTGCCATACCGCAGAGAAATTGTTCCAGGCTTGATCCACGTTTTAGTCGGTCGGCAGGACCTGCGTGTCATGTATGTGCATATATGTCCCGCAAGATGGAAGACAGACTGACTGCATAGACGAAAAGACTTCTGCCTGGTCTAGCCAAGATCGAGACGTCCCGGTCGTCGCGGTAAGAGAAAGAAAGCCCAGGATGGCCAAACCCGGTGCCGAAGCAACCCCTGTCGAACCTTTGGCCCCTTCATTCGCCTGCAGCATCATAAATAGCAGTTCAACCACGCGGTAGTCCTTGTCAAAGGAGGAGGGGGGGGGGGGGGGGGTCCCGTCTCCGCCTTGATGACCACAACTGGAACCGATTCGGGACGGAGCAGCGGTGCAGGTTGTGTTTCGAAATGTCGGGATTGGCTACAGCCTACGGCTGTCCGCGACGTGAATACTGTCAGGCCACAAGCGCTCAGAGCCATCATCGAGGAGCCACCGGCAAAAGGTGACGCGAGCAGGGAGCACCCTCTCTTACGAACAGATTTCAATGACCTGGCCCATGGCCAGCCGGCCGGCCGGCTTGTGCGTAGCGCAGGCGCATGTGCTTGATGATGGCACTCAGTGTATGCCACCATGTACCAATGGGAAACTCGGGACAGGGTCTTTGGGCCATGCAACTTGCCGCGATCGGCGAATGCCCCCCCCAAGAGAATCCGGCATCCGCCTTCGCCGCGTCTAACAGCACACTCTCTGCACCGCAGCGGACCCGATACGACGCCAACGTCGGGTTTCGTCGTCAAGACGCAGGCTTAGCCTACCGCTTAGCTGGTCGAAGCTCGTGTTGCCGCCCCATTTGCTGTGTTTGTTCGGCAGCCGCCAACTGCACTAGCAAACGCGGCAGTGCACTCAGCCCATCAGGCCTTGCTTCGGCGTGCGATTAGTGTGAGGGATAGTCCCATCTCGGGTCTACGTTGAGCCATGTCTCGGCCCTTGGCTCCGTTCTTCAACGCAACAGCCAATCTATGGCCAGGACCGGCACACAGCATGAGACTTTTCCTTGGTCGGTGTTATTTGGGCAACATGAGCGAAGTAGGTAGCACTTTCCGTGCACGGGTTCCCTCTCGGGATGGAGCGCAGTGGTGCATCCGTGGTCTTTGTCGCATTCGAGGTCCGCTTGCGCTCAATACCTGTCTTGCAGCAGCATGCGGCGGTACATCTGTCTGCCCGCGGCAGCGCGTGCGCCAGTTTCTTCGGGTAACCTCATGCGAAACAGGTACAGATCGGTGTACCAATCCAGGTAACTGTCGATTGAGGGACCTGGTGACGATAGCGGCCCGTGTCAGAAAGGATGCCTGTAAGCGCAGTACCAAATGTTTCGGCGATAGCACATACATAGAGAGTGTGTCCGTATCCTTAATCCCCCCTTCCATCCTTCACTTCACCACATAAGGCCTGCTCTCATTCCTCTGATGGGGCAGGGATGAAACAAAACTGTTAATCTTCCGATGTCGATGGGCCAGGATGCAGCCCATGGTGGGATATTTTTAGCCCTTCAACCCTGGCGGCATTGGGAGGGCTACCTACATGCACCCATCGCGGTGTACGTACGGGTACGTTGTTGGCCTTTATTACCCCAGCTTTGCTCAGGACCGATCCGCCCGTCTCGTCTTGTCTGTTGCCGCGTTGGTGAAGTGTGAGGTGCTGGCTGGTTAGGCGGTTGCCATCGGCTCCAACGATGGTCAAAGAGTTTCCCGTCCTTGTCCCAGCCCTATTATTTTCCATGGTTTGGCGTAGCGCTTGTCGAAAGGCGGGCGGGCGTGTGCGAAGAAAGGAGAAATGGCGCAAGAGTCTTCTGTGCCAGCAACTCGACTCTCCCACCCGCTTTAGCGTTGCCTCTGCTCGTCGCTCGGGTCTTTGCCGCCGTAACCCACACACAGCTACTGTGATAGCAGCTAAGCGGCATTGCCACTATGATTGGTCTCGGCATGGCAAGCCGCAGCCAACGAGAGGCCTAGGTCGACAGGAGGGGTTCCAAAAAGAATGGAGTGACAGTGCATTCGATTCGACACATGTGTTGTGACGAGCCTTCCGCACTCTTTCTCATTCCAACGGAATACATTGCCCAGTCTCGATATCACTTGAAAACTAGCAGCCAGGACTATGCTGCCTCAATGGTCCCGTCTTGTAGCAATGCTGCTGCTCAAAGATGGGAGCCCGTTACCCGCGACGCGTCGGACACGCCACTCGGAGGTGTGATTTGATCCTCTTCGTACATCCGGTGGCCCAGAGCCAATGTGATGAAGACTTGCATTGGTTGCAAAGTCATGCGGCTATCGCGATTCTGCTGCACAAGTGCTGACATCTTGTCACACACGTACGCCCAGGCGCACACCTCTTTCACAGCCTGTAGCGCATAGTGTAGATGAGGTGGTCTTCTCGATGGACACATGGAGGAGGTGCGCCAAAGAGGAGGCTAGAACGCAGGGAGCTATGCGAAATCACCTTCAAACAATGGCTTTATTCGTGGCAGCCGGGTCGGGATCGTGACCACACTAGAGTCGTCCCATCCTTGCGTTTGGCCTCGGGCGCCTTGCTAGCAAAACACACCCGCGGAAATCATGACAGTCTGAGCCTTGGCACACGGCAACGTCATATATCGCATCATATTCAGGCGGCAGTATGGACCGGAAGTCGAGGCCTTGGCTGCAGGGGAGCTCGTGAGCACTCGCCATGGCCGTTTCGGTAATGAAGAGAACGGAGATTGCGGATTTGTCGTCTCGTGGGACCTGTCGGGGCAAGAGACGCGTAGGGCAAGACGGCGGGCAAATGAGCGTACCATGTCGAGCGTTGTCCTGAAATCGCCGTATGTGGGTTTCTCTCCGGGGCCCTGTATGATTGACAGTTGTTCAATCGTGTCGCATCGAAAAGGATCAGACAAATGCGGAATGACACCCGCGATGTGGAGCTCATGGTAATGATTGACAGGCTATAGCAACCGGAGCGGAATCTAGGGTCTCCCACCGGACACCATTCCGTCGATCCAGACTACTAAAGATGACATGGCCTGCAATGTCGAGCGTCGCCGCGGGGACCGGCCGAAGAGGCACGCCTTCGTCTCCAACATGGTGGCATGTGTACCTGTGGCGGGCCAGGGGAGGGTGGAAGAGACGGATAGGAATGAACTAGATTAGAGCAACCTTCGGGGACCGAGGCTGCAGGGGCGGCTGTAGTGCGGAAAGACAAGGCCAAGAAGGGAGAAAGCAAACAAAGCGGGGGGCATCGGTGTTCGAGAAAAAGGGGAGCAGAAAACGACGGTTGAGACCCTTGTCCGTATTCCGTGGTCTTGTGTCGTCGCCAATAATACTTTGTAGATGGCCCAGGATTGGGGTTGCTGCGCGTGCGAGGTAGAAAAGGCCAAGGCAGACAGGCATGGTAGATGCCTCAAACCGTACTGAAGTGGGCGTCAAACCACCTATTGTGGCGGAGGCAAAGCGAGGTAGGATACCACCATCAGATGCGCGGTTGGTGGATGTGACAACGAGCTTGCCCATGGTGGGTGCATGGAGTAAGATTTGACAACGATGTGAGGGCGAGGGCGAGGGGACTGAATGAATGTGCGGGCCGAGACTCGAGGCCGTCTGGAAGGGAGCGAAGGCTGGGAGCCGGTTGATTCTTGCATCCTGTGTAGCTGTCGTCTGCGAAGGGTGTCTCGTCTCATCTGAACTCATGCGCTCCTTATTCCTGGCCGACGAGGATTGATGGCGATCGACCACGATGCCCAGGGCTCTGTGGTTGACAGACGGCCCTATCGCGGGGATTTCTGGAAATATGCCGCCGAGACAGACCTAACCCATGCCATAGCCAGCAATGCAGAGTCGGCGGATGGCGGCTCAATGACGCACAATGGAGACGGAATGTGTATCGGTTGCTGGCAGCAGTTATCTCGTAGGGCAATGGAACAATTGCTAAACGGGGATGGAAATCTGCCAAGTGGTAAAGAAGAAAGTGTAAAAACCAAATAAAACAGAACAAAAAGTGTGTATAGTACATGGCAGGCATGTATGGATGGATGTATGGTATGTACACAACCACCCAGCGACTACTTGCTTGCCCAGGAAGGAACGCACGCACTAGAAACCTAGACCCAACACCCAACAGCTACCTGACCCGACGACACACACAAACACCCTCCCTGCCTGCCTCACTTCCACGTGTGCCAGGTCCACCGTTGTCAGATACTTGCGTTGCCTGCATCATCATCCTCTTCATCATCAGCTAAGCCTCGGGTCCACTCCGCCCTACTTCGCAAACCTGCCTAAGGTGAGGTTGTCTACCGACTCATGGAATGGATGCGCTCGGAGCAATTGCCCCCCAGCGACTGGGCCCAGCCAGGGCCTAGAACCGCTTGTCAGCGGGCTCGAGATTCGCTCGATGACGGGACGCAGGCACCAGGCGCCACGTGAAGGGAAAAGGGCGCTGCCGTCTTTAAAAGTCTACAGGTACGGAGTACCTAGGTAGTTTACAGTAGTACCATGGGCTCGTAGTGGAGGGTCGCACACAAACAATGTTCAGAGCTATGGGCCCGGACACAGCAACCGGTCTAGATCTGCAGTTGGTGTATGGTTGACAGGTTTGGGGGCTAGCGAGCCCGCTTAAAGAGCATCCCAAGCGCGCGCACTCGACGCTGACGGCTGACGGGGAAGAGGAGACAATGGCCCGCCGGGAGGTGCTACCCTACCAAGGTAGGCTGCGCCGCGTGTATTTGGGCAGGTACCGCAGGCAGTACCTCAGGCACCTACTTACTACTACCTAGGTAGGTACCTAGGCGGCCCGGACCCACAGATGCATGCCCTCGTACCTGTAGCGTTGGTGAGTGTGGTACAGTACACCGCGGAAGGTACTTTGCATTGCACGGGTGCGGGCTACGGGCGGTACGTACCGCTGCGGGAGTTGCGGCCATCTCACCCCGGACACCAGGCAAGGTACGTCCGCAGGTGGGCGCGTGTGGGACCACCGCACCGGCGTCTTTGGCCTTCGCCCACACCAACCACTCTTGCATGCTCCCGTCCAGCGCCAGCCACTCGACTTAGAGAGGGGAATGAAAGGAGAGGGGAGTGAAGGGGAGTGGAGTGGAGGGGAGGGGAGGGGAGGGGAAGGGAAGGGAAGCGAAGAAAAGGGAGCTGAGGGTACCCTTAACCTGCATCCCGTTGTCGCGATCCAGTCACAATATCCATTGTTTCATTTCCCTCGTTTTCGCCTATTGTCTGTCTGTTGGTCATAAACATAGAGCGACCAGGACATGTTGCTTTGCCTAGGTAGGTAGGTGGATAGACCGCCTCCCAACCAGAACATGTCACATCTGTATTACGTGACCACTTGTGTAATCGTACCAATTCTCAACAGGAGACCCGTTGAACCAGGAGCTCAGCTGGTGTAAGCGCAGCTAGCCACCTGACGTAAGCATCCGCGCCTAGGGTGTCAGGAACGGCAGACAAGGACAAGGAACCTTCCATTCCCATTCCCATCGTGACGCCTGAACGTCCGTCCACTGACACCCAACCCTGCCTAACCCAACTGTTTCCCATTTGCACTCCATTTACACGTCTGCAGGCCACATGTTGTTCATCGTTCAAGCAGACAATGACTTGGCCCTCTGTTAACAACAAGTGTTTCTAATCTTAGCTCTAAAAAAAATTCCCCGAGATGCACGACACCGCAGCTCCATCACACGAACCTTCCTGTCCGTCAGGGCCTCCAGCCAATGGCGTCGCCCACCCAACTAAGCGCCCACTAAGCGCTCTCTCTCTACTCTCACGAACGACGTCAAACCACACCGCTGAGTGCCCTTCTTCTGGAAATCTTCCCTCCCTGCTTGGCTATATTCAATCTGCCCTTCTATGCATCCCGGGGGCGTTTATAACCTATTAATAACTACCGGACCCAGCGGTTTGTTCTAACCATGGCCGCCGCCCATGGTCAAGCCGCGTGAAGATCACCCTCCCCCCCCAACGACTTACACCTCCACCATCTATTTACCTTACCCGCCGGGCACGATACGCGCCGAGAAGCAGCATTCTCCCTGCAAGGTACATCAGGGGCGACACATTCCCTACTTGCTCTGCAGGATGACGTGAGCCTCTTGACTCTCGCCTTGGGCGGCCAGGCAAGACACGGAGCCGCACCTGGGGTCTCTCAGCGTAACGCCCATGACCTTCACCTCACCTCATATCACGATACCTAACCCTTGCCTCCATTGAAATCCTCTCCTCTCCCGCCTTACAGGGAAGATCTTGAGATGGTCAAATACGCGGCCGTTCATTGACGCCTACGACTTACACCCCCTCCGTGGCTTCAACATCTCGGACCCTGAGATCGCGAGGCATGTTTGTGGCGCGAAGACGTTCGTCAGCATAATCTATCTATGCGACCTCGTGTGATTGGCCTTCTCTCCATCGACGACGCGGGTCCAGAGATCTGGGGGCCCCGGGAATCTCTTACGCCCATCGAATTGTACACTACCCCCCTCCGTCCCCTTCCAGGCAAACTACATGACCCGGTCCCAGGGCAAAGGTGATGCGGAGACGCCGCGGCATGCTCATGCTGGATGCCCTGTCCACTCCAGCAATAACCGCTCTCCGCGTCGATATTTATAGCTGCCGTTGCTATTATAAGACAATAGCCTCACCTGCAGCCGCCGATGAGCTGCATCTTGCTTAATGAGACGTCACGTCCCGCGTTGAACCACGGGGGCACTTCACACCTCAAAGGCCCCCCTTATCTCTACCACCCGCCACCCGTGCCGCAATCTCCAGGTTCGCAAGAACAAAGGATACGGATACGTTTGTTTTTCCATTTTCGAGTCTGCTTATCGGATCCGCATTCGCCTCCTGATATCACCTTACATGAGGCACACGATGCAGGTGGTCGAGTCTAAGCGCGGGAGGCCCAGACGAGGCAGCAGGGCCCCTCTCCCTCCCTCCCTCTCTCTCTCTCTCTTTCTCATCCCCATTCTTGGACTTCGTCCGTGTTCCCGGCGGCTCCCAGCATGCATGCAGCATATGCAATGTTCAATCTCCCTGGTCATCTCGGCGTTTTGTTTGATGGTTTCCCTCCCCCCCCTTAAATTGCTACCCTGTACAGGAAAGACAAAGGCGCATCATCCAGAGAAGCCCCTGCTCGCATCACCATCTGGGGCAGCACCTGGCAAGTCGGGCAAGGCAAAAGTCCTTGTTCTATCATTGCTTCGTTTCAGCTTCTGTTCCTATCATGAACTCTTACAGGTCGCGGGTGGGCTTTCATGTCCATCCGCTGGCCCCCCATGACATGCCATCTGTGCTATCGGAGCCCGGCTTTCGAATCGGGCCCTGTATGGGGTCTTGAACCGATATTTCCGTTGCTCACGTATTGCACCGGACTAGGTAAGGGGGGCCCAATGCTACTCGCAGGCTCTCTCTCTTCAGAGGCTCACCCTGCTGTGATATCCCGCGGCCCGTTTCTCACGTCACGGCGCGTAAGCGGTGCTATGTACCTCGACATCTGACGGTACTTGAACGGTACTTGCTTCACTTCTTCTGCCTCTTGGCGCTTTTGTCGTCGTCGCCGCCGGCGCTCATGACGCTCGCGCTCCGTTTGTGTGACGCCCCGCTACTGCCCGGCCGCGCTGGCCTGTCCTTGTCCGCCTCACCCTTCCCTTCCTCCGTCGCTGCTGCCGGCACAGCCGCCTCTCCTTCCCCATTCGTAGCCACCGGTGCCTCGGCTCCGGCCGCGTCCCCGTTAGTCTTTGGCTCGTCCGTCTTGGCTGCCTCGGCGGCTGCGGCTTCGGCGTTTGCCTCACCATCGGCTGCCTTGTCCTTCTTTTCTTCCGTAGACTGACTCGCGCTCTCGCCCTCCTTCTCTTTGCTCTCAGCCGCCGGGTCGGGCGCTGGTTGCTTCGACTTCTCGCGCTCCGCCTTCTTGGCCAACTCGAGCTTGATCTCAGCGTCGATCTTGTCCGTGACCTTTCTCGCGTCGAGCAGACTGTTGACTGCGCCGAGAAGGAGCTCGTACTGTGATGTGACGGGCGCAGTGGGCATGACGAGCCGCGGTGGTATGTCGAGCTCGTTGAGCGTGTTCATGATGCGCAGCTGCTGCTGGTTCGACTTGTGCGTGAACAACTTGTTGATCTTCTCATATCGGAACGTCGGTCCGCTGGACAAGCGGTCGTGGTGCGTGACGCCGTAGACGTGCATCTCGGCCTCGGAGAGCTTGCGGCGTTCCTGCTGCTGCTGGCCTTTCTTCCCTCCGGCCGGCGCGGTCGGCGTCTGTGCGACGCTGCTGGGGGGCTCCTTGTGTGGCTTCTCTGGCGGTGCCGCCGTGGCCGCGGCAGCAGCGATGCTCTCGCGGCGGTTGGCGTTGCTCTCTGACGCCGCCGCCGCTGTTTGTTGCCCGGCCGCAGGCGTAGAGGGGCTGGCGCCGTCGGCTGCCATCAAAGACTTACGCTTCTTAGACTTATCAGCGTTCATCAGGTTCTGCAGAAGCGTCTGTAGCCCAGCGCTGGACTTGAACGCGCTGATATCCTGGTCTGTATGCGGGTAGTCCAAGCGGTTATACAGCTCCCGGCGCTCCTCGTTGAAGCGGTCGCTACGCGCGAGGATGCGCTTGATCTCCAGCAGTAGCGATTCCTCCTCTTTAGCCTCCTCCTTGCTCCGTGTCAGCGCGTTGTTTGCGAACTCCTTGCGCAGCTTCTCCTGGTTCGCATTGAAGTTGGCCATGAGCTCGTGGAGCGTGTACTCGGGCTGCGTCATGTACTGGACGGGCTTCTGGACCGCCATCATCTTCGCCGCAACCTCATAGTACCGCGCCTTGAGATCCTCCATCGTCCGCGGCTTCGGCACGGGGATGATGGCCTTACTCTCGTCCCCGTCCGCCGATGCCTCGCCGTTGATGGCCTCGGGCACGTAGTCGTAGCGGTCCCAGATTATCGGCCACCGCAGGTCAAAGTCCCTGACCAGGCTCAGCAGGTAATCCGTCTCCTCCTTGGTCCAGTCGTCGCTCTGTAAATTCGTCCGGTACTGGTCCTCGCTGTACTGGGGCACATCCACCTCTACGTTGAATTTCGCAAACATGGAGTTCTCGGGCTTCGAAGCCGCCTGCTCGCCCTCAGCATCCTTCATTTCCGCATCTCCGCCCTGCGCCGCGCTCTCCTCCGTCGTAGGCGTCTTCCGCTTCCAGTGCTTCAATATCAAGGCCCCGTTGTCGCCCCGCGCCGAGTTGGTGAAGGGCTTGAGCTCCCATTTGGTCGCCGGCTTTCTGCTCGCGAACCGCCGCTTCTTGAAGATGGAGACCTCGGGGACGATGGCAATCGGGTTGTCACCGCCTAGGTTCTGCACCTCGCGGGCGAGGCCTTTCAAGTTCGGGCGCAGGGCGGATGTCTTTTGTTTTTTGGCCGGCCGGGGCCCCGCGTGGCTGTCGGGGAGGTTGAGAACGTCTCGTACGTCGGACGATGTCATTATCACGACGTTGAGGAGGACGGAAGGAAGGGGCGTTATTTCGGCGTTGGGTGTCGATTTTTTTCTTCCTTTCGGGTCTTAGTCGACGACGACTATTGTTCTTCTTAATTGCATCAAATTATCGCCGGTCGGTGCACATGCATCAAGGAAATGGGTATCATGGAATTTTTGCAAGGCAGCCTCGCGATTAAAATGTGCTAGTTTGACGGTACCAAAGCGTGTTTGTCGCGGCAGAAACGAAGAAAAGAGTCGGGAGTTGAGGTTCGATTGACAGGCTCCGGATCTCGAATTCCCAAAGTGCAGCTTTTCCCAGGTTACGCGCTTGCACTTTCCGGCGCGCAGTCCTATTGTCCAGACCGCACGTGATCCACACATCCCCCAAAGCTGTCATCCGTGCCACCCCTGTCTGTTGGCCGATTTTTCGAACGTGGCAGCTTCGAGGTGCTCCCGCGCACCTTGGGACTTTAATGTGGGTACTCGAGCGAACTGGCTGACCTGGCGCTACCAATTCGAGGTAACGATAGAATCTCCAATTCATCCCCCTCGACAGCCGATCACTAGAGGACGACGAGTACGAGTCGACTGCCCCGCAAGAACAGCCCACGGTTCAATTCCTCTCGTCCCGACAATTCGAATCCGCACAGAGATTTCCAACATGAGGCCTTTCCTCCCTCTGCTCTCGCTGAGCGCCGTTGCGCAGGCGCTCTACTTCTACATCGACGGCACCTCGCCCAAGTGCTTCTTCGAGGAGCTCCCCAAGGACACCCTCGTCGTCGGCCACTACACTGCTGAGGAGTACGATGAGCGGACCAACCAGTGGGCCAAGCACGATGGTCTCAGCATCTACATCTCTGTCGACGTGAGCTAACCCCTGATCATACGCCAACTCTGCGGAGCTGTCATGCAGCTGGGCTGCCCCTTTTCCCAGCTCTGTATCTTCAATCACAGTCATGAACTAACATGCTGCTCCTAGGAAACCTTCCACAACGACCACCGCGTAGTCTCCCAGCGTGGCCAGGCATCGGGCCGCTTCACCTTCACGGCTGCCGACGCCGGCGACCACTCGCTCTGCTTCACCCCGTCTTCCACCTCTGGCCGTGCCGGCTGGCTCTCGCTTCACGCTCACAACGGCGGCATCCGCCTTACACTTGACCTTGCCATCGGCGAGAGCAGCGAGATCGAAAGCTCCGACAAGAACAAGCTCGAGGACATTGCGTCTCGCGTCAAGGACCTGAACGCTCGCCTGCAGGATATTCGCAGGGAGCAGGTCTTCCAGCGTGTAAGTCATTCCCTTCATGCGCGCATTCTGGCTGGCTCCGTCACTGGACCCAGTGGAACGTTCCGCAGAACCACCTCAATGGCTCGTGGGACGTATCGCGGTACTGACAGTGGCATCATAGGAACGTGAGGCCGAGTTCAGAGACCAGTCCGAATCCACCAACGCCCGTGTCATCAGATGGATGCTTATCCAGCTCACTGTTCTTGCTGTCACCTGCACTTGGCAATTGTCTCATCTGCGGTCCTTCTTCATCAAGCAGAAGCTCACGTAAAGAATCGCAACCAAAAAGGGGCGGGTTTCAGGGGAGCATTGACTGAGGGATCAATTGATCCAGGACGCGTCATTCTCGGGAGGGAAGCAAATGACTGTTTTGCTTATTGCTTCTCGCACATGCTGACTCGAGGCTGGGGAAAACTGACTTGTAATGATATACACGCCATCTGTAGCTATGAGAGCGAAGCTCGGTCAACGAAGCATACGTCTGAAAGATCATAACTAACAATCCCCTATCGTTAGGAGAGCAAAATGAAGTTTCGTGGTGCTGACATGTCGCCTCCTCCGCCAGCCTCACCAAGGGTTACCATGCCTGTTGTAGTACGGGAAATACACACACAAGATGAGCATCCTTCTCTCTAACCCTTCTTCATTGGCTTGACATACGTACACTTGTCTGAAGAGAAAACACAGCTAGATTGCTGAGTCAGCTAACATAGTCCCGTGGACGTTCTTGTCTCGATGTTCAGGCATTTAGTATAACAGGGCACCCTCTACGAGCAACTATCAACACACGACGATATAACCATGTTTATTTACTAAAAATAAAAGTAGACCCTAAAAGTCAAAAGAGTTCACTCCCCGGTGGGAGCTACATCTCTGGTGCACATGCCGGGAAGTCGAAGCCATCGCAAGCCTGTCGTCGAGTAGGCTATTCGGTGCGGAATCGAGCGGGAATCGAACGGTCGACCTTGGCGATTGCACACCACATCACACGGTTTGACCTGAACCCCTACGCCTAGGAGCCGCCCCCGTGCTGGTTGTTGCCTCTCTTTCTTTGTCAAAGGGTAGAAATAGGGCGGTTCCTCGAGGTTTTCGGTTTTCTGTAACCTTGGGACGGAAGGAGCGTATGGGGCGCCGTGGCTGGTGTTAGTGGTGGTACGTCGTGATGGGATGAAAGGGTCGCCAGGGTGACGGGGAGACAGGAGGCGGGTAAGGCGGGTCATGTGCCGCCTGTTGCCTCGCCTCTCTTTCCTTGAATACCGCGTAGGTCGGATATAACGTGATATACTATGGATATTCAGACACTGCAAACTCGTGAAGTGCATCTTGTCAGCTGACCACTTTGTAGCCATCTCTATTCTCGGTCAGTGGAGGAGAAATATGTGCTGCCGGCGCTTGTTAAGAGCAGCAGAGTTGGCTTGGTTCTTGCCGGTAATGGCAATTGGTGTTCTATCGAAGAAGGTTGGGCGATGTCAATCCTCTGAACAGAGACACGTCTAGGGGACAACTATGTTTGCCTTCGCCTACAGAGAGTATACATTTCTTGAAAATCGGGATGTTTCATTTCCCGGAACGGAGGAGGGCCTTGATTGGAACTTGGCACCTTGTCATGGATGAATGTCATGAGATGGCGGTTGACTCTAATTTACCTAGAGTTAGATAACATACGTTGAGTTAGGCGGCATTCAAAGGTTTTCTGATGACACAGAAATAGCTTTCTGATTTTGTCGGTTTTATAAACCCCAAAGTCTGAGGACGACTGAGCAGCTGCAAAGACACTGGTATTGGAAGCCAAAAGTCGGAATCGTGAAACCTTGCCATTGGTGGCGCTGGCAACTCGGTTTTCCCGCTCATTGATCGCATCATGCATGGGACGTCTGTTGGTGTTTGAAGCATCCTGTTGAGACATCGCCATCTTGGAGTCGAGTGGTGTCTTTTCATCCCAGAATCTGGATCCTGGCAATGGGCAGCCAAAATCCGTGTGTCCCATCCTGGGAAATCTGGGAGTGAGTAGGCAAGCAAGGCTGTATTTATCTTCTATAGACCCAGGAAATAGGTAGCAACTGGTGTCTCAAGGTGGTGCCCAAGGGTACTAAATCCCACAAGGTGCAATTAAAAGTGAACCGCCTCGCACTTGATACGTAAGAGTTTATTAAAAACTTGTGCTTTTAAACTCTGGCCTAAAATCTCTCGCAAAATAGCCTCCACGGCCAATATGGTGATGAGGACCTCCAGCCTATACCAGAGGAGCGAGCCAGAGAACCGGAAGACCGTGGGGCAGCCTATAAACTTATAGAATTCGATTCCAAACCCTAGGAACTTAACATTTACTAAAGTCGATCTCCATGACAATACCTCACGATGGATGTTTTGGCTAACGTGATCATCGACGAGCTGATTTGCCGCATTGTTGTCTTGGAATGATTGTGGCGACGCATTATTCCCCTATGGGGTTCTCTCAACACCTTTTTCGCACGCATTATCATTCACTCGCACGCACCATGATATCGCACTTTCCCACATACACCATTCTCTCCCCGTCCAGCGATGGATAATGGCCAAGTCACGCATCCCAAAACTCTTAGGGGTCGAGCCCAACAGCCAAAACTGCATATCGAGGTTCACGTGTAGCATCTGTCTTGTGGAGCTTCTCTTGCTAGGTATTCTAGCCATCTTTGACCTACGTTATGCCATTTACATTACAACACAGTCCCGAGATCTACGCTTTCATCTATTTAATAGGGCTGTCTCAACTTGTGGCTGGCCCTGTTGTGGGGGTCCTGCGTTGGGAATGAACTTGCGCTAGAAGGGCAGCACGCGTGGGCAAGAACCCTGAGAATCAACTGTTGGGTAAGAGGCACAATCAACCTTCTTTCTGCGACCTCGTAACGCTAATCTTCGGAATCACCTCTCCTTCCTTCACCAAACACCGCGTAGATTGGATATAACGTGATCCGTTATTGGTATTCAGACACTGCGGACTCGTAGAGCCCATCTTATCAGCTGGTAACTTACGTGGGCCTTCCCGAGTCTACTCCAACATGTTGCCGGCGTACCTGACTGGTACTATTAGCAAAGACGTATTATATCGACCGTTATATCGGTGCTAGCTCGCGAGACATGGAAGGCAACATCAACATCCTTACATATATTATAGACATACTACTCTGCAATTGTTCCCTATAATAGGAATATTACATGCATATAAGAAGTCGAGTTCTAGGAAATCAATGAGGGCGCTAGGGTAAAGTGGAGATATTTGTACGTATCGGACAACTTTGGTGAGTTTCTCATCGTTACCGACCAAACTACTATAAGCAGGTCAAACACAGAAGTCAATAACATACGACCATACCCACTGGAGAACTCGGGATCCCGTCCGCTCTCCCATAGATAAGCCAGTGAGGGCCGGATTAGTAGTTGAGTCGGTGACGATCAGCGAATACCTGGTGTTGTATGTTATTTTTTGATTTTGTTTTTCTTCATGGCATGATCTCTGTAAAAGACTGGATCGACTGACTGACTTTCAAGAGGGTACGGTTTTCACACTCTACAGCCTAACTTACTACGTGTTGTGAGACTGATGGTACTATATTTCAAAGCAACAAGTTGGGGGGTATAGTTTGAATTCAGCATATTCTACGTGTTATTCTGTAAACGGCGCACCTCTGGCTTTCGATGGATCAACGATCCATATTTGATTTCAGCATTCCGTTATATTTGTTGGCGACCCTGAAAGACGATAGTATCGATTACCAGGTTGTAGTCTTTTTGACATGCTGCCTTCTCATTGAAGTTCTGCATCTCTCCTTTCTTGGCATCTTGTACTTCTTCGTTATATAGCGCGATTCGGTTTCGTACTAGCGGCATAAGAAGTCGAGAATAATTCGCCATGTAGGACTCGTAAGCGCCCCAGTGATCTTCTGCAAACCTTCTTGTATAGCCCGCACCGCTTCATACTTGTCGAGAGACGGCTGCCTGTGAGCTGCGCCGTCCGGGCCATCTTTATAGCCTTCTCTTGGACGAGGCCTTGGAGATCAGGGTGTTTCCCAGAACTGAGCCCGAGCAATTGTTTCTGGAACTGGTGTGTTCGTGGAAGATGGTGGGAGTTCGGATAGTACGGGGTATCGGAAAGCTGAGGTGTTGCGCCGAATGTTCTCTACCTTAGATATCCCTGCCTTTGTGGTGTTGGGAGCTGGTGTGGTTATTTCTGTTGTTCTTGATGCTCGACGGCGAGCTTTCGAGGCTGGCCTTACTCTTTTCTGGCGATTGGAGCATATAACGGTGACGACGGCGAAGTACCACGGACTCTACCTGGCGGACAGTCATGCCGTCGCTAGCCAAAAGCAGCGAATTGCTTGGCTTTCCGCACACTATCAGAATCGGTGTGGTCCTTCGAAATGGTAGCGTGGATGGGAATGTGCGGGAAGTCAAAGATATCCTGGGTCGAGGCTTCAGTAACAGGACTGGGGTCCGCGATAGTTTGACTCTACCAAACTTCGCCGTGCTCCCAGAATTATGTACGGACTGCAGTGCAGTATCGGCCGTGAGGTGGGGAGGGACTCTGAAGTTCCAAGTACGAAGGTCGCAGTGGAAGAAGTGCTCGAACAGCTTATCCTCACTTAAGACATGCTCTTGATCGCTACCGAGGCCTAACTGGGTGGCCTGATAGACTGTCGGGATGGAGCCTGGGCGCCTTGCGTTATGATGCAAGCCCAAAAAGTGGTCAATATCATTCTGAGTGAGCTCTTCCATCCTGCCATGAAATGGGGCCGAAGAGACCAGAAGACGCCGGGAGAAAGTACTGAAAAGACTATAGACTAGATGCGGATGTGGAAGTTGCTTTAACGACATACTCGTCAGCAGAGGCAGGGCGGTGCATGCGGTTAAAGTACGGAAAGTAGAGCAAATCAATGCATGCGGAATCGCCGTCAGCCGAGATCGCCTGCCGCAATATGCAGAGACTTGTGCGTATGACGGACCGATCCCGTGTGGTGAGTGATATACCATTACCAGCTCTTTCCATTGGTAATGTTTCATTGGGTACAAACAAATAGTAGACTTTATCATCGAAGCTGTCATAATATACGAGCATACCACCTTATGGGCTTTATTGACGGACATTCTCGCTCTGAACCCCCGTAAGGGGTCTAGTGTAGTCCACCGGGCACATGTGGAATACCGCGATACGTAAAAGCCTGATATGCCGCACCTCCGACCTGTACCATATCACCATCTCTTGATACGGTATAGATAGACTTTGCTACTATGTAACTAAATACTCGGAGCAAATTCAAGCAAATCCCCATGCCAGCACAGCGCAATCTACAAGGGCACATTGAAGAACTGGCTCGCTCTTGTAGAGACCAACCATCCGACTCCCTCTCTACATAGTTTGTCGTCCGCCGAGAAGCCACGGCTCAACTCCTTGAGGTGTTCGTCAAATTTATTCGCCTCCCCTATGACGAATTTAATACGCTCATACCCCAAGGGCTGCCCACGGTACACTGCCAGCTGCCGAGCCGTTGAGGTGACGTTGCGGATCTCTCGTCCGTTGAGATTCGTCTTCGCAAGGCTGGGAACATGGGCCCTGATTTCGTCCGCGTTCACTCCGAGATCTTGCTGGCCACTGTTCGCTTCCCTAGCGTCGGCTCCACCAATGCATCGTTTGTCCAAGATTTCGATGCGGTCGATAAAAGTTTTTCCAGATCTGCAATCGCTGGTTCTTGTACAGGTTCTTGTACCGAAGATTCAGTTGGATACGGGACTTGAATACTTCGTCAAAAGTTCCGACTCGGTTACTCGTCAGGATTAGGATACCTGGGTTGAAAGACCTGTCCGCTTTTCATAATATCCTGTGGGCTCGGGATGCATACCATGGTAGTATTCCAGAACTCGGAGAAACACTGCAAGAGAATATCAGCCCGAGAGTCACCCGATATGCCGCGTCTTTGGAGAAGGGTATCGGCTTCTCCATGACTATTCCTACCGGATACTAGGGCATTTCGCTCCAGATATCTGAGCGTCCGTTCCTCCAGGAGGACATCAGCTTCGTCAAGAAGAACCACTGGCATTCAACATTAGCTAGATCGCACAAGTGTTGTGTTGAGTAACAGTCTACCCGCTGCCCCAGATTTTCCCAAGGAGAACTACGTCCAAGTACTGCGGAATTTGTCAACAAAATTATGAAGACGAATGCATGGTTGGGTTTGCAGTTACCGCCTCTACCTCTTCGGCCTTAGTTCCTATGTCTCTACAAGCGACTCTGTAGAGGGGCTTTTTGGCAATCTCAGCGACACTATTGAAGTAAGTCATGATTGACACAAAACCAGAAGAGACTTGTTGAATCATACCTTTCAGCTGTTAACGTTTTTCCGGTGCTAGGGCCGCTGCAAAGTGTTAGCTGCCGTCGTCTCCAATGTCTTTGCTTGTGGGCGTACCCATGAAGTAGACTGAAGAGGCCGTTTCCTTTGCCATGTATAAGGTCTGTGTTTTCCTCAGCCTTTAACTGGGTTGTGATGACAGCCTTAATTAGCTCCTTTGTTTCGTCGTCAATCACCAGATACTTAAAGGCTTGATTGTTCCATTCGACATCCTCAAGGAAAGCAACTTTCAAGTTGACTGAGACAAGCAAAATGTCAGACATCAGACTTGGGTAATATTGGCGGATATTCAACTTACCCCATTCCTTCCTGTGCATGTTGAAGCCATACAATGAGGTTGGGAGGCATAGCAAAAAGTCGTCTCCCACGTCAGGCTCATCCTGAGCCATTGTCAGGGGGTCAAGGTTGTCTTTTCCTGCATCATCATCACTCGACTGAGGACGCATTTGGCTGTAAGTTTTGAAGTCTACCATGAATCGGAAGTCATACTGGCATCTTGTGGTTAGCAGTTGGAAGACGGGTGAGCTAGACCGGTTATACCGAGGCTTGAATAACATCGCCCGAGAATCGAGATGATGAGATATAGTGGGTTCTTGCTCAGTTCATGTGTTGCTGGAAAACATATTACCATCTTGTCAACATCAACACCTCTAGAGAAGAGTGGATGTATTGTTCGGTCAGATGTGACAGTGATTTTGGGTATATTACGCAGTAGATGCCTGGACTCAAAGTTACATCACCGTCGTCCTTTCCGAGGTCTTATAGTTGCAGCCCGGTGTCGGCATCAAGCAGAAGCCTTGTTGTGATCGCCTCGTTCCTCTTCTTCTTATCGATGCTCTCCTCCATCATCCTCAAAGCAGCCTCCCTATTCACCAACTTTGCGAACGCTTTCAGAGTGCAGTCATCTGCCTCGTACCCGGCCGACTCGAGCCGCTGCAGTGAATGCACCGTCCGGCCGACGTCCTGCCACTTGGCATGGCCTCCGACCAAGGTGTTCCACGTAACGAGGTTCGGCTGCACGCCGTGCTGACGCATCATGGCAAGGATGCGCTCCGCTGAGGCCTGCTCCTTGTGAGACATAAGCCCGTGCAGGAGTATGCTCCAGGTGAAGATGCTCGGGGGCGGGTGAAGCGGTAGCGATGGCGACAACGGTGCAGCGGCAGCGGCCTCGACCGTTGGATCCTTCGAAGCGCTGAAGGGCTTGCTTCGCGTCTCGAGTGTGTGCTTCAGCATGTCGCCAATGATATCCAGGGCCGCGCGGAGCATGCCCGGAGACTCACACAGCGCCTTGATGATGACGTCGTACACGAAAGTACCTTTCTCTCGGACAAAACCCGTCGCTACAGGGTCGCCCTCGGACATGAGCTGTCTGAAGTAGGCGTAGAGCGATATCAGGTTGATCGGCTGTGAGAGGCTCTTCACATAGGCTCTGAACATGATGCCCAATGTAGGGCCCGTCGGGCTCAGCTTGTGCGGGACTGCAGACACGGCCGCGTCTAGCGCAGGAAACAACTGCCGGGCCAGTTGCCAGTCCGATGGCATCTCTAAGCCCCGAGAGGAATTGAGGTAATGGGAGAGGTTGACCGGGATAAGAGACTGCAGAGGTGCAAGGTGGAAGATTTTGGAGTAGAAGTGCAGCATTGGCCTGAAGGCTGGGATAGAGCGGGGACTAGCCTTTTTGTTCTCCCTAGCCTCTGCATCGGAGAAGTGAAAGAGAGAGAACAGCAAGTCGTTAATGAAATCCACGTCGATTGCGTTGTGCTCGGCAGCGCCCGCTACAATGGTTTCGATGGTAGACGCCGAAAGAGCCCTCTTGGCTCCATCGAGCAGGGTCGCCCACAGGATGGTATCCGGCTTGATATCGTGCTGTTTCATGACCTGGAACACCTCCCAAGCCTTCTCGTGCTGACCCGTCAAGCACAATGACCTGATTAAGGCTGTGTAGCTAATCATATTGGGGACGAAGCCATGCTCCATGAGGGTGCTGAATGCGTCCGCAGCGGAGAATTCGTCGCTTGCTTTAATTTGCCCGGGATCAAGAGCAAGAATGACGGTGCAGAGGCTTATCCACTGGCTTGAACTGAGATCGGCGCCTCCTTCCTCAACGGCTACGATGCACATCTGCAAAGCAAGCTTCTTGCTTTGCTGCGTACTCGCAAGTCGCTTGGCCATGCAAAATAGCGTATGGCGATGTAGATCGTGACCATACCCCTTCAGACAGTGATAGAGAGCCTCGACAGTTTCGATGCTGGTGGTTTTCGTTAGGTTGTATATGGTGTTTTGCCGTAGACGAACATGATTTTGAGGCGTCTTGTTGATAATCGTGATAAGAAACTTGCACAGAGCCTCGGCGTGAGATGCAAGCTTCTCGTCAGCTAGCTCCTGATATTGCCATTTGGCGAGGAAGTGGATAGCGTCCTGGAGAGCATAGCCAGGTGGTATAAAGTCCTCAGTGGTAACCTCAAGGACAGACAGCGCTCGGTCAGGACAAGACCACAAAGCAGAAAACATGAGCGTATGCCAACTTTCCGGCTCGGTCCTCTTCTGGATAGGCCATGATGCCCAATTTTCGATTGTATGTTCGATGGATTGACGGTCCATAACCCAATCCAGCCTCTCGGGCGTCTCAAGAGAGTGGCCCAGCGCCATATGCACGTATAGCCTCAGGATGTCATTCTTCCAATTCTCAAAGCGCTTCAATTCCGGCTCACTAAGCACGTGCCGCAGATATCCATACTCCCAGCGTCTCCGTTTATTTTCTCGTGGCAGCTCGTCCCCCCATGGTATTGTTTCTTTCGAGGTTTTGGCCGCCTGATTATCGATACGTTTAATGGCTTTGTTTACGAAAAAGAACGGTCGAACTGGACGGGGTCTCAATGTTGAGGACTCTGGGTTGTACCTCTGAACTTCGAACGGCATTGGGCTCGAGGCCGGGCTGACCACAGTGCTTTCGTTTCGAGCTTGGAGGAACAGCTGGACTTGACCAGCGTTGAATGACTGGCGACAATGTTGCTGGATGCGCTGCAAACACGGCCGACAAACGAAAGGCTGCGACATCGCGTGGGTACCAAGGGAGAACAGGCGCAGGGGTGTAAGGTCAACTTGAGGGAATGCTGGGCTGCTGGCGAGGTGGCATTTTCAACTTGCAGAATGGCTGCGGTGATGTTGGTCAAGCTGAAGAGTGAGAAGTCGAAATCGCGAAATTTTGGACGCTACAGCTCCCCCCTGCACGACCCGGAGCGAGCTAAATGCGACCACAGGAAGCCCGTGCATCTTTAGCGCATTTCATGGAAGTGTTCCGCCTCTGTCAAATTTCCGCCCCACACCAACAACCAGCCGAGCCAGCCTTGGACTGTCAACTTCCTGATTGAATGCGCTGGGGAAAAGCCCATCAGTCTGTAACCCCCGATCACCGGGCTCACGAACCACCGCACTAGATTTCCTGATATTTGGGCTTGTTCTCTCACGAAACCCGCCGCCATGTCAAGCTCGCAAGGAACCCTCAGCGCCGTCACAGACGAGCGCAAAGCGCGCCTGGCGAAGCTCAAGAACCTGAAGAGAAAACAACCAACAGACGAGGTCGTCCCCCCCGAGTCAGAACGCGCAGCCTCACCCCCAGCAGAGCCAGATGTCTCAAGATTGCACCTATCCGGCCGAAACTATGACCCCGAAGCACGAGGACCCAAACTTGGTTTTGAGGCGCCTCCGACACAAAATTTGGAACAGCCCACCCTCGAGGAGCTTGCAGCAGATATCGAGGCCGACGTCAGGAAAAAGGCAGCCGAGGACTCGCAAGACGACAAGGGCATCGACCTGTTTAAGCTCCAACCGAAAAAGCCGAACTGGGACTTGAAAAGGGATTTGGAGAAGAAGCTAGAGATCCTCAACGTGCGGACGGACAATGCAATCGCGAAGCTTGTGAGGGAGCGCATTACGGGGGCGCAGAATGCAGCGACACAGGCCAAGCAGGTCGACTCAGGGAGCAGAGAGGGCGACGCGGCTGGGATGGATGGCATCGCGCTAGTCGAAGGCGTCCGCGTCCGCGAGAGGGAGGAAGAAGAGGACGAAAGACGACAGAAGGAAGAGGATGACGATCTGGCTGTTTAGAGGCGACAGGATCATGTATGGACGGTAAAAGTTCCTTGTATTATGGCTTCGCTTCAGGTAGACTTTTTGCCTGACCTTCAAATAATTGATACCCATCGACTACCTGCCCATGTTTAAGGACTGCGTCAGAGCGAGTCTCTTGGAAAAAGGACTGAGACTCCTCTCCCGTACCGGCTGTTGTTGCTTCGACCTTCTGTCTTGCCCTTCATTCCTAGCACCCCGGCCCATCCGGCGTTCAGGGTCGTCCCGGTAGCCTGAGTTTCCGCTACCACCCCGGCCCGGACGGCCACTGCCACTCGCGCTCCGTCCGTCAGGCGACCTTGACAGCGACCGCCGGGCACTGCCAGCACCGCCATCACGAGAGATGGACGATTCTCTTGAATAGGACGGGTCGCGAGCAGAGCCTCTCCCAGCCGGTCTCACGCGGCCATCGTCTCTCTCACGATACCTCCTCTCATAGGTTCCAGGGGGCGAACGGCTGTCACGGGACACAGATCTTTGGCGACGTATGGGTGGAGACTGGCTATGTCTGCTTCTGGTAGAGCGCCTGGAGACGGAACGACCACCCTCGCTTCCTGGACTGAACGATCTCGGCCTGGAGGCCTTTCTGTCCTCCGGGGATCTCTGCCTCCGACGAGAATGCACTGGGGAAGGTGAACGCCGTCTAGGCGGCGGCGGCGAAGCAGAACGACTCGTTGAAATGGTGGAGACGGAGTCGACAGACTCGGACCGTTGCCGTTTGCTTTCCGTCTTTCTGATGAGCTCATCATCCCTCTCCTCTAACTCTCGCTGTCTGGCCCTCTCAGCCTCCTTTTTAGCGAGTTCGGCATCTGCAATGCCCTTCCTAAATCTCGCGTTAGCAGGCAATGTAATTACAACTACAAGACAAACTACTTACTTGCGTTCGGCATCGTCTGGGGTTTCGTTCGTTAACTTTGGCATGAGCTTCGGGTTGCGCAACTGCTGAGTTCGCGAAGGCCGAGACACATAGGGCCTGGTCTGGGCCGGCTCCTTGCACTCGTATGAGTAGTGACGTTCTGTGGGAGTCAGCATAATGTTTGTGATGAAATAGACAACGATAAACTTATCTCTTTTGAGACATTTCTGACACTGGACGTTTGCTGGTGTGGATTGGCGGGGGCCACCGCGTCCTCTATAAGGGTGCATGGTTGACGATTACTGATTGATTGATGGATATTTGAGGTAGTTGCCGCCAACTTCTCGCTGTTCTGGCGTCTTGTATCAGTGCGTGATCTATTTCAGGATTTGATAAGCGATGTTGCACGCGAGTGAACGGTGAATGGGTTCTGTCTCTCTTGCTAGCTGAGAACCTGAGACTTGTGTGTAACAATGTCGTTGTGAAAACGGTCGTGTCAAAGGTGAAGGTTCCGTTCCTGAGGGATAAAGCTGATTTGATCACCGCTGTCTACTCTTTGGCGTCTCTATCCAGCTAATTTGAAAGACAGGCGACGCCAACCAGCATGAGGTTGCTCGCTTATGTAAGTACACAAGATCCGGGAAGCGCAGGCCAAGTCTTGACCGGAAAAGCATCAGCCTCTTGGGTTGCGCACCAGCCACACTCCCTTCAAATCTCCCGGGACTAAGCCACTTTCGGTTCAGGCTCTGGTCTTTTGTCTCTCGCTCGGCGCCAATCTACTATGCCCAAGACGAGACCTGCTCAATCCTCACCAGAATTTGCGACCACCACCCGATTCTTCAGCCTGACGTCCCACACGACGTTGCGGAAGGGATGTCAGCCGTCTGACACCATCTTGTACCAACTTGAGACCGCTGTTTGCTCGATTGGGAGTTGCCGGCATTTAAGCTTCCTGCTCCTTTACCACGGCTCTGCGACCGAGGAAGTGAGATCGGAAGAGAAGAGAATCGTCACGCTCCTGGAGTGAGACATCGCGACTGAATCCCGTTATTATATCCGTAGTGCAGACTGCTTGCTTGCACTACCGAGGGTGAGTGACCCCGAGCCCGACCCTGAGCCTGCACCTGAGGGAACCTTTTGGTGCCGACCTCCAGTTTCCCCATCTTCTTTTTCCCTTTCCAGCGCAATCCCAAAAACCCACACCACAGCTCTCAATTCCCTCCCGCACTACCTAACATCGTCTGCACCACACCACCCACACCACACCTTTAACCCCCCTCTTCCCAAGCCCGTGACGGACCATCTGCCTTGCAGGTCGCCAGGGAAAAAAAAACAAAAAAACACAGTCGCCTCGCTTCATTCGTTGCGCGCCCACTTGCCACTTTTTGCGATCAAGGTACGGGCCACAACCGCTAACGGACAGCCACTCAGGCGCAGACCTGATCAAAGCATCCGACGACGCCTGTTTCTCCCCTCTGACGAGAACCGGGGCTATCAACCATCGACCATCCAGGAACATACCTGCGCTATGATGACGAGCTTGTCCCGACGATGATCCACGGTGTTTTTTTCTCGCTCTGCAGGCCCGCCTTGATCCAGTTTGTTTCTTGATTTCGGATATCGTCCTGAGTCCTCTTTTCGATTCCGGTTTTCAATTCGTCCCGCGCGTCAGCAGTACTACAGCGCGATTCAATCTTGAGCAGACGACTTTATTCCCATCCCACCACCCACAGCCGAAAGTTGAGCCATATCTAAACCTCTACTCCAGCTATGGCCACTGCCCACATGTCATCCGACCTTCCTAAGCCCTCTTTTGCAAAGGTGCGCTGTGCTTCTGAGCTGCCCCTCGTTCCCGAAGCTCAGTGGTTGCCTGATGATAAATGCTAACGCACGTTGCGCTCTTGTAGGTCGCTGCATCGGCATCAAAAGACAACCTACCTGTCTCTACCGTACGACGAGTAACCACGTCAACTCAAGACCGCCCAGACCAAGCGTCGTCCTCCAACGCTGCTTCTGTTCCTACACACCTCGCTGCAAACGAAGCCGACAGCCACAAATCCTTGGTCATGAACTCCACGAAACCCGTACCGGCTGCCGCCAAGCGCGAGCCCGCCCTGCCCAAGAAGGCCAATGCGATCGACCCTGTAGTGGATGGACTGAAGGACCTGAGCATTGGACAACGAACACCAAGCCTTGTCGTGAACGGAACGGGATCCTCCTTCACTGAGCGATCAAAGTCTTTGAACAAGGACGGTTCAGACGATTCCCAGAGAGCCGACTCAAGCTCCGAGCTCGGCACCAAGCCCCCCAGTTTAGACGGGAAGAGCATTACTTCCGGAACAACTTTCGCGTTGGATGAGAAAGAGTCACTGCGCCCGGATGACAGCGCTAGCGTGAAAGCCGCGGCTGCTGAAGACGACGATTCGTTTTCCTTCCGAGGCCCGAACCTACCCAACTCTAGGATGGGGTCTGATATAGCCGCGCGTGCGAGGGGTATCATCCAGCTTGGCGACATGCCAGATCGCCGCCTCATCCAGCCCATCTCTGGGTCTCTGAGCCAGGGCATGATCACGCCGCAGAGCGCTTCTTCGGATCAGCCGCCAATGCCCTCTACTAATGCTTTATCGACTGCTCTCCCCGACTCGGCCAATCTCTTGAACACAATCTACGGACAGGCGCCAGACGAGAAGTTATTGGAGGCCATGGCTTCCCCGAAGGACCGGTTGTTCCTGTTGCGACTGGAGGCTGAGTTGATTAAATTTGTTCAGAATTCCAAGTAAGCCGACTGAGAACTGCCCAAGTATGTGTATATGCGTGACTAACGATCATTTAGGGAACCTTACATGGATTTCCCCCCATCCAACTCCTTCTGTAGGATGCTCACCCACAAGCTGGCCGATTACTACCGGATGACACATCAGTATGAAGCTCGTGTTGGATCTGTGCGAATATTCCGAACTCCTTATGCAAGGGTACCCGAATCGCTGGCTAGTATCGCTGCCCCGGAGACCAATGCCGAGACACCACCTCCACCTGCGGTGCTGCCGCGAAAGATCATGCGTCGGGGCGAGGAGGGAGAGTTTGGCCCCAACAGTGCTTCTCCATCCAAGCCTACTTCCGAGACCGGCAGTGACTCCAAGGATAAGTCTGGCTCTGCCAATCAGAAGTATGTTCATACATATATCTATTTAAGGGTTATTTCACTGCTGACTGATGTAGATTATCGAGGGAACAACGGGAAGAAGCGTATAAGCAGGCCCGTGAAAGGATATTCGGCAGTTCCGAAAAAACTGGAGAATCAACGCCCGGTATGAATACCCAGAGAATATCACCAACCTCACACTGATTATGTTTCTAGACAATGATGGTGAGAATGGCGTTTCACGCGCCAGCTCGGTCTCTGCCAGAGAGAAGTCCCAGTCTGGCAAACGGGGTAAAACGAGCAAGCAGAGACGAGATGATTCTGAGAGCTTCGACTCGAGACACAACTACACTCCATACTGGGGCCCGCAACAGCAGACGTGGATACCGCAACCTCAATACGTTCCTGTGTCCAACCAGTACGGTGCACCAGTACAGCAGCAGCCGTACCCGAACCAGATCCAAGCCCCTTACAACACCACTCCCACCCAAACCTTTGCGCCTATGATGCCTAATACGGGTTACAATGCGGCGTACCCGAACATGCCACCGGTAAGCCAAATATTTCACACTCTGTAGACGTCGAGCTAACTGGTCCCAGTACCCGCCGCAGGCGAGCCAAGCTCAGTTCCAGCCGTCCGCGGGCGCCAGGAACTATGGGGGATCTGGACCCGGGCCTGCTCCCCCTCCGCAGCAAGGTTGGCAGCAAGGATTCGGACCGGCGCCGGTTCCGATGACCCCCCCTTCCACAGCCAGCGCCACGGTCTACACGCCGCGAGGTATGTCTGCGCCGCCTGGGCAAAGCACGGTTCCGTACATGTACGGGCAGCTACCGGCTCATATCAACCCAAACGACCCCAAGAGTCAGCACCCCATTCCCGGTAGTTACAACAGGCATGCGTTCAACCCCAAGACGCAGTCTTTCGTTCCTGGCGGTGGCATGGGCCCAATGCAGCCGCCTCAGCCGCCATTCAGTGCTCCCGGCTCCCACCATGGTAGCCCCCAGATTGGCTCGCCTCACTTGGCATATGCCGGCTACCAGCAGCCAGGACCGCCGGCACCATACGGGTACGGCATGGCCCGGCAGGGATCGAACAACTCGATTCCCTCGTACCATCCCCCTCCGCCTCATCATCTAAACCCTCTTCCCCCAGCACCGGGTTCTCACATCCCTCAGCACCCGCCGCAACACCTCCCGCAAAACCCCTCTCCCCACATTCCTAACAAGCCCGCTATCCCCCAAGGTCCGGCCGGACAGACGTTCAGCCACCTTCCTCACTACGGCAATCCTGCCACCTTGCCGCAGAAGCCAAACATGGGTGTTTAGGTGGAGCAATCGACGTTGCAGGTCTACGGCAGAATGAACGGCGCATGGGAGGGTCTTTAAAGGTACAGCATATTGGCGTTCACACGGAGGGATAGGATGGCATCAGATCATGTAGGCTATTGCATGCTAGAACACTTACGTACCTTAATTGTCACTCAACTTTCTTGAAAGACCCGCCCGCGATTGTATGGTCGGTTCTCATGTCTGAATGTTTGCATGAAAGCGTGAATAATCATCATTGCAACTGCCTAGCGCATTCTACCCTAGGCCGTGTAACTCTGCCACTGCCATAACGCCATGATGGTTTCATCAAGTGTGGGTTCCTCATGATGCCATGCTTGCTAACCTCGCGGCGGAAAATGCCTGCATCGCGTGCTGGCTCGCTCGTCTCTTTCGACCTCCATCTCCTTTTTATCCATTTAGGGGGAAAGTGTATGCTGGGGGGCTTGTTCGATATCCTCTCTCATGTCTTTCCTCCATGGCTCCGCATATGAGGGAAACACGTTCTCAAACAAAGACTGGCTGCTTTACTCGGTGGGTTCCCTCGGCTCGCGGGGCTCTCTGGGCTCTCCCCTCTGGCCGCCACCACGGCCGCCGCCGCGCCCGCCGCGCTTGCCGCCACGTCCGCCGCCACCCCGCTGCTCGCCCTTCTCGCCGCCCTCGGTCTGCTTGCCCTCGCCGTCCTTCTCGCCGCTGGTGAGGTTGGCAACAGCCAGCCGTTGCGACAGGTCGATCTGCGTGCGGATGGTGTTGGCCAGGTAGGAGACCATGAGGACGTCCTGGATATGGTTGTTGAAGTCGTGCTCGATCTGCTCGGGGTCGACCTTGGGGGCGAGCGAGAGAGCGTTCATGAGGTACTGGCCGAGGGCCTGGTTGGGCTCCTCGTCCTCGTCGAGGATGCCGTTGACCCAGTCGCTGACGCGCTCAATAAGATTGGCGCCGGACTCGATGGAGCGGGCGAGCCCCTCAATATCGGAGACAACAGGTGCGGTACGGTCCTCGCTGTCCTTGGCCATGGAGATGGCCTCGAGGGCGCTGCGCTCGGCATCGCCGTACATGAGCTTGTGGGGAACCTGGATGAACAGGCAGCTCTCGGCGGCGCGCTCGGCGTTGACGGCGACGGGGGCAGAGATGTAGCACCGGGCCTCAATGTCGGAGGTGGGGTCGGTGCTGATGGTCAGGTGGACGGCAGGGTGGGGGAAAGTACCGGTCTCCGGAGAGGCGAAGAAGTTCTGGATCAGGGCGGAGAAGGAGTTGAGCTCATGGGTGGTGGTGTACCAGCCGAGAAGGGACTCGCGGGGGTTGGCCTTGAGGGTGAGGGCCAGCATGTTCTTCTGGTAGTCGACGTCGACCTCGACCTGGTCCTCGTTCTCGGTATGAGGGATGGCGAAGCAGGAGCGCACTTCGACCTCGGTGCCATCTTCGGAGCGGACACCAACGAGGGCGCCGATAACGCGGGTTGATTGCGTATCGCGGATGTCTCTTCGCACAGCATGGTCGAGGATAGAGAGGATGGCCTGCGGGAGAGAGAAAGACAGGTGGGGTCAGCAACGGAGGGGTAAGTGAAGATTATATGAATGCATGTCAAGACTTGAGTTGAAGTCTGAGACATGGCTTCCGGGTATATAGCCTTAGCCCGTTGAGCGCAGCAAGAGGTGTCGTACCTGGGGTTGGATGTTGACGGTGAGCGGGGCAATGTTGCCTGGGATGCCAATCGTGGCCGGCGCGATGGGCCGCGAAAGGTGGAGGAACTTCTCAGTTGCAGCGACAGCCATACTGGGCAGGATTTGGGATTTTCGGGGTTGTCGTTGAACTTTTGGGAGGTTGAGAAGTTGTTCTCAGGAGAGGGAGGGGAGGGGAGGGGGGGAGGTCGGGTTGGATGCGCTGGCCAAAATTTGGGAAGTGGGTTTCGGTCTCTGACTGACGGGCGTCCTTTTTTCGCGATGGTTCGCTTCAAAAAATGCGTCGAACTCTGCACCCGTACCCTCCTTTCGCTTTCCGGGTGGGTGGTGCGGATTTTGCGATTTGTGGTTGGCCCCGACCGGGTTGTGCGCGCTAAGATAAGACTCGATAACGGGTTTCTGTGGCGGCATTGCCCCGCTGTGGCTGGTGGCTAGCGTGGGATTTTCTGCAAGGTTGAGTACATGGCCGACGACTTATAGCTTTTTTTTTTCGCTGGGACAAGTGAATGAGATTTTCTTCGGTGACTTTACCTTTTTTCGTTTTCTCACCTCATATCATTCTTATAGAATTGTTTCAGCGGTTTTTACTGTCAGATCATGGGCCCAAGAGGTAGAGGCCGTGCCGGATTCCGGGGAGGAGGGCGAGGGCGTGGCGGCGCAGGAGGACGAGGAAGAGGCAGAGGAGGAAGCAGGGGAGGCAGGTCATTCGGTCGCTCATCCCGCTTCGACACTGCTCGTGTTGAAGAGAAGGAGTATGATTCATTTTTGATCTCCACTTGATTACTTTTGTATCAAAACTAACTTTATCAGGTCATCGGATGAGGATCATTCCGGAGAGGAAATGGGCTCTGAGATGGAGGAGGACTCTGATGTTTCCATGTCTGAAGACGAGGAGGAGGAGAAACCCCAAAACGCCCGCCCGTATATGGCGCTTCTTCAAGGTTTCACAGAATCTTCGGAGCCAAGCGCTAAAAGAAGGAAACTCGAAGGTGGCACGTCTGCGGTCCCTGCACAAGCCGAGTCTGAATCCGATGAGGATGAGGACGAGAAGGAAGGCGAGGATGTCGACAGGGTTGAGGAGGCTGAGGACCCGATGGCTGACCTCGCCGAGGAAGAGGAGCAAAGCGATGACGAAGACGATGTGGACGCTTCAGATCCGTTCGACAGCCACTTCACAACCCCCGACGAAGATTTAACCGCGAAGAGGGTCAAGGCGGTTCAGAAGAAGGACTGGACGTTCAAGCGGACCATGTCAAAGGTTTCGAAGGCGGTCGTGACGTATCCCCATGTGGAAGACTCAGACGCACCAGTGATTCCTTCGCCGATTTCTAGCCTGGACGGGCTGAAGCTTAAGCAGAAGCTGAGGGAAACTGCCTCTAAGAAATTGGCCACGCTCGACCCGCTGCAACAGGCCATTGCCCCCACGATCTTTAGCTACAGCGACGTCCTGTACGATAACCGTAACACTCAAAACTCTGAAGGGCTGCGGCAACTAGTGTGTTTACATGCCGTCAACCACGTCTTCAAGTAAGAACATCCACACCACCCAGTTCAGGGGTAATCGCTCACACAATGACAGGACCCGAGACAGAGTCATCAAAAATAACTACAAGCTCGCGAAAGAGGAGAATTCGGACCTCGAACTTAGAGATCAGGGCTTCACGCGCCCCAAGATCCTCTTCATCCTGCCGACGAGACAGTCCTGCCTGAAGATCGTCAACACGATCGAGGAGCTGTGCGCACCGGACCAGCGGGAGAACCGCAAACGCTTCGAGGAGGCGTACACCGACGACGACGTCAAGTTCAGCGACGACAAGCCCGCCGACTTCCGCGAGCTGTTCGAGGGCAACGACGATGACATGTTCCGCATCGGCATGAAGTTCACGCGCAAGACGGTCAAGTACTTTTCGCAGTTTTATAACTCGGACATCCTCCTCGCCAGTCCACTGGGTCTCCGCATGGCTATCGGCTCCGAGGAGGACAAGAAAAAGATGGACTACGACTTTCTCAGCTCAATTGAGATGGTGGTCGTCGACCAGGCCGATGCCTTGCTCATGCAGAACTGGGAACACGTCGAGTACATTTTCGAGCATATGAACCTCCAGCCCAAGGACGCCCACGGCTGTGATTTCAGCCGCGTCCGCAGTTGGTACCTCGAGGACTGGTCCAAGTACTTCCGCCAGACCATCATGCTGTCGGCCTTCAACACCCCCGAGCTCACCGAGCTCTTACGCACACAGTGCTACAACTGGGCTGGCAAGGTTCGCTTCCAGGCCGACTACGCGGGCGTCCTCACACAGCTCGGCCTCAAGGCCCGCCAGACCTTTTCCCGCTTCGAGTGCCGGTCTATCGACAAGGAGCCTGACGCCCGCTTCGACTACTTCGTCTCGGCCATCCTCCCTTCCCTCATCAAGCGCGCCAAGAGCTCTACCGGCACCCTTATCTTCATCCCCTCGTACCTCGACTTTGTCCGTGTGCGCAACTACTTCGCCACGAACCCGGCCGTCGCGGCGCTCTCCTTTGGCACCATCTCCGAGTACGCCGACGTGCCCGAGGCCTCGCGCGCACGCTCCCACTTTCTCACTGGCCGGCACAAGGTTCTCCTGTACACGGAGCGCGCGCACCACTTCCGCCGCTACCAGCTGCGTGGCGTCCAGCGCGTCATCATGTACAGCCTGCCCGACAACCCCATCTTCTACCGCGAGATCGCCGGAGGCTATCTCGCTCGCAGCGAGCAGGACCTCAAGCTGGATCCCGGCCAGGGCACCGTCCGCGTCATGTTCTCCAAGTACGACGTTATGAAGCTCGAGCGCGTCGTCGGCACGCAGCGCGTAGGTAAGATGATTCAGGAGAAGGGCGATACCTTTGATTTCGTGTAAGAAGAAAAACGGCAGGAGAGCAGCGGATGGGGTAAATATGTGCTTCTGCCTGATGGCGGCAAACGTGAAAAGTTTTTGTGTCTTTTTGGAGCTTCCCGTAGTATACATGTATACCCTACACGACCGTAATCTATAGACTGGCCACGTATTTTCCCACTGATGATACACCGTTTCTTTAATGAGTTACAGATTTTGCAAGACTTCATCTTCCCCACCTTCCTCCCCTATCGTTCAGACGTAAACCCCGTTTCCCACATAGCGCGGGATGTTCACGCCTCGGCCTCCTCCGTCTCGGCCTTCTTCCTCTTGCCGCCGTTGCTCCTGGCGCTGAGCTGGCGGAAGCTAGCGACCATGTCGGCGAAGGCCGACTTGCCGTCCTTGCGGTACCTCGTGACCTTGGCGACGTTCTTCTTGGTCAGCTCCGTGTGCTTCTTGCCGGCGTCCTTGTCGAAGGCGACGGCCTTTGCCGTCATCATGAAGCGGGCGTCGCGGGGCCCGTCGACGAGCTCGAGGATGGCCGAGGGCGCTTGATCGTAGGTGCTCCGCGGCTCGGTGCGCAGCACGCGCGTGTAGCCGCCGGGGCGCTCGGAGTAGCGCTCGCGCAGCTCGCCGAAGAGCTTGGGGAGGAGGTCGTGGGGGGTCTGTAGACGGACACGGTCAGCTAGTCATCTCCTCACGTCCCCGGTCCCACACTTTGGCAACATCGCATGTTGAGGGGTGGGCAGGGCCGCAAGGGGGTGGGTGGTGTGGTGGGCGCGGGTGGACTGACGTAGAGAATGGCCTGGGCTTTCCGCCTCGTCTCCTCGTTGTCCCGCTTCGCGTAGGTGATGAGCTTTTCGGCGAGGCGCTGGGCCTCCTTCGCCTTGGCGTAGGTAGTGTGGATGTGCTCGTGGGCGACGAGGGAGGTGACGAGGCCACGGAGGAGGGCCTGTCGTGCCGACGAGTTGCGGCTCAAATGCCTGTACTTGACGAGACCGCCCGCCATGGCTGCTGCTGCTGCTGTGTGTTCGTTGTGGGAATCGGCTCGATTAACCGGCAGGCTCCTCAATCGGGGGACTCAGAACGAGCGGGAGCTTTCGTTGAGGTTCGGCGTCGAAGCTCTCTCTGATCGGTACGGTTGTTGGACGAACGGCGGGCCGGGTGGTTCACAGGGTAAGATCGAATCGATCCGGCGCGATAGCCTTTCTCTGTCTCTCGCTGCCAAATTTTTGGCACTCGGGCGGCGGCGTATCCCCGGGATGGTCGTTCCTGAGTACCGGGTGGGCTCCTTCAGAGGCCGCTGGTTGGCTTAGCGGGCGCGCCCATGCGGGTCACCCTCCCAGCGGTCTTCTTCCCTTTCCCCCGTAAGGTACCTCTACCCCTGCGGCGGCTCGCCAAAATCCACCCGGAGAGGCTGAAAGTCGCTCTCTCGCAAAGCAGCCCGATTAATTAACGTCATTCCCACCGAAGCTGGCCGTCCCGCTTCTCGGAAAGCACCCAAAAAGCGACAAACGCCAATCCGAACTCACGACGGTCGCCCTCGGAACCGCATCATGATACCTTGATTCAAACCGAATTTTTTTTCTTCACACGGAGTGGATTCCACACACTAAAAAAGCACGGCTCAACTGCGCACAATCGCACCGTAATCGGGATCGAACAAGTGCCACACCATGGGCTTCACCACAGGATTCGTACGTCGCTCCCCCACTCAGCCGCCCGCCTCTTGTCCTGAAACCCCAATTGGCACACCAGGCAACTAACTCGGCGATAACAGACCGGCGGCGTGACCGTGACCCTCGGCGTAGCCTACCTCACAGTCCTCGCCCACCAACGCAACCGCGAAAGGCAATCCCACATCCTCCGCTCGCAGACCCACGTCCTCTCCTCCGCCCTCGAGCCCCAGCTTCGCACCCCCCCGCCCCTGACGCGCTCCGAGCAGGCCGTTCAGGACCGCGAGACCCTCGTCACGACCGCCAAGGACCGCTGGAACCGCGAGGTCGAGAACGCCGTCCGGTGGGCGCAGCGGACCGACTGGACCGAAGTGCGCGAGGGGCTCGAGAGCGCCGTCGCCAGGCTTTGGGTCGGCGCCATCGACAAGGCCGGCGAGGCGGAACAGGCCGTCGAGAAGAGGGCGGTGCCGCTGGCACGGGAGGCGTCCGCAAAGGGCGCCGCGTTCGTCGAGGAGAAGGGCGAGGGCGTCCGGAGAGAGGCGCGTAGCGCATGGGAGCGCGCGAAGGAAAAGAGCCTCGCCGCCGAGGAGACGGCGCGCGCCAAGGCAGCCGAGGCGAGGAAGTACGTCGACGACAAGGCAGCAGAGGCCAAGGCCGCCGTGGGCGAGGCCGTGGAGAAGGGCAAGCAGCAGGGCCAGGCGGTGCTCGTTGCGGCGCAGCAGGCGGCGGGCGTGGCCGAGGACAAGGTCAGCGTCAAGGCGGACGGCAAGGTGCTCCCCGCGGCATCGCCGGTGCAGAGGGCGCTGCACCAGCGGTACGAGAAGCCGAGCGGGCTGACCAAGTCGGTCAAGGAGGCGCTCGCGGAGCGGTACCAGCCGGTCGACGACCGTGATAACACGCAGCTGAGGGGTATCTGAACCGGCCGTCGGACGACCGAGAGTGCGTCTTTTTCCTCCCTCGCGAGGAGATGACGGGAGACGCAGGAAGACGCGAATTTGTACTACCAGACTACTTATAGAATGCAGAGAAGAAAAAAACAGCAAGCCTCTTCTTTTTTCTTTTGTGGACGATTTGGCGTTCCCTCCTCCTCAATCCGCGATCTTCAAGAGAGCGATGTATAGAGCGTCATGGGCGTAGCACAGACGGGACCGTATGTCCCCGAGCTGATGTTTGTTGTTCGACCCCGTCGCTCAGGGGTCCGCAGAAAGGCGAAATGAGGTACACAAGGGTGACGAGTGACAACCCGGACGACTTGGTTCCCACGCCGTGCGTTCTTTGCACGCCGGCTTCAACCACGTCAACCCCCGCTAGCTGTCGTGGGCTCCCATCGTCGAGCGGAAACACACCCGTATATCAGCCGGGCCTTTCCCCTCATCAACACTTGAGAGCCCCGAAACGCGGCACGATGGCCGATTCGCAACCGCCTGCCCTCCACGGCCGCCCGCGAGCAACGCCGTACCGCTGCTTTGTCCGCCTCCGCGACCGTCTCGAGCTCGTCCTCGAGCGCTTCGTCGACGGCGACCCCACCGCGCAGGCGGATTTTGAGCGCTACAAGGCGGATCGGGACAGGAGGTGGGCTGAGAGGGATACGAGGAGGATGAAGAAAAAGAAGAAAAAGGAGAACAAGGTGCCGGCTGCGGCCGTTGCAATATCCATCATCAACGGCCCGACAGACGAGACTCCAGTCGGGGACGCCGCCTCTCCTGGTATGGATAATGTTTTCCCCCAGAGCCGCATCGACGAGGAAACGGGCCTGGACGTCCCGAAGACTAGGAGCAAAGGCAAGGGCAAGGGCAAAGAGAACGCGCCATACCAGGGAGACGACAACGACGACGACGACGACGACGACGACGACGACGACGACGACGTGAGACGAACCCCCGGGACCGCCGGCGGTTCGACCGCGAGACGACACACCGACGCTCCGCCGCGCGGCACCCAGAGGTCGGCCACCTTCTCGTCGCTCGTCGGATCCACTCTCGGGGAGCATAAATGGCGAAAGAGGAAGCGGCCTGACGCGAGGCCTGGGTACTTCGACCCCGTTCCGTTTCCGCAGGGGCCAAGCTGCGGCACCGACGCGACCGTCGCGGAAGTGGGAGTGGGGGACGAGGACCGGTTGGAGATGAACATCCCCGTCGAGTTGGGAAGAAGGTCGTGGACGGTCCCCATTGGTACCGCAAGATGACGAACGGTAGATCTTTGCTTGTGTGATAAGGAGGGGGGCGGTCTTAAGTGGTTATGCTCCATGTAGGATCTCAGTCAACTGCACAATGGAGAGCCGGGTTTGAAAGAATGTCGAAAGACACCGTATTGCCATTGCTCGTATTACCACCGCGATTCGAAACAAATGAAAAATGGTATGACACATAATCGTACAAACGCGCCCGAACCAAAGACCGCTGTCCATCCCCTGGCGTCTCTCATCTTCTTTTCTGCACCACCAAGACAACAAGGTCTTCTTCACTCCTAGCGAGTGTGTTGTACAAAGTCGCAACTCCCGAACGCTCCCAGTCTCCAATATGGCATATCCGAGTTGGGGCTAAATTAACAAGAATAAAGAATCGCATCGGGTATGTGGTGTGATATGCCAGATCTTCGCCTGGGGATTATTTGTGTGCGTGCGGAAATGTAATGAGTTGCATTAGGATAGAAAGTATGAGAAATCATCACTCCTCTCTTCCACTTCATCCAACCAAGGTCCTAATAAGACCTTCTCAGGGTTAGGGCATACGCACATACTGCAGCAAGAACCCATCTCAACAACGCACCTGTGGCACCCTTGGCGCCGAGACCGAGGACGAAACGCAACCAGTATCCAACACCGCGGACCTGCACACCATTGCGGTCAAAATCAGGCTTGCCGGCTGTCATTCTATTCAGGAGTGCGAGCTCCTTGGGGGAGTATGGCATGTAGCGGACACGGATGAACTTCTCCAACCACGAGGGGGTTTGGGCGATGGTCCGGCGGTGGGTAAAGGCCTCGAAGGAGGCGCGGCCGCGGTAGTTGCCTGTGCCCGATTCGCCGACACCGCCGAAGGGTACGGTGGTAATGGAGGCGTGGAAGAAGGCGTCGTTTATGGTAGCGCCACCCGAGGTCACCTCATTGAGAACTGTAAGTGCATTAGCGGATGTTGTTCTTTACCAGGGGCAGCAGTGTCTACTCACTCCTCTTGTTCTCTTGGTCGTTGCCAAAGGTGAAAAGCGCCAGGGGAGTCCGGTAGACCTGGTTCGCAATGTTGATGGCGTCGTCGAGAGAGTCGTACGGCATAATGGCGAAGAGGGGGCCAAAGGACTCTTCTTTCATGACGGAGTCGAGCATGGAGTCGACCAGGACGGCGGTGGGCTCGATGAAGAGCTGGTCTTCGTCCACGGCGCCGCCCATGACGATCTTGCCTTTGGTCTCGTCAATCATCTTCTTGATGCGCTGGAACGACCTCTGGTTGACGATGCGGGAGTAGTCCGGGCTGTTCTTGGCACCGCTGGGGAAGAACTCCTTGAGGGTGGCGTTTAGGCTCTGGACGAGCTCGTCGACGATAGCGCGGTCGGCCAGGATGTAGTTTTGGGAGATGCAGACCTGGCCGGCGTTGAGGCACTTGGACCACATGAGGCGGCGGGCGGCGAGCTTGACATCGGCGTGCTTGGTGATGAAGGCCGGGTTCAGGCCGCCCAGCTCGAGGGTGACGGGGGTGAGGGTCTCGGCAGCCTTCTTGGCGATGATCTTGCCGACGGTGGTGCTGCCGGTGTACAGGATCTTGTCCCACTTGGCGTCGAGCAGGGTCTGGGTCTCTTGAACGGCGCCGTTGACAACGGCGTAGGCCTTGGGGTCGAGGGCGGCCTCAAAGATCTTTGTCAGGACCATGGCAGTGGCCGGGGCCATCTCAGAGGGCTTCAGGACGGCGGTGCAGCCGGCGGCAATGGCGCCGATGATGGGGCAGAGGGTCAGCTGGACGGGGAAGTTGAAGGCGCCGATGACGAGGACCATGCCGAGCGGCTCCTTGCGGATGCGGGGCTTCACCATGGCGAAGGTGAGGGGCACGTCCTCGCATTTCTCGTCGGCGGCAAACTTTTCGAGGTTCTTGAGCATGTAGAGGCATTCGCTGGCGCACCATTCGATCTCGGAGAGGAGAGCCTCATGCTTGCACTTGCGCAGGTCCTTACGCAGGGCATCGCAGAGGTGAGGGGTGTAGTCTTTGATGGCCCAGTAGAGCTTCCGGAGCTGGAGGGTGCGGTACTTGAGGTCCTTGGTCTTATTGGAGCGGAAAGTGGCGCGCAGATTGTCTGTGATGCGGTAGATGTCGTCGGTGGAGGTGTGAGTGAACTCGGGGATCTTTGCGTCAAGTGCCAGCGACATGGTGACGGCTTTGGATAGGATGGATGGGCTTTACCTCGGGACTCTTTGCTTGCTTGCTGTTACGGCCTGGGAAGCTGTGAGAGAGGTTCGTGAGGGGAAGTTGGCAAAGTTTGAGGTTCGGGGAGGGGACACGGAGTAGAAGGAAGGAGCAGAAGCAAGAGCAGGAGAAAGCTATTAAAGTTGTAAGGGTTGCCACGACTTTATGCAGTTCAACGTATCAGCGGCCAAGCGGTGCAAAGACGGTGTCGGCAGCTTAGCTTGAAAAGGATGGATGCAACAAAGCTCCACCCCGTGCTCGGCCTCCGTGTCGCGTGGGTGTAATAGCCAGATACGTAAGGCGCGACAGGCTACCTAGTAGGTAGGTATTATGCAGGTGACGAATCTTGGAGACCTCGGCTCAAAGGGGGTCCAGCAGTCCAGCGCGTCTTTGATGGACTGAATGGAGGTTTATTGAGGATTGCTAGTTGCTCTAGGAGGGGAGCGCAATGAGACGGGGTGACATGCCGCTGTATTGCCTGGGACCCAATGGACAGGCAAACCAGTTGCGAAGTCGATGAGGCGAATCCGAGCGATGAAGCATACCTGCCTACCTTGAACGGATGTACCTGACAGGTAGGAATGTGAGCCATTGAGCCGGCAGGGGGGCGAATCCGCTGGAAACAAGCTCGTTTCCCGAGACGGCGCGGAGAAAGGGGGGAGCTGGGAGGGGAACGGTGCGCTAAGCTAATTAATTGCATGTGAACAACAGAAACTGTCTGTCTGTCCCTACCTTATTTGTTCCTGCTAAGTTGCCAGAGGGCATTCCCCGTCCTGGCGTATCAAAGAGGGGCAGGGAATGGAAACGAAAGACGCCCCGACGGAGACGGGGTCGCCGCCTGAAGTCCAAGGCCCATTGGTCCCTGACAGCTTTCCTGGCGTCGGCAACCCTCTGACTACCGCCATCATCATAGCTTATCAAGACAGACACTTCACGTCAATCTGACGCTGACGATGTCCGGCTGTTAGTCAAAATGCTCGTGGTCTGGTCGGAGCACCTGAGCTCTACGCTAATCGGTACTGTATCTGGAAACTAGGTCAACAGCGTCAAGCTCGAAGCTCTAGCCAGGTCGCAAATCGGCTGCGACTGCTTTAGTTCGTTCCCTCCCCACATACGAGGCGCGCGCCACCAAGCCCGCCCCCAGGCAGCCATACTACCTACATTGTACATTACACGTAGTTAGTGGAGACACGCCAAAAAAGTTACCGAGGCCCGCGCTCTATGCAAGCTGACTAACCACCAATCACGCCCCTGTTCCTGTACCCGTCAGTGGGAATGAGTGCACAGAAAGGAGAGCGAGTGAAAGCTTGATGATACTGCCATCCGAAAGGTCGGTCATCAACACACATCGGGCTAAACCAATCAATGGCCAGTGCCTACTTCAATCGCAACAACCAGCCAGTTCCCATGCCACTGGGGTACATGCCATATGTGGTGATAGGGACACCCGCAAAAGTCACCCTGTTTTTGTGGATTTCTATAGTTCCGCTCTGACACGGATGTATACACGGAGATGTTACACGGGCAGGCCGTGCCCATTAACGGAGCAGCCCGCCTAGTCATACACAGTTTTCCTTGGTCCGGATTCCCTCTCCTTCTCGGACAGAGGCCGAGTAGCATGTATGGCCCCTCCTTACCGGCGGGCGCTCCTCTGCTTGCCCGTGCCCCGGCCCCGGGCGCTTACCAGCTGAGCCGCCTCCTCGCTCGCCATCGCCTGCGACATCGCGAGGGCCTCCTTGATCTTCGCGGCGCCGTCGACGACCCGGCCGTCCTCCTGCTTGCCCGCGTCGATCTCGAGTGTCCGCATGCGGAACGCGTTGAGCTCCTTGCGGCGCTCCTCCGTCATGCGCCACTCCTTGGGGAACTTGGGTTTGCTCTTGAACTCGTGGTGACGCGTGTCAAGGGGGATGTCCTGGAAAGTGTCCTTGGGGTCCTGTCATAGTTTCTGCCGTTAGCCTTTTCTCTTTCTCTCTCTATATTCTTGTCTCTCTCCCGATATCCAACCCTGATTATCCAGGGGATGAGACGGAGAATGCGCCTATTTACCTTGGCAGTCGCGATCAGTTTGTCCACCAAGTCCGACAGGTAGCGCTTGTTCTGCGCCTGGTGCTCGTACTTTTCGGAGCTCATCTTGATCATGTCCGTCTCCGGGTTGTATCGCGGGCCGGCCAGCTTCCGGAGCTTGTCCGCCTCCACGGGCGAGAGCTTAAGGTCGGCCGGCGAGAACTGCACCACCACCTTCCTCTCTGCCGGGTGGTACTCGCCCATGTACGTCGTGTATCGGAAACGCAGCACTTGCTCCTCCTGGGGCGGCTCAAAGGGCTTCGCAAGCTCTGGGATAACAAGTCAGCGAAGCGACAAGACATAAAACCGCCCTCGGCCTCTTCGAGAGGCCCCTTTGTCCAAGGCAGTTGGGAAAGGGCGGGAGCTTACTGGACAGCAGCGGCATCTCCCACGCCATGATACGGTGGTAGTGTCTGTGCTCCCTGATCTCGTCCAACTTTGCGTGTGCCATGGGCAACATATCGTCCTCGTCAAACTCATCCCCCGCGTCCTCTACCGGGGCCGTTGGGTCATCCTCGTCGTACCAGAAGGATGCTTTGTTCGGACGTTGCATCGTCAACTGCTTCCACTCTTGCGTAGTGTACGGCACCTTGTAATCCTCTTCGTCCTGGTTCATCTCTTTCTCTAGGAACTGCTCGAGGGACATCTGCTGGGCCGACGGGTCGAGTTTCTTGAGGCCCTCGAGCGCCTTGAGCTCCTCGGGCTTGAGGCGCTGCACAATATCCTCGATAGTCTCGCGCGGTGCGCGAATTTCAAGCTCCTCGTCTTCGGGAGTTGCCTCATCGTTCGGCGGTGCCCGTCTCGTGGAACTCGCGGCGAATGTTCGTCGTTGCGTTTGGGCGAATTGCCGTGTCGACGCCCGGGGGACGGCGACGGCGATGCGCGGCGCCGTTGATATCCGGCGACAACTGCGTGCGCAGATTCGGAATGCTTGCCCTGCTGCTGCCATTGTGGGCGGGTTGTTTCCTTACATTGGCCGAGGGCAATGCTGATTCCTAGGTTGTCGCGCTCTGTTGAGAATGGCGTTGGAAATTGTCCCCGGAAATTTTTGGATCGAGCTCCAGCCACGTACACTCATCGTCAGCCATAATAAAGTGGGTCTGTTCTTCCACCAGCCACTGGCCCAACGACCATACTTTGACAGGCGTGATTTAAAGCCATCGTTTCTGTACGGTATGCTACGTACTTTGGAGCCTTTTGTTCAAAGTTGACTCTACCACACCTCTTCACTTCTGATGAAGTTACTAGCCACAGTACAGTGTGACCAGACATTCAAAGCATTAAACATAAGAGACAGCCAAGACGAAGCTATGCCATCGGATTCGGTATCATAAACCATCATTAATTGTTTAAATACACCGCATTTCCCATCTTCAAGTATCCTACACATGATTCATCTCCCCGCACTGTATCAGAGTCCAGATGTCCTGCGGTTCATGATTCCGGTACTGAATTGCTTTGCCTTGTCCAGCGTATTTTTCATGCCCATGAACGATGCACGATGAGACTTCATGTCAGGTCTACGTTCGGAAGTTAGCATCCCACTCTCGCCACATGGCAATCCTTTTGAGTAACTCACCTCTGGTCCTGGCCTGACCATTCCTGCTGCTGGCCCGGTGATCCATTACCAGGGCCGAAATACGGCTGCTGCTGCTGCGGCTGGCCTCCGCTCAGGGGCGGACTACTCTGCCACGCCCCGGGCCCTGTATACGGCAGGTCCGGGAATGGCTGCGTCTTCTGTGGCGGCGTGTCCGTGCTCGGCCTGCCCCAAGCTGCTGGGTTGTATGGGGCGTGGTAGACGCCCGACGGCTGTTGCAGCGCAGGCGAGTATTCCGTCGAGATTCTGTTGTTGGCCACCGAGTTGGTAGGAAGCTGTGGCTGCGTCTGGCTTGCGCCGGGGTATCCCATACCTTGATACGCCGGTGCTCCGGGGTATGATGCCGAATTTTGGTAAGGAGGGCGGTGGTCAAAGCTCGCCCGCTGATTTAGCTGCTGTGGTGGAGGCTGATACTGATTGTTGGGCGGAGCCGATGGTGCAGTGGAAGGGTTCTGGGCATACGCTACGCCGAATGAGACGCTCGGCGCGGGCTTCCGACGGATGGGGCCCTGACTCGGTGAGAGCACCGGTTCGCTTGGGACATTATCGTCTTGGGAGGCCCGTTGCAGCGCTGGCTGATTCACAAAGGCTGGCTTCTCAGACGGCTCTTGTATGAGAGTCATCTGGTCGAACTCGTAGTGGCCGAAGGATTGGTCCACCCTCCCTGGCTGAGGATGTCTTTCCTGAGGAGGCAGCTCTGAAATGGTTGCCGAAGGTAGCTCTGCGGGCTCTTTCCCTGGCACATTGTCTGGTCTGAAAGGCGCAAACGTATACTGGTGAAGCAGCGACACTTGAGCAGTCAGGGCAGCCTCGAGCTCTCTAGATAGCTCTCTCACTGGCCGGTAAGAGCTGTCCTCCATCTCGGCTGCTTCATGCTCAACCTTCCGATCGCTGTCCGGAAACGACTCGGTTCTCGGGGCGCTCTTCTCCGCGCTCTCACCATCTCCTCCATCAGTTACGTCGTTTATCTTGTTGTCGATGGTCTCCGGCTGTGTCTCTCTGGTCATCGATTGCCCCTCCGCCTGCAACTGTGAAGACTGAGGTTCCTCGTTGTTGCAATCAAGGCCCTGATTCCCTGAATCGATACTCAGTACCACATCAGAAATTGCCGTGTTTCCTTCTACCATGGCCTTTTTAAAAGCCGCCATAAGCCTCGAAATGCGCTCTACAAGTATCGCGGTGCACTCATCGTCACACCCGTATGTGATGGCCGACTGAAGTGCGTTTTCGTTGTCGTGATTCGCATGAAAAATGTCAGCCCCATTATCCAAGAGGAACCTGACGCTGTCTCCGTCTCCGTTGCGAGCAGCAATGATCAAAGCTGTGTCCCCTTCCTCGTTGGCCAGGTTAACGTCGGCGCCTGCATCGACAAGCACTTGCAGCGACTCGACAGGGAGGTTAGCAACGGCATTAAACAGCACTGTCGAGTTGTCCCAGCCAGCGAATACATTGACGTCTGCTCCGGCCTCCACCAAACGTTTGAGGATTTCCTGCTCTCCTGTCCGGGCAGCGGCTAGGAGCGGGCAGGTGTATTCCCCAGCACCCAGGTTAGGGTCTGCATTGCGCTCCAGCAAGAGAATGACGATTTCCAGTTTACCTGATTCGCATGCAACCTGTAAAGCCGTCCCTTGAGGAAAGTTCTCGTTCGAAGTGGACGCATTCACGTTCGCTCCGCGGTTAAGAAGTTCTTCAACTACGTTGTAATGACCTTCTGAGGCAGCCGCCTGGAGAGCCCATCCGTTAGGGGCGTCAACTGCCGCGCCACTGTCAAGGAGCAACTTGACGATGTCGAGTCTTCCATCATTCGCGGCAGCAGTCAAAGCAGTTCCATAGCTTCAGGATGTTAGGTTCGTCCACATATTCGTGCCGCGGAAACGGTACTCACTAGTCTCCGGTCGCGTTGGGGTCAACGCTGAATCTCTCGATGAGCAACTTCACTGTCGATTCTTTCTCATGATCCGTGGCTTCGTACAGACTTTCGTTGAGTATTTCGGCGGAGATATTCCCGTCTGTGTACTTCCAGACGAATTCCAAGATACTATCCTGGTGTTCTGCCGTAGTTGCTGCACTCAAGAACAGACTGTCGCAGTTGAGGCCCCGACGTTCCTGCAGAAGTATCTTGGCAATCTCCCAGTTCTCCTCTTCAGTGGCTGCTTCCAAAGCGTCTTGGAAGCATTCTGGGGAGGGAAAGTAGGTTAGCAACTTGTTGAAGACGTCTACTCTGCCCGAGATGGCCGCCTTGACGAATGCCTTATCAAACTCCTTCTTCGGGAGTTTGTCGGCATATTTTTCTGTGAGATGCTCGAACATGGAAATGTCGGAATGTAGACCAGCCAAGGCCAGGGGTGAGTCGAAGTTGTCATTGTCAACAGCCAAAGAGACGTGATTTTCGACGAGCAAGCTGACAGCGGCATGGTTACCAGACCATATGGCGGCATTCATTACCGGCCCGACATCATTTGCAATCGCGTTGGCATTGGCCTTCATCTTGATCAACCTTTCCATCACTTTAACATGACCGGCAAATGCAGCCATATGTAGCGGGGTTTGTTCGCCGATCTCAATGCAGTCGTCGATGTTTGCGCCTCGCTTGATCAACTCGTTTACTGTGTTTGTCCTTCCGAAATAAGCAGCAAAATGGAGCTATGAGAGTGTCAGTAGATGGTTGTGGAGAAGAAGGGTTTGTCGCTTTCTTTCAAATGGCAGACTAGTATGAGCTACTGGACTTACTGGAGTATTGAAGAGGTTATCTCGCTTGTTAATATCATCCCCATGGCCGTTATCTATGAGGGCTGATACAAGCTGCTTGAAGCCAATGGCGGCGGCAATGTGCAGAGCAGTTAGATCCTTGCTTTCAAAATCATTGAGGACCTTTGTCATAGAATTGTAGACAAGCAGCCATCGATATCGGATCAAGGACTCGGTCTGCCAAAAGTCGTCTTTGCTGAGGTCGTCAGCTATCTCCAATGTGGCCTTGCTGGCATGGTGCAACCAATGTTTGATGGGATACGGTAGAGCCTTGTTGGCCAGTGACTGAACCTCCTCAGATTCCTCATTCTCATCGTATTGGTCGTAAGTGGATTCGTCGCTGTCCCAGTCTGTGTCCTCGTTCTCATTTTCCGTCTCTGACTCAGTGTCATCGTCGTTGTCTGCTTCGGATTGTTCATCCCCCCCCTCTTCGTCCTCCTCCTGATTGTCTGCAGGTTGAGTCTCTGAATCGTTGTCTTCATCATGGACCTCCTCGGCAGGCTTCTCATCCGGCGGAAAGTCAAACGCTTCCTTGATATGTGTCAAACACCTGAGCGCGATGATGCCATGCTGCCATTTCCCCTCATCACTCGTCATGCCCAGGGTTCTCTTCGACGTCTCCTTCTCCAAAAGGTGTTCTTTGACGACCGTGTCCATGAAGCCGACGGTGTTCTCGCTCTTTCCGCTCCGCTTCACAGTCAGTAGTGGCCGACACTTCTTGACTAGCTCTTGGAGTTCTGCTTTGCCGTCCGGGGTGGTGGGGAATCCGGCAAGGACGACGAGCTCGTCCTCCGTGGGCTCCTCGAACGTGAGAGCAAGCGTCCGCAGCAACTCCTTGATCTTGTCAGTGTCTTTCTCATTCGAACGGAAGATTTGCGACCACGCTGCGTTGAGGAGGGCGTCGAGCTCTTGGGGCATTCTCTCCAGCATGTGTCGAATTTTGAGATCGCTCTCAGCATCGGGCAGCTCGGCTAACTGCATGCAGGAGAGCTTGATCCATTGGCTGTTCGATGCCCGCTTGCCGATGAGACTGCTCGCATAATATGTGAGCGCCTTGTTGTACTTCTTCTCTTTGCCCAAGTCTTGGACCTTGTCCTGCGCTGCTTTCCGCAGTTCCAGTTGGACCTGGTCGCAGTACTTGTCGTCTTCGAGATCGATGAGGCGGATGTGATCCACCTTCAGAGCATCCTCGACGTGCGAGACCTCTCTACTAGTGATGAACCATCTTGTATGTACTCGCTTATCGTCCTTGCTGTCGAGGTCTTTCATCTCCGTGTTGAGAAATTGCATCAACTTTTTTGTCGAATCTGCATCCTCGGGCAGGACGTGAAGGTTGTTGATGATGAAATACACCCTTCGGCCGATGAATTCATCCGTGAGCATATCCTGAAGGGTCTGCCACAAGTTCTCGACTGTGAGTTTTGCTGAGGGTTTTGAAGAATCATCTCCCTTCTTCTTCACAAAGTGCTTTGCGTACACAGCCAACGTGTCCTGCTGGCTGATGAGTTGCCGCACCAGGGACTTGAGCAAATCCTCGGCAGTAGACAAGTCCGAGGAAGGTTCGCAAAAGAAATACGCAGAGAGGAGAGGCCAACGCCCGTTGCTTTCCCTCACGTCGGATTCAATCATTTCCCTGACGCCATTCAGCGCTGCCATAGTAGCTCGCGTCTTTCCTCTTCCTTCTGGTCCGCGGATGTATAGCGCCTGTCCTCTCTTTTGCTGTTCTGTGCTCTCTACGTCGTGGCTCTCCTTCAACCAGTCGAGATATACCGGCTCTTGAGGGATCCAGATAGATGGAGGGAATTGGGTTTTGAGCGTATCTTGCTTCTTCGACACTTGAACACCGCTTAACAGCTCCTTTACCTCATTGACAACTTCTGGCTCGATGCCACGCGTCGAGTTCAATCGGCCCTTGGCCACAAGGCTGGCGCCGTTGATGAGCCTCTTTAGGGGCTCCTTCACAAGCTTATATCGAGGGTCCTTCAAGTCACTGAATTTGACGAGGTCTCGATGATTGGCTGCTAGCCCCATCTCTTCCTTATCACCTCCCAGAGTTGCTGATTCTCTTGTTACGAACTCTTGGGCCTTCCTGGGGACGATGGTCTTGGCGATCTTCGACATGGCTGCGCCGTACTTCTCCTGTGTAAAGTCGGTTGGGTGATTCTCGTAGAAACATGCGAGCTTGATCGCCGGGCTCAACTTGTTGGCCAACCGCAAAAGATCGTTTCGCAGATCTCTTAAGCCTTCGTTCCCAGGCGTCATCATCTTTACCAATTCCGAAGACTTGGCAACGCCTAGCTTCTCACCAACGTCTCCGAGCATGGAGGCCACAGCTGCAACGTGGGCTCCGGCGAAAGGCGTTCCGAAGAATGCGCATCCGGCAACACATTCGAACATCCTTGGGAAATGATCCCGGAGTGCGTCTGCGGCAAGTGTGATGGCCTGAAAGGTTTGTTAGTCCCGATTGGTGTTTGAAAGCAATGTGCAGCCCGAAATTCACCTGGGCAATCACCAACCCCCCCATGCTATGCCCAATAAATACGATGGGACGATCTCGGATTCCCTAACCCAAGTATCAGCATTCTTGCGCGGCCTCGGGATAGATTAATGGGAAACTTACCTCTCGACTTGCTTGCAGACTCTCCAGCATTGACTTGGCAATGTCCCTCAAGAAGGCTCTGACTTTGAGATCTCCAATCCACGCAGACTCGTATTGATACAACAGTATCCGAGCTCTGGGGAAATCCCTTGCCAAGCCATCCTTCTTGTTGGCGGATTCGGATGAGTTCTTGGTGACACCATCGTAGATGCCTGTCGCCCAGTTGAACCCAGATTCGGACTTCCAACTGTCTTCTGGGTGTGCACCCAGCCCTGGTACAAAGACAATGCTGCCAAATGGTCAGTCAGCCCTCATACCGAATCCATGACCCCCGGCATAGACAACATACTCCACCTCGATATTGACGGGATTTTTCTCCTTCTCAGGATTGTACAATTCTTTGATGCCCTGCTGAACTGTCTGATAGGTCGTCTTGGGCTTCGGGGCTCCTGGGGCGCCGCCGTTTGGCACTCTCCTCGTTCCTGTGCGGCGTATAGACATGATGTTGCTGGTCACTGAGTGCAGTATCTCAACCACGGAGCACGCGTCCATCCGAGACTGGGGAGCAACTAGCTTTGAATAAGACCACGGGAGCTAGGCAACGGCATGAGCAATGCCTTCGCAGGGCTGTTGTCAGTTTGGGGGCCAGAAGCGCAAATTAGTCCCAGGACTCCCAGTGAACCCCTGTAGTCGAGCGGCTCGAAACGACCTTAGCGGCGTCAGCCGCTTAATGCAATGTAATCCTGTGATGTCCATGATGATCCAAAGACACCAATAATGGTATCAGCTGAATCGAATGCCCCCAAATTCGTAGCGCTGTCCCACCGTAAGAAACTAGTCCTGCCAGTAAATGGAACCCAAGCTCATTTCAGATGACAGGGGAGCGACCGTTGGACCCTAATGAATATGGTTGCCTGCTGGCGTCTTAACCAAAAAGGGTTCCCCCATGTCTCGTTAGCCATCTTTTACACTTTTAGAGCCTTGCCACGGCTGACACAAAAAGGCAGCGTGGTATTTGAATTCTAGCCTGGACTGATTGAACGTGTTGGGCCAGGAACCTTAACCCTCTTGATAAAAAATAAAAATAAATCGTAGCTTCACTGTCGAGCGGGTGTCGATCGGAGCCAAACAGCACGGAACAACTATCACAAAGACCAACACAAGGCATAACGCCCCCCCGGCGTTAAGATCCTCAAGCCGCACCATGGAAAGGTCGTCATCTGTGCCTTTCACCGTCCGAGTGCTTGAGAATGACCCCAAGCCCGCAGGACCAGTACGACAGCCCCGGGAATTCGGCCATCTCATGCCGGCAACAAGCCGAGCAAAGCACGATCACATCGTCGTGGCGCAAGCCGAAGACATTGACTTTTTGGAACGAGAACTCCTCGTGCAACGCCTGAACCATATCCAGGACCTTCTCTGGATCTGCGGCCGTCCGATGCCGCCCCGGCCTCTTCATTACCAGGCGCTGACCTCACGCGAGATCCAAGTTACAGAGAATCCGGAACTTCATCTCGTCTGGGCCAAAAACCGAATCTTCGTCAAGCCGATACCGCGGTGGCTTTTGAGCCCAGACTTCTGGGCCGCCCACCTGGCTGTTGATGCTGCGGACCAACAGTGCCATCCGCGGAAGCAGCAGCTCTTCGCATGTGCGCTCGGATTCCTCTTTACTTACACCGCCCTCATCGCGTACGAGAGCGACTATCAAATCGCCTCTGACAAGGGCCTTATTCCGAAAGAGGTGACCTGGTACGACTGGAAGGCATTGTCGGCCCAGACCGTGCAGAACCATTGCTACGCGTCCGTCAACCCGCGATATTGGTACGGCGAGCTTCGTCTCAGCCGGCTGAACAAGATTTATCGGGTCCGTCTGGGATACGTGCTTCGCGGGTTTTCCAAGGTGGCCTCCCATGCAGTCTACGAGGACCTGCTCCAGGATAACTTCGCCACGCTCGCAGCGATTCTCGGTTATGTTGTCATCGTCCTGACGGCAATGCAAGTCGGGTTGGCCACTGATAAGCTCGTGGGCGACAGCTCGTTCCAGAACGTCAGCTATGGGTTTACAGTCTTCTCTATCTTAGCGCCACTGGTCGCCTGTGTTGTCATTCTCGGTGTCGTAGTGGCCATGTTCGTGAGTAGCTGGATGGTGACCAAGGTGTATGAGAGGAAGAGATTCCAGGAAATGGGCGTCGAGCCGTTTTGGAGAGACCAGAAGAAAATCGGCCGGTACGAGCATGTAGCGGCAAAGCAGGATGTGTCGGAATAGGCCACGACGGAGTTGATATCCATAGGATTAGATGTGTAATTAGATATGACGTGAGATCCGTAACTGCGTCTAAAGCGTGTGTGTTTGCTACAGAGAAGAGCTGGATAGGTGAAAGACTCTATCTATCTACCTAAGTTAGTAAGCTATCTTAGGTAGAGTAGAAGATGATGAGTTTAGTACTGGGATACTGCTGAAAGCACGGATCCCTGTACGTCTGTTGACTTGCTTGGTGCCTGAGCGCGCTATTATAGTACCCATGCGTGCCTGCCTACCCCATGCTAGTAGGCCCTGATCGGCTACTTACAGCACTCAAGTTGAACGTCACCTTTATGTGAAGCTTACTTACCTCTCAAAGCTCTCACCCATAGAACATTGTCTTTCTAAATATCAACGCCAACTCCCGCCCACCGGAACATCCCACCACAGGAAGAAAAATTGGATATGGCCTCGAAAGGAACCAAACCCGTCGGTGCTGAGCGCCACTGCCTCGTCACAGTCGGCGCCACAGCCCGTTTTACCCAGCTGCTGACTGAGGTCCTGGGCTCCGCGTTCCTCGACTTCCTCGCCAAGAACCGCTACACCCACCTCACTCTGCAGTGCGGCAAGGACTATGAGCACTTCTCTCGTCACGTCCTGCCCCCACTCAAGGACCGGCACCCGAACCTGGAGATTACCGCCTTCGACTTCGTCGACGACCTGACCGTCGAGATGATAAAATGCCGGGCTCAGCCGGGCGTTCGCGAGGCCGGCGTGGTCATCTGCCATGCAGGTAAGGAGAACAGAAACATATTGTGGCGTTCTAGATGCCAGGAGCCTGAAGACTGACCCGCATGCTACATCGAAAAGGCACAGGTACCATTCTCGACGGGATGCGCGTCAGCGTTCCTCTCGTCGTTGTCCCGAACCCGACCCTCAAGGACAACCACCAAGTCGAGCTGGCTGAGGAGATCCAGCACCAGGGTTACGGGATCTGGGGCCGCCTCGGCGACATCTCGTGGGCCATAGAGCAGCTGGCCCTACAGCTTGATAAGACTGAGCGGCAGTTCCGGCCTCACTCTGTGGACAGCGAAGTGGCCGCCATCAATGTGGACTTGTGGCAGGTCAGCAGCGCCATGATGGGCCGGTACTCTGGGGCGCCTACTCCTCCTGCGAAGATGGCCAAGGTCAATGGCAGTGAAAGTGCTGTTACTGGCCTTGGTGAGGTGCAGCGGGAGGAGGTCGCGCAGATGACGATGGACTAGAAGCCCCATCGGCGTCGGCCACCTCCTTCATCCTTCTGGTAGTGGGAGGTGACTCTGACGATTCGCGACGAAGGTAGACGGAGCAGAATGGCTGTAGACATGTGCGGTTTGGGACGAAAAAGCTTATTCTGGACGTGCGGGAGATACCCAATTTCATGTGGCGTTTTTGGTTAGGAGGAGATAACATCATCGCTTTTTGTTTTTCATTCAGTCATCACCTATCACAAAGTGCGTCTACGAGTCTACTTCTAGTCCGACTACTGCAGCCCGGCCATGGTCCATACCTTGATCGCGGCGTCGCCACCAGCGCTCGCAATCTTGCTTCCGCCCTCGATCCACGCAACGCCGTTGACGCCGTCCTTGTGCGCGTTGAGAGCCTTGACGCGGCTTCCGGGCTTTGCCAGGCTCCACACGCAGACGTTTGTGTCCAGCGCTCCGGAGACGGCGTGTGTCGCGGCGTCGTTCCAGCTGATGCACGTCACCCTCGCCGTGTGCGCGGACCAGCGGTCCGTCGCGACCTCCCAGTCGGCCGTCTTGTACGCAACAATCTTGCCGATCTGGTTGCCTGCGGCCAGGTACTGGCCGTCCTTGGAGTAGGAGAGGCAAGAGATCTGGGAGGTCGACTTGTCGAGGGACTTGGTCTCGGAAAGCCTGCCCGCGCCGTCCGCGGTGTATATCTTGACGGAGTTGCCGGACCCCACCGCCACCGTCGAGTTGTAGGCGGCGACGGCACCGGGGGTGAAGCCGAGGCGGTTCTCGGAGACGAGCTTGTTCTTCTCGTAGACGTCGACGCCCTCGATGGTCGCCACATAAAGCTTGCCGCCGGTGGCGGCGACGCCTTTGGGCTGCGCGGAGAGCTTGACGGACTCGCCGACGAATGTGTTGGCCGACTCGTCGACTATCCGCAGATGGTCGTCCCAACCCACGCTGTACGTCTGTCCCGCCTCGGCGCTGAACTGAGTGACCTGGTTCGTGTGTGCCTGCCCATCAACGACCGAGCCGGTGCCCGTGGCCACGTCCCACTGGCAGACGCGGCCGTCGAAGCTACCAGTCCACAGTGTCTGGCCCTTCCCGTCGGACGAGGCGCCCAAGGCCGTGATGCTCTTGTTGTGGCCCTGCACGATTTTGCTGGGCTTTTCGCTGCCCTCGTTTAGGTAGATCAGGTCGCCGTTGAGGTTCAAGCTGATGATCAGACCGTCGGTCCTGCCGTGGGGGTAGACAACGCCAACCTGCTGATCACCCACGCTGACGCCCTCGCCAAACTTCCACGTCTGCATGGCTTTACCCGCCTCGACGTCCCAGAGCTTGACAGTCTGGTCCGCACTAGCAGTGACGAACTTGGTGCCGTCCTTGGCCCACGAAACCGCGAAAATGCTGCCAGTGTGTTCCCCCTCCCCGATCGAGATCGTAGGCTCGCCCGTCTTGCCGTCGTAGAGCTGGATGCGCCTGTCGGCGCCGACCGTCACGAGCTGGTTGCCATCGGGGGAGAAGGCAGTACCGAAGACAAAGCCCTTGTGGGTCGAGGCGTGCTTCGAATTGAACTTGAAGGGTGCGCCGTGCAGGAAGCAGAGGGAGCCGTCGTCGGAGACCGTCGCCGCCCGCAGCGGGCGCTGCTGCCGCACGGCGACCGAGTTGATGACCTTGGAGTGACCGCTGATCTCTCCGACGGAGTTACCACTGTCGGCCGTGATGCAGTGGCCGAACCGCTCCTTGCCGTCGCCGACGGCGATAATGCGCTGGGAGTCGCCGTCCCATGCAATGTCGTTGATACGACCCGAAATGATGTGGTACTCGCCTGGTGAGCAGATCAGTATCGAGAGCCGTCTACCGGGTGTCCTGGGCGTGTGTTGTATGTACCCTTGGTGTTCTCGGCCTCGACGGCGTCCCAAACTTTCACGGCGCCCGAGACATCTCCGCTGGCAACGTAGAAGCCGCTGGGCGAGAAGCGGGCAACGCTCGTTTGCGCGGTGTGGCCGACGTACTGCTTGCTCACGGAAGGGTTGTCGATGGATCGGAGGAAGATGGATTTGCCGGCCTGAGAGGATGCAATGTTAGCCAGAGCTTTGTTTAGTCGAGGGGTATCGCTCAACTAACCGCGTAGGCGAGACGCTCTCCTTTGTTGTCGGAGGAGAGCTGCGTCGGTTGGCCGCGCTGGGTAGCGGGCGAAGCAGCTAGGATCTTTTCAATGGTGACAGACATGATGGATTCCTAACACGCCTATACTGAATGCAATGCAGGTTGAGCCCGTCGAAGCTCTGCGCGAAAAGACGATGGAACAGACAGGAAGTGTGGGAGAGAAACGGGGGTTGAGCAGGGTGTCAGCTTCAAGCTATGCAGCACAATGGCGGTCGACGGTATCAAGTGGGAACCTGGACCTGGAGCTGGAGCTGGGATGACGATCCGGGAATAGAGAGGATGGAGGGGCAGTGCTAGGTAGTGCTGTTGCGGGGCATGCATGACGTTCCCTCTCGCCAGCCGACCAGTTTCGCGCGGTCAGTCTGGAGTCTATTGAAGACATTGCAGTTTGGTGCATATTGCCTGAAGTATGCCGCAAGGCAACAGAAAACAGCGTGATTAATATCTACTCGGTCATATTTCCTACGGAGTGCCCAATTTGCCCGGCGTAACCATCTACCCCCGGCCTACCTGGTTAGTGACGATACGCAAACGTGAACATAGCGCGTACGTACGGAGTACACGCACGCATCATACAAACTCAGACGGTGGCTTTAAACCTCAATACCGGAAACAGTTCTAGCTTAAGTGCGCTTCATTTCTACCACTATATCACGGTTACGGTTTCATGTCTCTACAGAGCACATCTTTTTCCAAGGTACAGATTGGTCACGGAGCGGCTGTCTGGTTCCTCGTTGTAGCAACCCAGCATTGACCGCTGTAGTCTGCCGCGTACACAACCCCAGTGTTCTAGTTAATCTAACATGTTTTGTGAAGACAAATGCTCTCTGGGTCTCGTTGATTGAACATGCAAATCTGCCTATATGTAGCGGGTCGGACTGCAGTATGAGAGTGGATCGGGCACAAATATAGGTATATAAATGCTTAATTCACAGCGAAATTACAACAACAGTCGTCGCTTTCCTAGCTCAATTTGGTCAGAGCGTCCGACTTTTAATCGGAAGGCTGTGGGTTCGAGTCCCACGGATCGCGGTACACTTTTGCAGTATTCATTTACCGGGGGGTTTTTTTTTTTCTTTTTTTCTCTAATTTCCTTGCGGACTTGACCAACAACACACATTATGGCTTTTTTCAGTTAAATTGCAACTCTACCATACTTTACGTCCAGATGCCCCCCCCATCTTCTTTTGTTACAAAATCGACATTTGGTATAGTGGTACATGGCATCTTTGAAATTCGTTCAATTCTCGTGCAATCGAGCTCAACATACATAGTTCCTATTGACACAGCCCGAGTGGCCGTCTATGGCGAAAGCCATACAACTAGGGTTCCTTAAAGATATAACCGACCGAAAGGTAATGCCGGACCAAACGCCTTTTTCTATTCGCAGTCACTGCCAGAAAACCACACCCACACCAAAACAAAAAAGTCGACATCTTGTTCATTCGTGTAGGTTTGTCAGCCGTCTATTTCTTCTTGCCCTTGGTCTTGCTCTTGGCATTGGTGGCCGACTTGTTTGATGTGACGCTCGACGCTCTAGAAGGAGCCGCGGATGTGTTCTTGCTTCCGGCCTCCGACTTGACGTTGTCTAGTGCCTTGTTCTACAATCATGGTCAGTAAGGTCTCTTTGCGGTTTAGGAGCTCGTCAGGGTTCTCACCTTGACACCATTCTTGGACTTCTTCTTCGCTGGTGCCATGCCCAGGATGCTGTCCTCATCGTTCTCCTCATCGTCGGCTTCTCTCTTGACCTTTCCATTGACGCCGTTTGCACCCTTTGTGGGATGGACGTCCTCAAATTCCTTGACAATGGTCGTCAACAACGTAGTGCAGCGACGGCTCAACTCAACGGGCGTCCTGCTGAGGAAGAACCAGTCGAAACGGAACAGAGGGCTCTCTGCGATCTCATCTCGCATTTTCTCATACAGGCCCGGCGAGTCGATGCCATGCTTGTCGAGAAGAACCAGCAGGAATCGATCCTCTTCCTCTGTGTACACCTTCTTGTTCGTGGTGGAGACGGAATAGTTGATCTTGAGCTGCTGCAAGGGGACACGGTATTGAGACATCTTCTTGCGAAGCAGCTTCCTCTGGTGTTCAATCTTGCGCATACGCTCCTCGCCATCTTCAATGACCTTGATGTACTTGTTGTAGTCTGCGATCTCCGTATACCGCTGCCAGAAGACCTTGGCGTATTGTTTGACTTCAGCGGCAGTTTTGTTGTCGATATCCTCTGCGATACTTTCGTAGTCATTGCGGCCGTAACGTCCGGATGCGTTGACGAACTGCTGAAAGTCGCGCCTGTTCCATTCGCCAAACCCTTGCTGTGACAGGCGTTGCTTCTCCTCCTGCTCTTCCTCGGTGAGTGGCGTTGCATTGTCAATCTCTTGTTGATCCAGCGCACGCTCTGCTTCACGCTCGTCAAGGTTCTCATCATCGCCATCAGAAAGCGGGACCTTGTAACCAATTTCCTTGCGGTAGTACGCCGTCTCACGATCCTGGAGGTCGCGCAACCTAGGCGGATAGAACTGGTAGTCGTGAACCGGAACCTGCCTTGGAGCCCTCGGGGCCTTGGGCTTGGTGTCCTTCTCTTTGGGAGGGTACATGGTCTGGCGGAAGTACTTGTCCATGGAGTATGATTGCTCCTTTCGCTCACGCTTGGCGGGGTTGATCCAGTTCATCCCAATGTCCTTCTTGTTGGTCTTGAAATCCTCGCCGTTCCAGGTGTAGGCGGACTCGGACGTGAAATTCTGCAGGTCGTCGATTCCAAGCTTCTCGTACCTGGCGTTGAGCTCCTTGGTTCTCGATTCACCAGACGCAAGAATCTTGTCGATATCGTCGTCGTCCAGGTCAGCGCCCTTTTCGGCTGGCACACCGGCTGCGCCCTTGCTTTGGAAGACCTTCTCGGCACCGTGTTGGATCATTGAGAGAAGCTCGTCCTTGTTGGCAGCAGCCTTTGCGGCAACCTGAGCACGGCCTTGCTGGATGACAAGCTGGTCGAGACGAAGCTTTTGAGCTGCTCTTTCCAAGACCTTCTCCTCAATCGCGTTATCCGTCACGAAACGATAAACAACGACCTGCTTGGTCTGACCGATACGATGGGCACGATCCATGGCCTGCAAATCGGCCTGAGGGTTCCAATCGCTGTCGTAAAGAACGACAATATCAGCAGAGGTGAGGTTGATGCCCAGGCCACCCGCTCTCGTCGTGAGCAAGAAGATGAACTTCTCGGAACCTGGCTTGTTGTACTCGTCGATGGCGGCGATACGATCCTCGTGGGCCGTTCCACCGTCAATACGGCAATACTTGTACTCGCGAAACACGCAGTAGTCTTCGAGTATGTCCAAGAGACGGCTCATCTGTGAGAAGATGAGAACTCTGCTGCCCTGCTTCTGCATTCTAGCCAGCAACTTGTCGAGAACGACCATCTTGCCAGCATTGTAAATGAGATGCTCGTCAGTGGTGTAGGGCGGGCCAGGTTCGGCGCCTTCGAAGAGGTAAGGGTGGTTGCAGCATTTACGCAACTGCATCACAATATTGAGCAGTCTTGTCTTCGACTCCCGTTTGCCGTTGGCGCCGTTGACAGCGTCAATGTCCTTCTCGAGAATTTTCTGGTACCACTTGACCTGCATGTCGGACATACCCAGGTACAGGTTGACCTCCTTCTTGGGCAGCAAGCTCTTCTCAACATCGCTCTTGACTCTTCGGAGCAGGAAGGGCCGCAGCACACGGTGGAGCTGCTGGACGACAGTGTCCTGGTCCTGTTCTCGGCCCGAAAACCACTGGTCGAAGGCCTCGGAGTCGCCGAAAACATCGGGAAGCAAGAAGTTGAGCAGAGCCCACAACTCGTGGAGGTTGTTTTGAAGAGGTGTACCAGTGATCAGGAGCCGGTTTCGGGAGTTGAAGACGCGGATCACCTGGGCCAACGATGATTCCTCGTTCTTGATGCGGTGCGCTTCGTCGATGATGATGTACTCCCATGCGAACTTCTTGAGGTGACTCTTCTCGCGCAAAATCATTTCGTAACTCGTGATGCAGACGTCAAAATCTTCGTTGACCAAACGGTCGTTGATGAGCGCGTTACGTTCCTCTTTGGCGCCCTGAAGCACCAATACGTTGACCTCAGGAGTCCATTTTTCGAATTCTCGCTTCCAGTTGTCCAACGTCGACTTCGGCACGATAACGATGTGGGGACCAGTGATACCCATGATGTGTCTCAGGTAGCCCAGGAACGAGATTGTTTGCAAGGTCTTTCCGAGACCCATCTCATCGGCAAGGATGCCAGAGATACCATTCTCATGGAGTGAAATCAACCAGTTGAGACCAGCGACTTGATAGTCTCTCATCTGGCCCTTGATGAAGGCAGGCGATTCACGGAAGACCGTTTCGGCAGAGCCTCCGTGCTTCTCGTCTTGAAGCAGCTCGGCATCTTCCTCAGCTTCAGTCCGCCGCAAGCGCTCGTTACTAGCGCCGCCCTGACGCGAACCCTTCTTCTTGCTCTTTGATGCCTCTGCGTTCTGTCGATCGATCTCTGTCATGATTTCCCGAATCTTGGGGTTGGGGTTCGTTTCGATGAAGTGGCGGAAGAGGTCCGTAAGACCCAACAGGTATCGAAAGCGTCGAATACTGTCTTCTTCCTGTTTGGGAACATCATTTAGCACTACGCCGTTGCCTGGGCCGTTTTCTACCGTCAGGAGCTCGCGCCTAGCGTACCTTTGATTCACCCAAGCGATCGTGTTTCTTGCCGAAGATGCTGCGACGAAGCTGATTGGCTTCGGTCCGCCTTTTACGACCATCTCCCAGAGGTTCACCAATAACGCTACTGGCGGTGGTGTTCGCATTGGTATCCGAGTCGGTGTAGTCGGGAGTCTCGTCGACTTCCTATATGCATGTCAGCCAAACGATTTTCAATCCAGTCGCGATTCGTAGCGGCCTAGGGAATATAACAGTGCGAGAGGAGTCGATAAGGAACACTTACCATCGATTCAACGGGATGAGCGTCTGCCGCGTCCGACATTGACGCGTCGGTGTCGGCCGCAGCAGCTCTCGAGCGAGGCGCCATCCTGACGGCTGTAAATCACTTTACGCGACTTACACGCGTTTCTTTCGACTATGTTGCGTGCGCCAGGAACTGTAGATGATGTTCAATTACCACAAACGTTTTGCAGGCGACGTTGATTGAGGAAACGCTCAAGAAATGGAGAGCGCTTTGGTGCTGCGCGAGAGTGAACGGTCGTAGATGTTTTTTAGATGATGGAGGAAAGGTGGGATCCCTCTGCTTGAGAAGACAAATTCCAATCAGGACTAGCGTGTTTTCGCCGTGTCTTTCCCCGTGCGCCCGTCAATCAAGTGGAGTACAGCCGCCCCGGGATGTCGGACGCGGAAGAAGGCAGGCTCCGACCAGAACGTCTCCCGTTACCTCTGTCAGAGACAAGCGTGCAGCTCCACCGTCCGGTCCAGGATTGGATCAGTCAGAACTAGCGCACTGACCATGAGGGGATAACGTCAAAGCCACCTAAGGTATCCGTAAATTATGGCCTGTGAAGTCGCTGCTGGCTCTCTCGGTTAGTGCCATTTCCCAGTGTCATGTGCTTTACCTTACGCTGAAGACAAGCTGACCTCCGCCTCATTGACAAACAACTGCATCTTGCATCGCCGCCCATTAGACAACCTCCATCACCACGTATCCAACCTGTCAATCGCTCCGGTTCTGGCGTCAAGAGGATCTGCCTGCAAATCTCGTCTGCGTATCTGCACTCGAAGCCGCCACCACCACACCTTATCGCCAGTCACTTGGGGGACCCCGTTTGGAGACCCCACTCCTGAGTCAAAGATTTGTTTACCCGACAACTCGACGACCTACATTACACCGCTAGAGGTGCGGGATTTGTCTTTCCCATTCTTTGATTCCATACTGACTCTTTTCAGTCGCTCCTTAACCTACGAGACAACCACCATGGATTCCATGCGAAGCCTCAACACCTCCCTACCCGGCGCCTCGGCCGCAAGGCAGACGACACAAAATGACTCCCCGGAGCAACTCCTCGACGCCTTCAAGGCCGCGGCGCTCTCGGTAACGAAACTTTACAAGACATCCGCGGCCGCCCAGTCCAAGGCCCGCATGGACGGCTACCAGGATTGCCTCGACGACCTGCTGGCGTTCCTCGACAAGGAGAAAATTGGCCTGGGTGACGGCGATGGCTGGAGGGTCCGGAGCTGGGCGACCGAACGTTTGGATGGAAGGGAAAGCTCTCAAAATGTTGAAAGCGACGACGAGGCGGACAAAGCGGAAGCTGCATCGTCCCCGGAGCCCAACAGGACAGACAGCGGCACTCAACTGTCGGCGATGCGGGGCGAAAGCCAAATGAGGACGGACTCAGCACCCCTTAGCAGCTCTCAGGTCGTTGAAGAAGAGGAGGAGCCCGAACCTGTGTCGATCATGGTACCAACGGCGGACTCGTTCACCTTCCAATCCTCACACCCTTGGCCGCCTCAGCAACCTCAACAAGACGCCTATCTCAATCTTGCGAACCTCGACCTATCAGATTCTCGGACACACGACACAACATCGACAAACGCGAACTCTGGCGGCCGCACAACAAGACCACGACACCCGGCAAATATCCCTCGCTCAGCGTCAAGGCAAGGGAACAACCTCGGCCGCGGCGCTGGGTCGAAACGCAAGATCAACTTTGCCGAAATCTTCGACCTCAGCAGCTTGGACAAGAACATGTTTGGCGGCGGACCGAAGCGCACTCGGCACACATAGGTCGACTGGAAGGCGATGACAACTGCGGCGGCATTCTACGCACTTTCTTCACTTTCGACTGCGGTCTACTAGGGAACTTTCCAACGACCAACATCTTGTCTCCTTTGTCTACCACAGTTTCTTCAGACATGTCTTGACGGGATTGAGCGAGCATCGACGTACATCTATCTGGAGGAAGGGTAAGGAGGGATGAATTGGGAGGAGAGGGACTTTTGCGCATCAGGAGGAGTGCGTCACGAGAGGCGTTGGTTTGGTTTTATGAAGGTGCATGGGCGGTGTTTAGGTTGGGACTGTTTATTGCGATGATGCCAAATAAAGGACGGCTAGCTAGTCCACGGCCAATAGCTACACACACACACACATATCATTATTTTCCCTGTCGAACTTGTGACGGTGTAGACGGCTACTTCAAAGTCAAGCCGTTACCACCGCAGGGATAATTACAAACAACACATTTGAATATGGCAACTCTGATCTCCAAGTGATGTCTTCGGCCTCAATTCCTTCTTTGTGGCTTTGCCGCTTCAGGTTTCAAGACTCCGGATCTCCCAAACTATGCAATCAAGTCTCAACAAACCCAAATATGTTTCAACACATGGCAAAACCGGCTGCTGGAAACTTCGGACTCGTCTCAACTCGAGGTCGTCTTCTCTTCCCAATTACCACCTTGCCCCTTCTGGAAAGTCCCTCAAACTGGGCAGCCCCGTTTCTTTGCATTCTCTTTTCGCCTGCGCGCCAAAGAGTAATACACCACTTACCCACAGTAGGCGAGGGGTATGTGCTCCACATTCTTTAGAACCTACCAGAGTCTTCATTCCAGCCCGTCACTCAAGTCTTGTCCGGTCGAAAATGGGATATCTAGGTCAACGGGCTTTGTGGACGACTGCAGGGATCGCTTCAGCGTTTCAGAGCGAGCTCAGTCAGCATCTTGCCCACCAAGCTGTTCCGAGCCTGGGCGCTTTCCAAGACTGTCCCAAGCAACCACGTGAAAAAGACCACTGGCTCAGCGGCCGGTTCTATCGCGACTCGCATGGAATACCCCACATGGCACTACGCTGCAACCCCCCGAATCGACGAGATTCCCTTGCCCGCTCCCCCTCGTCCCCCCCCACCTCATGCACACACTTCGCCAAAAACCTAGCCAAACCCTAGCTCTGCCTTTTTATAACCATTCGCCAGATTCTGCTCTCAATCACAACTGATCCTGGGATTACCCCTAAGATCATCAATACGGAAGGGTGGCCGAGTTGGTTATGGCGCCAGGTTAAGGTCAGCTTAACATCTGTTTCCTGGTGGGGCAACCCGCGCGAGTTCGAGTCTCGTCCCTTTCATTTTTCTATTTTTGCACAGAGGTTATAGATAGAACATTGGTTTGACACTGCACATATACATACATACATACACAAATACCGAGGAGGCCGTTGAGTATTTCGCCGTCCTGTGCCGCTGCGTTCTTCACCTTCAATCGCTATTTAGAGGAGGTATGACAAGCGGCACTGTTTCACGGCAGGGCCTGTTTCTCTGCGGCAGGCAGCTGAGCGTCACGGGCCGTGGTTTGCCTGATTATCAAGTTCCCCTGCTCTTGGCGCGCGTGGAGTGGTAACTCTATTTGGTAGATAAGGTTTCTTTCTAAGGTGATGGGGGGATTATCCCTCACTCAAGTCGTCCGCTTTCATGAATATCTCAGTCATGAGCACGAACACAGGCCTGCGCAACCGCAATCATGCCACGATACGTTGAGCCTAGGTGCCAGACAACTCGTCATTACCCTGTTATCTTGGTTCATCTCAACCCCAGGTCGCCCTCCGCGCCAGGGCGAAAGAGAGCAAATGTCTTGATATCATCCGTACCAAAGCCATTCTTTTTTCGTTCGTCTGTTCTTCGCGGACTGCCCTAGGTTTTTACAAAAACCAATCTAACCATCCCCCAGAGATTTCCCAGAACGCCGTACTAATGCAAGCCGCGAAAGAAGACGAGAAGACGTAGCAAAGAAGGGCGTTGCTTTTGTGTTTGTTGTTAACCAAATCAGTCCCTCCCTTTCTCCCTAGTTCTCCTGTCTGTTCTTCCGTTCCCGCTCGACCTCGTACATGAAGTCGAAGTAGCCCTTGTCGAACTGGTGGACACGGACGTAACCGTCCTCTCCTCCGGATGCGTAGCCCTTGCCGGTGGGGTCTGCGGCGACGGTGTTCTTGGGACGTGTTAGTTACCGGGGTCTCCATTATCACAAAAGCTAGCCAGCTTACCAGGGGGCCGAAGTGACCACGGACTCTGCCAACCTCCTCTTCGAAGATCTTGTGGTAGAATCTGGCCTCGAACTTTCCTTGTCTTGCCGAGGTACGGGTGACATCCATGGCGGCCTGGCCACCTCCAAGGATAACAAAGTCCTTCTTGGGCGTGATGGTGGCGCTGTTGAGGGGAGTATCGGCGACGTAGGTCTTGAGGACCTCGAGGTCCTTGGCGGTGATGAGCTATATCGGGTCAGCATCCGGCCGAGTGGTCTAGCATAGTGAGATATGTACCTTGGATGTCTTATCCTTGCTAGCGGTGATGAAGTAGGTTCTGTCCTGCGACCACTGGAGATCCGTAATGGGCGTGTTGAGCTCGTGTACGGGCTCGTTGTAGATCAGGTCACCGTTCTAAAGACAATCAGTATCGTGCCTCCATGCTGTGACCTACGTCTCATCAAACCCACCTTGGCATCATACTGGGAGACGGAGCCGTCCTCGTGGCCGGCGATGATGTACTTGGTGAGGTAGCTGAAGCCGGCGACGGTGGCCTTGCTCTCGTCGCACACGATGGTCAAGGCGCGCTCGTCGGTCTGCTCGGCCTCAGGGTCGGGGTTGATGTCGTAGACGATGATGTTGCTAAGGAAACCCATGCGCTTCTCCGTAACACCGAGCAGCTTGGTACCATCCTCGTTGAACTCGACGCGCTTGACGGCGGTGGGGAACTCCCAGGTCTTGAGGTTCTTGCCCGTCTTGATATCCCACAGTCTCATCGTGTTGTCGGCGGAACCGGAAGCGATCATGGTGCTGGTGGGGTCGACGTCGACGGTCCAGATGGCACCGACGTGGCCGTGGTAGGTTCCCAGACGCTCGCCGTTGTGTGCGTACCAAACGCAAATCTGCTGATCCTTGGAGGTCGAGAAGATAAGGTCGCCGTCTGAGTTGTACCTATCCAAGACGGCGCATCATGTCAGTTACATGCCGCCCCTATCGTCAGAGTAAAGGAGGGGCGTGGGCGCTTCGCCCTCTTCCCCCTCTTTCCTGGATAATTTCGCAGGCGGGCACAGGCAACGTACTTGATCTGAGTGAGCGCACGCTCGTGACCTGCCAAAAGAATAGGCCTCATATTGTCTGATTATCGAGGAGTATTGCTCTTCTCGGTCTCGGGGCTTCTATTTGCGGAGGGCGGTGTTGCGGCAGGGGACGTCGGTCTTTATATGGCTTGCGATGTCGTCTGGCAGCAATTTTTGCCCTTCACCTCGACATTGTGGGTTTCGGTGCACTGGTGTGGGGCGCACTTTTTCCCCCGCGACCATTCTGCCGGCTGAGGTGAGCAGCCACTCACCGCCTTACGCCTCAGGCACTGTAGCACAGCCATCTACCACACCACAGCTTGCTATACTTCGACTGACTCATCAAACCTTTCTCTTAGACTGAAGCTCCCCTCTAGTCCAGTCCGGTCCGGCCAATACCATTCGTTCCATGTCAGAATCAAGGAGGCATCAGTCACAACGGCTCCTTTGGGCAATCTCGACTCATCGTTGACTCAGTTCCAGTTTTGTGCACTCGATGCATTTTCCGGAATTGGAACCCTAGCAGCCTTACAACGCATCTGGCCTTTGACTCGAAATCCTCTAACCTCAACGGACCTCAAAGGAACTTGAAGTAGTTTCAACAACTCTTGTCTAGCTGGATGCTTTCTATGCGAGAGCAAAAATATCAGACTATTCGGACTGCTGTCGTTGTACTCTTTGTCTTGTATCATATTCGTTTTGTCTTTGTCCCCTTTCCCGCAGGGCTTCTTTTCGACATCGATTCGGTCTTCTCTTGCCAACCTCTGTTGGCTTTCTTGTTTTTAATTTGGTTCAACGACCAACCAATCGTGACATTTTACCTCATCTCGTTGAGAAACGCCTGTACGTCGAGTGTGTCGATTACTTTCACAGGCGCAGGCAGTCGATACCAAAGCTGTGATTGCCCCCCCCTGATACCCATAACCCGTCTCTTATCGATCGGCTTTGAAGCCGGGGCGGTTCGGGGCCACGCCCGAAATTTTTCGACCTGCTTAAATCGCTGATCCTCCCCATTGACACTGCTGAAAGCTGGAACCAAGAGTCTGTAGAACCAGAACCAGGGGCTCATCAGTCATACATACGACTCACAGAGCTTATCGCTTAGATCCACCCAGTTGCCTAAAGGGAGATCTTGCTGGTGAACCTGCGGTGTAGAACAGGTCAAGGCGCAACGCAACATCTCGGGGTTCGGCATGTCACCTATCAGCCAGTTGAAGGGCATGCAGCTATCTTGGCCATGCCGTCTCGGGCTGCCCAAAACGTCCAACGCTCGGCTTCGAACCCGCGTTTTGTCTTCCAGGGCTGCGGCATCGGCCCCTCACCATTCGCTGGCTCAAGCTTCCGCCTCCCGCCCATTGCCTCAGCATCAGAACCTTGGGGTAGCTACGGACCGAGATCCACCAGGCCGCCGGCCCTGCGGAGCGCTAAATCTTGAACTGAATTGCTGTCACCCACCCCTCATTCTCGCCGCTCCCGCTTACACTCAGGCTGCGCGCTCGACTCCGGTCTCTGTCTCGAGAACTTCATCTTCCTCCCGTCAATACACAGGCTTTGCGTTTGGAAACCTGCGAGTTCGAGCTGCATCACTCGTCCCTTGGCAATCTTCCAGCCCGTTCATTGCAAGGACTCTGGTTCCGCACGACATAATCTCCCACAACAGGTCCTTCGCGACATCCTCCCCCGCAATGGTCGCCAACAAGATCGATGGCACTGCCATCGCCAACAAGATCCGGGAATCCATCGCCAGCGACGTTCTCGAGAAGCAGAAGCTGAACCCCAGGTTCCAGCCGCAGCTCACCATCATCCAAGGTTTGTTTCGAGCTGTTTCCGAACTGCATTTCGCTTGTGCTTTCGCTGACCACATCCTTCCACAGTCGGTGAGAGATCGGACTCGAGTATGTTGTGCTGCCGTGATTACCCCACCATGAAATTTGTTGCCATGCTCACAACCCCGCAGGCACCTACGTGCGCATGAAGCAAAAGGCCGCAAAGGAGGTAATTGCTTGACATTGTCTCGACATCTTTTCAAAGGGTGCTAATAGCTCTAGGCCAACGTCGACTGCGAACTCATCCAGTTTCCCGAATCCATTACCGAGTCCGAACTTCTTGATCGCATTTCCCGCCTGAATGACGACCCTACCGTCCACGGTATTCTGGTTCAACTTCCCATTCCCAAGCACCTCGATGAGTACGTAATCACATCTGCCGTCGCTGACGAGAAGGATGTCGACGGTTTTGGGACGAGAAACATCGGCGAGCTCGCTAAGAAGGGTGGCCGCCCCTACTTCATCCCCTGCACCCCCAAGGGTGTTATGGTCTTGCTGCAGGAAGCCGGCGTCGACCTGAAGGGCAAGAACGCTGTCGTGCTCGGACGTAGCGACATTGTCGGCAGCCCTGTGAGCTATCTCCTCCGCAACGCTGACGCAACCGTTACCGTGTGCCACTCCAAGACCGAGGGCCTGGAAGAGCACCTCAAGGCCGCCGACGTTGTCATCGCAGCCATTGGCCAGCCCGGCTTCGTCAAGGGCGAATGGCTCAGGCCGGGAGCTGTCGTGATCGACGTCGGTACAAACTACATTCCCGATGCCTCCAAGAAGTCAGGGCAGCGCCTTGTTGGAGACGTCGACTACGAGTCGGCTTCCCAGGTTGCTTCTCATATCACACCGGTTCCTGGCGGTGTTGGTCCTATGACTGTGGCCATGCTGCTGTCCAACGTTGTGGACTCTACAGTCAAGTCCTTTGAGAGGCAAAAGCAGAGGAAGATCTCGCCTCTGCCGCTGCACCTCAAGGAGCCCGTCCCCTCTGACATTGAGGTCTCGAGGTCTCAGAACCCGAAGCAGATTACCCGCCTCGCCAAGGAGGTCGGCATTGCTTCCCACGAGCTCGAGCCCTACGGAGCCTACAAGGCCAAGGTTGATCTCAGTCTCCTGAAGCGCCTCGAACACCGCCGCAACGGCAAGTACGTTGTTGTCACGGGTATTACTCCCACGCCGCTCGGTGAGGGTAAGTCTACTACCACAATGGGACTTGCGCAGGCTTTGGGCGCCCACCTTGGCCGCGTCACCTTCGCCAACGTGCGCCAGCCCAGCCAAGGCCCGACTTTCGGTATCAAGGGCGGTGCCGCCGGTGGTGGCTACAGCCAGGTCATTCCCATGGACGAGTTCAACCTCCACCTGACTGGAGACATCCACGCCATCACCGCGGCAAACAACCTTCTTGCTGCTGCGATTGAGACCCGCATGTTCCACGAGAACACCCAGAAGGATGGCCCCCTCTACAAGCGCCTTGTGCCCGCCAAGAACGGCAAGAGGGTGTTTCCCCCCGTCATGCTGCCTCGCCTCAAGAAGCTGGGTATCGAGAAGACCAACCCCGACGACCTGACCGAGGAGGAGATCCGCCGCTTCGCCCGTCTGGATATCGACCCTGAGACCATCACATGGAGACGTGTACTGGACGTCAACGACCGCCACCTGCGAGGGATCACTGTCGGTGTTGCGCCGACCGAGAAGGGCCACACCCGTGAGACCGGCTTCGATATCTCTGTCGCCAGCGAGTGCATGGCCATTCTTGCTCTCAGCACCGACTTGGCTGACATGCGCAAACGCCTGGGAAGCATGGTAATTGCCAGCTCCAGGAGCGGCGACCCTGTCACCTGCGACGACATTGGTGCTGGCGGCGCTCTTACGGCTCTGATGAGAGACGCCATCAAGCCCAACCTCATGCAGACTCTGGAGGGCACCCCCGTGTTCGTCCACGCCGGCCCCTTCGCCAACATCAGCGTCGGCAACAGCTCCATCTTGGCGGACAAGATGGCCCTCAAGATTGTCGGCACTGAGCCTGAAGAGGACCACTCCGAGAAGGCTGGTTTCGTTGTCACCGAGGCCGGCTTCGACTTCACCATGGGCGGAGAGCGTTTCTTCAACATCAAGTGTCGGGCTTCGGGACTCGTGCCCGACGTCGTGGTTATTGTCGCTACCGTCCGTGCCCTCAAGGTTCACGGCGGCGGTCCTCCTATCGCCCCTGGTGCGCCGCTCAACGCCGTCTACAAGGAAGAGAACGTCGACGTCCTCCGCGCTGGCTGCGTCAACCTCAAGAAGCAAATTCAGAACGCCAAGGTGTACGGCATCCCCGTCGTTGTTGCCATCAACAAGTTCGTCACAGACACTGACGCCGAAATCGCTGTCATCCGTGAGGAGGCCATCGCCGCCGGCGCCGAGGATGCCATCCTCTCCAACCACTGGGCCGAGGGTGGCAAGGGCGCCATCGAGCTGGGCAAGGGCGTCATCGCCGCGAGCGAGAAGCCCAAGGACTTCAAGCTTCTGTACGACCTCGAGGGCTCCGTTCAGCAGCGCATCGAGGCCATCGGCCAGAAGATGTACGGCGCCGCTGCTGTCGAGTTCAGCGAGCTTGCGCAGAAGAAGGTCGACACCTACACCAAGCAGGGCTTTGGCAACCTCCCCATCTGCGTTGCCAAGACGCAGTACTCCCTGTCTCACGACCCCGACCTGAAGGGCGCTCCCACCGGCTTCACCGTCCCCATTCGGGACGTCAGAATGGCCGCCGGTGCGGGTTACTTGTAAGTTGAAGCCGTCCCAGCGAAGATGGATGCAACTAACACGGGCATAGGTACGCTCTCGCCGCTGACATCCAGACCATCCCCGGTCTGCCCACGGCTCCCGGTTACTTGAACGTCGACGTCGACACCGAGACTGGTGAGATCGATGGCCTTTTCTAAGCAAAGGTTGGCAGGCTTGCCGGTGGTTCTGAGGCGCCTTGAGATTCGGATCATATATTTTTTTAAAAAGTTTTTGGGAAAAAGGGACAAGCGGTATTCCGGTGGCATTTATTCAACAAATGGCGCTGAGCAAAACATGGGAAGAAGGGCTACTATAGCAATCTGTTCAACAATGATATGTACTCTCGGGCTCATAGAATGTCCGAGCACGAGAATAGATAAGGAACTATTCCAAGATGCATTCGTTCAGTATCGACCCATTGCCGGTTGCGTTTATTGGATGGGCGAACCCCGACGTCTGCCAATGAGGCATCGGTATCCGTCCGTCGTGGAACGCCGAACCGCAGATGCGAACGACCGGCGCATCCAAGTCCAGAGCGCATCGTCTCCTAGGCTCGCCCCTCGATGCCCGGCCGCCCCCATCAGGACGGCGCCGTCCGACTGCGTCTTTCCGCGTCGGCATCCAGCGGCCTCGGCGAGAGGTTTCCGGGCGTGTGTCAAGGCGCAGAGCTCGTAGGTTTCTTCTCCCCTCCTTTCCTTGTGACAGTCCCCATCCGGTCGCGCGACCTCTTCGCGACGAGGAGAAAGAGAAGGCTTCCCCCCTCCCCCCCCCCCCCCCCCCCCCAGGAGTGAGATTGCCTTCTTTTCTGTTCCATGCCACAAGGTGGGGTCGTAAGGCCACGCGGGACGTACGTTTCCGCAATTTGTTTTTTTGAACGATCGTGCCATAGGGTGAGACGAGGTAGACGGATGGGTCGGGCGTCCGCTTGGCTCTGCCGAGTCATCGAGTCTAGCTCACGAGAACCACACCCTCCTTCCAGATCGTTGATGCCCGCCTGACGTTCGACCTCGTGACCAATGTCCCGTGGCGGCTTTCCCGCTGGTGTCGGTCTCTAACCCTATCGCCTGCGCCAGCAAGAAAGTTTGATCTCGCCAACGAGCCATCTCCAAACCGCTCACCTCGACCCCGACCCCCCCTTCCCCTTTCTGGAATATTTACCTCCTGTTCGTGGGATAGGTGATTCAGGATGGGCGGCTGGGGGCTAGCCGGCGCTGCCAGACGGACTGGACGGCACGAGGGAGGTTTTCTACTCGGCAACGATGACGGCCCGGTCGAGGCGGATAGAGCCACCACCAACAGCAGGGAACGCTTGGGGGCGGGGAAGGGCGAGGGTGTGTCTGGGCGGTAATATATCTGGCCTTGATTCTGGGTAGTATTCTCTCGCCTTGGCTGTTGACAAACTCGGCGGGTGCCGTTCCGGCATTCAAAGCGTGGGGTGGGTAGCCATCGGACCGGGCTGCCGGGTCTCGTGGCCGTCCACGGTCTCCCATTTCCCAGACGCGGCCGGAACGTCAGGCGACCGGGCCCAGACGGGCAGACCGATCATTTTTCAAACTGTCATTTTTACCTTGGAAAGCCTTGATTGCCTTTTGGGATGCTGCGCCAGCAGATCTGCCAGAGTTGTCTAGGAACGCTCCTAGCCGTCAGATCATCAGGGAGCGTCATGCACATTACACCCTCCCATCTTTCACACCAAGCATGTGTGGGAGATTAGGATATGGTTCGGGGGCTTTTCATCGTTTTGAAATATTTCCATTGAGGATCTTGTCCCTCTCTCCAATTCACCATTGAAACTACAGGGTGGCCACCGAGGCCAGGCTTCTGTATAGGGTATGAACTCGTGCGTGACGTGCGACAGCTTTCATCAGTAATGGCCCATCCTGGCTCTTCTCTCTTCCCAATCTGCAGCCAGGAAAAAGAGACTGCAATCATGATACCCTTTCCTTCCTTTCTGTCATCAAAGCTGCCATGAAAATTGCAATGAAAAAACTGTTCCCTTGCCCATATTTACTCCAACACACCGCGAAAGAAAAAGAAACCCCAGCTTTGTCAAGTATGTTCACGAAGTAGTTTGCTTAGAGAAAAGCCAAGAAACAAAAGCAAAAAAGAAATTTCTTAAACCAACTCCTCTCTTAGGAGGCCTTCTCTGTGCGCAAGTGCTCACATTTACCAGCCAAACTGCTCGCAGTGCAACTCGACTGCAGGGCCAGAGGTACGAATGCAGGACGCCGTGGTGTTGCGGACCTGGGTCATCAGGCTGTCAGGGCCGCAGCCCATAACAAGGACGCGCTGGTTGGGGGTCGCATCATTGATGGTGGTGCGGATGATAGCCGAAACGTCAGCGCGGCCGTAGTTGATCGGGATGGTGTTGATGTGGGTGGGGGCGCCGTTCTTTTGCAGAGGAGATCCAGGGAGTGGGCTATCAGACTCAAAGCCAGACTTCTCAGAATCAGAGATGGCGCGAGTAACAACCTTGGGGGGTTGCCGAGGTGTGCTGTTCTCGACGTCAAACTTTTCAGTATCCGGGGTGATAGGACTGGATTCCTTCGACGAGATGGTTGCCGAGCGGGAGCGGTCCTCGGTGGTTACGTAACTATCGGAAGAGCTTATAGGCCGAGTGACATAGAGGAGAACATACGATGACAAAGCGTCATTGATCGTAGAGAGATGGTGGGCGAACCACTCCAGACGAGCTAAAAATGATCAGCCGGTTGTTTCATGCAAAGTCAATCGCGAGTGGTTTACAGTGTTCTTTGACCATCCAGATGAAGACTATGCTCTGTCCCGAGCTCCGCTTGAGCCGCTTGAGCATGTTGAGAGCCGTACCGACGGTGAAGCTGGCACCGCTGCCTCCTGCGACAAGGACAACTTTGTCGTACTCTGCCGGGTTAGGGAATGTGCCATATGAACCCTCAACCGAGGCCTTGATGGTTGCACCCGGGTGGCGGACGGCGTACTCGTGGAGGTCGCGGGTGAAGCCGTCGTACGAGTTGATAACGAACTCAAGGGGGTCCATGGCCGCGATAGTGAAGGGGTGCATCTCCAAAGCGCGGATCTTGGGGATCCACAGGAAGCAATGCTCGCCGGAGCTCGCGCCGTAGGGAGCCTTCTTCAGGGTGATACGAGTACCGCCGTTGGGGAGGGGGTAGACAGTGGCCGTGTTGTTGAAACTGTAAGCAACGACCCGGACGAGCCGAACAGCGCGATCAAGGAGCCAGATGCCAGCGGCGGCGACCGTGATGTAGACAATCTTCTTGGACAGCTCGGGCTGGTGGAGACCGACGAGGACCATAGCGATGGCGAAGCCGGACACGTGAAGGATGTAGAACAGCTCGTAGTACCACAATCGGACAATTGCGCCGGCGAGGACCAGCACGAGAAAGATGAAACCGGAGACTATGCCGTAAACCTCCTCGTGGACGCGGAGGCGTGCGATGTTGCCATGGCCAATGAAGTACGACGAGTAAGTTACACCGTGTACAATGATCAGGGCCATGGTGACATAGCCAGCAATCTGGTGGAGTACATTGAGACGCTCGTAAGACCAAGCCGTCAAGTAGCCGAGAGGGGTGTTCTTGAGAGCCAGGAAGACCAAAAAGGCGATGTTAACGATCGAGAGCCTGCGAGTTGTCAGTTTCTTTGGTGGCATCTCGACGGGATGTAGGACGTTGTTGGCACTTACCATCCGGCACGAGCTCCGACGACTGAGAGATAGGGCAGGGTCGAGGTGTCGATGTATGTCAGGCAGAGGACGATATTGGCCGCAACGTAGATTGTGGTAACGACGGCATGGCCAGTGGAGGGTAGGAAGGGAACCTTGCGGACAGAAACTCTACGAATGATGCTGAGTGGAACGCCGTTAGCTCCCGATTTTGTGAGAGGGTCTGGTGAGGTGGACAAATTTTGTTCTGGCTGGACTCACCGGGACACAAAAACGAAAGGCTTTGCAGCGAAGGAGAGCCTCGAAGCAAGGCCAGTCTTCTGAGCAATTAGGCGGGTCAAGTGGAAGACGATGAAGACGCCCATGATAGCGGCCAAAGCAGTGGCATAGTAGGTCATGGCCTCATGGTTCATGCGGGTGCGTTGAGCAAACAGCTTGGGGAAGGCCGAGGGGCCTCCTCCACTACCTCCAGCCATCGTGAGTGAGCAAGACGAGTTGTGTGTGTAAGAAGTGGTGAAGAAGCTACTCGTGGCTCTGGGAGAGTGAAGAGATGTGTGTATGCGCGTCTGGCGTTGGGCTGATCGAGCGAGCGAATGAACGAATGAGTGAGGTGCAGTCAACTTGGAGGTGATTCCAGAGTCGGGAATGTGCCAAGTTTATAACAAGAGAAATGGTTATGACGATGTTTGGGAGTGTGATTAAATTCAAGTGAAATAGCCCGGATGATAAGAGAGGAACGGAGGGTCTTAAAAGAGAAGGAAGGGTGGGTGTATGAATCGAAAGAAACCTAACCCCCGGTTGCGGCATGCATGGGAGGGCTTGATACCAAGGAAGAAGAGGTGAGGTGAGAGATATCAAGGCCACTACTTGGTGAATGGGTGGTGGCAGAGGAGGAGGAGCACGAAGGGGCCCGTTGAGTTGGTGTCCAGGACAACCAGGTAGGTGCGATTTAGACTGGACAGGCGAGGAAGGAGGTACCTTGTGGAAGGAGCGCCGTTCGGTTTGACTTCCCGGGCTGTACCTTTCATCCAACCTGCCTACAGTACCTTAACCTACCTGATCTTCCAAGCCATCCTTGCGGGCAAGAGAGATGGAGAGAGAGAAGAGGGCAGCATATCTGTTTAGAGTTTGGGGAGATAAACCCTCCGTCGGGGAGAAGCTCCAAACGTTTGTAACGTCCGGCTTTCACAAACAATACTTCCCTGATTCCTTCCCTTTCCGGTTTTCATTTCTGTTTTTTTTCTTCTTCTTTTTGAACTCGTCCTCGTGGTTCCACAGAGGCGTGTCTCCGGGAGGCTCGCAAGACCAAAATCGTTGTTGATTCGAAACTCTGAAAGATAGCCATGTCACCCGATGGAACATAGTTTACACAATCGGCTGCAGGTTCCCACTTACATGCTGTCATGGATGGATGCGGCAGCCAGCTTGTCTAGCCCATGGTGGCTTGCCCCACGTGCGTTTTGCCTACCTCGAAAACTCGTTCTGCCATTCAACCTTTTCAATCTTTCTTCTTTCTCTCTTTCTCTCTATCCGGGCTTCAGGAGGCAGCCTTCAGATAAGAAGAGGAGGGTATCACCGTCTCAGCTAGTGCAATCAGCAAAGTTGCCCGAAGAATGTCGCAATATGTGTGCCGGGCTGTATGTGTATCGACACCTTCCCTATAAGGCCACCTGCTTGAGCTTACACCATTTTACTACCGCTCTCATGCGCTCATAACGCACTTCACAACGCGCCCTATCCCCTTCCCCCAGGACCTTCTGACGCCAGGGCTGCATATCAATCAAACATCATGGTATGTAATGGAGGCGCTACGTCCCTGCGATAATCGACGGGCCCCTGTACCGGTCTGGTCAGAGAAAAGACACTTCTCCCCTTGTCTAGCTTCCTCGAAGCCAAGCCTTTGGTCCATGTGGATAACATGGAGCCGTTCCTGGATAGCTGCTTCCCACAGCCGCCGGAAAAGTACGAGCGACATACATAGACACATAACAGTGCCATACCATGTTATGTGGATATCGGCTAAACCAAGCTTTGATGGATCCCTCAATGCTGGTAGCCGGTGTTACTGAGACACCATATCTTGGTCCCCGCAGTGAAGCGAGCCTGGACAGTGGGACACGGGCGAGGGAGAATTCGCTTTCTGGAGGGAGGGGGAGGATCTCACGGGCCGTGGGTCTCGATAAAATTTCCATCCCCCGTCCAGAACGAGACGGGCGCAAGGTCTTGTTCCATTTCGGCGGGCTGGATGCCTTGTTTGGTCAGCTTGACAAAGCGCTGGGCGTTGCTTGTGTCGCTTTGCCTCGATCAGCAGGACGGCACGCCAGGGCGAGAGCTGCTCTTAAGGGTGGGGGGGGCCAGGTAAAGTAGGCGAACGAAGGTTGATGGAGGTTGAAGTAGAGTGGCCTGTGGCGCGACGACGAGGGGACGAACGACGTTCTGGCCACCCCCCCCCCCCTTCCCCTGGTGTGTGCCACCAATACCTGCAGCATGCCGCAGACTCGGACTCGCTCCTTTCGTAGCCAAATAGGGAAGTACCGGGGGATGGTGTTGGCATTTTTTGGTCAGGTAGATTGCACCAACCACGGATGAGGCAAGAAGCAGAGACATGTCTCCCCTACGACCCAGACACTGTCAGTGGTTGGGCGAATGTTATTGCAATATGGTACTTCGGCACCGGATTGCATCCCGGCCGTGTCATTCAAAGTGGGACCCCGGTATCACGGTGGCTGTCTGCATCGGCAGAGATTGACTTGCCTGAACAGGACGGAAACAAGCTTGCAGAGACCGTCGTACGGGCCATGTGTCGAAGTCGAGGTAAAGTCCCGCCCCAGGAAGATCCTTGGAATGTCTTGTCAGCAGCCTATGCACATGCACATGCACATGCACATGCACATGCCTTTTGGAGTTTCCCCCCCTTCTTCTCTTCTTCTTCTTTTTTTTCTTCTTCTTCTTATCCAATGTCACCTCCCTAGCGGGCAGCGGTTGCTAGACCTTCCTAGGCCGAGCCTTGATCCGTTTGTCGTGATTATCGCCCGTTGTCGAGCGGCGCCTGAATCCTCGAGAGGGTAAGTTCGGCAGTCAAACGATGCATATGCGGCGCCGTTTCGGCGGTGAAGTGCCTACTACGTAGTACGTAGTATACGGTACGAACTAGGCGAAACGAGGTGGACGGGCGCGCGGGAGAACGGGATGTGCAGTGGGTGGGGGCAGACCAAGGTCACGCCAGATTGGTCGGCCGGGCTTGTTTTGACGTTGATGTGTCAGGAACTCAAGGTGATGTGATGGAAGCAAAGTGACTCGAGCGAGTCGGTCCGCCCTTGGCGGCACGCCGCTTCCAAGATGCCCCGGGCCCGTTGCCGCCACTGCCGGGTCCAGGCGGCTGTGGCTGTGAGTAGAGACAGCCGACGGCAGCGCCCAATGAGATGCGGCCAGGTCATTAATCTAATCAATCTGGAGTCGAAGGCGACAGGGGCTTTCGGGCGGCCACACTGCCCGAACCGTCTGTCCCTGGAATGGGCGGACGAATAGCTGCTCCGAGCCGGCATGCCGTAACATCGGGCTCGACTGCGTTGCTTCGGGCGCGCCGCGCAGCAGATCTGTCCCCACCCGCAAGAAGCTGCTCGTTTGTCCCCTCCTGCAGCTGTCTCCGAAAAGTAGGGGAGCGGTGGAAGGGGGTCCCAATTCATCATCAGAAGACAAAGCATGTCTTGGTACAGCAAGCAGCAGCCGTCCTGGCCCACGCGCCCCATACCGCAGGCTAAGCGAGACGCCGGATCCGGAAAGATGCAGTGTTGACTGGCAGGCTGGCAGACTGGCATAGATTGGTAGGTTGGTTCACCGTCTGTCACGAGCATGCTGCCTCCACGCCGTGTGTCATTTCCCCATGGGCTTTGACAGGCCGGGTGCGTTCTAGGCGAGGCGAGACGTCTCTCGTCCACTGATGAATAGGACGTGAAGCGGGCAGCGGCAGACTCCGAAGCACGCCGGGAATGTTTGGTTTCTTTGCATGCGCTCCCATTACAGCAGACGCGACTAAGCATGAATCGAGGCCGGCTCTGCATGCCACCCACATCATTCAGCGATAATCAATGCAGCAAGTAGCGCCCCCATCGTCATTCAGGTCCGGGCCCATGTTTAACTGAGACAATCGACGTACCTATGCACCTGGCACGACTGACTGGGTGACTGACTGGCTACGTGAAGGAGGCTTAGAATGCCGTTCCCGATACAAGCCTCCAATCTGTCTGCCTTAGCCGTGCTGAGGGTGAGTCGGACAAAATTGGACCTTGAGACCGGCACGTCTTGGCACTCGGGGCTAAGAAGAAAATGGCCGGTCTTACATACCACGTACCTATCTACGGAGTACCTACCTACTAATATACCACTTTTCCTACCTTTTTGTTAGTAGAAGAATTCTATATCACTACGATATGTCTAAATAAGCTTACATTGTGCCAAATATGCTGCATTAAGTTATCAAACGCGATGGTGGTATAATAGGCTTTTCAACTACAGGTACTTTTTGGATGTGGTTGAGACCGGCCATTTTTTTCCCACCCGAGTGCATGGAAGAGAGAGAGAGAGATGCAGCATGTTTAACGGCGAGAGATGAGTCAGGCGAGACCAGGTGAGCAGGTTTCTTGGCGAGGAATGTACCGGTAGTGTAGGCGCAGTGGGATTTCAAAAGTACGGTAGTACCCGCCGGGGTCAGTAACTGACCCGCGCGGGTAGGAAGGTGGGTACTGGGATACGCGACAGAGAGGTTAAATGAGAGGTCACTTACTTACCTAGATAGGTATGTCGATACATATCCCTGGCATGTACCCCCCCCACTTCATCTTAACCGAGAGGCTCCACCGCCCGTGCCCCCTTATCCACTGATTAGACTTCCTGACTTAGTAATAGTACATATCGTACATCGTGCCAACACTGATTTCCGCTATACCTATTTTCGGGCGCTTTCGTCATTGGCAGATTGCAACGTCCAGCCGCCCTCGCCCAGGGAGAGGCCTCGATCAGCACTTACTTCGCCGTCTGGTTTGACAGAGAAAACATATGATTTAGTTGGCCCCGCAGTAGGCCATTTCTCGGCTTGCAAATACTAGTTGCAGAATGTACGTTCAACACCACGATGAGGAGACGATCCGTCCGTGATAGCAACCAAGTCACCGGGAATTACGGATCGACAGTGACAGCGACGTGGTAAAAAAAAAAAAAATGAAAAAAAAAAAATTAAGCGCATGGAATTCGCTCTCATTTGCCCCTCTTGCAGATCATCCTCCCCACGTGCTCTGTTTCGGACCGCAGGTTTGTTTAGACCTACGCGGCGCCTGTCAACCATCTCGCCGCCGCACACGCTTACAAAGCCAAGGCATGGCATTGAAGTGAACTGTACGCCTCCTGCGTCAACTCTATATCGGCCTCTTGCGCATCGCCATCCTCCTCCTCCTCCTCCATGAAGTTATGATACCTTGCTCCGCCACGCTGCTTGTGCTTCGCACAAATACGTTGCTTGTATGCGCACTCGCACACTGGCTTCTCTTCAGGACGATCAAGTCGATAACCCAGGTACTTCTTCAAGGAATCCCAAGACATCTGGCCACCTGTGCCGCCCAAGGAAGCTGTCTGGTTGAAGAGCTTCCTGGCGGCTTCGAGCCTCTGCGACGAAGAGGCGCCAAAGCCTTCGGTCTTCCTAATCTCTAGGTTGGCGTACGAGCGGAGGAAATTGATGCTTCGAAGAACCTCCACCGACTGGGCTTCGGTCTTCCAGGAGCCCATCTCCGCGTTCCACGCCTGGAGACTGTCGAGCCTCTCGGATGCTTCCGCCAAATCCCCCCGCTCGAGTGCTGCCACCGTTTCGCCTCTCCTCCTCGAGAATGCCGCCAGTCTCCAAAAGACTGTGGAATCCTCGTAAGGCTCCTGTTTTGCCGCTGATAGCTTCCCGGGCCACAATACGCTCTGTGCCAGGCTCGGCAGCAACCCTCTCCTCTCCGTGTCGATTTTCCTGTACGGCTTCGAACCGGCCCTACCAAGCTCCGTGATCAACTCTGTACGCAGCTGAGAGATTCTATCGCTGTGCTGGTTTTCAAAGTTGGAATCACTCGTCTGTCGGCGAGGCCACCATGACCACTTGGCAGTTTCAGCCCTCGCTTTGAGCTTGATTTGGAGGTCTCTGACGTGCTCCTCCAGATTCTTGACCTGCTCGTCTCTTTGCTCCTTGGCTTTGCTGAGAGCTTCGATTTTCTCCATGGTAGTTGCCAACTGCTCTTCCAAGGCCTGGTTCTCCGCCTCTAGTTCGCTCAGTTCTACCTCCTTTCTCTTTAGTTGGTCTTTCAGGTCCTGTATGCTGCTGTCCGCTGTCGGCGGATCGTCCGTGTCTCGCTCTTCATGCTCTTTCCTCAGGTCTTTGAGCTGGCTCTGGCATTCCCGAATCTGTTCTTTAAGCCGGTCACTTTCTTCTTGCACCTGCTGCTGAATAGTCTTTGCAGCCTCAGTTGCGATCGCTTCCTTGTCTTCCATTTCCTTTCTCAGGCGCTCGAGCGAACGTCTCTGGCTATCGTTCTCCTCAAGCAGCTGCATGCGAACTTCTTTCTCGGAATCGACTTTCTCAAGCTGGTTGGTGATCTGTGACACTGCGTCACATATCGAGGTGGCTAGTCTCTTGACGGTCCGGGCCGTCGGCTCGAGCTCGGTCACGACGTTTTCCCTCGATGCGCCGGCCTGCCAGGACCGAAGCGACGCCTCAAGGACGCTTGTCTGGTCGTGGGCGCGCTGGCCCTCCACCTCCAGCATCGATACGATGAACTGCAGAGCTTCGCGCAGCTCTGCGCGGACCATGTTTTGATAGCCGTCCATGTTTTTGAACGCTGCTTGCATGTCCTTGTCGTTGATTGCTCTGACAATCCCCTCGAGTCTCTCCACCTTATCCGACTGGAACCGCTTCTCGCGGCGACACTCGTCGATTTGTTTCTGCTTGGTCTCAAGCTCCCGCTCCAGCATCTGGCAACGGGTGCACGATCCCCTCGGCCTCAGCCGAACCTCCTCCCACGGGTTCGTGAAGTTTGGCCGCGAGTCGGCGCCAGGCCGACTCTGTTGAGTAGGATAGGGGTCCGCGGGGGGGTAAGCAGGAACCTGCGAAGGGGAAGATGGGCCAGTGGCAGAGCTTGTGGGGCTCTTGTAAAATGATTGAGACGACACAGGGCCGCTGTCCCCGAGACCTCCCGCTTGAGGGCTGCCCGGCGGCACGGTGCCCATCCTCAGACTGCTGGCCATCTCAGGCGAGAGGAACACGGGAATCGACGGCTCGGGGAGATCCTCCGCATTAAGGTCCATCGCGGAGCCGTGCCAGCCACGCGACCGCATTCGAAGGGCGGCGGCCTCCAGAAACCTGGCCGTGGTAGTCGCGCGTACGTGCTCTTCGGCGTTGACGTCCTCGTCTATACACTTCGCAAAGTCCAGCACCCGTCGGTTGGTGCTGTGGAACAGCCCCGGGTCCTTGGCCGTCAGATTCCTGGCGGCCATGTAGTTGCTGGTCTCTTTGTTGATCTCTTTGAGATCGCGATAGACCCGCTCTAGCTGGTCCAAGTCCTCCTCCATGACCTTGCCCCGGCTCCTGATGGTGTTTTCGATGTCGTTCCGGATACTCAGGAGGTAGGTGAACCTGTGGGAAAGGGGGTTCCAACGATCGGCGTCACGATCGCAGTTGCGCTCCACGTCGTTCGGGGCCCGGAAGCCGGCCGCGTTGGCCTTCGCGAATAGGTGCTGGGCCCTCACTCCAGTGTCCATACGCTGCCACGAGTTCCGCATCCTCTCCAGCATAATGTTCTCGTCCGCCGCGTCGGCCTCGTAACGAAACAGGTCGCAGTCCCGCTGGAACCGGAGCCTCAGCCGCGCCTCCTCCTGCGCAGACGTGAACATGAGCCGGCACACCTGGTGGATGATGCGGTTCACAAAGGGCACCTTGATCCACGTCCGGCCCTGCATCCACTCCAGCAGCGCCGAGAGCATGCCGTCGTTGGACGTCTCGAGGTCAAAGAGGGAGTAGTAAGCGTCGTCGTTCATGCTCTCCCCCGTCACGGCCTCGAACTCGAGCTTGCGGCGCTGTGCGGCAACGTCGCGAGTGTAGCCCGGGTACCGGTGCCGCTTCGAGAGGAGGGTCTTTGTGGCGTCGGAGGTGGCGTCAAAGGCCACGTTGTACGCCTTGATGATGCACGCGTGCTCGGCGTTGGAGAGAAGCTGAGGCGCGACGAAGAGGTGGGTGCGCGCAGACGTGCCGGGTTCCGGAGCGCGGGCGCGGCGGTGGTCGAAACCGTGCCCGTGGCGGGGCGGCTCGAGCTTGTAGGCCCGGAAGCGGCCTTGATTTGGAGTTACGGTTCCTTGTGATGAGGTTTGGGATTGCTGTAGGGGCGAGCTGGACGCCAGGGGCTCCGGGGCGATTACCGGGGATCCCAAGACGTCGAATTGCACCGGCCTAATTGGGATCGGGGTGTGGATGATATTGGCTGGCTGGGCTTCGTCCTGGCCCGGCGAAGGATTCTCGTTCGGGAATCCTCGGTTTCCCTGTGTGTTTTGCGTCTCTCCGGCGGCCTGACTTCGTCCGGGGACTCTCAGGGGTGCTGGGACATCCGAGCCGTGCATCGAGGCGAAGGCTCCCTCCTCCGATTCACCGCGGGGGATATTCCACCTAGAGCTCTCACGTCCCTCGTGCCGGCCCGTCTCCCTCGGATTCCAGTGACCGGATGCAGAGAGGGGTGTGGCCGACCTCTTCGCCATCAGCGAGGGTAGAAGGCCGCGGTCGTCCGTGGGGCTGGCGACTCTGTTGTCGACGGACCCCCTCGAGAAGACACCCGTTCCTCTCCGCGCGACAGCGAGATCGGGCTGAGATTCCGCGATCGCGGCGTCGGGGGCGTGCGGTACGGGTGGAAGGGGCCTCGGGTTGGCCTCGAAGCCTGGAACCGGAGCAGCGTGGGAGATGAGGTCGGAGACCTTTGTCAAGCCCTTGTTTTCTTCGCCGAGGATGAAAGCGGTGTCTTCTGGGGAAGAAGCGGCTGGGTTCCCTGGTCGCGGTCCCCCTTCGTGGAGCTCGGGGTTCGAACCCCCAGCCCTCTGAGAACCGTCTATTTCCGTCCCGGTCAGTCGAGAAGACGGTACAGTGTCGTCTGGTAGCGCAGGCCGCACAGCCTCCGCGCCGGCTGAGGGGAACCAAGCCCTAGGGTCTTCCGTATCAACAGCCAAGGTTCTTCTCGGCCCGGCATCCGCATCTTCATCCGAGTGCGCCTGTCGTGGCAAAGCTGTGGTGTCTCTATCGTTCATAGAGGCATCCTTCTCCTGCGCCGTCGCTTCGTCAGTCGTCGAGGGTCCGCTCTGGTTCCCGCCGGTCTCCAAGGCGGGTTCGGCAGTGTTGTCTGCCACTTTTGCGTGTTCAGACCCGGAAGCGGAGGCGCCATGTTTAGCGACATCAAAAGTGATGGGACGGTCTCTATCATTGCCTCCGGGGTTATGGACTTCTTCCCTGTTGGCCGGGTTTGCCTTTCCGTCATTTCCAGGCATGGTTTCTCAGGGACACTTCAAGATACATACGGAAGGGAGAGGATTTGATCGTACCAGCTTAGAATAGACAGCTTAAGGATGGAGAGAGAGAGAGATAGAGAGAGAGAGATTACGTTAATGCAGAAAGGTAGGATAGAGAGAACTCTACGATACTTGGACATGCTGGGCTCCCAATGTCATTTTCAATCTTCAAGGCCCGAGACGTGACTTGCAACATCTTCTTTCAGGACCGCGACGTTGCAGAGGAAGCTATTCAAGGGACCTGCGAGGCTCAAAGGTGTTGGTGTCTATGCTTCCCCAAATCAATCAAATCGCTATACAGTTGCTGCGGGCATTGTGTCCTTTCCCCCAGGGGTTGAGTTGACAAAGAAGTCCGGGGCAGGGGATGCCAGATAATCGGCCCACGAGACCGGTTCCATTCTGCCATTCGGATTCCTTTCAGCCAGCCAGGCGGCTTGGTCTCTCTCTCTTTTCTTCCGGAGGTTCTGTTGTCCTGGCTCATAATCGTAACAAAAGTTCAAGCACAGTCTCGTGCCCCCTCCCACCCCCCTGCTCATGTCGTTGGCGACCTGCAGACCGACCTGCCCCGTACAGTCCGTAAGTCGGGCAGACTCTCCCGACGGCCGACAACCTCCCCATTACAGTCCAGGATGAGATGCATCTCACTCGAACTCGAATCGGACCGCGTTCCCTCATCGTCTTCGCCGCGGTCGTCGTGGATGACAACAGGGGCCCTCTGCTGATCTGAAAACCGGACCACCTTCGACCCTCTCCTGCCTTCCTTCACAGCGCTGTGTGCCCGTCTCAGCCTAGCCTCCCGCTCTTTCTCGAACCGGATCATGGCGAGGCAGTCCCCCGTCAGGCTCCGGATGTCCGTACCCGAGAACCCTTGGCCCCTCACGCTGGCGGCGCGGACGTAGGCGGCGTGCGCGGCGCGCCAACGGCCCCAGGCGCGGAGGACATGGCCGCGGTAGAGGTGTGCGCGGGGCTCGAGGTCGAAGCGGTGGAAGTGCGACGCCGTCGCGAGGGCCTGGTCAGCGGCGTTCAGGGCCTGGTGCAGCGTCAGGGCGGACAGAGGCGTCTGGAGCAGGGCGAGGGCGCGCAGGAGGAGCGCGTTTACGGTTTGGGTGATGACGGCGGCGTCGGATGGAAGACAGCTCATGAGGAGCAGGGCTTGGTGTTTGGCGTTTGGCGTCTAGCGTATGGCAATCGTCTTCCCCAGAAATCGGTGTCGCTGTGCATGCGTCTTGACGAAAACGGCGATGTGTTGGTTGGGTTTCCTGTGTGACGGGTGGCGCCGGGGGTATTCCCTTCTCTTTTCTTTTTTGTCGTAGCAGCTTGATTTTAGGCCGGACCTAAGTTTGCGAACCAAGGGAGGATCAAATACCGCTTATGCTGATCTTATTGCCTGTCCAGAGAGATGACAGCATCGCGCTATTTGTCAAATCGACAAAGAGTCGGCATCGAGGGATTACAGAGTTGACGCAGGAGCTCTGGTTGGAGGTCGGCTTTAGTCGAACAAAGGAAGAGGAGTCCCTTCTATTCGCACCCCTACTGGCTTGTGGTAACTTCCAACGCGCATAACGGGTTGTGAATTGAGCAATGCAGTGGAAGCTTCGATTCGGGAACTTTCGAAGCCGCCTCTCCGAGCAGGCAGATTAGTGGCGCCGGCAGCTAGGGCGGGATGCGGAATCAAGACACGATATATTGGTATGGATTAGCGAAGCCCGCATTCGTCGAAGACAGCTGCCCAGGCTGGCTGAAAGAAAACAACCAGCGAATTCAATGGAACAATGCCGCAAACAATAAGACGTCTGGATAACATGGTTGTTTGGGCCGGTTCAGTTGATTACCTAATTAATTCACTTGGTTCGTACATGTGCCGTCAAATAAGCTGTTCCTCTTTATCGCTCTAGATCTATAATAGAGAGGGACCGTGTAGGGACGGCAGGTTCCGTTCTTGTTAGACTGGCGGAGATGCATTTTCCTGCGAGGCAGAGCGTAGACGCGGGGATGGAGAGGAATGCAAATACCGTCGTTTCCGGTGGAAGTAAACAGCTTGAAAAGTTCCAGATGCGCTACCTGAGGAACGTCAGAGTTTCATCAGGAGCTGTTTGGACAAGGAAAACGTAAGCATTATTTGTTATGAGCCGTGGGGCTATGCATTGAGATCATCCAGGTAGTGCCATTATCCAAGACCTTTTGTATCGACGAAAGCGGCGACTCAGGTAGTTTTGAGGGCCTAAATAAGCTTCGAACAAGCATTTCCTGTATCGGTTCCCAGTATTGTCTCTTAGGAGATCGAAGCGCACAGGCAGCCGCCCGCCACCTTGTTGGCGTCGGAAAACACACTGCTCCAGCATCCGAGAACAGCAGGTCTCACTCGACAACACAGCTCCCGATGCTCTCCCTCCCGTCATGACGCTGATATCAGCTATGCTCTTGAGATCGTGTGGAGGGCGAATTTCCATTCGGCAACAAGACTGTGACGGGTGGTAGTTGGAAATCGTACGGCGTTGAGAAGCCTTGAAGACCAACACCAAACTCCATGGTTACGAAATATGCTGTAAGGTCGACCAATTTGATCGTTTGTATTCTTTGAGAGGCAAACGAAGCTTCTGTGTCGGGGGCTGAACCTCCCCTTTGTGAGTTGGTGGCGTCCAGCGATTTCGGCGTTCTAGGTATCTAGACCATCGACCCCATTTGCCGTGCCGCCGAGGGCTAGGTCGGCCCAGAGGAAACTGTCAACGAGTTTTTGGGTTGCTTCCAAAATGTCTTGGCGTGTGCCTTTCAGGTGCCAAATGAGCTCATAGTTCGTACGTTTCTGTGTTCCACGTGGCGGGTACGAGTTGATTGCCAGCGACCCAAAGCCATTCATAACTTCGGCATATATCCTTCCATACGGTTCCAGTTTTGGCAGCACTCTCGAACCATTTGAGGCACAGCAGGTATAACGACAAGCAGCCACCAACTCGATATGAAGGCTTCTACTGAATCATTGTTGTACCACCCAGACTCTGCCGGGCATCACATATTCGAACTGAATCTGGCCTTGATCATCGTGTCGACAATACTGATATTCCTCCGCCTCTTCGTGCGGGGATTCTTAGTCAGGGCATTGGGATGGGATGACCTAATTGCAACCGTCGCCTGGGTAGGCCAGCTTATCTCTCGCGGGAACCTGCAAAGACATATTAACACAAGCTTCAGGTACTCTGTGTGACGCTCTCGGCCCTCGAGATGGACACAACGCACTACGGTACGGGTGCCCAGATTCAAGACGTACCTCGAGAGACGCTTCTTCAATTCTCCATGGTTAGCAGGCCCTTCTACTCAACTCGGAGAGCCCGTAGCGCTGACACACGACAACAGAGGCTTACCATCATGGAGCTCGTCTATTTCATCGCCTCAGGAGCAGTTCGATTGGCGATCCTAGCGTTTCTGCCTCGCCTAAGCAAGAATAGTACATAGCTGACCAACCCTAAGATGCACTTTGTGCTGATCAACGCTGCTAGGGGTGTACAGATGGCTTATCTATGGCCTCAGCGCAATCGTTGTAATTGTGAGCCTGACGGGGGTCTTCTTCATGTTGACAGAATGCTCGCAAATACCGTGAGTAGCTAACCCTCTTTTGAAAATGGGCTCGTCGCTGACGCAATGATCTAGCGACGTCTTCAACTATGCCGCTTCTTGGAGACAGTGTAGAGACAAACGCGATGAGCGCTTGATGGTGCTTTCCCAGTCCATCGTCTGGATATTCGTCGACTTTATGCTGGTGGCCCTCCCGCTCTGGGTCGTTGCGAGCTACCTCAAGATGGGCATCAAAGCGATTCAGATCTTGCTCGTTTTCTCTCTTGGTATATTCGCTGTCGCGACCGGTATCGCTCGATGCGTCATAATTCTCACAACAGACTTTAGCAATAATACGTAAGTGCTACTGGCGTTGACGAGAGCTGCTCGGGGTTTCTGGACAGTTGGACGGGCCACTGACACCAGGCAGAACATACAAGATGCTGCCTATTGCAATATGGACCGATGCCGAGGTCCACGTTGGGCTTTGGGTGGGTTGCTTTCCGGCGCTGCAACCATTGATCAGACATGCGTCGTCCATGATGGGGCTGCGAAGTCAGCCGCAAAGCAAAGCCCGGAGGAGTAGGACGGATACGGCCATCTCCGCGGATCCGCCCAACAAAAACAGTGTCGTGGACGGGTCGTCGCGCAGCTCAAGCCATTTTCGGAGCGAGCATTCGGAAAACCTGCCCAAGGGAAGACCGGACGATCGCATCGAGATGGTGGATCTGGAGAAGGGGAAACCCAGAGGCCGAATCCTCCAGCAGAGCGACGACATGGTCGATATCGATCTCAGTGACACGCCAAACGCGGCAAATGAAGGAAAGAATGCTAGTGGTTAGATACAGGAAGCTTATGAGGGCATAGGAGGTTATGTCAAGATCAAGTCAGTTGTTCCTCTCCGAGTCCGAAACGCGTGTGTGTAAATTTCATGTCGAGCCGGCATGAACCATAGAAGCTGAAGGCGCATATGATCTTTCCTTCCTTGTGTAGATGCTGCTGCTAGCTGACTCTACCTACCTTCATAGAGAACGTACAGTGTTGATTTGACAAATAAGACACGGTCTTGGAGGGGGTCGACAGTGCACGGATCAACTGCCTCGGAAGACTGATAAGATTCAATCTCACTTCGGATTTTGACATCGACATGTTATATTGTTCGACATCTCCATGCGGTTTTACTTGTCTCCCTTCGGAGAAACTAGGCGGAGAAGTGACCAAACCAAAGTAATATTGGATGGAAAGAAAAATAGGGAGGTCGGATTCATGCCAGTGTCCTTTAACCTCTCGATAGTTCCTGCTCATTGCCGCCTAATCTCCAATATCGGTTGATCTCACGATGGCATCATTCTCAAGTCTTCGATATCCTGCACGTTTTGGACCTAGCAACCTAGGAGTACTCTGGATTGTAATCCTCTACGGTGTTCCTCTGACGAATGTCGCCGTGCATCTCGCATGGCTGCTGGCCCTCCATCCTGTTTTCTCTTCGCTGCCGATCAATCGGAGGCGCCTGTCCGACTTCTTGCGTCGATATTTCATGCTCAGCCCAAGCGACCCTCGCCTGCTCACCCTTTTCACCTCATCCTTTAGTCACATTCAACCACTGCATCTTTTCGTCAACATAGCAACATACAAGACCTATGTGGAATCCTTTTATCTGCTAGGAATCTCGCCTATACGATTTGTTCTCCTCGCAATGGGCAGCGGTCTTGCCGCGAGTTATGCCCACATATACAATGCCAGGCACCGGTGCGGGGCTAAGAACATCGTGGAAAGAACCGCTGTAGGGGCCAGCGGCGTACTGACCGGCCTTGGCACAGCGCTGGCGTGCATGTTTCCCACGCTAAAGGTTCACCTCTCTGGAGCGAACCAGATGCTGCCGCTGCGCGTCGTCGTCCTAGGCATGTTCGCCGTGGATGCCTACTGCTTGAGTACCGACAGAGAAACCGGAGTAGGACACGCTGGACACATTGGTGGTGCCCTCTTTGGTATGACATACTTCCTGTGGAGGAAAGCTACGGGAGCTCGGAATTTATGAAGCTATTAACAACCCGATAAGGAGAAGCCATGGGGAACAACCCAAACCGAGATCAACTCTGGCTGTCCAAGGTATCTACAAGAACAGAATATCCTCATCCATAAAAGCCCGAAGGAGACGAAAAAAAGCCTAACCCAAATGTCCGACACAAAAACCGAAAAAACGCCACACTACCGCGAAAAGGAGAGACTGTACGCTCTCGTGCACATATCAACATTCGCATTCACCTCCATCCCGGCCTTGGCCACTATCTTGTTGGCCTACCACAACTCTTCGCTATTGACCATGGGCTTCGCATTCGATCTGGTGCTGTGGCGATCCGGATTCGCCGACTGCTTCGTCTTGTGGAAGGTTGGGCTCAGCTTGTGTGTTGAGGCAATGGGGCTCAGCCTGTGTGTCGACGCGATCGGGCTTGGATAAGTCACCGATCTCTCGCCAGGACTGGTGGCGACCTTGCTTGCCATAGTGGACTGTCCTAACGGGACTGGACCAACACCGACAGGCGACATCTTCTTGTCTGGGAAGTGCGAGGTGGTGAATCCCGGCTGACGCGGCCCCTTTCGCTCATCCCAACGTACAGTGGGCGATTGAAGAGGCGATGGGGCTGATCGACGACGTGGCCGGAACGATGCAGAACGCAAGCGTGGAGAGGTCAGGTTCCATGCCCGGCCAAATGCGGCGCCAGGATGGTACACGCACAACAGCGCGGACGCCAGCAGTGGCAAAGCACCGCCAATGACTAGGGATGCGGCCTCAGAACGCTGAAGAGGGCTGCCGAGGCCGTTCCAGAACTCGACGAGGCGGTAGATGGTGTGTCCGATCAAGGCCACAGCAACGATTGGTATCACTAGTTTCGGGTGGTTAGGTCAAAGCTCGACACCTTTGGAGGTCTGACGACTCACTTTTGATAAAGCTCTTGAACCGTGGGGCTTGGTATACGGCAATATGCTTCGGGTCTGGAATCTTTTGGGTGAACCAGAGAAACAGACCCACAAAGAGCAACAGTGCCAGAATCTGTACGCCTAGAGCTGCAAGTAGAATGGATGATGTCTACAGTAATTGGTTAACGCTGAGGTTTCTCGACAGTAAAGCGGCGGGCTCCTTCCTACCTGGACGCCGCCGAGCCCAAAAACGGTGGACACAGCACCGGCAATTTCCAACGCACCAACAAGAACAAGGGCAAAGGTGAGGAGCAGGACTGCAACCCTCGGCCGCGTGAACCCAACCCCAAGGCCGTACAGGGAGATGATATGAGGCAGGATTTGGCAGATGGCCACCGCGATCAGTGTTGGGCCCGAGATGGTGCCGAGAAGCCAGAGGAAGAACGAGGCTGAACTGGCGGCATTGCCCCGAAGCCTCAACCTTCCCGCAAAGCCCAGGACCTCCAGAAGAAGACCAGTCGCCAGGGTCAACGCGAATAGGGGCGTCTTGAAACGGAAGCCTTGATAAAGAGACAAAGGCACCAGCAACGTAAAGGCCACCAGAAAGATGGCACTGCCGATGACAGAGGGCGAGTAGTGGGTATAGCCCCCCGGGTAGGGACACACGTGGTCTCCGCAGTCTCCTGTCATTGTGCTCTTGTTCCACTTGGCAAGCGACAACAACTGTCGCGTCGCTTCACCATCGAATGGCTGGGCACACCGGAAGAGCAGGTAGGAGAGGGAGAAGCGCACCGGGCGCTGGGGATATATACACGCAGCAGAGGACCGGCGAGCAATGGGTTAAGCATTTTCCATTCCCCAGCGAGCCGGTTTTCACAATAGCGACTGTTGAATCGGATGAGAACGCTTGTGGGGGGGGGGCAGACAATGGAGAAGAGCGGCCCGACGGGGATGGCAGGTTCACGCCGGAGCAGGCCGGGGTCGATCCAAACGGGCACACCATCAGCTTTCCGCGGGTGCCATCCGTTATGGATACATCCACCACGGAAGAGACGTTGTACCAACAAGAACTTTCTTCAATCAACCTCCAACTGGATGAATCTCACAAGGTCTGTTATTCTCAGCCTAATCGCACGCGGATGATGATGTTTAAGACAGCTGGCATCGCCGTAAAGCAGAGACAGCCAGTAGGGCTGAGTGACTTTTTTTGACCCAGGCGTGAAGGAAGAATGGACTGATCAACTCCTGACAACAAGTCATCAGGAAGGCAGGCAGGCAGGCAGGCAGACAAGCAGGCAAACAAACTCATAAACGGGCATGGGTTTGGGTGCGGGCGTAGGCGATGGGTGTGAATGGACGAAGTCGTCCCAGCGGAACGGTTCGTTGGTGCAACAGGCGAAATGTTTGCAGATCCGGGCCCTCTTCAGCAGGCACTATAAGCCAATCGTCCAGGAGTATTTGGCGGTCGCGGCCTGTTTACCCACGGACGGCGCAGATGAGGAGGTTACATTGAAGGGCCATTCAGTGAGCCCATGTTGGTCAATGGTGGCCGGCGAGCAGGGGTGCTCGTCCAATAGAGACCACGGTCGCAGCCCCCCATCTGCCCTACATCTTGGCTGCGGGAGGGTGTCGAGCTTGTTGATTATCAGCCAGTCCTTGAACCCAAAGCTGCTACGCCGCACAAGACATTGGCTTATTCAAGTTGGGGATTGGGGGGGGGCGGGCAATCAGGAAGTGGCCCCAGGAGCGGGGGAACCTGCCAACGACGGTATATCATTTGCGAAAGGGCCAAACAACGCCCGCGTGGACCAAACCTTCAACGACAGAGCCCGGTTACGAGCTTCCTGTCCTGTGTTGACGGCTCTGAGGTGGTCATCTCTTGTGTCGACCAAGCGCAGCTACTGGCCATATGCAAAAGAAATCGAGGACGCGAGAGCAGGAAGTTCGCCACGGGACCGCGATGGCCGCCACACCAGAGATTTCCTCTCTTATCATGACAGGCGCAGTGCAACAAACTGTGTGCGCACACACGCAGCGCAGCGCGGGCACTGCAGGGTGCACGATGCGGCCACCCTCATACCTCGATGAGAACGAGATGAACCTGCTGTCGGATGAGTGGCCAGCCGAAAGTTAAATGCTGAAAGAGAGGAGCCTCGGGGGGCAGGGGGGGCGGAACTCTGTGACCACGACCTGATGTCGATGCGGTCGATATTGACAAACTTTTCGGGGCACTCCTTGCATGGCTCTCTGCAGCAGATCCATCCCACATCCTTGTTATCTCGTCTGGACGCGCATCGCACGGATGGAATGAAAAGGAGGGGATGAGGAAGAGGAGGACGGAGACGACGAGGTGTGCAGGGGAGGAGGATCACGACGAGCCTCTGGCCCATGCACGGTGATGTGCGGGCGGGACGCATCCGTCCACTAATCACTAGCGGCCGCCGCGGTTGGTGGACCCCTCGGCCGAGAGACCCCCGATCGCGCTAAGCCGTTCGCGGCCGCGGTTCTGCGTGACGTCAAAAAGCCGGGCGCTTAAACATCCTTGGCAACCACATCTCGTTGTCCCCCCGGCGCGCGTTTCTTCCTTCGTTTCCGCAGGGCCAGTCCACACACCACTTGTCGACGGTAAAGAGATTATTGCCACCTCGCCAGCTGAGACACACATACACACACACACACACAGAGAGAGAGAGAGAGAAAGAGATAGAGCCGTCGACAGGGTTTGATTGATTATCCATTACAGCCGACCAACGCGGAGAAAAGAGGGGCCTACAAAGAGAGATAGAGAGAGGAAGTACATTGGAACACTAATCTTTGCCTGCACAAACACATATACACACACCCCCTGAGTTGAGTTGGGTGTCAGCCCGTCCTTTTTACTCCTCACCGTTGTCAGCGCTCCCTCCCATGCCATGAACAGCGCATGCCTGACGAGGTGCCGCCCTCGCGCGCCCTCCCCCGGGCTAATTCGTGTGCCAACCGCGTCTCCTCGCTTGCTTCGCCCTCTTGCATTGGCAGGCAGCAGTCGATACTTTTCCGCCTCGTCCTTGCGGTCGAAGCACCACGACGGCGACCCCAGGTTCAGAGACTTGGGCAAACAGATATCGGATGAGTTTGCCGTGGTCAGAGAACACTATGGTACCACCCCCCTCTTCCTCGTCCGATCCATTTCCCCCATCTTGTCGTTCCCTTTGTGACTCCCAGCCCCCCTCAACCCCAATACGAGTGGCCCACACACACACAAACACACACACTAACACTTACACTTACACAGAGACACCCAAGTACCCCATCGTCCTCGCCCACGGGCTGATGGGCTTCGCCGAGCTTCGCCTGGGCTCGTACGTCCCGCCGATCCACTACTGGCGCGGCATCTCGGAGTCGCTAAGGACGCTCTCGGGCCCGTCCAACATCATCACGACGTCGGTGCCGCCGTCGGGCTCCATCGAGGAGCGTGCCGCCAAGCTGGGCGCCGACATCGCCGCCAAAGCGGGCGGGCGCGCTGTCAACATCGTCGCGCACTCCATGGGCGGCCTCGACGCGCGCTACATGATCTCCCACCTCAAGCCCGCCAACGTCAAGGTCATGAGCCTCGTCACCGTCGCCACGCCGCATCGCGGCAGCGCCTTCGCCGACTTTCTGCTGGACGGGCGCGGTCCCGTCAAGCTCGCGAACCTGTACGGCCTCATCGAGCGCGCCGGGCTGGGCACGCAGGCGTTCGAGCAGCTGACACAGAAGTACATGGCCGAGGAGTTCAACCCGCGCACGCCGGACAGCGACGAGGTGCGCTACTTTAGCTACGGGGCGTGCACGGATCGGCCGCCCCTGCTGAGCCCGTTCCGGCAGAGCCACCGGATCCTCGAGGAGGCCGAGGGGGCCAACGACGGGTTGGTGAGCGTGGCCAGCAGCCGGTGGGGGAATTATAAGGGCACACTGCTGGACGTGAGTCACCTAGACTTGATCAACTGGTCCAACAGGCTCAAGTGGACGCTTCGCAAGGTGTGGATGGGGCAGGCACGAACGTTCAACGCCGTTGCGTTTTACCTGGACATCGCCGACATGTTGGCCAAAGAAGGGTTGTGAGGGGGGGCGGTTGGGCTAGTTGGCAGGGTGGCTGCACGATGTGTCTGTGGGATATACGGTATAACATTTGAAAAAAGGCCGGGGATATGGTGTAAGCGCGACTAGACATTCGTGTAAGTATACGGGAGCATAGAACAGGAGGAGGGGTTAAGGCGTCACCGCCGGGGAGACATGGTCAAATTATCAACCGAGATATAGTTCAGGCTTCTGTGCATGGAGGGGACAGGATGAAAGCCGGGGCGAGAAGTCCAAGAAGGGGGTCGAAGAGCGGTAAACGTCGGCCGCCTCATGCAATACATGTATGACGATCAACGTGGGATCTGTTGGTTCGAGCAACACCCCCATGGATCCGTTTGTCGACAGCGTCCTTTGCGTCTTCTCCGTGCCGTCTGTGTGGGCAGGGTTGGGCCGCGTATCCCCCCCCCTTTCGAGGTTTTGCGTCCCAACATCTTACTCCACTGTCATCCAAGAGACTGTAGCTAGCGCGACGGGTTCGCTCTAGGTCGTCGTTCCGTGCATCTCAAGTCTCGTTTTATCGAAAAGCCGTTACATACTTACACACTTGTCCTCTGACTACCCGAAACGCAAAAAGAAAATGAAAAAAAAAAGCCGTATAGGACCGTGATGGAGGAAAAATAATGGCCATTCACTAGGCCAAGGCCGGGGAAAGAGGTATTTGAACACTCGGAGGCTCCATATTATGCCTGGAAGCTCGAAGAAGAAGAAGCAAGTCCCCCCCCTCGAGGTTAACGACGAACAGCCCTGCAGACAGAGAAAACGGTGGTGGCGCTGGCGCTGCCGGAGGCGGCGGAGGTCGGCTCCAACGTCGGCCCTCGTTGACAGCCTTGCTGATCGTGCCCACCCCCCCACCCCCCGCCCCTTCACCGGCCTCGAGTCTTTCTACTCCCGCCCCCTCTTGTCCGGGCCCAGCGGATAGCTTCTTTCGATCGGAAAGAACAGACAGTCGCGGAAAGGTGGGAGACGGTGATGAGTTGAGGAATGTCCCGTAGGATAGGAACATGGTATATGGCAAAAACGCAAAAAAAGGCCGCTGCCACCGGCCCATCCTACTCCGCCCTCGACCTCCTGTCGTCTAGTTGCTCTTCCCTCCCTCTCTCCCCGGGTCAGTCAAGTCAATTAAGTCATACCAGCATTAAACCCCATGTCATGTCGCTAGCCCATGCAATCCTCTGATCTAATGAGGGAAAGGGAAAAAAAAAAAAACACGCCGCCAACTCCTAGGCCCTTCCCATCTCTTCCCACTTGAAGAATATCTTGTCCATCCTTGACGCGTCTAGCTCTTCTCCGGGATCTGACTGGGGGCATTCTCGTTCGTCACACCGCTGTACGCCGGCCTTTCCTCTGGGCCCGACGCTCCCGCGGCCAATGCCTCGTCGTAGCTTGGCGGCGCCTCGTCGAAGACCGCGGCTCCGGGCGTGCCGATCTGCGGCGGGTACAGGGGGTCATACTGCGGCGCCTGCGATCCTGCTGCCGTTGCCGCCGCCGCCGGTGGTCGCTGCTGTCCGGGACGATACTGCTGCGTCGGCGTCACGGGCGCGGACTGCGCCGTCCGCGGGGGCAGCCTCGGCGGCACGCTGAGCGTTGCGGCGCCGGGCCTGTTGGCCTGCGCCCGCAGCGCCGCGAGCAGCTGCGGCGGCGGCGCGATGCCCGAGTAGATTTGGATTTTGGAGAAGTGCAGCGGCAGGAAGATGGACTGCGGCGCGGGGTTCTCCTTGGACGAGCTCAGGAACCCGCGTGAGCTGGGCGGCTTGCCCCAGCACAGCCCCAGCTGGATGTCGAGCTCGTAGTGGCGCTGGAGGTTGCAGGCCGCGAAGGACGGGGCGACGGTGTTGGGCAGCGGGATGTTCCGCCACAGGTCGTCGGGGATGACGGACTCGAGCGAGAGGTCCTCCGAGGCTGGGTCGCCGAGGATGGGCACGCTGAGCCCCGTCTGGGTGACGACGACCCACTTGCTGGTCTCGGTGTTGAAGAGTTCGTGGCACCGCACGATCGTCTTGCCGACGAGCTCGATCTGGATGGAGGTCAGGAAGACCTGCTCGTGCGAGGGGACGAGTTTCTTGGCGATGAGCCGTAACGGGATGGGCTGGTTGCAGGTGAGGATGGGCGGGTGCGGGAGGCGCGCCGACAGCTCGATGGACGGTGGCAGGACGGCCGAGTCGGCGGCGGCGTCGTCCTTGCTCGAGAAGAAGAGGGACGACTTTTTCTGGAGGCCTTGCGCACGCGGCTTGAAGGTGAAGGGCCGTCGGGCAAAGGCCTCCTGCGTCGTGGCTGGGGGCCGGGGCGGCTCGATAGGCATGAACTTGAAGCCGATCTGGTAACGCCAGTTTTCCTTCAGGAAGCCGGGTCGCTGGATGGTCACCTTGACGTAATACCGGACCTCGGCCTGGCGGGGGAAGCCGGTGAAGGAGGGCGGCAGGGTTTTGGTGACGTGCTGGAGGAACAGCTGCTTGCTCCCGTCCATGACGCGGGCGCCGCCGAGTCCGAAAGGGCCGATGCCGGCGCCGAAGCCTCCCAAGCCGCCGATGCCTCCGATCTTGGACATGGCGACGGGGTCGCTGCAGGCGTTGTTGATGGGCAGCTTGAAGGTGAAGGGGAACTCGTGATGGCCGCCCTGGAGAATGTAGCTCTGGGAGTAGCTGGAGCTGCCGCCGGCGAGGTCCTCATCGTAGGTGGGGAAGACCTGAGCGACGCGGTAGAGGATCTTGTGATTCTCACTGGCGATGCTTCCGGGGCCGCCGCCGGGTCGCGGGGCGCGGTCGTCGTAGGCCTGGGGCAGGCCGAGGGCCGTCTTGGACTCGCCCTCGAGCTTGACGACGATGCCGCCGACTTGCTCGGGCCGACTCAGGTGCAGCACAACGCGGCCGGTGACGGAATCGAGGTTGGTGTAGAACTCGGGCGCATTCTCGAGCGCTATCCTGATGGACATGGTTGCGTCCGTCGTGTTTCCGCTCAGCCCACTTTTCTTTTGGGGTTCGTCCTTGAACCGGTGGGTTTTGAGTCGTAGTGTGTGGTAGATGTATCCGTATGTGTGTGTGTGCGTATGGGTGTATGTGTTTGTCTGCGGATGGTGCGTGGCAAGACCCTGTGTATGTGTTCGCTTCCGCCGGGCCCTGTCTCGTCTCCAGGGTGGTTTGTTGGTCAGATGCCGAGGCGCATCGACGTCACAAACAGTAGCTTCACCCTCACTTGAACGAGCGTACCTAGCGTAGCGTAGCGGTACTGCACCGTGCGAGAGCCTCAAGTTGCAACGGGAGGGGCAGCAGCTGACAAAGTGGGGGTGAATTCTGTGTGTAAAGCGTAAAATACCTCGGGTGCCTAGCTAGCAAGATCTAGAAAGAAGGGAGGAGAAACTTTTTCCAATTCAATTCACCGAAGAATGGAAATTCGAAATGGAGGGTTGTTCGGATGACTAAGGACTGCGACAGAGAGAGAGAGAGAGAGAAAAGAAGGAAAAAATAGATGGCAGGAGGAAAGAGAAACAAAGCCAAGGCCGGCTGTCGTCGCGGCGGGGCGGGCCAGAGTCCGGCCTCCCTACTCCGTGCTCCTTCTTCCTCTTCCTGCGAACCTGAACCGTGATGTTGGTCGTCAAAGAGGCGACGCGGAAGCGTGGCTGAGCTCCCTTCCCCCTGCCCCGTCCCCTTCTCCTCTCTTCCAAGCCTCGTTAGTCAAGCTGACTTGTCTGCTGTGCGGAGCCGAGCCTGGGAGTACGCAAGCTCAGACGGCTTTCCAGCTGCAAAGCCACTACCAATCGTACCTCATCAGCGAAGCTAGACGTGAAACATAAAACATAAAAAATAAAAGCCAGGATATCAAGTCTCAGAACCAAACCCCCCATAAGGTGAGGTGGCAAGGAAGGGAAATACAAGTTCGTGTGGGTGGTGTGATAGGTACGCGTGTGTCCAAGTGAAAGCAAGCTCTGGCCCGGCAGGTTTGATGTCATTGGGGGTTTGGCCCAATCACTATTCCTCTCTCCCCTCACTGTCTCGATAGGCACTCCTCGTTGGCACACCCGCCGTCCGTCGCATCTTAAATAGACGCCCGAGCGAGCCATTGCTCGCAAAGTTTCGCTTGCCCGTGTTTGCATCACTTCGGACGACGAAGGAATCACGCACGTACAATTCGTTTGGTTGGTGTTCGAGGCGCACCTCCCTCCCTGGACAATGCTCCAGCTCCATACGGCAGAGAAACCTGGCGCATTTGTTTGATGCCTTTCTTTGTACGGATATACACAACGTCTCGAAAGCCAGCCATGCCCCGGTAGTAGTGCAAGTAATAATAGTCTAGTCAGTCATACCAGTCAACCGACCGTGACGTCGAGGCCCTGCTTCCTTTTCGGTGCATGTCTCAGCTGTGCAATGCCACGGCTTTGATAAGCTAAGACCTAGAGTCTTTCTACAGGGTTCCTGGTCCCCTGGGGGCATATTCTCAAAACTCCCAGATATTGCAGATGGTATCGTTCCGGTATCCCAATGCTCAAGCAAAAGCAAGCTCCCCTCAGCCAGAGGGCAATCCCCCCGAACGAGGGGATATCAAAACGCCCTTCCTCATGATGCCTCGACGTCGTGGACTAGCCCCGCCTGTCCCGCTGCCTTCATCCTCGCTTCATCAATCCAATTCGATAACTTCCACAGCGTTTGCTACTTCCGATGGCGTTGCTCGTGTCTTGACCCGCTTCGTAGGCGGCTGCTCATCTTCCGCTTCTTCATCCTCTCCATCACCCACCTCCTCAACCTTGGCTCTCCACCCTCCGTCTGCCGCAACGTATATCGTCTTGGTATGAAGCTTCCCCTCCTTCTCAAGCACCGAACGAACCTCGGCCATGAAATCATCCTTTCGCAGACTGTAAGGACGAGCGTCTCCGTCGCACAAGGGACACTTCCATTTGTCCACCAACGACGGCTCTGGCCTCGCCCCGAAGCCACGATTACAAAGGCGGCAGTCGTCGCCGGCCCCATGGATGGTGCACTTGGGCTTGGCTGGTCGTGTCTGTAACCAAGTGGCGAGATCGAAGCATTCCATGTGCATACAGCTCGCGCCCCGCACTGGGATCTGGAACATCGTGGCACTGAACGGGTCGGCCAGATCAATGCTGAGATCGTTGCCCACCACCGCCAGCTCGTCATCTCCATCCTCGGTGACAGGCTTCAGGCGCTTTCGGATCGCTGCTCTCGTTGCGTCAGCCGAAATGACTCCATGCTGTAACACCATGTCGATGATGTTTTCGTAACCCAGAGTTTCAATTATTTCGACAGCCATGTAGTACATCGTGTTTGGCTTTAGAGGGCGGGACGGCGGTGATATCGCCACCGATATCGAATTCGTACCGGCGAGAATGAAGGGGGTGAGCTCCACAGGCTGATGCTGTCCATTGTGTTGCTTTCGACGGATCGTCATGACTTTGCCATTGACCAGAATGTTGATGTGATCAGGCCAATGGGTCTGTGCCACCGCCCAAGTGGATTCTGCAATCTTCGTTGGATCCCCCGGGTTGACTGGCAGCTCACAAAGACGAAGACGGTACCGAAGAGATCCGTCAAAGTACTCCGACACGGGAAGGCCGTCTCGTGTCAGGGTTCGGTTAGAACACAGCTTGCCAATATCCTCTTTGGGCACGACAAAGACAAGGCGGTGCAGCGCTTGCTCGGCTGGCGTTGCAACAGGCCCCACTGCGAGTTTCTTGATAGATTGGTAGTATCTTCCCGACTTTGTCGCGTCAGGGGGATCCCGTGGCACTCGTCTGGGGCTTCTAACTTCGACCTGGTGCAACGCAATACTCAGTGCTTTTGGTTCCCAAGGTATATGTGGCAGCCGGTCCAAAGATATTTGCGTGTGAGGTGGTGGAAATACGTTGCCTCTTAGCCTCCCGGATACGTCACGGCTTACTCTAGACCGAGCCGCGGGTGGCCTTGACACCTGGTGGTTTCCAACCGCTGGAGCCGCTCCCGGAATAGCCCCTTGGGCGTTCGGATTCATCTGCGGATGGCCAACGGCATTTGTGGGAGACTGCCTTTGACGAGATACCTGCAGCATCTGATGCGCCTGTTGTAGCCGTGGGGAGGACACTTGCTGCGTCTGCGACGATGCAAGATTCGCAGCCTGCCTCTGTACAATGGCCTGGACATGGCGGTGCTGATATTCTTGCTGGGCCGTCTGACGTCTGGGGTCCGGATTTACGTTTGAAGCTTGCTGGAACCCCTGAGAGTTGCAAGAGTGAATCTGTGGCAGCTGCACATTGGCGTAATGAGGAGAGCCAGCTGGAGTGGGAGCCTGGTTCATCTGTGCCATCAACATTTGGGGCATCCGCATCGGGCCCTGCTGCATGGGCGGCTGAATTCCACTGTTGATAAGACTGGGGTTGTTGCTTCGCATCCTCAACTGCGAAGGCACCTGGGCAATATTGCCCGGGAAGCTGCGTTGGAACTGGTGCGGATTCTGGACGGGAGGAGAAGGGTCCATATTAAATCCCTGGACGGAAGAAACCTGCGTCGGGCTTGCTATCGTTGTTTGTGTGGGCAAGAAACTGGTGGAAGACCGCCTCCCTGGCTCCGGCATGTTCAGTTGTCGAGGCATGGCCACGTTCTGCGACAGGGGCTGTTGCGCTCCTGAAGCCGGCAAAGGGTTGGTCTGCTGCCGCAGTCGCCGCTGCTGCTGCTGCTGTTGCTGCTGCTGTTGGAGCAGGTCATTCTGGTGCACGAGTTGCTTGTACCTGGATATCAACGATTGCTGAAATACCCTCTGATCATGCTCAGACATCTTGGCGTGATCGTTTTCGGCGTCTTGTCGGAAGAGCGCCGCCATCTGATCCGCGATGGGACCATCAGGGACGCCGATGTGCCTCCTGGTGACCGTGAAGAAGATGTTCTCCAGTAACGGCGAACGAAGCTTGAGCTGATAGCGCAACTCGTCCGCGAGAATGGGGTAGCCTCTGCCAGAGCGAGGTCTCATGGCCGGAATGTGAATTCTGTTCCACTGCTCGTGGAGGTTGTTGAGGAAAATGGAGACGTCGCCGACGTGTTTGCGGAAGGCCTCGGTTTCCCACAAACCGGAGGCCCACGAGTTGGGGAAGTTTGCGAAGAAACGAACTAGCTCTTGGGTCATATTTCCATTCTTTCTGAGCGTGTTCTGTACGATGCCGAGCGCATTCCCAGCTACGTCGGGAGCAAGACCAAGGAGGCGATAGGCAGCTTCCCCATCAATTGACCATATACAAAGAACATGATGCAGTATGATATAGAAGTAATCGCCCGTCTCAATGGCTTCTTTGAGAAGTTGGACCCTAGGCAGAGAGGTACCGTCGTCTGGAAGCTTGTTGAGACCGCCCAAAGAGCTGATGAAGGCGGTGAGGTTCTCAGCCATTACTTTAGGACGAAGACTCTCCTCCGGATGGGCGTTGGCTTCAGGTAGTCCGACTGTCTGCAGACTGTCATTATTACCTTGACTGGGAGGTCGTGGTGGGTGATGGACAGGGACAGCCAGCTGTCCGTTCAGCGGAGGCGACGTCACAGCTTGACCGGACTGGCGCTGGGGGTCCGCTATGGTTGCGGGCGTTGGCATGGGCGGAGGAGCGACGGGCTGACTCGCGGAGACCGTGTCTTGGGACCTGTCTTGAGGTGTGTTGGAAGGCTCACAGCGGGCAGGGTCTTGGTCCCGGGTAAGCGCTCCACCAGACGGAGGCGGGATGGCGTTCCATATATTGACCGAGTGATTGTGGCCCAAGTCAGGGCTTTGAACACAAGAGTCTGAATTCCGGTGAGAGTCTTGGTTGGAGCTCGCTATGGGAGGACTAGGCTGGTCAGTCGGAGCTGGAGAAGGAAGAGCAGCTGCCCAGTCACTACCAGAGGAGGTTAGAGAAAGACGTTGCGGTTCGGGAGAAGGAAACGATCGAGGCATCTCAGAAGACGCGAGAGGGTAGGGAAAAGACAGTATATGTTGACCGGACGCAGGTATGGGTGCAGGTTTGCTTTGTGGGTCGTCGACTGGATTCGAAATAGGTGGTGTAACGAGGGCCCCAATCGACAGACGGTTTGTATCCGAGTCACTGATTATTGATGTACGACTCGGGGGACCGCGGACCGCGGACCCCTGGTGATTGCTCGATACGGGTGCCGTGCCGGGCTGGGGAGGGTTGGACGAGGGCTTCGAGTGTTGGGACATCGTCATCCATGACGGCTGACGTCGACTGCCCAACATGAAGTTAAGTGTCTGGTTCGAGGCGGCGACCTGGGCATCTGATGGACAGCCTCTGGATCCGTTGTGCTGGGCCTCGGGAGGCATCACGGTGGGGTTCTTGGGTGGTTTACGACTTTTGCGTCGACGGCGCGGCGGGGACGAACCGGAACCTTGGGCGAGACTGGGTTCGGCCATGGTTGTTAGCACGGGGAATGATGTGTCGCGAGAGTGCGTGTGAAGGTTGAAGACGCACCATGAGCACGAGGTCCCGACTACCTAGAGAGGATGAGTCCGGCCTACAGGCATCGAAACCGGAACCAGAAGTCGTGATGAGGGTGAAGGTAGGCAGGTCCGCGGGAAGGAGAGACCGTCGCAGAGTGCCGGCGTGGGTATGGTGGAAGGAGCGACCGAGAAACACGGTTCACCCCTTCTTCCTTCCTACCTCCTCTTGCACCGTCAGTGCTATCACGAGGGTGTATCGTGGGGAAAGTGAGACCGGTTCACGCAGCAGGCCGGTGTTGGTCTCGGGAAGGCAGGCAGGGCAGGCGCTGGTCGAATGGCCTGGGGGATGGCGACAGGTACTCGCTAGTTCGTAGAGTTTTGTGTTCGAGGAGGTGGTGTACGATGTATGATACAGCGATGCGCATACCACTGTCGCGAGGTGGGGCTGCTTCGTTCGATGGGCGATTATGGCGGTGACGTTGTCGTCGCTCGACTCCTGACCGAAGGCGCTGCCGCAGTTTGCGCAGTGAAAAGGTCGAGAAGATTCGACAAATGCTAGTGTGCCAAATAGTCGCGACAAGCCGTCATTCGGGCCTGGAAAATCTTCGGCGATGCTGTTGGGACTGGATGCAAATGGGCAAAACCGACAAGTAAACGGTCGCGGTAGGGGACGTGCGCTGGGGCAGGGGGACCTTGGCGGCTAGCATCCGGATAGAACAGGCGTTAGTCTATTTCTGACTTAGCTTGTGACTGAGAACCTAGACGCCATGCCATTGCGAGTCTTGGACCAATTTTTCCATGGATTGACATCTTCTGGTGGAGTACAGCCATGTCTTCTGGATTTGGCGTATCGACTCCATTGTAGCTGCTGCATTGGTTTTTTATCAAATGTTGTTTTTATGCTTGGATTTGCATCTGCATTTGCATATACAGCAGCCACGGCGGGCACCATCCCCAAGACGGACGCAAGAGGCTGCATGAAGCCGCTTGGCTCGACTGTCTGCTACCTACCTACATGGCAGTCCTGGATGACTCTCCCCTCGGATAACCACATATGACAAACAGACCTCTGGAAAATGCGTCAGAGGGACCTAGCAACAAGGTTCGAGAGAGAGAATCGATTGGCCATGTGGTAAGGGTAAAGCATGGCTCTCTCTCTCTCTCTCTTTCTTTCTCCCTTGGCAGAAAACAGAAATAGCTTGAATCTAAACCCCCCGCCGCAACAGCCGCAAAAATCATCATTTAACTTAAGGTTCGCAAGACGTGTTGGCCACTCCACTATTCTTCTATTATTTACCCTCTATCCGGTGTTTGTTTTGACTTCTCGACCGTGACTGTCTATATGACTATTCAAGCCATGGCTTCTCCGATAGCTATCCAAGAGTCATCCGAGAGTCATCCTGTCAGATGCTTTGCCACTGTCTGTAACCTCGGCTTGCAGATGCACGTCAACCGACATTACACAGCACCCAGCAAGGTTCCTAGACAAACCATCCTGTTATGGTGTGGCGTAGTGTGTATGTAGCTGATTGATCTACCGGTATCTATCTACCTGGTTTCGGTTTGTTTCCCCGTTTTCTCATCCGTCACTTATGGACATAGCCGTGCACTCACTGTCGCCTCGCCCACTGTGGTCAACTGACCGGAACCCCTTGCTCCAACATAGTATAGCGTGGAGATCTTGGCTTACCTTTGGTTCCATTTTCTGCTTTGTCACATGCCCGAAGGTTTATTTTTGTTCACAATCGGTTCTCTTCCCGTCGTAAAGTATTGTGTATCGGTAAACTGCCTAGAGTACCCCTTGCCAAAGTCCCGGGTTGATGACTTCAACAGTGACATTTGCATCAGAAGCTATGGGAAGTGGACTCGTTGGAAGCGGGGCCAATCTCCGGATAGATGCCATTTCGATCAAAGCCGAGCCGGGGACCACATGTTGTTATAGACGTAACCAGTAGGTAGCTTCGGTTATCGGATTGCTTATTCTAACTAGGTACCCACGGCCGGTTGCCGCGGGTGGGCGGATTGGATAATGTCGGAGATGTGCTCTGCGCCCTTGGATACCTATACTACCTCTATAGTCATCCCCGACTACGGTATTTTTGCTGTCCAAAACCGTTTCTAGCGCGGGACCTGAGCTCAGCAGAGCGAGAGCGAGGAGACGTTACCACGAAAAGCTCGAAGTCGCCAAAATGGTGGAGTCAGATTGAAAACGAAGCCATGCCAAGATGTCTCGCTTTATCACGGGAAATTATTGTTAACGAGATCAGGTTTAGAGAAATGCTGATTCTTTTGCGAAATGTATTTGATTGGGGTCTTTCACGAAGCTAGTCTCTGCTACCCTGTAGTGAGAAATACTCCGCATTCAAGTATGGCAGTTTTCTTTTTCTTTTTCTTTAGTGCCAAAGATGATCCCCTGGAGGTGATGTAGCCGAGCATCCGTACTCCCTCAAGACGGGCGCCGACGCTTGATCTTTCACCATCTGCTGCTGTCTATCTTTTTCTTCCTCGCACGGCCAGATTCTCTCATCGTCGCCAACGAAATACCCTTCGCATCCTCTTGCGTGAGCGCCGACGCTTCCAGAGACCGCCCTTCGATTGTTCTTTACATGGCCGAAATGTACTACCGTCCAGCTGCGGCAATCTTCAGGCCCATCTGCCTCGCGTGCTGAGCCATGAGGGCGTCAGCAATAGTCAGAGCGGCCATGGCCTCGACGATAGGAACCGCGCGAGGAGCAACATTAGGATCGTGACGGCCCTTGGCGGCCAGGATGCCTTCGCCCGAAGCGTCGTAGCGAGCAGTAGTCTGGTCCTGGGAGATTGTAGCGGGGGGCTTGAACGCAACGCGGAAGAAGATGGGCATGCCGTTGGAGATGCCACCCTGGATACCGCCGGAGTGGTTTGTCTTGGTCTGCAGGCGAGAGGGAGGAATGCCAGCGCTAGCGCTCCGCGTCGCATCGTCGGCGACGGCAGTAGACACGAAGGGGTCGTTATGGCGGGATCCGCGCATCTCGGCGCCGCGGAAGCCAGAGCCAATCTCAAAACCCTTGGTAGCAGGAATAGACATAATAGCGTGGGCAAGGAGAGCCTCAAGCTTATCAAAGCACGGCTCGCCGAGGCCGGGAGGGCACCCGCGAATGATACAGGTCACAGTACCACCAGTAGAGTCGTGCTGATCACGGAGCTCGGCGATCTTGTCCTCCATACGCTTCGCGATGGTAGCATCAGGGCAGCGCACGGGAAGGAACTCATCGACCTTCTCGCGGGTTAGGGTATCAACAAACTCGAGGAACCTAGGGTTGCCGCTCAGGGAGTCGATATCGTCGCTATCGGTTACAAGCCTGTCCTCAAAGAGCTTGATGTTGCCAACCGAGGAAACAAAAGCAACGATCTCGACGCCGTAAGCCTCGCGCAGCCATTTCTCGGCAACAGCGCCAGCGGCGACACGGGCAATAGTCTCGCGGGCGCTGCTTCGGCCGCCTCCAGAGGAGGCCTTTGTACCATACTTCTCGAGGTAAGTCCAGTCGGCGTGGGAGGGGCGCGGGTAGAGGTCGATGGTCTTCGAGCCATAGTCGTGAGGGCGTTGATCCTCGTTAGGCACGGTCAGGAGTATGGGTGTGCCCAATCTGCGACCCTAGGGTATTAGCATCATGGCAAAGATTATGACTTCCTGCAGGGTTGTCACACGTGCGCCCAAATTCGCATCCGGATCCTATAGTCACGCGGTCCTTCTCGTCGCGCGGGGTGGTGATGGCCGACTGGCCCGGACGCCGGCGGTTGAGCTGCGGCTGGATGTCGGACTCATCGAGGGACAGCCCTGGCGGGCAGTTCTCGATGATGCATGAGACGGTCTTGCCGTGGGACTCGCCGGCGCTGTGACGATGGAGGTCAGTGGGCTGTTTTCTTGCGTTCCAAGCAGTATAATGGAGGGGGAGGACTCACGTCGTCACGCGAAAGTAGTGGCCAAATGACGACATGGAGTCTTTGTCTTTTCTGTACGTCCACTGGGTGAATTGATTGACGGAAGAGAGAGGGGTTAGAGAGGGAGGAATGTAGCGATGTCGCAATGATATTTTTTATCGGTGACTAATAAAGTACGAGGTTATCAATAGACGAAGTATGGAGTAGGGACGAAGTTAATGTTTACGTAGCCAATCAGATTGTAGTGGAGATGCTATAACCAGCCCAAGAGAATTTCCTCCCCAGCCCGGCAAGGAATACAGAGCGTACAAGATTGCGGTCTAACCACGGTGTAGCAATGTCATGATAGTCAACAGTGAAGCAGCGCACCAAGTCCTGGTGATGGCCAATAGCATCGAGGCCACGGCACTAGATGAACTTCCAGACATTTTCAATAGTCTTGAAAAGTCATTGTTCATCGCTAGGGAGGATAAACGGACGGCAAACGTTTCGACTCTCAAAAATGCTGCCAAGGATGTAATCGCTTGTAGTCTCAAACTCAGGGAAGCTCCGATCGATGCCGGAAAGGCGGGGTCATTTCTATAGTGCCACGGGCACGCGGGGCAGGAAAAAACTGGCACACGTTAGACTATCCATCCGCAGAGGTAGATACTAGCCCAACTGTAGTAGATAAAACAAAAAGAAACAGAGAAACCAACAGAATGAAAACTACTCTAATGCGAGTATAGTTGAACATATAGTTCCATCTATGTGTTCTGTGCTATATTAATTACGAGCAGGCTCCGGTGCTGCTTGATTATTCAATATGGTGTGGTGGGAGCTTAGTGTGCCAGTTTTTTCCTGCCCCGCGTGAGTGCGTGAATTAGTTGCTGGCCCTGTCTAAGTAAGGCGAATTAATAGATATGGCGGCGCCATGTTTTGCGGCCAAGGTGCGTGTCAGATCCAAGTCAACGACGCACACGTCATGATTGCCGTGCAAGGGATCCACGTGAAGTAAAACAAGAGTCGCTGGCATCCAGCTGCCCATAAGATCGATCGCGTTCGTTCAACAAGGCAATGTGGACGTACAGGCCGGAGCGGCTGTGTTGATGATCTCAGCAGTGCCGTAGGGTTGCCGCCTGTCATCTTCTTGCCTCTTTGCTTCGCAAATGGCATGCGTAACCCAGAGGATACGCACAGGTGCGAGTCGTATGGTGGCTGGAAAAGTCCGACCTTGACCGTTGGGAACGTCTGATATTCTCGAGAATGATCTGGGGCTTGGAAGAAGCCTGGGAGAATTCCGCCAATGTTCCAATACTTAGGGGAAGTCTGGGAGAATTCGGAAAATATTCCAAGACTTGGGGAACTCGCAGAAAAAAACCGAAAATGTTCTGAGATGTAGGCCAAGAACCGAACACCTGGAGGAGGACGTCAGGACCTGGGCGGGCTGCCCCAGGGAGTAGTGTCCATCATGTCCAGAGTCGGATAAAGTTGAAAAACATTCGAGTAATGGTTAAGGTTAGCTGTTAGTCACGGGCGGGTGCGACATAGCATTGCATTGGCTTGGGGAAGATGATTTCATCCTGAGCATAGGTGGCGCGACTCTAAGCTAGAGCGGCAATGCTGACTAACCGCCAATTGATCGCGGTCGCTGTGTTTGTGGTAAACTACCTAAGTAGGCAGGCAAGCTGCAACCAGGAGGGTTGTACACTCCGCAGTCACGCAGTCGTACAGCACCTATTACTCGGAATGGAAGATGAGACCGACATACCTATGAGTTTGGATGGATCCCGGCCAGCCCTGGCTTGTCAATCTCGCCAGTTGGCCGTGATTCGATAAGCTGGCGCCCACCGGTAAGGGACGGGGCAACTCAAAGCAGATTAGGGGCATTGTGCAAGACCGGCATCAGCCCTGCTGTACGGAGTACATGGGCTGAAATTAATTGGCCGAGTTTGCCGGGGGTGCAGAACAGTCTACAAGTGCACACTGCAATGTTTATCACTTACGTACAGTACGTATTCGTCCTCTGTGTTCGTAGTGTACACAGTATTCGTGATCTCGTAGCGTGGTTTAGACGCGCAACACTTCCATCCGCGCAACCCATGCAACAGCGCCTGGGGCAGCGAAACGTGGCCCGGCCCAAAATGCAATCTATCGGTCACGATTCCTCGTCCGCCCCGTTGTTGCCCACAAGGCAAGCGGGAAGGTCCTTGTCGCTCCGGACCCGGCGGTGGGTGTCTGAGTCTTGGAACGTCTGCCAATGGCGGATGTGGTAACGGCACAGGATGAGCCGGTGAGTTGTCCTTCAGGGGTACATATAGACCTATAGCTGTATTTGTATCCGTATACCTACCTACCTGAGGTAATGAGAGAGAGGGAGGGAGATGCGTCCGTTCGGTTGTCTACGCGATGGAAGGGCCTAGAGCCAAAATGTCTTAGCAATGGAGGAAACGGGCTGTGTTCGCCCGCGGGCGCGGTGCGGTGCTTGGAGGTCGTCGGCCTAGTCGAACTGGCTTTGCGTACAGAGTATTCTGGATCATTATCCAAGACCGGAGGAGGCGGTGGTGTAGAGGGAGGGGGCCGGGCGCTGCTGACTGGAAGCCGAATGGAACGAGGTGGTGAGACGAAACAGAAACGAATAGGCTGAAGCCGGGACTAGACTCAGGGTCTCTCTCCTCGATTCGCCATCGTCATCGCCATCACAGCGTTTTCCTTGCTTCCCATCACTGGCAATCCGTCCACGTGTTGGGCCGTCATGCCCCCCAGCATGTACGTACCTACCACTGCCTACCGCTATCCGTACCTACCTATGCATCTCACGTCTCCTCGGGAGCATCTACTACGGTATTCAAACTAGGACATGTTCCGGCCCAGTTGGATCGGACCGGACATGTCGTCCAGCCTCTTGTTTCTTTGCCTCGCTTTACTCTCCTACCGCATTGTTTTTGCCTTCCGATAAAACCGGTCTACTTTAGCTTGCCGTCCATCCTCAACGGTGCCTGCCTTAGTGATCCAGACTATGATTCCTTCCGCGTTTCTGAACTCTCTGGCTTAAGACGCCTCTTCCCGTCGCCTTTGTGTGGGGTTTGTCGTAAAGCTAGACACCTCTTTATTCTCACAGCCCTATCTCTTTTCTCCCCCTTACTTCCTCCTGCGCCTCAGAAACTACTTGACCTACCTAGGACTTATACAGCATAATATACACACGCGCACACTCGCCCATACCTGCTCCCACACAAACAGATAGAAAAGAAGAAAAAAAGAAGAAGAAAAAAACCACTAAAAACGCCCTCCTCCATTGAGAGCACGATATTCCCCATCTTGCACGATCAAGAGTCCCATCCCGCTCTCACGGCACCAACAATATCCTCCGAGTGCACCCCGGGTTTTGATCCGATCCCTCTAGAAACCCCCAAACAAAAGGAACGAACGAGTTCACGGACGCTGCCGTCCCTTTGCGTTGCGCATCACGGGCATCGCCATCGTCGCATAGTCCTTCCCCCATCCGCAGTCCCACCTTCTCTCGGCCCTCTTCCATTCCATACCCAGGTACGAGCACACTCGCAATACTGCAGGCTCGAGTGTAGGTATTCGTCTTGGGTCTCCCGAGAAACAAACACACATCAGTCCACATACCGACGCAGACTTGTTTCGGTCTGGGCTCCCTCGAGTCAGCGGATGGGTTTGATCATCGGCCGTCGTTTGCTCCTTCCTCCGTCCCAGCCCGGAGTTTTCGAGCTAGCGAAACCAAACGAAACCGCCATCCATCAAATCATTCTCCGGCCTCTTTGCATCCAATCCATCACCAACCCCTGCGTTACCTGAGTAAGAGGGAAGAAACAAACAAACGCTTACCTGCACCCCTCGTCCTCGTCGTATTCTGAACCCAAGACACCCATTTTCTCTCTCTTTCACACTCTCGGCCACCAGTTAGGAAGCCACTTGCGTTTGGGAAGTCCTCTCCCGTAAGGGCATCCGCGTATTGGCATCCGCGTATTTCCTCGGCACTACCACATCAAACACACACACACACACACACGCACACACACCTAGACGTACACACCGGCGACTTGGGCCGACGACTAGTGTAGCTGCGTCGCATTCATCGACCGGGACCTCTTGAGGCTTGCAGCAGCCACACAGCACCTTTGCAGAGCGGTGCGTGTGTGCAGCTATACGGCGTCCGTCCCTTGCCTTACCTCGTCTTACCTACCTAGCTAGGTGCAGCGGCTGAACGAAAGCAGGCCGTTCAACCTCCTGGACGACCGACCACTTTTCCCATCGACGTGGGCATCGTCCGTCCCTCCACTGCCATTGCGTCGTCTATGCGCCTCACCTCATCTTCCTGCCTCGACGTCGCAATGAACCAATAGAGGTCCTCCACGCCAAATCCAGTATCCCCCAATCACACCTCACAACACGGTCCTGATCAACTCCAGCCTCCCGGACGGGTGCTGAAGTAAACTAGGTACCTACCTATCTAGGTACTTGTGCCCCGTACCTACCAACCATATGGTTACACTACTTACCTACCTCTAAGACCAGCAGCGACGACCCTTATCCAACCACTCGCCACATTTAATTGGCAGCGAGCTCGACAACACACCCGCCATTGGCAGTCAGCAGAGACAAGCGAAGCCCGGAAAGAGAAGGGAAAAAATTCCACGGCCAGAAGGAGCACCAACCACGAGCTTTTCCCTCCGTTCTCGACACATCGAAAGATCGAAAGGAAGACGGGGAGAAAAAGTACCCAGATACCGGAAGAAAGGAGAGAAAATCTTTGGGGGCGGCCCATCGTCAGAAGAGCCGAATCCTGCCCTGCTCCTTCATTCCCTCACCCCCGGTCGTTATTCATCTCCCATTCACATCTACCTCCACCTCCACTCCACCACCCTCTCCCCCCCTCCCACCGCGGTACTCCCTCGCCCGTCCTCACCAGTCACCACTTTAGGTGTTCGTATCCGCTCACTACGCATTACCTATCTGATCCCAGCTGCCGTACAACTATCTCATCCCTGGCCGCTTGTCTGTAATTTTCGCTTCAACAGCGCTTCTTCGCCCCACCCCCTGCGAGTCGCACCCCAAGTCACAGTCGAGCCGCCCAGGCCAAGCGGCCCAGCCAGCGAACTCGTCTCCTATGTATTGATCCCGTCACAACTCTCCCTCTCTAGCAAACGCCACCCGCATCTCTCGCGGCGCCTGGCATCGTCGGCAACATGG